TGTGCACGTATGCACTGACCGCACCCGAGGAAAAGGGTCAAAGCCGTATGCAAGGTACCGGACCGGACTGCACTCGGTAAACCATTCACTTACCCGTCCGATGGTTTTGGGTTGCCCTGGACAAGGCACAGCGTCCAACCCGAGAGATCGATATCTGCACGTCCTGTACTGTAGTCACTCGTGTGCTGTCTAGAATGAGCAGTTGCGAGGCCAGGTACTGCACGGGCACAGACGTAGTCGCCCGGGCCATGAGGACAAGCCATCGACACACATGATATCATACATTAGACGTCAATATGACATATGTACACGCTACACGCATCCACCGGATCAACAGGGGCTCTCCCCTCAATGCTTCTCCATCTTGTTGATGAACAACCCGGCCTGTCATCAATGCTTGAAGCTGGGCTCAGCTGCTCGCCAGCACGTTGCTTCGCCCGTCAGTACAGTACTGTACTGCACTTGGCGGTGACAAGGAATGCTAGCGTTGCATCTCCAAAGCTCCGATCTACAGTACTGACTGGCCAGTCGATGGGAACCAGAGGTACGGAGTAGTATTGTGTGCCTGGCGGAGGGCAGACCGGCCGGCCCGACCTGGCATTCACCTTCGGGAACACATCTGGTGGCAAATTGAGTGCATGCTGTTTCTGCAAGCTTGGGAGCGGGCAGCTGCAAACGCAACCGGGCATTGGATCGGATCAACCTTGCGCCTCGCGGCTGCCGTGCTGTGGTGATGGTCTGTGTCTCGGCGTTGTGAGGTGCCCCCATTGGATACCCATCAATGCCTGCCTGGCCCGGCACCCCTGCTTCCGTTCCTGTCCAACGACTTCAATGTCAGCTCCATGAGTCGCCGCTCTGGCGGCATTGGCCAATTAGTCGGCTGAGCTCGGCATGGCTTCATGGCGTACTTTTCCTTCGCCATCCAATGCTGGTGGATAGACGGACGAGCTCCTGACTCAGACGTCGTTGGCTTGCTCGCTGCTGGCAAATGGCTCGGGACAGAGACAGCTCCGTCCTCAGCTCGGCGGGGCACCTGATATCGGGGCGTCATCCCCTGGAGCACTTGATGCTCGTCGTCGGTGGAAACCAGCCAAAAAGCAAGCAAGCAGCCAGTTGGAGACGAGTGGTGACCTGCAAACGTGTGCCGCAAGGGACGGGCCATGCACAATAAGCGGCTGTATCGGGATGTTCTGGCCACGATGGGAGTTTGTGCGAGGTGCCCCGACTTCGCTATTGGGGTTTCCCCCGCGGACAAACTTTGCCGTGGGCTGTTCTATGCCTTTCTTTTTCAAGCGTCCCCTGCTTTGCCTGCTGAATCACTTTTTCCCTTGTCTCTTGCCTGTGCTTGTCGCGTGTGTGCGAGTGCGTGTGTGTGAGTGTGGGAGAGGATGGGGGGAGGGGTGGAACCGTGGGAGGGACATGGCTAGAGGAGCACTTCCACCATATCTACCATACAGTAGCCCTCTTGCCCCGTGGCAAAGCCGGCAAGCACCAGATGTGATTGGCGAGAATTGAAAAAAAAAAAATTCCAAAAAAAAAACAAGTAAAAGCCAGACGGACGTCGATTAGGCGCGTGGGTTGGCTTGCATGGTTTCTTCTTGGCTGTGGGCAAACCCGCGCTGCATCCAACACCCATGGACAGCGTCAAGCGAGACGATGACGAAGCTGGAGGCACCAGCGCACAAGAGTGAAGACCGGCAAACCCACCACCTTCAAACGCGATCCACTTGGCGCTGGATTATCATGCCCCGAGTTCTCTGTTCATGTCATCATCATCCATGGACGGGTGCCGCTGCTGCGACCTCTTGAGTTGGGGACAACTGTAGATCGCCATCAGCCGCCGTGACGTGATGAAGATGAAAAGAAAGGCCGTGGCCGTCATGCCGTGTCTCCCCTGTCAATACTTGCGGGAAACTGTTGTTGGCCTTGTCGAGCCGCCGTCTCGTCGGCCACAGGCTTGCCGTCAGAGCACACAGCGCGTCTGCATGTGCCTTGCATTGGCCAAGCGCATGCTGGTGTGACAGATGGACAGGCGTGGCCAATGGCGGAGGGCGATGCAAGATGGGGGCCGTCATTGGCAGACGAGCCAGCGAGCAGGCAAGCAGCAAGCAGAGCAGGAAGCAAAGCAGCAAGCAAGGAGGGCGCCCTCTCAGGCTCTCCCACTGCACAGGCTTTGTGCTTTGTGCACGCCGCTGCTGCTTGCATGGTCTGAGCTCATGGTCCTATCATATGCAGGGTTATGCATGGCTTGTGACTCGGTTTGCATTACACGGTGGGTTGTGCGCGAGCGAGTGCGTGCGCGCGCGCCAACCCGGCGACGGGCACACCACCACCATCAACGACCACCATCAACGACCACCATCAACGACCACCATCAAGGGACGGGAATGCATCATGTGGATCGAGCGGTGGTGAGTGGCCCGAAAAGTTTGGATTTTTTTTGTCAGCGTTAGAGGCCGCCGGCCATTCCTTTGCACTGGAGTTACAGGTGCTGAGTGCCTGCTACTGTATGTACTGTAAGTCGAGTTTGGGGGTGTGGCAGCCTGCCTACCATACCTATGGTAGGTACCTAACTTACCTACCATCCTACCTACCCAACTGGGAAGGTTCCAACTGCGCCGTTGGCACAGGTGCTTATGCGCGGCTGAGCAAGAAGCGTGCTGTACTCTACTTATACTGTACGGTAGGCGCTGTGCATACATAGGTAGGTTTGCATGTGTGTATGCATCCCATCCTCCTCTGTGCGGATTCTCGTATGGGCCCGTGGCATGGATGTCTTTCGTCCATGCATGGGGCATTTTTCTTTCCCGGTCTCTCGCGCTTCCTTTTCTTCCTTTTCTTCCTTTTCTTCCTTCTGGGGTTTGCTGCCGTTGCCGGCCCAGTCGGGGGTTCGAGAAGGCGGTTTCAAAGTACCGCGGGGAACGGGGCTACTCGGCCTAGCCGTCCGCGGTACATCCGGCACACGGTGCTGAGCCCGGTAAAAGAGGCACGAGCGCCATGGGTGCCAACCAAGCGAGTGGTAGTAGTCGCAGTAGTCGCAGCGGAGGGCGTACAGCACTGTCCAAGGTTGACGGTTGACATGATTTCTTCATTTGCGCGTCCGTAATCAAGACTCAGGCACAGCGGGCGGCAGCGGCGGCAGGTGTGCGTGCGCTGTAGGTAAGGCAGACGCCTATTCGCAACGAGCTCGGTCTCTGCTCCGGGGCCAGGTATGTACATGCTGTACAGTACCTAGTCCGTACCGACACTACAGTGCTCAGTGCAGGACCCTCCTCGTCTTCATTGGCCGGGGTCTGCGGCTGGTGTGCTCTAGATTTAGAACACGCAGGCGAGCAGGTACTTGCTTGGCTGGATGTGGCCGACAGACAGCAAGCATCGGTGCTGTACCTAAAGTAGGTACTAAGTATGTATGTATGTACAGCAGCTGCGCCATGCTGGCTGTCCACGACCGGTGACGGCACACATCCATCCATCCATCCATCCATCCACCCATCCATCCAGTTGGCAAAACGGCCGCCTCGCTTCCAGCATCGGTTGCGCTGCGCCGTGCCCGTGGGTGAGAGAGAGACGCGGGTGACGACGGCTGGGCGGTACGTGCAAGCCTGCAGGCCGGTACATGGTCTGTACATGGTCTACACATGGACGTATATGGACTTATATGGACGGGGGCGCTCGGGTCTGGGTACTCGGCGCATATCTGCGAGGTACCTGCCTGATCTTGCGAAGGTCATGTCCGACCACCGTCTGCTGTAGTAGAGTCAAGCACCCACCGAAGCCTCTGACCGTACTCGGTAGGTAGGTACCTACCTAGGTTAGGTACTAGGCACCTTACTTACAGTGCCTCCAGTCTTCATGATAAATGTCTGCGTCTAGACACATGCACCGTGATGGTTGGTCACCCGCGTCTTGTCAACTCTCTGGTCTGGTCTGCCTTGGCTGGCTCCTGACCAGTCTCTGCTCCAGTCTCTGTGCCGGCGATGAATGGGCAGCCTCTGCGGGCCGGCCTAGGCGCCGTGCTAGTTGCTAGCAGCAAAGTAGAACGGCCAGTCCCTCGATCCTCGGCCCTTGGTCGTCTTGTCCCGCCCAACACCCGCCCGCCGGCACCGCCCACCATGCTTCTCGCAGCCAGGCCTGAGTGGCCCGTTCGGACAGGGGTCCGGGAGGGGCCCGGGAGGGGTGGCTTCAGGACAGACACCCAACCGTGCCGCCTCGCCCGCCGCAACGGACCCTGGCTCGGGCCCCGCTCTGGTCGCCCTAGTCAGCTTGGGTGAGACAGGCGTGGAGGCAACCTCGAGCGTTCCCACTTGGGCCATGCCTATCGCTGCTGGTCGTCTCTTGGTTGGCCCGGTCCCGCCTGTTGATCCTGGCCGCGTACGTATGTCGTATGTCGTATGTCGTATGTACTGTACCTACTTATGCCTCCACGGACCCCGTCACCCATCATCACCACTTGATCGGCAACCCAGTACGGACGGATACTCTGGTGTTTTTTATGCCCTCGCCTCGTCCGTCGTCTTCTTCTACTTCTACTTCTACTTCTTCTTCATCTTCATCTTCTTCTTTCGTGGCTCGATCTACTTTAAACCTTGGCATCGCTCGCCTCTTTTTTTCCTTGCTCGAGGTTCCTGTCCTTCCTTTGACCAACTCAGCCAGGCCCTTCGGCAACCACCATCACCAGAACCACTCAAACAGGGGAGCGGAATCCCATGTACAACATCGCAAACCGCGTCGAGCCCATTCTCTAGCCAGTTCTTCCGCTCTTTGAAAGACTGTCGTCCACTCCTTGCGCGAGGACCGAAGACCCTCCAACCACCCGTCGTTTCCACGACGAGCCCTGTACACTACCCACCAACCCGCCATCTACAGTATATACACTTAATCGACCCCGAGACGCCCGCGAATAGACTGAGCAACACAACCACGGCATCAAACGCAGTCCTGTCTGCCGAGGTGAGAAGACCCGCGTCGTCTCTCTCGTGAGCCGCCACTGACACGGTCAGATGGACCCGTCAATCGTGCCTCAAGCACCTGTCTTCTTCTTCAAGCACGACTCCCAAGGCCTGCAGCAGACGACCATGTATCCCGCCATGCGCCCGCTGGCCTCGACCGCCATGTTCTCGCGGCCCGGCTCCTCGTCGTGCTCGCAGCCGCCCACGCTCTTCAGCAACGGCCCCTCGGCCATGACTCCCACGAGCTCGCCCCAGCCGGCGCACCACAAGCCCGTCATCATGCTCGACACCGAGTTTGGCGACTGCCCATACTTCCCGGCTACGCCGCCACTGTCCACCTCGGGCAGCGCCATGGGCAGCCCCAAGAGCTTCGAGGTCCTACAGACGCCCATGAACCCCATGTTCTCGGGTCTCGACGACCTGGGCAAGACGGGCCTCGAACCCGTCGACTTGGTCTCGGTCCTGGAGTGGTCCAGCTGCGGATCCCCGCCCATGACACCTGGTGAGTGCCTACCTCATCTTGACTCTCCGATGCAATGGGGGATACGCCTCGGCACCCCCATTGTCCCAAGTGGAAAATGCCACCCTGGTGCAGTCGTGCTCGAGTCGTGACGTCCGCCTGGTCCGCCTGGTCCGCCCCATGGTACCTTGGCTGATAGCGGGGTCCGTCGGCTAACCCGTATTGGGCACAGTGTACCTTCAATCTCACGTCGCCTCGCTAAGCTGCACCACAAGCGACCTCTCCACCGCATCCTGCCCGTCTCTGTCTCCGTCGCCCACGCCTTACGCGCGTTCCATTGCGTCGGAGAACGACGTTGACTTTTGTGACCCGCGGAACCTGACTGTCTCGGCCGGCCCCTCCAACCCGTCGCTGGGCCCCGACTTCAAGCTTGCCGGCCACGACGAGCCCCGGGCGGACCAGGCCGCTGCTGCCCCCTCCGCCTTGACTCAGCTCCCGTTCGACTTCAGCTCTGCCGTGCCCCACGGCCTGCCCATCTTCGAGGACCCGTCCGACCTGGACTCGGAAGACGGCTTCAGCACTCTGGTCAGCCTGGGGGAGCGGAGCGTTGCTGACGTGTCCCGCCCTCGAGCCTGCACCGGCTCGTCCGTCGTTTCACTGGGCCACGGCAGCTTCATCAGCGACGACGACTTTCGCTTTGACCAAGGCGAGGCCTTCCAGTTCCCCTCTCTTCCCAGCCCGCCCTGCAGCATCGACTCTTCAGTCGACGACAAGCACGAGGACAAGCGCCAAAAGACGGCTGTCGATGACGACAGCTGCAGCGAGCAGCCCATGATGAACACGGCCGCCAGCGACTCCCAGTCGAGAGACGACCACCAGCACTCGGAAAAGGCCGCGTCGGTCGCCTCGGACTCCAACGCCTCTTCCAACTCTGATGCCCCTGACACCCCTCATGCTGCCCCCACTACCCGCCGCGGCCGCAAGCAGTCCCTCACCGAGGACCCGTCCAAGACGTTCGTCTGCGAGCTCTGTAACCGACGATTTCGTCGCCAGGAGCATTTGAAGCGCCATTACCGCTCTCTACATACCCAGGAGAAGCCCTTTGAGTGCAACGAGTGCGGCAAGAAGTTTTCGCGCAGCGATAACCTCGCCCAGCACGCCAGGACCCATGCTGGTGGTGCCATCGTCATGAACCTCATCGAAAACGCCGACGGGTCCGTCTACGATGCCGGCATGGGGCCTGGGTCTGCTGTCGATGACTACGCAAACTTTGGCAAGGTGCTCTTCCAGATCGCCTCCGAAGTTCCCGGCAGCGCGAGCGAGCTGTCTTCGGAAGAGGGCAACGACCAAGGCAAGAAGAAGCGGAAGCGCTCCGGCTGAGCACAGCACGCCAAGACAACACCTCCCACGAGTCGAGCCATGTTCTGTGGCCGGCTCTTGGAGTAGGATACGACATGCTAATGACCTTCATTTTCATCGCCGTGACCGCGCTCAGTGCGGCCCGGCAGTAGGGTACAACAAGACTTTTCAGGGAACAGCACCTTGGTAGACGGGGCTTGGAACAAAAATCATCATTGGCACAGTTTGAGCGCTTCTCATGACCTTGCATTTACACTTTTCTTCCCTTCATGTATCAACTTTTCCATCATCGACTGGTCTTTTCACAGAGGGGGCGGATCCGGTGCTTTCGATGCTGTCTTTACGACTTGCACAGCAAGACAAAAAGCCTCGGTCGGTATACCAGGCGGGCAAGGGAGGACAAGGGGATGAGATAATCCGGCGCGCACGGTGAAACTTGTGTACCTTTTTCTTTTTGCTCGTCGAGGGAGGCGCGTGGGAAGTGGGCGGGGGGACCCTGCATTCGGGATTGGCGGCGTGTTGCTCTTTACACTCGTTGTAATCACTGATGCTGGAGACAAATAAGGGTGGATTGGGTGGGCGGGATGGCTGCATGGTCTTGTGCTACCTGGCTTCGCATGTTTGCCCTCTTTTTCCTCTCCTTCCCTCTCTACACGTCTCCAGCTCTCGCTCGAGGCAATTCGGTATTTGGTCATTCGCTGCGAGATGGCATGTCGAGAATATGAGTGTGCTGGTCACAATCACGACGCGCAGTATAGTTATTTTATTATCAGGACATCGGACGTACAATGGACAACAGTGGGCAAGAGAAACACTATTATACGATATACTACAACCTGTCTCGATATCTGACCAATGATGGCACTTCCAATGTCGCGGGAGAGTACTGCGACAACCAGCCCTTTGCGCTTCGTACGACAGGGAGTCATGCATGAGCCTCGCGACGACGGCAGCGCAGTATGGCGCGCAGCGACTGGCCACGCACAGTCTGTGCGTATTAATACTGTATGATGATGATTTGGTGATGCCCATGTCCGTCCCGGCCGGAGGCTTGCTCGTTCCGCTCGCGGTGTCTCTCGGTTGGGGCATCCATCGGCCGTGGCAAGCGGAGACTGCTGCTGCAACCTTGCTTGACGCCTCTCCCAGACCAGATGGCAAGGACCCTTGTAGGGGCCCCTGTGGTGACTGCAAAGAGCGAGTGGGGACGAGACAGAAGAAAGGAAATGAGGCATGGCATGAGACGTCGGACTCGTGTGTGCCTGTGATGATGCACCGCCCCCCGGGATGGTGCGTCCATCTATCCATCCGTACGAAGTATGCACACCCTGGTAGATACTGTGCAGTTCGTGTGCGAGGAGGCCGGCCGGATCAGCGGACAGATAACTCACTTGGCACATGGAAGAGACATCCATGCCAAGGAACGGCCGAGGGTCTGGATTCTGGCGACATATGCCGTTGGCTTGCTTGTGTTGTTGTGTGGACTGCCGAGCCTTTCTCCCTGTTGGCTTGACAATCTACTGCACGAGCGTACCGTACATCCCTGATGTCTGTCTCCCTCTCTCTCGGGCTTTCTCCATCCGTGCCTCGAGAGAGAAAGACCGCGAGCCAGGGCCCCGGATCCAACAGTCGAGGGCGGATCTGAGGGGGCATCCTAATCGGACGGTGCTCCGTGCCGGGGCGCCTGGAGGCCCCGACGCCTGTTGCTTGCTTGCTTGCTTGCTGGCTGGCTGGCTGGCTGAGCTGAGCCGAGCTGACCACGGCACCACCTCGACTCGCACATTGGATGGATGCAGAGGCCGCCAGGTGTGATGCAGATGCCTGGACCAGGTACGTTGCATGCGCTCATGCACATTTGACAGCTGTTGTACACACCCGGGCATGGATGGATAATGACAGACTGTGGGTTGGTAGGCTGGCAGTTGGCAGGCTACCGTGTCGACGACGACGACCCCTGAGGCGTCGACTGGCCGTCACCGAGAACCAGGCCGGCGCTTGCTCATCCACTGGGTGGTGGGTGGCGAGTGATTTCTGCTCTCGCCGTTTAGGCTGATGGACCTGGCGGCCCAATAGGGCTTGCAGCAGAGATAGGGCGGCAGCCAAGATGCTGTCACAGCCAATGCCGCTCTTTTTTTTTTTATTCGCTTGCCCCCCTCCCTCGTGATCCGAAGAAGAGTACGGATAGTGGCAGCGACACGCCTCTCTCCGCTCGAAGCCGGTGGCTGGTACGGTCGGAGCAAATCAGATGGTTGTCCATGGGCGGGCTTCGGACACTTGTTCGGCCTCACTTGCGAGAATGGGGAGAGACGGGCGCCACCGTCGACGACGAGGCTTTTTGTCACTCCTGCTCTCGGCGTGACATGGAAGAGAGGAGACTGTGACAGCTTTTCGCCCGTCGAGGAACGTGGCCCGAGGCCGTTTGGAACGGATCCCACGTTTCATCAGCATGGAGAAACAAGGAAAGCCATGCGAGGCAGGGGGGGGCCATGGCCGGCCCAGCTAGGTAATCCTCGGGGCTCGGGAAGGCGCAGAAGAGAGGGAAAAGCGGATAAAAATAAAAATAAGGGTGGAGGACGGGGCCAGGGTGATGCATCGAGTTTCTTGACCATGTGGTAATTTTTAGTGAGACACTTTTTGGCGGGCGGCGATGGCTTCATGTGGGTTTCGACCCTGTCCCGTCGACAGCGACGGAGGAGGTCGCACGTGAGAGATCCACCGCCCGCCCGAAAAAAATACATGTCGTAAAAAACCTCGGTCGCTTTCTTGGACGATCCAAGGGACGCAATCACGGCACCATGGCGCCCGAACAACGCCTCCGCGTGATCGCCCTGGTCTCGGGCGGCAAGGACAGCTTCTACAGCCTGCTGCACTGCATGCGCCTCGGGCACGGCGTCGTCGCCCTGGCCAACCTCTACCCGACGACAGGCGACGAGGACCTGAATAGCTTCATGTACCAGACCGTCGGCCACGAGGTGGTGCCCCTGTACGCCACCGCCACGGGCATCCCGCTGTATCGCCAGCCCATCCTGGGCCGTGCCGCGTGCCACGCGCGCGACTACCAGCACCCTGGCCGGCAGCACGAGGCCGACGACGATGAGACAGAGTCCATGGTGCCCCTGCTCCGCGCCGTCATGGCTCGCCACCCAGAGGCCAACGCCCTGTGCTCGGGCGCCATCCTCTCCACCTACCAGCGCACCCGCGTCGAGTCCGTCGCCCTGCGCCTCGGCCTCGTCCCGCTGGCCTACCTGTGGAAGTACCCCGTGCTGCCGCCGCCCGCCGACGACGTCCAGCTGCTACGTGACATGGCCGCCGCCGGGCTCGAGGCCCGCATCGTCAAGGTGGCCAGCGCCGGGCTTGACGAGTCGCGCCTGTGGGAGCCGGTCACGACTCCCGCCGGCGCCCTTGCCGTCCAGCGCGCTGTGCAGAGGTTTGGCGGTGCCGCACAAGGCGCCGCTCTGGGCGAGGGGGGCGAGTTTGAGACCATTGTTCTCGACGGCCCGCCCGAGCTGTTCAAGATGCGCATTGCCGTGCCCGACGACGGCAGGACCATCGTGGCGGAGGGAGGCGGCGCTTCGTGGATGATGCTGCGCGGTGCGTACCTTGAGGAGAAGCTTGTCCAGCCGCCGCATCGAGAGTTGCCCGTCCGGACGCCGGCTCTGCTCGACGCCGGCTTCGAAGTCGTTCTGCGGGCGATTCCATGTGACCGTCGCGTGGTTCCGGAGCCGAGCGGCGCAGCCAAGTCTTTCCTCCTCGGCAGCTCTGTTCCCCCGCTCCAAGGGGGCCGCGGGTTTCTGCAGTGGTCCATCATGGCCGATGCAAGCTTCGCCGGGGGCTCCATCGAGGAGGAGACGATCCACGTCGTCGACAAGATCAGAAGTGCACTCTCCTCCGTGGCTCGGAACCCTGCCCAAATCACGAGCACCATCATCGTACTGGCGGACATGTCCGACTTCTCCAAGGTCAACGACGAATACAAGAAACTCTTCACCGAGCCAAACCCGCCGTCGCGAGTCACCATCTCCTGCGGCCGTCTCTTGCCGGCCGGGCGCAGGATCGTGATACACGTCGCGATGCCGGACGCGGTGCTGGGGCGAGGCGAGAGAAACGGGCTTCACGTCCAGGCACGCTCCTTCTGGGCCCCTGCCAACATCGGCCCCTACAGCCAGGCCATCGACGTGCCGGCAGCGACGGGGCTCAGGGCCGTCTACGTGGCCGGGCAGATCCCCCTCGTGCCTGCGTCCATGCGCTTGCCGCCTGCGGGGGAGAGGGCCTTGCACGAGCAGCTTGTGCTCTCGCTGCAGCACCTGTGGAGGATCGGCGTCGAGATGAAGGTCCAGTGCTGGACCAGCGCCGTCGCCTACTTTGCCAAGTCGTCTTCAGCCGACGCCATGGTGCATCAGGTCAAGCTCGCCTCTGAAGCCTGGAGCCTGCTCCACGTGCCCCCAGAGGACGACGACGACGACGACGACGACGACAGTGGCCCTGATCTGTGGGATCTCAAGTACAACCATGCATACAAGTCACGGGGATACGGTGACACGCAGAGCGCCAACACGGCCCTGCCCGACTGCACCATCTTTACGCTCCGGCAGCAAAAGGAACCCGAGACTTGCGTCCCGCCCATGTTTGCGGTCGAGGTTGAGAGCCTGCCGCGGGAGTCGGACGTCGAGTGGCACGCCCACATGGGGCTTGGACACATCGACACGGCTTGTGCAGAGATGATGTGTCTGCCTGGAGACGGGGACAGCAGAGGCTGGGGCAGCTGGCACACGATTGTCCGCAGTGGCGATGCCATCCTCGTGCACACCGTCGTGGCCTGCGGACTCGCCGAGAGCGACCCCCGGAACCTCGAGGAGCAAACGCTGGCCAGCGTTTACAGAGCATCGCTCCGGGGCGTCGGACTCGATGCAAAGCTGTCGTGCCCCGACGACGCCCCGTACCTCGCCTACGTGGACGCGGCTTGCCTCCCGGGGGGCTTGTGGCAGGACACAGGCACACGGAAGGGCAATGAGCTGACGTTTGAACCGATCCCGTGCCACTCTATTTGGTCGCCGCAGGCCGAGAGGCTCGGGTGCGTAGCCTTGTATCGGGCGACGATGGTTGCCTCGCCGTAGTGGCATGTGCCCAAGATGCGGAACTTGCCGGACCGCGCGTCATGGACGTTTTTTTTTTTACTTTTTAAAAAAGGAAATCTCGCCTGGCCCGTTTCACCGACTTTCGAATGTTGGTCACGGCGGCAGGCCCTGGATACTTCCTTCTTTCTGGTTGGATCTCCCGCTCGAGGTGCGGCTGATGTAGGACGTGACTTTTTCCCACTGCAGTCGCCCGCGGCAGGCAACGAATGAGCCCGTCGAAAAGCAACCCACGGGTTCGCGATCCAGGGAAGCTTCCCGAGATTTGACCAATAGCAATCACGTCGACAGGCAGCCGCCCGCTCGCCCAACCTTGCACGGCAGAATCGACCCAAGCTTGCTTCAGCAGGGCTGAGGACGACGAATGAAGTGAGCGAGCCTCCCTGGCCGGTGACCATGGGCGACAACGACGCAGCACAGGGCGGCTCGGGTGGGTCTCCGAACAGGGCCGTCTCGTTCAACCGGCGGAGGCGGTCGACGAACGAGCGCATCGATGAGATACTCGAGGTAAGCAGCGTCAAACGACCTCGCGTCACCCCAGCTTCCACTGCTGACGGTGCGAGCCAAGGACGCACGCGGCCGAGCCGAGCCCATGGGGTCCGCGGAATTGGCGCGAGCCCAGCACCACCCGCAGTCGGGCGACGACGCCAGCGACAATGAGAGGACCGGCATCGTGTCACATGGGTCGGGCCAGAGCTACCTGGCCATGCAGGCGAGCACCCGGTCGCACATATCGATATACCAGCGGCGGGGCGCGGCCGACGACCTGCCGTCGCCCATTGAGTCGGGTTCCGGGACCGGCCTTGGCGGCGACGCGGCGGACGGCGACGGGGCCGGGGACAGGCTGTGGTGGAGGAGGGCTCTGGGCAACTTTCAGTCCATTGAGCTCGACAACAAAGGCAGCGTGGCTAGAGACCACCTGTCTCTCGGTAAGAGACAGGCCGAGTGACGCGCCCTCTTCCCCCCCCACATGCTGGCGTCGCGCTGACGTCTATCTGGGGCACGTCGTCGCAGAACGAACCTTTCTCGCTTGGCTGCGGACGTCTTTGGCCTTTGCGTCCATCGGCATCGCCGTGACGCAGCTCTTCCGGCTCAACACGTCGCTCTCGGACGGCCACGACGATGGCGTCAACAAGGCGACGCTGCGGCGCATGGGCAAGCCGCTTGGGGCGACGTTTCTGGCCCTCAGCATTCTGACGCTGCTGTTGGGCTTCCGGCGCTACTTTCGCGGGCAGGAGTGGGTGGTACGCGGCAAGTTCCCCGCGAGCAGGGGCACCATTGTGGTGCTGGCCGCCGTCGCGCTGGCGATTATGCTCGTGTCGCTGGTTGTGGTCATTGTCATTCATCCGGCCGAGGCGCCGGACGAGGTGAGGCTGGATCTGTAGGGTAGGGGGTGAGGAGGCTGCCAGGCATAGGGGTCAAGTTGTGTACGACTACCTCGTAATGTTTAATACCATCATCCTTATCCATGACCCATGGGCATCCTTGGTTCGAGCGGAACGTTATTTACTTGGCAAGCCGCAGAAGTTGCGCGCCATTTTGTCCTTAATGCTATGGGCGTTGGGACTTGGTGATGGTGTTGTTGCAGTCCAGTTACTCATGGTGGGGCTGTACATGGCACTGAAAGTGTAAACCATCACACTCAACTTCACCTCTTCTTCCACCTCTTTCAGCCAAACAGCGCAACGTCACCACCCATTGCCATAGCGCATGCAGGCCATGCCCAGATGAACAGCCCCCACGTGAGCAGTGACAAGATGAAAGAGGACAAGAAGCCCCCCAAGACGACGATGCCCCCCACGAAAGACGCCATCGACATCCCGTCCTTTGCAAGCACCCAGCTCGCCCTCCTCTCGCACGAGCTTCAGGCCGAAGTCGCCGAGACGAGCACCCTCATCGGGTCCCATGCGCCAACCACTCTGCAGCGCGCTGGCCTCGCCCTCACCAACCTGGTCGTCTGCTCGCGGCGCACGGGGCTCGGCGGCAAGACGGTCCTCGAGCTGGGCCCCGACGCCGCCACCGCCGCGGGCGACGGTAACCTGCCCGAGCACGGCGTCCGCGCGGGCGACATTGTCCTCATCGCCGAGCAGCCTGCCGGTAGCGCCAAGAAGCGCGAGGCCAAGGAGCTCGAGCGTGGCGGGGCCAGGGGCGTCGTCGTCAGGGTGCAGAGGGCGGCTGTGGGCGTGGCCCTGGATGAGGGCAAGGATGAGGACGGAGGGGGGTTTTCGGGGAGGGTGTGGATGGTCAAGTTGGCTGACGAGGTGACGTATCGACGGTATGTGAAGTCGAGCCCATTCTCCCCTCTCCCCTGAGGCGAGGAAACGACTGACAGCAGCGGGGGACATAGCATGAACCAGACAATGGAGCGACTGCAGAAGATGGGCGAGTCCGAGTACTCGAGCTTCATCAGAGTCCTCTTTGGCCTCTCCAGCCCGTCGCCGCTGCCTCCAGAGTTGAGCAAGGATGAGGACTTTGGCAACGTGGCATGGATGGACCCTACGCTCAACGACTCGCAAAAGGACGCCATCCGCTTCGCTCTCGCTTCACGTGAGATAGCTCTCATCCATGGACCGCCGGGAGTACGTTGCATGAAAGACGACAAGAGAGGGCCGTGCTCCGATGGAGCATCCGCGCTGACCGCGGCTTTTTTAGACGGGGAAAACCCACACTCTGATAGAGTTGATCCTGCAGCTGGTCAAGCGCGGGCAGAGGATCCTGGTCTGCGGCCCGTCCAACATCTCTGTCGACAATATTGTCGAGCGCCTCGCGCCGCACGGCGTGCCCATAATTCGCCTCGGACATCCCGCCCGCCTCCTGCCCTCTGTCGTGAACCACTCCCTGGACGTGCTCACGCAGTCATCTGAGGCGGGGGCCATCGTCCGGGACGTGCGATCCGAGATGGACTCGAAGCAGGCTTCGATCAAGAAGACCAAGAGCGGCAGGGAGAGGCGGCAAATCTACGCAGATCTCAAGGCACTGAGGAAGGAGTACCGCGAGAGGGAAAGGAAATGCGTCGACACCCTCGTCGGCGGCAGCAAAGTCATTCTCGCCACGCTGCACGGCGCCGGCGGGTTCCAGCTCCGGAACCAGCAGTTTGACGTCGTCATCATTGACGAGGCCAGCCAGGCCCTCGAGGCCCAGTGCTGGGTGCCGCTGCTGGCCGCCAAAAAGGCCGTTTGCGCCGGCGACCACCTGCAGCTGCCGCCGACTATCAAATCGACGAGCTCTTCCTCCAAGGCGAAGCCGGGTGTTCAGGGCGGCGCCAAAGCCATCCGAGGCATGAGCCTTGAGACGACTTTGTTTGATCGCCTGCTGGCCCTCCATGGGTCGTCCATCAAGCGTATGCTGACGACGCAGTATCGCATGCACGACAAGATCATGAGGTTCCCCTCCGACGAGCTGTACGACTCAAAGCTCATGGCGGCGGACGCCGTCAAGGCACGCTTGCTCAAGGATCTCGACTACGACGTCGAGGATAACGAAGACACCAACGAGCCCCTCATCTTCATCGACACGCAGGGCGGAGACTTTCCGGAGAAAAACGAGGACGACGACAAGAACGGCGCCACCAAGACGGGAAAGGCCAGCCTGCACGGCGAGAGCAAAAGCAACGATATGGAGGCAGCCTTGGTCCGGCAGCACGTGAAGCAGCTTGTCGAGGCAGGGGTTCGTGCCGATGACATTGCCGTGGTGACGCCGTACAATGCACAGGTATGGTTCTTAGGGAGACTCCAAACGACGTGTGGGGGGTCTGCTGACGTTTGTTATCCCTTTGTTTCCGGGACGGGCAGTTGGCCTTGTTGGCACCGCTCAAAGAACAGTTCCCGGGCATCGAGCTGGGGAGCGTCGACGGCTTCCAGGGCCGGGAGAAGGAGGCCGTCATTGTCAGCCTGGTGAGGAGCAACGACGAGGGCGAAATTGGCTTCCTGGGGGAGAAGAGGCGGTTGAACGGTGAGTGCCGCCCGATTTGATACGCTCATCCGGCGTTTGCTACTTGCTACGCGCCCTGCACACTCCTTTTCTCAATTTACCGCCTTCTCTTTTCGCCCCTGGGCTAACTCGGCGCAGTTGCCATGACGCGCCCGAAGCGATCGTTGACGGTGATTGGCGACTCGGAGACAGTCAAAAGGTGAGCCAGCCTGCCCCCCCAAAAAGAGTCCTTGGTAACATACGCTGACGCCGTCCGTTTGCACCTCGATACGCAGAGGAAGCAAGTTTTTGAAGAAATGGATGGAGTTTCTGGAAGAAAATGCGGATCTGCGCTATCCCGACCTGGCGAGCGTCAACTGAACAGGATAGTCAGACGGCGAGCTGCGGTCTGCAGCAGCCGTCAGCCGCGAAACCGAGTCTCAAGAATCAAAGATCAAGCGGTGGCAGCAAACAAAGGAGGAGGGGCAAGGTTCCTTACCAGAATTGAACGCTGTAGCCGTTGCTCAGTGCGTCTGCGCACGCCAGGCAACCTTGCTTCCCCGCGCCGCGCATCGAATGAGAGCGAGGGGATGCGATGTGACTTCAGCCCGGTGCAGGGGTCACTGATATGTCAGCTCTAACCGCTCTGCTCCAGCCTGCCTTTGTGTTTGCGAGTCGGACGGACTTGTTTCGCTTCAAAGCCTCGCAAACGAGTCGAGACAGCTCACGATACACGGCCATGGCGTCTTCGGCGACACTCGTAGCCCCCGCCGCGGACGACGACGAGATCCTCGACCACGATCCCGGGTCCCGCCGGAGATTGGCTTCCTCGAGCCAGTTCGACTCTGCACCCCCGGCAGATATATCAAAACGCGGCGCGCCGGCAAACCTAGACCCCATCACAAGATACCTCGTCCGCGTCGTCCAAGACGTCCGCCACGATGTCGACGTGGTCTTGCACTGCCTCCGAGACGAAAGGCTGGAGCTCGATCGCCGGACTGCGCATGTGACCACCTCGGCGCTGCTCAAGAGCCGGACCCAGGGCGCCTGGGTGCAGGAGATTCTCGCGCAGGGCCCAACAAGCTTTACGCGCCTGGCCGCCGTCCCGGACACACTGTCGTCCTTTATGGAAAGCGTCGATCGTGCCGTGTATGAGCTTCTCGTCCGGAGAAAGCGCAGCTGGGTCGACATCTCCCTCTTCCCGCGCCAGCCCAGCGTCGAGCAATGGCGTAGCCAAGATCGGCTGGAGGGGGCCTTGCAGCACCTCAAAGGGACCCTGAAAGCAGCCATGCCCACGGCCATGACCTTTGGGAGCATGGTCAAGGCCGGCGCTGATCTGGAGAAGAAGTCCATGAGCCTCGACTCGAGGTATATATCTCTCGGCAATTCATGTCACTGGGGGCGGCTGACTGGATGCGCTGACTTGTTGCTGCCAGCTTGATGAATGAACACGGCCAGGCACATCGTGGTCCTACAACGGAGTCTCCGCCAGGTTTTGACCGGAGGATCAGGCATCTTGCGACTCGCGCCTGTCGCCTCACACTACGCCAGGACGTTCCGGGAGCCTACGCGAACCGGCACAAGCACTACAACTCTTGCCGGATGGAGGACTCGGCAACCTGGCTCGTCGAGAACCCTCGGTTCACGTCTTGGCTTAACGACCCGTTATACGACGTATTCTGGTGCCATGGACGTCAAGGCGTCGGCAAGAGCGTGCTTGCGTGAGTCCTCGGCCCCTCTGATCCATTCAAGCTCGCGCAGAGGCTGACGCCAGACCAGATCGGCTGTGGTCGATTTCCTCCAACGAATGCAGACGAAGCACGCCTACTTCTATCTTGGCCAGGGTAAAGTACAGACAGCGTCAGGCCTGACACTCGCCCTGCTCGAGCAGTTGTGCGCTGCCGTTGACTTCTTCCCGCCCTCTTTGGAGCCCAGTCTTGCTAAGCTGCCGTTCCCGGCGCCTAATTCGGAGACGAGCGATGCTGAGAGTGTTACCTCGACTAGAACGCGGCCACGCTCTGTCCACAAGCGGCTAAGCATCCGCCAGGGAAAGCCGCTTGGTCCCGAGGAACAGACCGTCGTGCCGCCGTCCATGTCGCCACAGTCAGTCTGGGGCACGCCCGTGGCCGTCACGTCGAGCGCCACAGCGTGTCTCAACGTAATGAATGGAGCACAGCTCCTGATTCCGGGCCAGAAACGAGCGCATACTGTAGGCGTTGGTGAGCTGTATAGTGAGCCCGTCGTTCGTGAGAGGATGCCACGTCCAGCGAGGCGGGCCTCTCCGGCACCAAGCATCGTCTTAGTGGCGTCGCGGCCTTCGGTTGAGTCGCCCGTCCACGACTCTGAGATCCTATCTGCTGACTTGTCCGGGCAAACGACGACAAACGATCCTCCCGCGGACCACACGGCGGAAGAGGCACAGGCTAACGTCGGCCAGCACACCGACGCCGGGCTCAAGTCTAAGAACATGTCCAACTCGACTGATCCAGTACCTGCCCTGCACATACTACTCGATGCCTTGCGTGCCACACGTCGAGAGTTCCACGGTGAGATATTCCTCGTCTTGGACGCGTGGGATGAAGACAACATGATGGACCGGGCGGCGTTTAAAGACGTCTTGCGCGCCTTGCGGAGGGCGAGATGCAAGATATTCCTCACCAGCCGCGCCAGGCCTGATGTCCCACAAGATGGCGGAGTCGTGCAGATGGACATGTCTGAGGGCTTGGCCGAGCCGCGTCGCGTGGCCGACGTGGAAGCGTATGTGGAAAGACTGCTTCGGAACGAGCAGCAACGCCAGGGGCTCAGTCTATCGCCCGAGTTGGTTGCCGACTGCGTCCACGATATAGCGAAGCTCTCCGAAGGCGTGTAAGTTCCCCTCGCGCCCACCCTGGCCGAGACTGTGGGAAGTTGACGCTGTGTAACAGGTTCACGTCGGCCAATATCTGCACGCTTCTCCTGCTGCGCCGGCAGCAGCAAGGACAGCCTGCCACGAAGCTGGGCCAGCGTGCTCTAAGAGAATCGCTGGCAGGACTTCCTCGGTCGCGGCGGAAACTGGCCAAGCGTGCGCTGTCGCAGCTGAAGCTCGATTCGTCTCCGCTTGCCTCGGCATCGTTTTCGCTGATGATGTGGCTACAGCTGTCTGAGCGGGTACACGCTCTCTCGACAGACTACGGTGACGCGTTTCGGTCGGTGCTGAATGAAATTCCATGGGCATCGAGCCAGGACATCTCGTACAGCAAAGTCGTCCACATGAGCAAGCCTTTTGTCACCGTCGACCCCGGCAATGGCCTGATTCACCTGGCTTCGTCGGCCATAGCGGCAGTGGTCGAGCGACAAGTCGTCGAGTTCCCGGAGGTACAGGTTGCCGTTGCCCGAGCCTACATCGACTACATGGACGATCCAAGTTTCAGCAACGGCCTTTGCGCGACAGAAGAGGATCTCGTCGCGCTGCTTCGGGAACACGAGTTTCTTGCGAGCGCGGCGCACTGGGCCAGCTATTGTAGGAAGGTCCTCGAGAGCTCCTCCTCGGAGGTAGACGCCGTCAACCAACGCGTCATCCAGTTTCTCGACACGCAAAACTGTCGGCTGGCACTGCAGGTCTTCTTGTACACGCACCAAGATCTTCTCGACCCGGCCTTGAGAGATTCCTGGGACGACTTTGCCACCTGGGTTGCTACTCTGCCCAGGCTGCACATTGCATCGCGCCTCGGACTGGCCCAGGCTCTCGAGGTGATGCTCGAGAGCGGCGCTCACGACGTGATGCAGCAGGACTCGCGCGGCTCGACGGCATTGCACGAAGCCGCCAAAGCGGGCTCTGCCGACGTGGTCCATGTGCTTTTGGGAGCCAACGCTGAGATGGCGCACGTCTCGAACCACTCGGGCAGGAAGCCGCTTTTCTACGCGTGGGAATTTGGGCATTCCGATGCGTTTGTGCCTTTGTTCGAGGCGCAGAGCACTGCCAGTTGGTTCGACGATGAGCCCAGCCTCAAGGGCGTTGACCTCAACGCCGTCATTGACAGGTACTGCTCCATCAAGACGGCTGCCCTCGCCGACGCGGGCCCGGTCCCGGACGCCAGGGGAGTTGCCCTGCTGCTTGCGATCCAGAACAACCAGCCCAACGTCGCCGACCTACTGATCAGGGCCGGGGCCGACGTCAACGTCGTCTTCAACGGCACCTCGCCGCTCTACGCCGCCGTCGAAAGCAAGCAGGCCAGCTTGGCCGCGGACCTGGTATACGCCGGCGCCGACCCGTCGGCCAAGATGTACGACGGCGAGGGCGACGAGAGAGAGCCCATGCTGCATCTCGTCATCAGAACCTACCGGCCCCGCAGCCTGACGCGCTCGCCGGCGAGCTCCATCCTGCAGTCGAACCACCTGGACATCAACTGCGTCGACTCTGCCGACAGGACGGCCCTCTTTGTCGCCCTCGAGCGGGACGACGAGCAGGAAGCGTCCGAGGCGGCCAGGCTCTTGATGAGGCACGGCCTCGACGTCGACAAGCGGGATGACTTTGGCCGGCATGCCCTGCACATGGCCGCGCGGAGGGGCTTCAGCCACGTCATCTCCGACCTCCTCTTCCGCAGCCGGCTTACCGAGGCGCCCAAGGACCAGGAAGGCCATACGCCGGCCTGCTATGCGGCTCAGAGTGGCCACCACCACGTGGCGGCCATGCTTGCGGCAGCACAAGGAGAGTAGGGACGTCTGGGGCAACAAGGGTATATATGATAGGGACAGTCCCCGAGGCTCGTCGGTTTGGAGGGTTTTGTACTGTAGATTGCCGTGCACTATGAAGCCAATGAAGAGTTTTTTTTCCCTTCTCAGCACGCTCCCGTCCTCGCCATTATATTCCTCCGCGCCACCTGCTCAGAAGTCGACCGCATTCCGGGCCCGTGCCGTACTCACCAGCCAAACGGCTGTCTCAGCGGCAACGGTCAGGCGCGGAGCCACGGGTAGACCTCGTTGCCGTCCTTGTTGCACGCAAACTGCTCAAACTTCCTCAGCTGCACATATAGCGGGCCCTCGCCATCCGAGCCGGCGGGGTCCGAAAGCCTCCTGAGCATCTGCTCGATGAAGTCCCTCTTGGAGATGTACTCGTCCCCCTTCCCGTTGAACTTGACGCCTGGGAACTGCAGACGGTGACAGGACAGCATCAGGGACGACAGGCCGGCCACCATGGCGGTCGCCACCGAGCTGCCCGAAATGCTCTCGCTGGACTCGAGGTACGGCACGGCACCGGCCGAAATGTCCATGCCGTGGATCTTGTAGTTGTACTCGCCCACGTGGCGGTTCGCAAAGTTGCCGTACTCGTTGCATGCCACAATCACCTTTGTCCCGTCGCACTCGGCCGGCCACGACTTCCTCACGTTCCAGCCCTCGTCGTGGTGGCTGCAGAAGAGGACGATGCCGTTTTGGTTGGCCCTGTCGACGGCCATCCTGAGCTCCTTGGTGTATTCCTCGTTGGAGCCGTTCTCCGGGATGGCGAAGCTCATGGATATGATGTCGACCTTTCTGCTGTTCGCCCAGTCTATGGCCTGGGCAGGTCAGCACAGTGATCGAGGTTGCAGGCTGCAGGCCACGTACCTCGGCAACGTTGTCTGGCAAGATGCCCTCCCTGCCCTCAACAATCTTGGCCACGTAGAGGTCGCAGTACGGGTCGATGGCGCACATCAGGTTGGCCATTTGGGTGCCGTGCGGGTCCGATGCAAACAGCCACGAGCCCAGCCGGCTCGCGTCGTCGACAAACGACTGCCCATCCTTGATGCGCGGCCATAGACCTTCGTGGTTCTGGCTTGTCCGGAAAGGCGGGATGTTCAAGATGCCGTTGTCAATGATCGCCACACGCGTCGGCCGGACCGGCGTGTTCGTCTGGAGGCAGCTCAACACCTTGTTGCGGTAGTTGTTGATGTATCTGAGCAAGTCTGGGACGGCCCTCTCGGCACTGCGTACATGTCAGGTCTCCAGTCTTGCCGCGTCGGATTTGGCATTTACTAACATTTCTGAGAGATCCTTTCCGTCGTTTGGCGGCAACGAGTTCCACGACTGGGCGACAATGGTGGATTTGAAGCCCTTTCTTTCGGCCCTGAGTGCCCGGAGTGCTTCTGAGATTCGAGCCTTGAGGCTGCTGCTGCGCTCCGACGTCATGAGGTCCTACCGACGCCTGTCAGAGCCTTGGCCTTGCGTGGTTTCACGGCACCTACCTGGATTAAATGTATCCGAACCAGCTTGAGCTGCAGTACAGATGTCAGAAAGAGCGTGCCGGGGCCGGAGGGGCGCTGAAGACGTGGCTAGCATACGTTTGTCAACGACTTGATACCATTTTCGCCCAGCCAATGATCCACCACTGCCATCTTCCCACTCGAGTACAAGTGAAGCTCGGTTAGGCGCTGCTTTGTCGCGAGACTGAAGCAGGAAATTGCCATGTCAAGGTGTCGCCAGTCCAAGACAGAGACCTCAAACTCACCGACGACCTTGGCGATCTCTACCTCGTCGTGCGGATCATGCATGCGGTCCAGAACCCGGAGCTTCATGATCTTGCGAACACGCCTATCCCGCAGCCAGTTCAAGGCCCGGAACACCTCGTCGTGGACATGCAGATGCCATTCGGGGCCCTTGTCCCATGCGTCCGGGCCCAGCGGCGGGAAGTCGGCATACCGAAGCACCTCTTCGAACTTGAGATGTCGCTCACTCCCTCGGCCCTTGACGGCCACCAGGGAATGCAAAAACTCGTCAACCGAGTACAGTCTCGACGCAAAGCGTGAGAGATCGAAGCAAATCTGGCCGGCGGGTTCTTGACCTCGTGGTCAGCTCAACTCACACAACAGCAGCAGAGAGGCGGCATTCGAGCACACAAGGAACACGGGCTTCGTGACTCACCGTCCGACTCACGGAATATCCTGGCAATTGTCTTCATATCCTTGGCCTGTTGTATGGTGGCGTGAACTAGGAGTTTGCGGATTTCGGCCCTGGCGTCCAACTTTGGGCTGCCTTCCGGCCCTGCGTCGTCGGCCTGCGCCATTGGCTCGTGAGCCTTTTCCACCCTTTGGGCTCCTGGCCGAGTCACGGCTGAGTTGCTTGTCGTTTTTGCACCAATCGGTTGCCCCCGCATATTCCAACTTGGTTGACTGTTGGGCGGCGGAACCCTGGGCTCGTACGTTCCTTGTTGGCCAACGACAAAGTTGTGATGCCAGAGTGCATACACAGCCTTGTCGGGGACGTCCTGAACCGGGATGGCCTTGGTCACCCATGCAGGGTCTTGACGCAGAAAGTGCCTCACAAACTCGATCTGCTGGTACTGCACAGCGACATGGAGCATGCACCTTTGTTGTTCCTCTTTACTGATCTCGCTCCAGCGCGCCTGTATAGGGGGGAGCTCCCATGCGTCCAGGTGACCGCGCTTGACCATGTCGCTCATGATGTCAAAATCGAGAACTCGCACAACCTGCGGCGCAATGCTCTGCACGAAGTGAGAGCCCTTGGTGAGGGTGAGCGCGGCGCAGAAGACGTTTTTGGCCGTCTGGTCATGTCTGAGGAGACGCGCCACTGCTCGCTGGATGGGATCCAACCGCCACACGTCCACGAGATTGTGCTTCATGATGAGCCCGACAACGTCACCGTCGACTTGATCCTCGGCGCCAATGGTGAAGATCTCGACGAGCTGTGCTCTCCCCAGCTCTCTCGCCTTGAGCGTGTCAGAACCAAGAGTTCTTGCATGGGGAACCGTTCCTCCGCCGGCATTTACCAATCCCCACCCCAACACGTGTAAGATGGCGTCCTTTGTCTTCATGTCTCGTCTGTATTGCAGAATTACCTTGACAACGCGCAGGGACTGATTATCGCGACATGTGGGATGCTCCGGCGTGTTACCAATGCCATCCTCTGAGAAGCGACCGAAGTCGCCTTCGGCTGTGCCAAACGCCAGAAAAGTCTGTCGTACGGCGTGCTCGAGGATGTTCTCGTCAGCGAGGCGATCCGCGGCGCCATCGAGGTCATCGAACCCGAGAAGCATCTCGAGCACGTCCAGCTGCTTCTTGTCCCCGATTTCCCGGTAATTGTTGACGGCGTGCTCCAGCGCCGTGAAGTTGAAATGCTTCTTGTTCATGACATTGACCAGATATCGCCGAGGGTCAGACCCCCTTTTCAGGAGCTTCAAGCTCGGCTTGGATAGCTTCGTGTCGTTGCTGACAAAGTTGAGACACTCGTCCATCATGAACTTGACAAGATCGTGGGCGCCCTCTGCCATGGCAATGTGGAACGCCGGCAAGTCCCTCTTGGCTTTTCCCAATCTATGACTGTTTGGATTTTTGCAAGGTTGAGCAAGAAACGTCAGGGGTAGGTCATCAAATGCCAGCATCGGGTTTGCCCTGATGAGCGCTTTGCTCAGAGCACGGTACGCATCGCACGACGTAATAGACGGGCAGCTCGACGGTCCGGGACAGCAGGGAACTTGGAGGCGATCGAGCGGCACAGGACTGCCCACGAGTCGAGGCTGATGCGAAACATGGATGCTCAGGTCGTCCCCATCGTCGCTGCCGTCGTCCTCACAGCTGTCGTCTTCCGACATGGCACGGACAGCATGGACCAGCATGTACCAAGAAACGCAGACGTCAAGTTCCGGGGGACCTCGGTGCATGAGCTCGTCAATCTGCAGCGCGAGAGCATGGTCCCATGAGAAGCCCTGCTGCTCTTCTTCGCCATCAATCGGGCTGGCCGCATTCTGGTCCATCTGGGCCTGGATGTTCTTGACCAGTTCGGCCACGAGCTGCGCCACTCTTGAAGAAAAGTCGGGAATTGATTTCCTCTTCATTTCGTGGAAAAACTGGCGGGCCACGTCGCAAAGCGCTGCCTTGTTGTGGTGGTGGTGGCCGTTGGGGGGGGGGTGCCGCCCGCCATCGTAGTCCGATGGCGGCGTGGGAGGCGGAGCATTGACATTGTCCTTGGGGACCTGTGCAGTGATCATCGGAGAGAGGATGCCCTTGTCAGTGCCTCGGTGGCTGTTGGATCAGTGGTGAGAAGTCTGGTCGTGGTAGCGGCTGCCATGGCTCGAGGGGAAGCTCTCAAGCGCAGGCGAGGCGGCCACCACACCCGCCTTCAGCCTCGAGGCGGCTATTGACGCGGATGAGACGACGCCTCCGCCTCCCATGATTGCGAGAACGCGGATGGTGCAGGATCCATGGATGACAATTGGCTGCCGCATCATCCCTGACCATCTCGGCCAATGCGTGGAGAGTTTGCCCCCGGCCATGTTCTCAGCCCATCCCGGCTTTGCCTTTGCCTTGCAGGCTTGCAGGGCGTGTAACGTATGTACCTCGTCTCTGGCCAAGCTGTGAGTCGGCATCCATGGTGTCCAGGAGGTTTGCCGAGGTTGATTGAATGGCCGGGGGTTGGGCGGCAGCCATTATTTTCCGCCCCGGGTCTGGTAACGGCCCGTCCCAGGCTTGACGGGTCACAAGTTCACCAATAATCAATACTCCGTACAACACACTCACCCTCAGCTGCCGAATCCCTGCGCACACATAAGACGCACCCCGGTCTGCTCGCGCTGCGGGGTCGCCAATATGTTTGCCAGTTTGGGGGCCAGAGTGACTCCGTGTCCGGCTATAAGTGCCAGAAGCTGCCTTTGTTGCGGCGGGAGGTGCCCGACTTGACGCAGACGTACTCGCAATCGTCCTGCAATTCATCAGCCATGTCCAACCTGCACGAGGATGACGAATATGACGACTTCGACATGGACACCGAAGTCGAGCTCTTCGAGACAAAGGACGGCACGGCTCCAGCCCATGGCGGCCTCAAGTCGTTCAAGACCAAGGACGGCGGCCTCGTCTACTACGCCGACGATCCGTCCGGCTTCACCGTCAGCGTCGAGCGGCTCCTGCAGGTCGACGGCTTCGAGGACAGCAAGAAAAAGCAGCGCATGACGCTCATCGTCCTCAAGGTCGTCTTGGCCTCCAACGATGAGGACCAGAGGATCAGGCATGTGACGTTCAGTATGGAGTTCCAGGACAGAATACTCCGCAAGAAAGCCGAGCCACGTCTGCTGGCCTGGGCCCCCTTCGACTCCATGGTGCGCACCAACAAGACCAAGGTCGACGTGGAGGAGAAAGTCGCCGTCAACGCCAAGCTGGCTGGCGGCGGCGGCGGCGGCGGCGGCAGCGCAGAGGGGTCTGCGGGCTACGAGAAGAAGATCTCGTGGTCTCAGACGTACTTTGACTCGGGCCACGCATACCCCATCATGGACAAGGACACCCAGGAGCGCTGCGGCGTGCGCTGGGTCCTGGCGTCCAATCCCAAGGAGGTTGGCTGTGTGCCGCCCGGAATCACGGCCGCTATGCTGCTCTCCCGCACGTCGGACGAGCCGTATCTGGCCAAGTTCAACGTCCGCGTCACCGGCGGGACGTTCTACAACCTGGTGCGCAACATCGAAACAGTGGTAGGTGTAAAGCCCGGCTCGACTAAGCCATACAAGGTGACTCCGTCCAAGTCCCCGATCAAGCGTGGCGAGGGCGAGAGTCTGTTCAACCTGGCCAGGCTTAAGCCCCATAGTCTGGGCAAGTTGAGGGGCAAGGGAGAGCTGACGGATTTGACCTTTGTATGGGGCGACGAGCCGGTGGCAAAGGACGAGGAGACGGAAGAACAGAAGAAAGATAATGGACAGGTCGGCACGGGCTGAGTACTTGTTTGTCAAAGCAACCTTGTTGACGGCTTCTGAATGCTCATGACGATTATGAATTTATTACCTCTACGTATTGGTTCCCCCCACTAGATTGACAGTTTGTGAGTCACCCAAGGGGGTATCATCCTCTTCATCTTCGCGACGAACTCACTTTAGTATCTGGCTGCCAGATTTTTTCGTCTTTGCTTTTGTCGTTTTTCTAAGTCGACCTCGTCAATGACGAGCTTCTGCATATGCAGTTATGCACGCCTATAATGCAAATGCAAGACAGCATGATGACTCTGGAGACTGGCAGCAGCAGCAAAGATGCTAAAGTCAGGGTTCATGATACCCCAGCCAATATTGCGCATGTAAGTTTTATGTGTGCCACCACATGTTGAAGACCTCGAAACAAAAGACCTCCATCGAAAGCCTAGGTGTTGGCCAGCCATGGCTGCGTGGAAAACGGACGCTTTATTCAAGTTCAGTAATTTATCCTGAGCGGTAGAAGCGTATGCTGCTGATATTTACGTACCTACATGGGATCATTGACCAGTTGAGAAAATATCAACAACAAAGCGGAATCAACTCCCGGCAGAGTGATGCCCGGGTCTCGAAGTCAAAGACCAGCTCGTTCCGCTTTGAAAACGAACGTTACTTTTGAGAATTCAAGAGCCAAGAAACAGACAACATGGCTTGATTGGTTGAAATCAACATGTAAGGTTCAAAGGAAAACCACGAAGACCAAGTCATCAAGTCCCAAGGAGGCCGTCAATCAAAGCTGATAGTTTCTGGGTTGCCAACTACATGTATACAGCAGACTGTCCTCGACTTGTTTTGCTCGTGCATACAAGTGACGGCAAAAGAGCTTGCTCGCTCCTCGGCATGTTCCCCGAGGCCAGAGCAGGACACCAAGGCTAACCACTTGAAAAGGCCGACGAGCACACGACAGCTGGGTCGCCGGTATAGCCTTAGCCTCACTTTTACATCCGCGCAGAGAGGCTGACAAAACAATGAATGGACATGATCCTCGGGCTAACCTTGGCCCAAGACATCATCGCCCGCCCATTCGGAGACAGATCTGGCCGCCTGGCAGCCCGGAGCTCTTAGTTTGACGGGATGCGACTCTCCCCGGCTGGAAATGGTGGCGGCAGCTATTGGACAAGGTATACTCTACTTGGTAGGATGGAAGACTAACAATAACTGAGGGTATGCTCATTGGCACTGGTTCCTGTACCTGAAGGGAAGAGCCCAAGTTCCTGGATCGATGCCCGAGGTACCGTTGCACGGACTCGAATGCCGCACAGCCGAGCGCCGTGAGAGGGGTACCTGTAGCTACACAAAGGGTACCTGCTCCTCAGTCCATACTCGCTTTCGACTGTTCCTTCCGTGGGAAGAAAGATAATATTGGATTCCAGGGCAGGCGGGATATGCGTGTGTGCCTGCCGTCAGTCAATGTCTCTACTCTCCTCCGCCTCTCCCCCCCTCCCCCTCCAACTTTCTCTCCTCTCCGCGGTCTCCTCTCTTCATCGTTGATCCGCAGAACTCGGTCTTCAGCACCAAACCGCGCGCCATGGTCTCCAGCCTTTGGTTGACCCAGGGGTTTGCATGCTCACGGACCCCACCTCCTGTCGATGCCAGGCTTTACTGTACAGCACTGAAACTGCAGCTTGCAAACCATGTCCACGCATGCATGCATCCCCCTCGACGTCTCCGTCTCTCCCTCCTCCCTCGGACGCACGCCAGGATTGCACATACTGTACATTCATACAACGCAGCCCCAATTGTATGACACATTGAGGCATGCGTGCACTCTATTCGAGGCCATGCATCCAACGCGAGTCCAGACTGGCAAACAAAACACACAGACCCGAGGTCAACAGGCACCCACGACACCCCCTTGCGACGGGCTCCATGCATCGAAGTACCCACTACCGGCCTCTCAGCGGCTACGCGACGAATCCTCCGTCCATCTACCGAACAGCCTTATCCAAATCCATCCTGGACCATGTTTCATCCTCTTGTCTACCATCTGCGCGCCCCGCGTCGAGGGCCGCGTTATGGGGCACCTGAGCCATTCAGCTCCCTGGTGTTGCTCCTTGGTTGCCTGGATGCGAGCCAAGGAGGCATGCACTGACCGTGCTGGCCTGCATATAAGGTCTAGGTCTGTGCTTCTTCTTCTCCCCGCCTCTCTTCTCTCTCCGATGCTTGGCCTGTGCCTGGACCCTCCTGTTCCGAGACGTGGCGCTGCGTTGGAAGCCGTCAGCACCAGTCCATGACTGCCTGTTGCTTCACCCGCTTCCGCTCTTTCATCTCGTCATGATAAGCCCGTCGTTCGCCCTCCTTTGCGCCCAACTCCATCTCCGGACCTGACCATCTTGGCGGACCGTCGTCGTCTCAACTCCGAACGGCTCCTTTGCGACCTGTTTCGCTTGCCTTCTCCTCGTCTCACCTCCCTCTCCGGAGAAAGCACCGGATCCCCGACCGCCGCTCCGATGAGAGATAGCATGTCCTGGAAGGCAGCCACGGGTGTGGCCTCCCTAGCCGGGCCACGTACCGGTCACCGGTCGATTCGGGGCCACATTTCTGGTCCGATACCCGTCCCGGCTCCGGAGCGTACCGACGACGAGTTTCCCATGCGAGATCGCAGCGCTACTCTGGCCGCCCCGCGTCGTGGTAATGACGGCGGCGCCAACGATGCGACGCCTGACCCTCGCGAGCCCGACGGTGGCCTTCGGCAGCAACCACTCGACGCAGCTCTGGCCGACTCGTCCCGCACTGAAGCCCGGCGCTCTGACCACAAGCAGGACGACGCAACCTCCGCACCACCAAAGCATAAAGCAGTCGCCCCCAAGACGGATCCGGCCCTGGCTAGAGGAGCCATAGACGGGCCGCAGCGCAGGAGGACGACGTTCAAGTCGGCCTTGAGCAAGCTGCTTGGTCGCAACAAGAAGAGCGGCCATGCCCACATGAGTCAGCCGCCCATCAAGCCGGCTCTGGCCGAGTCCTTGACCCAACATGGCCCAAGTGTAAGTGTCCGAGCTCTCCTGGATTTCTAGCACATGACCGGCGACTGAGAGCTCATCACTTTGTGACAGGACCAAATGTACCAAGAGCGGTCTCCAAAGTCTCCTGAGCAGAAACGGTACGCATCCATGCCCATCACCGAATACGATCGCGCGTTGCGATCCCACTCCATCGGCCCAGAGGATGTCTTGGCCATCCAGAGCGCGCGCAACTCCCTCAACGCAGAAACGAGGCAGTCCGGGAAGAAGCCCGACGCCTCGGACGCGACGTTGGCGCACCCTGCCGCACCCCGCTGGACCGAGGCAAGGAGATTTACAGGTCTCACTCCGCGCCCGGCTAGTTCCCACGACCGTCGCCCTCGCTTGGCTGATTGGAGTGAGGATCCCAATGAGATCGGCCGGGCCATCACGAGCGATATCAAGGGCTTGAGGCGACGCTCGCGCAGCTTGTCTGCCTTCCCGACTACCGACGGCGCATTCCTCGGCGTGTCGAGGCGCCGGAGCGACGAGATTCGCCACTGGCGGGAGAGCTACGAACCAGCTACCGCCGACTCGCTCTCATCTCCCGCCCACCAAGTCGACGACGCAGGACCTCTGGCCGTCGATGAGCACGAGGCAACCGTTGTCGAAGAGGACCAGCCCAAGTCCCCTGCCCAGCCCTTTATCTTTGGAGACGTGAGCTCCATGAAGGAAGCGGCCGGCCTCAAGATCACCGAGGCTGCCAGCTTGGGCTCACGAGTCAGCATCCTCGAGATGCGGATGACTCGGTTGGAGCAGCTGGTCACCGAAGTGGCCAGGTCTCTGCCGGGATCTGCTCCTCCCACCGATTTCCACGCGCAAGCCGATGGCGCCGAGCACCGATCTTCTGCTGCATCTACTGGACACGGCAATCAACAGGGGACGATTCCTACCCGCCCTTCGGAAGCACCCAAAGTGACTTTTGGTGGTGATGCTCAAGCCTCTCCACGGTCAACGGTACTACTTTCGCATTCGACAAACTCAAGCGCAAGCCGCCCGCTGTCATTGGTCACAGTGCGCGGCGCATTCGGCTCATCTCTGCCACAGGATGCAAGCGGAGCCGTCGCGACGGATCACTACCTGACCCTGGTGAGTCTCTTGGAGACGGAGCGCTCCGCTCGGGAAGTGCTGGAGTCACAGGTCAGGAGACTGGGCCACCAGATCAATCTCGCGACCAAACTGGCAGGGTACGCCCGCCCTACGATAGGCGAGGTTCCTTCCGCCGACAGCTCGCTGGGTGGCACGTCGGCGTTTGATCACGACGACGAAGAGGAAGAGGGACGTTGGGCCGAAGGCAACGAAGAGCCTTCAAGCGCCATCATAGGGCTTGAGGGCAAGGCCATGGTACCTCTCGACGAGGACGAGGATGGGGACGCGGAGTCATGCGTTACCCCCAATGAAGACCACGACCACGACCTCTCGTCGAGCGACGACGAGAAAGACACTGCGTTGAGGACCGCGGCTCGAGCACTTTCCCTCTCGCGCCTCACCCTGGGCAGCAGTTTACAGCATCCGATGCATCAAGCCGCGCCGCAAGCAATCTGAATCGGTCATCTTGACCTCTAACTATGAAAGGGCCCTGTCCTTCGCGATCTTGTGGCCGCAATGCCACGCCATGGTGATCAGATATGGCTACTCGTTTAACATCGCCGCTACGATGTACTCGGGTTCCAGCAGATACGATGTGGCTGCCCAACCGCCCCAGTCAATGGGGAGGTAGTGGAGTGCCCAGTTCTTTCCGACTTCCCCGTCTTTACGAGAATTCAGCGCAACTACGGAACCTATAATGGAGCTATACGCAATGATCCAGTTCTCGAGGCGGGACAAACACTGTTTCTGCGTAAGAAAGCCCTCGATCATCTACACAGACCATATGCGCCTCACTTGGCTCACAACGACCATTGGCCACGAGGGCATTTACGCCCGTTCGGTCTCTGAGCTTCGCTTGCTATTTGGAGATGATCATGCCGGGCCCTCTGATGACGGCTCAATTTACATGTTTGCCCTGGGTTTTTCGAGTACATACATCGAAGCTACTCGGGGAGTTTGCCAAGACAATGCGCCGAATGTGGTCGCAAAGACCCAGCCTGGTGTCCTGGGCAGGAACCCCTTAAATAATCATATCCCTCACGCCGCGCCATTCCTCAAGCGGGGTTGCCAGTCCTGCGCAAGCTGTGACGCACCCGACCTTACGTCCTTGTGTTCCCGCCTGAGCTTCACCAACGTCTGGCCAAATTCGCAGCGGCCCACACGATCTCTTCTATCCCGACAGCCTGCAGCCCAGCTAAGGCACGACCTGATGCACAACGAGCTTGGCCGAGGCGTGAAGCTCTTTGCACCGGGCAACCGGCCTGTTCTCGCCGTGTCTTTGGCCCCCTCCTTGACCTGGTTCGCAGAGTGGCTCCGTGCGACACTCCGTCCTCGCCCAACCTGAATAAACGAAGAAGAAACACATGTATAATTATGTCTGGTCATGTAGACCCGTGCGATGAGCCTGGCGTGATAACTCAGATGACTTTTATGGAAGTTGTAATCCAGAGGACGGAGTCCAAGCCATCTGGGGCGAAGGGATTGGCTACTAGAATGGAACGGGTCACAGCACTCACACAAGACGACAGTCAATTTCCTTGCCTCGGCATAATGAGACGAGAGGCAGAAGATAGAGAAAGATGTAATACACTGTTGCTACATTATGACGCTTTGCTCAGCTAACAGTCGTGAGTGGTTCGAGATGCGACTGTATCCGGCCATGCAGTCCGCTGATCTTGTTGAAAACTCCGACAGGGAACACCGTGCTAGCAGCGGGGTGAGACATAATCCTATTTCCGGCCCCTGCGTCTAGCACGGCGTGTGCATAGAAATGTATACGCTTTATGGTGCACGCGCTGTAAGCGTTACTCTCCTCAAGTAGCGTGGCTGGTCTAGTTTGGCCTGGGGGCCTTGTCGTCCTTAATGCCCCAGCTGCCGACCAGGGCCATGGACTGATCATCGCCGGGGGCCAGGCGGTCATCGGCAAGGGTGTCGGCAAGGCAGCGCCAGGGGTCGCGGCCGCCCCCCCACTTGAGCAGGTTCTGCTTGAGGCGCTCACCAGCATCCCGGCTGAGGGCGGCGCCGCCGGACCCGCCGGCGCGGAAGACGACGCGCCAGACGCGCTCGGCAAGGACGCGGTCGAAGAGGTAGCTGTAGTAGGTGCTGCCGTAGCTGTGGAGGTGGCCGAAGAAGCCCTGCCAGCACGTCTCGGGGGGGTCGTGGGGCCCGTGGGCGTTGCGGCGGTGGACGTCGTGGAAGACGGCGGTGGAGTCGAAGCCGGGGCGGGCGACGTCGGGGCTGTGGTAGGCCTGGTCGAGCATGGCGAGGAGGATCTGGTGTTCCGTGTCGGAGCCCTCGAAGCGGCGCGCCAGGCGGATGCGCTCGGCGACGAGGTCGCAGGGCAGCGGGGCGTCCGTCTTCCAGTGGCGGGCAAAGAGGCCGAGGACGGCCGGGTCGGCGGCGAAGTGCTCCATGAGGGTCGAGGGCAGCTCGGCAAAGTCGGTGGCGCAGCGGGTGCCCGAGACGTTTTGGAAGCAGGTGCGCGCCAGGATGGAGTGGATGGCGTGGCCCATTTCGTGGAAGAGGGTCTCGACGGAACAGTAGGACAGCAGGGCCGGCTCGCGGGCGTTGTCGTTTTTGGGGAAGTCGCAGACGAGGGCAATGGTGGGCAGCTGCTTGAGGGTGCCGTCGCGCGTCGACGTCTCCATGCCGTCGTTGGCAGCCTGCTCGGGGGAGTCAAAGGCCGGTATGCCGTCGGCGCCGGCGCCCTGGAAGTCGGCGGCGGCCTCGGCGACCTCGGCGGCGAGGATCTCACGCGAGCAGCGGACGGTGAAGTGGGCCGGGTTGGGCGACTTTTGCGGGCGGTAGAAGAGGTCGCAGTAGAGGACGGCGAGCTGCTCGCCGGCGTCGGACACGATGTCGAGGCGCTTGACGTCCGGGTGCCACGTCTCGCCGGGGAGGGCGTCGCGCGGGACGAAGCGGACGCCGTAGAGGCGGTCGAAGAGGCGCGACAGGCCCTGCATGACGGTGCCGACGGAGAAGTAGGCGGCAAGCTGGTGGTGCTGGTGGTGGTGGTACTGCCCGGCGCCCGCATGGCCGCGGCTTCGCATGTCGGCGCGCATCTTTTCCATGTAAAAGTCGCGGTCCCAGGCCTGCAGGCGGACGTCAGGCATGGCGAGGCGCTCGCGCTTCTTGGCCGTCAGCTCGCGCAGCTCGCGCTGGACGGTGGGAGCGTTGTGGGCGCGCAGGGCGCGGAGGAACTCGCCGACGGCGGCAGGCGACTTTGCCATCATGCGGTCCTTGAGAGCCATGTGGCCGTAGCTGTCGAAGCCGGCGAGGCGGGCGAGCTCGGCGCGCAGGCGCAGCATGGTCTCGAGCAGGGCGATGGTGCGGGGCGAGGCGGTGCGCTGGGCGAGGTAGATGTCACGGCGCGTGTCCTCGTCGTAGACGCTCTGCAGGGCGGCGGTGGCCTCGGAGCCCGTGGTGGCGAGCTTGATGTCGGAGCGGACCTTGAGGGCGGCGGCGAGGCCCGGGTAGAGGCCGTAGAAGCGGTGCGAGGGCAGCGTCAGGTCGCGGCGGCGGGGCTCCATGTCGCGCACAAAGGCGGAGCCGACATCGCTGATGCGCGACGACAGGTCGACGAAGCGGTCGCGGTCGGGCTTGGGCAGGTTGACGGCCGACTTTGTGAAGTCGAGCTTGAGCAGGTCGGCGACGGCCGCCTCCTCCTCGGACCAGGCGGCGGTGACGTCGGGCAGGGACAGGGCGCGGGCGAGCTGGTCGTCGAGCCCCGTGGTGGTGTTGAGCTGGTTCATGTACTGGTAAACCATGGACCAGGCGTGGGCGGCGGCCTGCTGGAAGGCCGGGTCCGGGTGCGTCATGCGGACAAAGTCGGACAGGTCGAGGACGCGGCACAGCAAGTCGCTGAGGCGGTCGAGGTCGCGCACGAGGCCCTGGTACTCGGACGTCGTCTTGGCGGCCAGGACGCGGCGCACCAGGGCCGTGGCCTTGTCGAGGTTGCGGCGCGCAAAGACGAGGAAGCCGTCCGGGCTGGTGAGGTAGCGGTTCTTGAACAGGCCCTGGCTCTTCTTCTTGAGGCCGAAGCCCGCAAACGGCTGCCGGCCCGACGAGGGGGCGTCAAAGAGCTCGCGCAGCACCGCGTCGTCGTGCCGCGAGCTGACGCCGTGGTCAAGCAACGGCGGCGGCGCGGCGGAAGCGGCGGCGGTGGACTGGCATCGTCGCGACGGCGGCGGGAGGGACGCGGCGACGCGGCGGCGGACGCAGCGGGTGCAGACCCAGAGGCGGCGGGCACCGCTGGATATTAACATGCCGTTGGATGCGGTGGCGAGCGATGGTTGGCGGCTATTGATGGCGAGTATCCAAAGTGTTGTTATTTTTTCACGGGAGAAAAGGGGAGAGGCAAGCGTGCCGGGCGGTGACGGGGATAGCGTCGGCAATAGGGCGCTGCATCATGCAGCATACGAGCGTCGTCGGAGACGAGGGGAGAATGGGTCTTTCTTTCTTTATATTGCGTGGGGGAGTAGAGGAGAAGGAGGAGGAAGAGGGAGAGGGAGAGCTGGCGGTGGAGGAAAGAAGACTCTGGCCCGAGCCGGACCGCGTCTCCCGAACAGTGGGGTCGTCGGCGGCTTACAGGCCAAATCAGGACCGAACCGGACAGACATGGTCGATCCACAAATGCCACACAAGTGACACTGACAGGAGAAATGGCTGATAGCAATCACCACGTTGATTTTATAGGCATTGTTCCATGGCCTCCTGCTTGTTTGTTGGCATGGAGCGGAAATATAAAAAGTCGCCTCCTGCTGCTTCATACAAGGAAGGCAAGGCGTGTATAAATTCCATCTCGTTGCCAAAGTCTATAACCTCTCATACCAACGCGTTATGGAGCCCTTGGGAGAAAGATGCTCGGCGCTGTGAGAGGTACACTCAAGTCTTCAGAGCCCAGATTGACCAAGGAGCGCAAAGGGGCCGCGGCAACACCTTGGACACAACGGCAATTCATGTCCTCAGCTCCACTTACATGGACAAGGTCAACATCCCCGAGGGCCAGCACGAGATGCACAATTTCTGGTACGGTTGCATTGCGGCGGCCCAGAGTTTCTCCTACACCAGCCAGAAACAGGACACACTCGTGCGCTACATGCTCGCTGCTTAGGCCAGGGGGCAGCTGCTCGTGCATGCCGAGGGGGACTCGTCGTCTTGGTAAACCGCCGCATGCTAGCAGACACGTCTCCCGCCACCGTCGATGCGGGCGCTGGCGGAACGCACGCGGTGGACTGTGGTGATGCCAGTGAGTTGGCCACCCGGACGGAGGATGCAAGGATGCCAACTCTCTCGGCTTCAGCCGCAAGCGGTGGCGGATTGGGCTTCGGAGGCTTGAGGAACCAGCCGAGTGTGATGCTGACAGTATCTCTGGTTGTGCGGGTGTGTGCCTCGCTGAAACGAGGCGTGAAGAGGGATGGACAGCAGAGTCGGGACCGACAACTGAGGTCTGCCGAGGTCGCAAGACCTTTTGAGAACCGTCACGTGACGCGGCAAGCTACGCTCGGGGAGCAGACCCGCCCGTCTGTCCATTGACAGCCGCCTCAGCCTTTTTCCCCAGCAGGCGAACCCCGACCTCGACTTGACCACGACAGCTCGCCAATTGAACTGTGTGCGTGTGTGTGTTGAAATGGCTGCACGAGTGCTGCTGCAACGGGTACTCATTCTTCCCCCCTCCCTCTCCTCCTCGCCAAAGCGGTTGGCTGACCATCACAGCGCTCCATGGCGCCGTTGGCTACCCTCGCCGCCCTCGGGGGCATGGCTCTCGTCCCGGCCACGGTCCTGGCCGAGGCGCCCTCGGCGGCCGCAAAGGTAGGCCAAGTCTTACTTCCTCTCCCCTGCGTTGCTGACGCAGCAGCAGAGAAAACCAATCTACGACCCCCTTGACGCGCCCCTGCCGAATCCCGCTTCACAACCACCACCTTCAACCCCATCGTCATCACCAGCAGCACCGAGCGCTCCCCGAAAACTCCTGCCGTCCTTATCCCCGGAGCAGCCAGAAGAGCCCAGGCCGCCGCGGGGCCCCACGCCCACGGACCGGCTGGCCGTGCAGGTCGGCCGGGCCCGCATGTTCCTGTACGGGTGCGCCGTCGCCGCCGAGGACCGCGTCAACACCACCATGGACTCGGCCCTCGACCTCGAGCAGTCCTTCACAAACACCATCGCCTCGCTCGCGCCCCCGCGCGACAGCGGCGAGAGGCTCATGCCCGGCGCCATCTATGTCCTCGTCGCCGCCATGGCCGGCAGCATCGTCGCCCGCAATCGCAACATCATCGTCCGCGCTTCGCTGCCCCTCGCCCTCGGCTTCGCTGCCGGCTGGGCCGTCGTGCCCCTGACCATGCGCAACGTCTCCGACCTCGCCTGGAAGTATGAGCAGCGCTTCCCCACTGTCGCCGACTCCCACCTCCGCCTGCGCGAGGGCGTCGAGCGCGGCGTCAGCTTCGCAAAGGTTCATAGCCAGCTCGGCGTGCGCTACGTCGACGACAAGGTCACCAATGCCCGTGAGATCGTCGAGGGCTGGGTCAAGCAGGGCAAGTAAATAGACATTGGGGCTTTGCATGGGGGAATAGATTTTGCGTGTACCATCATTTTGGGAGTTGTTCGTCTGCGACGTTTTTCGTTTGTCGACCTCACGCCGAGACGTGTGCGCGACACAGCCAGTCGAGGGATAAAAGAGCATCTAAACTCGGTACATGTATCATTTCCTTCTATCCGGTTGTCCATTGATGCCGGGATGACTATTTCTTAAACAGCCGAGTTTTCCGATGCTGCTGCTTTTCAAACCCCAAACTCCCAAGACATGCGGTAAAGGAGTCGATGCACCAAGAGCCTCCCATTGCTCAATTGTCAAACGTTGGTTCCAAAGAAATAGGCCGTCGGCGCGTCAAACTGGTGCCACGGAAGCCAGCTCCCGCTCCGCCTGTGGCTGCGCGCTGGCGTTCCGCTCAGATAACGGCCTCCGCTGCTGAGTTTGCTCTCTGGCGCGGCCCATCTGGCCGCCGGCAGCCAAGGCGCTGGCGTTGGCTTTGGTCTTTTTCGACGCCTTTTTCTTTTCCAGTGGCTTGTCGAGCCCTAGCCTGGCATCGGCATCCTGCGCCTGCTCAGCGAGGTGGTTGAGCCCTAAGACCCGGCACATGTCCGAGTACGTTTTCCCCTGGGCGGCGTGCTGGTGGAGCTTCTCCTTACCGGGGATCATCTGCGCCAGGAGATATTTTGAGTTCCCGAAGCGATTCTCCACGGTCATGCTCGTCTTCAGGTAGTTGTCCACCACGTCTAGCCAGGGAAGCAGGCCGCCCTGGGCCCGGCTCCTGAAGCAGCTCGGGTTCTTCTCGGCCGCCGTGGCAATCATGGCGCCGTCCGCGCCAAACTCGGCGGCCAGCTCGAGGCCCTGGTCCCTGTCCTCGACATCACCATTCATCAGACAGGCGATGCCAAACTCGTGGCAGACATCGGCCACCATGCGCAGCTGGTCCCGGATTGCGCGCTCGCGCGGCCGCATCGGCGTCGTCCGGCAGTGGACCGTGAGGCCGGTGATGCCAGTGGCGCAGAGCCTCCTGACAAGGGCCTCGGTCTCGGCGGCAGTCTCGAGGATGCGGATTTTAACGCTGATGCCAATCTCGTGCTCGGGCGTGATGTTCTGGACCAGGGCTTCGAGGATGGCGCACAGCTTGTCCGGCGTCTTGAGCAACGCCGCGCCCATGCCGCCGCTCGTGCTAAAGGGCTTGGGGCACCCGGCGTTGACATCGATACCGGCGACGTGTTCCGCCACCATTCGCGCGGCCTGCACCGCCCGCTCGGGGTCCGCAGTGCCCATCTGGAAGATAAGCCTACTCGCCTCCTTTTCCGGTAGGATTTTGAATATGGTGCTCTCCTTGGCGTCTGCGGGTGGCTCTTTCTGGCCTTGGGAGGATACGCGACACCATTCAATCGTCTTGGAGTGTTGGTTGAAGCGCTTGGTCGTCCCGATCATGGCGCGGTCGACGGTTTCGGGCCCTTTCGACGTCGTCGAGGTTAGCGATGGCGGAAGCCAGCAGAATAGGGACTCATGGATGGAGGGTCATATTTGACTAACCCCAGACGAGATCTGCGCCATACTCGAGGGCCAGCAACCTCGAAGGCAGCTCCCCCGAGCGCACCATGGGCGCGAGAACCACCTTGCCCCGGTAGTCAACGCCCCGGGGGGGAATGGGGACTTGCTTGGACGGCAAAGTCATGATTCGCCTGGAGATGGCAGAGAGCATTCCGCGGGCACAAGGAGTTTACATGTCGCGTCTCGCAGGAACCGACGCCAACTCTCTGTCTTGAGAGTGAGCCTCGTCGGATGAACCGAGTGGCTTGGGCGAGTCTAGAAATTCCGTGCTTAACTAATCAAATTGAGTCTGTTTATCGATAAGCTCTCGCTCCCTGCGGAGCCGTTTCTGACCTCGAGCCGTGTGGGTCCACGGCGGAGCCCTGATTCACGGCCACGGGCTCTGCTCCGACGCAACGCCAGGGGACAAGACCACGCACTGTGTGTACTGTACTGTACTGTACAGTACATTGTCAGCCGGGACAATCAGTGCTGCTGCGCTATGACGTCATGCTCAGAGAGTACTCCAGGTACCTGGAACACGGACAAAAATGGACAAATCACAATACAAGCCCATGAGATGAAACGAATGGAGACGCTGCCGCCACAAAGAATTCGTCTGACTAGGTGCTGGCGCCTTCACCACTTGCGCATGCCCTAGAGAAAGCCGATTGCTTTGTTTCATCGACTGCAAATCAAAAGCCACCGCAAACCCCTAGGATGCTCCACGTTACGCTGATTGTTCTACGAGTCAAACGTTTGAGTCAGGGCAAGAGACAAAGCAGAGTGTTTGCTGTAGCACGGAGTCCAAGGCAGGTACTCCGTACTAAGTAGGTACAGGGGATGTGAGATGCGAGCAGTGGACAAAAGATGGAGGCCTCGGCGGCTCAAGTTATCAATTGCCCGTTGTCTGTTGCGGTCTTTCATCTCGGTCACTGCTGCCAGATTGCTTTCGCGTCCGGCACCAAGTACCGTGGCTGCCAGATAGTTACACCGGGACTGTATCCGTACAAACGCCAAAATCATGTTTGCCATTCCAGCGCAAAAACTTACAGAGTACGCGCAGCCGAAAGGGGAAACCGCCGCACCGTATACTGTGCTGCTACTATTGCCTGGCTGGCCCATTTCCCGACTGCAAAAGAAGCTGCCGAGTCGGTAATGCCCCCGGCTCCCACCTGCAGCAATAGATAGTAAGTACTGTACCTACTGTAATAAGGTGCTGTTCAGAGGTAAGTTAAGGTATGCAGCTGGTTGGCGTGCCATTGTCGGCGGACAGGAGCCCTGCGTATCCCCACGGCAGGTACTCTGTACAGCATGGCCTAAAATAGAGCACGGGCACGCTGTAGAGAGACTAGCACTGCAGGTGCCGTGAATTGCCTTCCAGCGCGTCCCGTGCTCTCCCCCCCGCGCCAAGCGCCCGCCCCGAACAAGGCCAGCGTGGTGGAACTAAAGGGTCTCTCAGGGGCCACCCTTCCGCCGAGCCTGTGACCGCCCCATTCAACGTACCGTCGTCTTTCATCAGGGTGTGGGCTGACCGTCAAAGTACAACCAACTCTCATTATTCCCGGAACCAACCTCTATCTCGTCTACATACGTACAATCAACCCCTTTGATTGCTTTCCGCCCTCGCCCCGGCCATTAAGCTCGACCGTCGACGCGCTCGAGACATCTATCTGACTTGACGCCCGCACCACCCGCGGCCGCTACCCCCCTCCTCCCCCAATGACCACGACTGCATGAACCTCTCCTCATCGCCCCCCCGACCTCGCCATCAAACTCCCGAGAAGCCACCCGTGGCACATCCCCGCTCGTTGCTGCCGCCTACCAGCGTCTGGCCGCGGCCAAACATCACCCGGCGCCAGGTCAATGACGTTCTCGTCTGGCCGTCGTCATGGAGAACGAGTCGCCGCTCACGGCAGATGAGAGCCGCTCGTCCAGGCGGGGTCGCTTCATGGACAAGCTCTTCGGCGGCAAGGAGAGAAAGTCGTCGGAGAGCTCTCCCAACTCGCAGGCCGCCCTCGACGCCTTCCTGCACAGCCCGGCCGGCAACCTCGAGATTACCCATGCGCCCCCGCCCCCGCCCAAGCTCGCCAAACTCGACACCACAATCACTCGCTATCCCCAGGCCTTAGCTGTCAATCAGCAGGCCCAGCTGAACCGGCCCGTCGCCCCGGGCAAGTACGACCCGATGCCCCAGAAACGGAGTCCGCGGCCCAACAGAAAGGGCCTGGTAGTCAGGTTCGCAGACTCGTACCCCGATATCATAGGTGAGGGCGGCGATGAATCCGAGATGCCCGTCATCGAGATCAGAAAGCACAATGTGCCCAGGCGCCCTCTTGCTGCCTCGCCCCGCGCTCCGATTCGGACCCCCGCTGCCTCTCCTGGCGGCCCGCCCGGCGCCGCCTCTGCTGGCGTCAATGACGACTTCCAGCCAAAGTCGCTGGCTCGATCCCAGACGGGATACTCGTCCATCTACGAACCCGACAACGACCCTGCCGAAGAAGCTCCTCGGGGGGCCCCCCCGACCCGAAACAACGCCGACATGCTTCTCCCTGGGAGAGCCGCAAATGCGAGGTTTCTCGAGACTTCGGACAGGGCAGACGAGAATAGGAGGTCATTCATCGAGGTACATCGGGCGCAAATGCGCAAAGCAGAAGGCACAGCCTTTGCCCAGGCGTCCCGCACTGCGAGTACGGCGTCTCAGCACGATGGGGTAGACGGCGACCACCCGGCGTCCGGCATGGCGGGCAATTCGCTTGGCAGCGTGCGCCGGCGACTTTCGGCCTCGCCCGACGTGCGGAGCAGACAGGTTCCCGTCTTGTACAGCCCAGCAGCTTCAATTACCTCGAATACATCCAGCACAGATCAGCAACCGCAGTCATCGCAATCAGCCTTCGCCGCACCCCCACCGGGCATGGGGCCGTTCAACGGCAGTTCTCCGGCCGAGACGCCTCTGTCTGCACGAATGGCGTCGGTGAGGCTACGCGATGCTGGCAACCTGCCAAAAGACGACGCACTGAACATCTTTGTGGCGAGAACAAGGCATCTCTTTGAGCTGTTCCGGCTGCATGCCGAGGCTGTGAAGCCGCTCACGACGTGCTCTCTGAGAGAATGCGCACGCGGCGGACTATGGTGGTTCCTGAAGGGTCGGATGGGCTTGGAGTTGGCCATTCGAGACCGCCCGAGCTCGCCCAAGTCGCAGATGCAGAACGAACTGGACAGGCAGCAGGCCTACTCCAATTTGGCAAAGGGCTACTGGCTCTGCGAGGAGGCAATACCAGAGATTGCCGACGCCCAGCGGCTGGCACCGGATGGCGAATCCGCGGGCGTCGTGCAGAGCCTGATTTCGGCCCTGCGCAAGCTCTCGCAGTCAATGAACAGGAACGGCATCTTGCCGCCCGAGGAGCCGTTCCTGCCGCAGACCATTGACAAATCCATATGGCTCGACTACCCGCCCCTGAGCCAAGACATTGTCGCTCTGCTCTCGGGCAACTGGGGCTCTGGGCTGACGGCGATGCAGCACCCCACGTCGTCTCTACAACTCCTCGACGCCTTTCCCCTGGGCGACACGGCGGAAAAATTCAACTATGCGCGCGTCATGGCGGACGCGTACCTCATGGAGCAGGGCAGGGAGACGCAGAGGGTTCACTTTCCCTGCATCCTGTCCATTGTTCGGCCTCAAAAGGAAAAGGGGCTCGTTTTCATGATTGCGAGCCAGAACGGCAGTGTCCAGCTGGCGGTGCAGGAGAACAAGAATGCGGGCCTGACGTGGGATGACGTTCGCTGGCGAAACGACGCGTGCAACCTCGACGTCCGGCTGCCTCGAGGATTCCGGCTGGCCGTGCAGCTCAGCCAGGTAGACTACAGGATGGTCTGGAACATGTATGACTTTGGGGCCAAGATCCAGGCGACTCTGCGCCCCCGGAGCGACGAGCTGGTCGTGTTTCGAAACAGCCTGCGGTCGTTTCAGTACCTCGAGTCGGAGCCTCCGAGCAGGGCTTTCCCCAAAGAGCCACTGCCCCGCTGCGAAGTGGCATTAATGGAGAAGATCTACAAGGAGAGCGGCCCGGCCGGACCGCGCACTTGGCATTGCGGCTTCCGCATCGCCGTCGCCACCGGTCCCCTGACGAGAACGGTCAACGGTGTACAGCACAGCTTCTCGCCCTCGTTTCCCGTGCAATTCGGCTTCTTTCGCGCCGAGGGGGACGCGCCGGCCCTCTCGGTCAAGTACGAGAGCGGCCGGCAGAGGGGTCGAATGGTGTTTATATTCGGCGACGAGAAAGAGAGGGTCTCGTTCCAGTCGCTACTCACCGGGACGGCCCTTAACCACGACGAAAGAGTATTCGCCGACATCCCCCTCAAGTCGTTTATGATTTCGCAAAGCGTCCGGGAGCCGATAGGCGTGGCACCGTTCAGTCGCATGCCGTGGAGGGCGGCAAGAGTGGTCAACGATGAGTTCTGCACCGGGGGGGAGCATCCCTCGACAGTCCTCGCGGACAAGCTCAAGGTGGTGCTCGAGTACCAGAACGGCACGGTGACGGACAGGGTCAACGTGGCGCCCGGGGAGCTGAGAATGCGGCTGGAGGTGTCCAACGCCAAGGTGCTGCGAGTGCTTCGGCAGCCGCAAAAGGACATGACGGTGTCGGTGTCGGAGGCGCAGGTGCCCAAAGAGCTTCCGAGGGACCTGTCAGACGCCATGCAGCTGCTCAAGGCCAGCCAGACGATTCGCAGCTACGAGTTCAACAACCTCAAAGACCTGCACGACTTCCAAGCGGCGCTGACGGGGTTCGAGGTCGTGTTTGACGGCCTGGCGGCGACGTTTGCCATTTCGCGGCGGCGGATGGTGGTGCCGATCCACAAGAAGTGGGAGGCGGGGTTCACGAGGATCCAGGTGGTGAGGCTGGAGGACAGGCAGGTGCAGCTGCTGGCCTTTTTCGAGGAGTTTCACCACGGGCACTGCATGAACTTTGTGCTCAAGGGCACCGACGTCTACGAAAGCTTCCACCGGGGAGGCAAGTCGGGCCTCAAGTTTGTCGACGCCAAGTTTCCCCTGCCGCGCGTGCCGGCGGACAAGGACGCCGACTTTGACGACATGGCGTTTGTGTGCCTCGACCTGCCGGACCTGCCGGGAGAGCACGACGACATTAGCATCATGTTTGAGAAGGAATCAGGTAGGCGGGGACTGTCTTGGTGTACACGGCAGAAGCGCTAACTCTGGCATCTAGATCGAGATCGGCTGTGTGAGTTATTGCCGGCTCCTACCAAGGGGTCGTCGAGAATGTCGTCACGACTGAAATGATTGCATTGCGATGTATGGGTGGGATTTGCAGGCGCAAGAAAAACACCGAGGGAGGAGGAGAAGCAATGCGGCAGCGAGGCAAGGTGGCATGCATGGCATGGCTAACGAGGAATTGACGGACGCACAGTTGTCACGATGGGCTTGATGACAAGGACAAATGGGTATATTTTGCCCCTTTTTTTGGAAGGAGCTGTCAGTGACGTAGTCCGAGTTGCCGATGCTGCTGGGGTTGCGAATGGGGAGGGGAGGACGCAAGTAGCTCAATGTCGGCATGAGAGGGCCGGTCGATGGTCTGGCAGATGATGCAAGCCATGCAGCGGCTGTGCGAGGTGGTGTGTTATGAAGCGCTGAGCAAACAAGAGGCCAGAAGCAGCTTGGGCTTTGGACAGGCACGTCAAAGTCTATACTGTAATTACAGTACGTACCTGTAGGTCCGCAACATGGATACAGGGTTGACGGCGGCCACTAAAGCAAGGACGAGCGAGTTTCAACGGCATTGTGTACAGGGCTGGAAGGGGGCTGGAAGGTGGGTGACGGGCGAGCGAGGCACCTGTCCCCCGCCTTGCCCGTTTGGGTAGGTACCCGTACCGAGCCAGGCCGGCTGGTGGCCATGTCGAGGCACCGGTTTTTTTTACAGTGGAGTCCCCCGGGGTGCCGTTGATAACCAGGCTTGGGGGCGGCTTAAGTCGACGTCATCGCCCGGGACTGGCGGCGACCTGTCGGTGGCACAAGCGACAAGCCAGCAAGGCCCAGAACAGGTTGATGCAAACAGGGCAGCGAGCCGCATGCCTCCCTAGGTGGGTAGGTAACGTGCAATCGTCTGGCGAGGAAATGGAGGGATTATTTCAGCACCGACGGAGCCCCGCACACGGGATCCCTCCCGGGCGCATGAAGAGAAGAATGGCAGTAATCACGGGGAAAAGAGAGGGAAAAGGGAAAAAAAGGAAATATGCAAGCAGGACAGGCTGGGGAAAAGATGGTCCGGGGATTGCTAGATTGCTAGATTGCTAAAGGTGTATCCGCACGACGGGTGAGGGGAAGGCCTCTCCGGGCAGGTTCATAACCAACAAACACCCCTCCACCTCTCTCGCTCTCTCTCTCTTGTCTGTCTGTCTCTGTCTGGCCCCGGCAAGCAACTCACCCGCCATTGCCTCGACTCTCGCCCCCGTGCACGGAGCAGAAGATTCACAGAGGGCCTTTGAAGCTGCTTTTCGCTGCGTTGTCGCTGCGTCGGCGCGCCGCCTCGCCATGGTTCTCAGCGGCCTCGTGTCGGTGCCTGGCCGCCGCAGGGCCTCGACTACCGGTGGGTTGCGGTTCTCTGAACAAACAAACCCCCACCACCACCACCACTACCACCACCACCACCGCCTCCAACTCCAACCCCAAACACCACCCATCACCATCGTCGCCATCACTACTTTCCATCCCCCACTCTCCCCGTCCCTCGCCTCCTCTGCACCCATCGCACGCACTCATTCTTTGCCTCTCCGAGAGCCGCCTCCCCCAGAGGCTGCCCGCACTCTCCAGCGCACGGCTCAACTGCGAGAAATGTCCGTTGCCGCCGCCGACTGCGCCCTTCGATACTGACTCCTCCGCCCCCCTACTCCTCGCTCGCTCCCTCTCCCTCCCTCCGTTGTCACAGACTTCGTTTCTTACCTATTCCGCGAGAACAAGCCACCATGTTGACCAACTGGTTCTCCCCTCCCGCAGGCAGCAGCCGCTCCTCGACCGATGACGCTCGCGCCGCCGACACGGATGACGATACCCAGGTCATGGAGCCCGACCAGGGCAACGGTGAGGCCTCCCCCCATGTCCCCGTGCCCCGTCGACTTGCGCCCTCGTCGCGCGCCGGGGAACCGAGTTGCCGCCCGCTGACAGGCAACCTCCTCGGCCGCAGTCCTCTCCCACATCATCTCCCAGCTACGGCCCGGCGCCGACCTGAGCCGCGTCGTCTTGCCCACCTTTATCCTCGAGCCCCGGAGCATGCTCGAGAGAATAACAAAGTTTGATGCCCCTACTCGCCTCCGCTCCCTGTCCACCCGCGCGCTGACCACCCTTGCCGCAGCTTCATGTGCCATCCCGAGATGCTCCTCCACATCCCTGCCATAGACGACCCCGTCGAGCGCTTCCTCTCCGTTGTCAAGTTCTACCTTACTGGCTGGCATATCCGCCCTCCGTTCGTAATCCCCCCAACCTGCCTCCCTTCCACCCCAGACGCGAGGCGGCCCGAGAATCACACTGACAAGAATCCTCTTGCAGAGGCGTCAAGAAACCGCTCAACCCCATCCTGGGCGAAGTCTTCACCTGCTCCTGGAACCTCGATGGCCAGCATCGAGCATACTACGTGTCCGAACAGACCTCTCACCACCCGCCCAAGTCGAGCTACTTCTACATGGCCCCCCATTACCACATCCGCATCGACGGCACCTTGAAGCCCCGGAGCAAGTTCCTCGGCAACTCGGCCGCCAGCCTCATGGAGGGCATCGCCTTCCTGAGCCTGCTCAACAGGGGCAAGGACCCCATCAAGGGAGAGCAATAGTCGGTGGCGTCCTTTACTCCATCCCTCCAGGTCCAACCAACCGCTTGCTGACTGGACTTCGCAGCATCATAACGCAACCAAACATGTATGCGCGCGGCATCCTCTTTGGCAAGATGAAGTATGAGCTCGGCGACCACAGCTTTGTCCGCTGCCCCGAGCTCGACTTGGTGGCCGACGTCGACTTTAAGACCAAGGGCTGGGTCGGAGGCACCTACAACGCCATCGGCGGCGCCATCAAGCGAGAGAGCACGGGCGAGGTCCTCTACGAGCTCTCGGGTCTGTGGAGCGAAGAAATGTTCATCAAGGATATGGCGGCAAGTATCCCCAGATGCTTCGTCATCTGCCATGCGCCGCGCTGACCGTTCCCATCCCCACGCAGACGGGCCAAAGGGAAATGTTCTTTGACGCAACCAGGTCAAAGCCCAGCCCACCGCAGGTGCGGCCCATCGACGACCAGGACGAGCGCGAATCGCAACGGCTCTGGGAAAGGACGGCCAGAGCCGTCAAGGAGCGGAACCACGAGGTCGCGACCGACGAGAAGACCAAAATTGAAGATCGACAACGAGAAGAGGCCGCCGCCCGGGCTCAAGAAAATGTCGAATGGCATCCGCGGCTGTTCCGGAGGGTCAAGGGAGGTCCAGGCGGGCCCGAGGAGGGCCAGGAGGACTTGGAGTGGATCATCAACTCGGCTGTGTAGGTGCTCAAGGACCCGGCATCGGCCGACATGCCCCTGACAGTGATTGTGCAGAGACCCGGCGGCGCCGCCCGAGAAGCAAGTCGAGCAGATACTCTGCATCTACCCCATCGTCGAGGGCCAGAAGCTGGGCCAAGACATCACCATACCGCCACGTAAGGCCGAGAGCCAGCCACCCGCCCCTGCCCCAGCTTCTGCTCCTGTCCCTGCGGATATTCCTGCGGACGTTGCGGCGGATTTTCCTGCGGATGCGGCTGCTCCAGCCGCTGCTGCTGCCCCGGCCCCAGCTCCGGCTCCGGCTCCGGCCGCGACGTCAAACGGCAAGGCGGCTGAAGAAAGCCTCATAGACTTTGGCGGCGGCGATGACGTGGTCGCTCCTCCACCTCTACAGGCGCCCGCGAAACACCAGCCGGACGTAGTGGAGAGCGCGCTCGCGTTGACGGGTAAGGCGCCCGAGGGGCCGCTGATTGACTTTACGCAGGAGATGAAGAAGGACTTGCCGCAGCGGGACAAGACTGCTTTGTAGACGCATGAGCTCGTCATGACGACTGGGGGAACTGGCGTTTTTTCTTTCCTTTTCTTTCTTCAACATGTTAAGACGGATAAACATGTTTGGCAGGTTGGCACGGTCAGGACGCAACGGCGCGGGTTCCAAGCCCACACATATGGGCCGGATATCACTGGCATACTGCATCTGCGTTTCCGAGTGCTACGGACTCTGAGCAACGAGATCAAGAGCTTCATTCAACCGGGGCACAAAGAGAGGGACAGACGTCCCGTCGACATTTTTTCTCATCCTTGCGCAAACTCGTTTCTCGTCTCTGGAGGAACTCGCAGTTGGATTCCATATCATGGTACACGACGAGAATCGTGGAGACACGGCACCGGATTTTCACTCCAAAATTTATAACCGTCCCTAAACAAACGCCGTTTAGTTGCAACTAAGTGCACCGTTCCCGAGTCAATTACACACACACACGGAGTAAATCGCACCAGCCAGCCATGGAACTCATCATCTCCGCCTTGTCGGCTCGGGTGTGGGGGAACGGCTGACGCTCCTCTCGTCGCGGCCGCGCAGCTTCAGCCACTTCTTGGTGCTAAGCGTCAGGTCGCGGTCGAGCTCTTCGCTGGGGTCCTTGCGGTGGATAAAGTTACAGAAGCCGCCGCGGACACAGCCCTCGCCCGAGTTGAGGCGGCAGCAGGCCTCGCGGAAGTCGGTGACGGGGCTGAGCTCGCAGTAGATGGGGCGGCCGGCGTACCACCTGCTGTTAAGGGCGTCGCAGGCCTGCTGGGCCGACTCTTCGTACTTGAAGCGGGCGTAGACGTTGCCGATGAGATCTGGGGCCGAGCGAAGAAGAGTTAGCCGAAGCTGCCCGCGGCATTTTCGTAGCAAAAAAGAAACCCGGGGGGCAGAAAAACGCACGGTCATTGTTGTTGTCGCAAACGACGAGCTCCTCGAGCTCGCCGTACTTGCACAGCTCGCACCAAATGTCTTCGTAGAAGGCGTCGAAGTGGTTCTGTAGCTGTGAGGCGTTCATGTGGTTCTTGGGGTCGAACGAGGGGTTCTGGTAGAGGTTGGGCATGAGGATGGTCTGGCTATACGACGGCTTGACGTGCTTGCGGGAGCAGCGGTCGCCATGGCGGCAGGCACCTATTTTCTTGAGGTTTCGCACGCGCGACGTCAGCGAAAAGGCGTGTGTTGAAGCGTCTGCGGAGAGACTCACAAAGTAAAAGGAACAGTTGACCTTGTCGAGCTCGGTGCCGAAGATGGAGGCGAGGAAATTGGCCATGTTTTGAAGAACTGATATCAGCTAGTATTGCTAAGTGCACTATGAGGGGGGCGAGCGCGGTGGCGTGGCGGGGGGGATGGTGACGGAGGCGAGAATGGGATAAGGGCTGGTGACGGGCGCCGATATTTGGCGTTGCTCGAGGAGGAGGACCAAGAGCCGGGGATAGATTTGGTGGACGCGACGCAGCCTTGCGCCACAGCGATGAGGCTGGATCACGTGTGTGTGGCTGATTTGTCAGTGGAGTTCTCGCTCTCACTCTGTGTTTGTCTTGTGGCGGGAAAAAGTGAACAAATGCAACGCTGAGCATCAATGATGACCGATTCGTCTGCCCGAATCCATAAAGGTTCATGATCTCCTCAAGAGTCAGTCATGTGCTCGTCCTCTTTTGCTTGCTGCATCTTGGCCTGGACAGACTTCCACGGCCATCCATCCCCTCTTGACCGAGAGGTGGCCAGCCTGTCTTTAAAGCTAGTCTGGTTAGCGGACCAAAAAGAACGTTTCATCCAGAAACGTCCAGTAGATGTCATCAAATATGAAAGCTCTTCTTCGCCGCCAGAGGAGGCCAGAAGAGCATTGTAATTAGAGCTGTGCCCAGGCAATCAGAGAGTGCAAGCAAGATGGCACAAAGGGGGCGCTGAGACCAACAGTGAGTGACGGCATGCACAGTGGACTCCAGGGACTCCAGGGACCACAACGACCCCTACCAGTCACTGGCTTTTGTACCTCGGTGGCTGCAGCTGCCTCAGCGCAGCCAATCAACGCCGCCCTTGGTCCACGCTTATTATTCCGGGGTCAATCCGTGCGGCTCATGCACTGCGACGCTTCCATGCCCACAGGCAACGCCTCGTGTCAGGGCCCCGTGGAGCCCCATCGTCGCCAAATCTCCCATCCAAAAACCTGATTCAGGGCCGCGTCCTCCTCCCCGGTTCCGCCTCTCCGGTTCCGCCGCTGGCTTGGGCGTTTGGGCCACGTTGCGACAACAACAGCGCACCCACCAAACCATCCGCCCACTGACGACGACGGACCACGGCATTGCGACTAGCCGACACGACCACGACGATACGGCGACAACGGCGACAACGGCGTCAAGATAGCTGGCAGCGGCGGCGGCGGTGGCCGTGGCCGGCAATGCTTTCGCAACCCCCATCATCACCCCCATTTGTCAGACCTCGCCGCTCCCCCCCTCCCCCTCCTCCGCCGGCGCGCTCTCCATGGACCAAGCCGACATACCGGCGCTGCTGTCGCGCCTGGCCAGCGACGAGGATGCCGTCCGCAAAATGGCCGTCTTCAAGCTGCAGACGTCCATCAACGACCCCGCCTTTGCCGACGTCTTCATCTCCGCCGGCGGCCTCGCCGTCCTGCGCCGCCTCATCATGGGCTCGGGCGGCAACACCCTCGCCTACGCGCTGCAGAGCCTGACCCGCCTGCTCGAGGTCGACATGGGCTGGGAGATATTCGAGGGCCCCACCGCCACCGACCTCGTCGAGCGGGCCGTCGAGCTCATTGTCACGAACCCCCTGGTTAATATCCTGAGGGGCGCAATGTCCATCCTCGTCGCCCTCGTCGGCCACTCGGAATCAGACGCCATCGGCAAGGCCCTCTGCTCCTCCCCCGGCACCTTTGGCTTCCGTGCCCTCAAACCTGCCGTTGCCGTCTACCCGCAATTCTTCGAGCTCGTCATCCAGCAGCTGCAGAGCGCCGATCACGCCCTGTGCGCCAATGCCCTCATGCTCATCAACGCCCTGATCCGCGACGCCCTCTCCACCAGTGCCGCCGAGGCCAAGGGCAGCGAGGAGTGGGTCAAGCTCGTCAAGCGGCTGCAGGACCTCGGCGTCGTCCAGACCGCCTACAAGCTCATGCAGAGCTCTGCGCTGCATGACCTGGCCCTCCCGATTCTCGAGTTCCAGTCCCTGAGCAAGGTCCTGATACGAAACTGGCGCGAGGTCAAGGTGGACCTGGAACGGCAAGATCACAGGCGCGCCTTGAAGGGCATCCACCTGGCGAGCGCGCCGGATCGAGCCAGCGTCAACGGAGGGCCCAAGGAGGAGCAGGCCGAGACGGGCAAAAAGGACAGTCGGAAACACAACCCCGAGAAGTGGAGGAGGCTGGGCTTTGAAACCGAGAGCCCCGCGCAAGAGTTTGACGCGACCGGATGTCTGGGCATGATGGACCTGGCAGAGTACGTCCGGAAGCATGAGGACGGGTTCCAAAAGCTTCTGCTTGAACAGGCCTCCAGGCCCGTGCTGGAGCGCTGCCCGGTGGCTCGGGCTAGCCTGGCCGTGACGACGATACTGTACGAGCACTTTGAGATTGACAAGGCGGACCTGGAGGACATCAAGGGCTACCAGGGCGCCGAGGTCAAGGACCAGGACGAGCTCTTCCGCCCGCTGCTGCTCCAGTGGTCTCGGCTACACACGGCGGGCTTGCTGGGCTTCTTTCGCATATGGAAGGCGACGGGCGCCGAGCAGGACGATTTCGACAAGGTAGCCGAGCTTGTGCGGATTCTGGTGGCGCAGGTCGTGGGACAGGCGAGCCGGACGCGGAACTTGTTGGAGGTGGAGGACGAGATACTCGAGTACGACATTGACCGGCTGCGCGAGGCGCAAATGGAGCTATTGGAGCTTGCGTTTGAGGACACTTGGGGCCAACACCTGCACCAAGTGCGGGAAGTGCTGCAGCAGGAGGCGCTGCAGTTTGTCAAGGAGCAAAGGGTGCGGTGCCTGCTACAAGGGTCGTGGTTCACCAAGCCAGCGTCACAGCAGCGAGAGGGCGGCGAGGGTGCGACCCAAGCCCAGCCCGTGGCGACGCGATGGCGGTTCGCCAAGCTGTCGCACAACCGCCGCCATCTGCACTACGCCGACTTTGAGGAGGAGATGGCGCAGGACCCCGGGCTGGACAGTCTGACGGAGCGGGTGGACCTGAGCACCATCAGCTCGGTCGTGTCCAACGTGTCGGTTCCCCACGACGACGCCAAGAGCACGGCGAGCGGCAGCACATTGCAAAAGGCGGCGGCGGGCAGCGGGCCCAAGGCGACGACCAAGATTACGATATACAGCTACGCGGACGGGGGCGGCGAGGGGGCGGGCAAGCGAGAGTGCCCGATCCTGACGCTGTGGCCGGTCAGCCAGAGCCTGGCGTCGGAGTGGCTGGACGGGCTGCTGATGCTTCTCAGCCAGGCGCCCATCACGGCGGAGACGAGCAAGCTCATCAACCTGGTGAGCGGATACGGGCTGAAGATGCGGCTCCTCAACGTGAGGATGGACTCTGCCTTTGACGGCCCGCCGCCGGGGGCTGGGGTGGTGCCGAGCAGGGCGGGACTGGACGAGGACTACTTTTTCGAGGTGTAGCCGTTTTCTTTTCTGTTGTGTCCTGTGTCTCATGTGTGCTGTTGTTTGATTTGATATACCCTTTTGCCTTTGCACCATTCTTGCGGGAAGTACCGGGACGAGGCATAGCGTTTTTGAGTAGACTTTGGCTAAGAGGAGCTGTGCCTTTCCTTTCTTTTCTGCGTCTTCTGTCCTCGTTTCCGAAGTGCTTGCGTGTAGGTATCCGTACGTTGGAGAGGGGAGAGGAGACGGCGGGATGGCCACGACTGTCGACGGATGGCCACTGGAGAGCAACCACGGCATGAGGTGTTGTCGGCCAAGGTGTCGCCATCCATGCATCCATCCACATATGGCGCACATACATTGGGTCCAAGATGGCGGTCAGGCGGTCTGGGACAGGAGGCTTTTGAAGCTTCGGTGCCCGACGACGGTGATTGGATCCACGACAGACGCATGGCGGCGGTATCCAATCATGTCTCGCCCGCCCCTCTGCCGTGCTTGCGGCTTTGGTGCAGGACGGGAGAGCATCTTGAGGCGTGAGACATTGTGTAGTTGGTCGCGGGCAGGATAAAAGGTCTGTCCATCGTCCACCCTGCCTCTCTCCTTTTTCCCATCCTCCTTCTCTTCCAAGGGCGCGCAGGTCGCGGAGCCACAGTGGATGGCGCCAAGTCACCTGACCTTGTCTCCCTTATCTCTCCGTCTCCGGGGCTACAGCATGGATGTACATGCACCACTGTAGCCCAGCTCCCTGCTCGCCCAATTCATCCCACAAGGCAGCCCGTAATTGCGGTCAGCAACCGTGTCTTTTCACCTCCACCTGCTTCCCTCCACCTGCTTCCCTCCACTTGCTTCCCTCGGGCGTGGCTGAGCAGAGCAGCGAAAAGGAAAAAGCAACACAAAATCTAACCCTGATCGGAAACGTGGCAACTTAAACGTCTCTCCTAAAAAAAAACACCCTTCTTTCTTCCCGCCGACCAGCTCGACCTTTCCCTCCTCATCGTCCACCCCATCCGCCACCATGTCGCGCATCCAGATCCCCCTCGACGCCCTGACGTCGCGCCTCAACCTCGGCGACCGCTTCCAGGGCCTCCGCGCCGGCCCTCTGTCCGGCCGCTTCTCCAACCTGCGGCCCGTCTCCGAGTTCTGCGACTTCAAGCGCCTGTCCAAGCCCGCAACCTTTGGCGAGATGCAGTCGCGCGTCAACTTCAACCTCAGCTACTTCTCCAGCAACTATGCCGTCGTCTTCGCCATGCTCAGCATCTACGCCCTGCTGACCAACTGGCTGCTACTCTTCGACATTGTCCTCGTCGTCGCCGGCATGTTCCTCATTGGCCGCCTCCAGGGCCGCGATCTCGAGATTGGCACCTTTCGCGCCACCTCGTCCCAGCTCTATACCGGCCTCCTCATCGTCGCCGTCCCGCTCGGTCTGATTGCCTCGCCCTTCTCGACCCTGCTCTGGCTCATCGGCGCTTCCGGCGTGGCCATCCTCGGCCACGCCTCCTTCATGGACAAGCCCATCGATGAGGCTTTTTCCGGGGAGGCGGTCTAGGTGGTCGGCCGCGAGCTCCCAAATTTGCGCCCCAATGGGGAAGACCATCAAGGCGCGGGCGGAGGAGGACCGAGGGGGATGCTGCCCCCTCGAGCTTCTGGGGCGACGACCCCAGGATCGAGGAACTGGACACGGATGGGGGCGACGGCGCCGACACTCGCCTCATGTCTTCGAGGCGCAACGCAACGCGCTTTGTCAGCGATTCTCTTCATTTTACGGGTATAGACTTGGGTGACCGGATGGGCGGCACGGTGCGCCGCAGGCGTTATGGCGATTCGGATGATGACTACGACGACGACGAAGGCTCTAGCACTTGCAGCGAAGAAGAGGAATACGGGGGCGCCGAGGACGCGGCTTCGCAGGACATGGGTGAAAAGGAGGAGGCCTTGATCCAGTCGGCGCTGCAGCGCATCAGTCGGGCGCGGGCCAAGGGCAAGGCCGACGTCAAGCTCAACAAGGAGGAACTGGCGGCTCTGGAACGGAGGCGGAAGCGCATGCAAGAAGAAGAAGAGCGGAAGAAACGGAACTCGGGCAGCGAAAGCAGCCGCGGCAAGAAAAAGGCCAAGCAACAGCGGATTGCGGTGCCCCTTTCGCACCTGGAGCCCGTCTCCCGCAAGAGGGGGTCGGCGCCACGGCATGTCTCGACGGGCGATCTGCCAGACGACCAAGCCCCGCCCCAGGTGTACCCTCCGATGGGATATTTTCCGCCGCCTTCTTCGTCTCGCTCTCGGCAACGATCCGGGACGACGTCCTCAAGGGCGCCCAGTCGTGCGCACGAGGAGCGAGGCTCGTCGCCGTACCAACAGGACTACCTGCCGCCATGGCCTCCTGCGAGCAGGCACGTCTCTGACTCTGCGACACGAACTCGCTCGTCTCGAAGCTCTCACTACGACGACTCCTTCTCGGGAAGCCGCACTCACCTGGATCCGTTCCTGTACCAGACGGCGGGTCCGTGTGCCCCTCCGGCGGGCCCCAGACGGTACGTGTCTGGTCCGGCCGAAGTTGTCTACGACCCGCGTCGGGGAGGAGCGGCAGGCTTTGCTGTCCCCGGGGCTCGGCACGGGTCACGGCAAGGGTCGCGGCAGGGATCACGGCGACAGAGTCTGGACGACGAGCCGAGCGAGAACGAGAGCGAGACGAGCGGAGATAGCACGAGCGATGATGGCGGCAACGGGCCGCGGGCCAGCGAGCCGCGGGCCAGGGGGAGGGACATGGACATTGTGGTCGAGGTGTCGCCAGAGCGCGAGCCGGCCAAGAAAAAGCCGTCGCCGCCGGCCAAGAAGAAGTCGGCGTCGGGAGGCAAACGCAAGAAGAAGTGATGCGGCGGCCAGTCTGGCCTGTCGTTTGTTTTTCGTCGTCGTCGTCGTCGTCGTCGTTGAAAGGGAATTGGTATCGTTAATAGAGTCATCTGCATCTCGAAGTTGGGCCCAGTTGGAGCCCGGCCGGGCGGCCGTCTGTTGGCCCGTCCCGTCCCGTCTGTAACTGCAGGTCGGGGCCGCCGGCATAATACATGGCGCTACAGCCAGCCGAGGGACCGCCCCGCGTCCAAGTGCCGTGCTGCAGTGGGAATGCCGTTACGTAACCCGCTGCCTCGGCTTTGGAATCCCTGTCCGGGAGCTCGAGCTTCCATCCATCCATCCATCCATTAGACCCAAGCCATTGCCGTTGCAGCCCAACAACGCCTCGCCCTGACGCAATTTGCATCTCTCACTCTTCGCCTCGAACCCGGAATACACGTGTCGCACAACCACCCTTCCGGCTCACACGTACCTCGCATCGTTCGCGGGCAGCAACAGACAACGGGGGCGGGGGCGGCATCCAGCCATCGAGACCAAGAAGACGCCATCCTCGAGCGGACGAGAGGGGAAGCCGAGGAGAGAGCGCGCCGGCCGGGTGTCTTGACCAGCACACAACACACAAACAACACGTATATATACACGGGGGCCCTGGGCGAAGGGGCCGGAGGATTCGGCTGCCGCCATGTCGTCGGCCGCGTCGTCGGGCACCAAGACGGCGACCAAGAGGCTCGTCCGCGAGCTCGACATCTGGCGCAAGGAGCAAGAGGCCGAACAGGGCATTGAGCGCCTCGGACCCGTGGGCGAGGACAACCTCCTCGAGTGGCAGGCCGTCATCAACGGCCACGGCATCGGCGGCGGCTACGACTGTGCGTCTCCCCCTCTCCTCTCCTCTCCCCTCCCCTCCTCTCTCTCCCCGGCTGACTCGGGCGCATGCAAACAAAAAGCCGGCCGCTGGCTCCTAACCATCACCATCCCGCCCGCGTACCCCCTCCAGCCGCCGCGGATGCTCTTCGCAACGCCCGTCGTGCACCCCAACGTGGCGCTGCGCGGCGGCGACATCTGCCTCGACCTGCTCAAGGACGCCTGGACGCCCGCCTACAGCGTGCTCGAGTGCGTCCGCGCCGTGCGCATGCTGCTCGCCTGTCCCGAGACGGACAGCCCCCTCAACGTCGACGTCGCCGCCCTGCTGCGCCAGGGCGATCGCGTCGGCTCCGCCCGCCTCGTCGAGTGCTGGTGTGCCGACGAGGGGGGGAGGTATGATGGGCCATGAGGACGGGGGGGGCCGGCGAGGCGGACGGGAGCGAGGGGGGAGGGGGACGGCGGGGAAGTGAGACGAGGTCAGATGGGGACGTGGTTTGCTTTCGCTGTGCTTGGCTGCGCATGCTGGGCTACATTGGCTTTGCTTGTTGGACTCACGGCTGTTGGTATATCTGGTGGCGGCATCGCAGGGCGCATTCTCTTTCACCCGCAATCAAAAACACTCACACCCCAGTGACGCGTGTCCAGACGTGGCGGCCATGGTGATGCATCCAGTCAAGTTTGCGCATCCCGTCTATACCAGCCCATTCTGCCAAGACCTCTCCCTCGCGCAGAGTGCCGTGTATCTAAGAAACAGGACAAATTCAAACAAGAAAAAGACGAAGAAATCACAAGGTCCGACCCCAGCCGGCCAAGCCCACATTGCAAACAGGGAAGCAAGCATCACCGTTAGAGGGGCCGGGGGCGAGCAAGTCGCTGCCGCCATGCTTCCCTTATCCATACATCGGAGTCCTCCGACAGACTCCCAAACCCTTGCTTTTTTTTTGCACCTCCCCCCTCTTCCCCAGGTTTTGATGATGGAGATTGATGTCAAATATGCATACATGAGATGTGTGTGCGCTGCAAGCCGATCTGTTCCCTCCTGGCCCGCGGGAAGCAGACCAGACTCTTTCGAAAGGGCTTCTTTCTTCTCGTACCCCTCCCCTCCCCTGTCTTTATTACACTGCGCATCACTCATTGTAGTGGTAGACCTGTTGCGCCGCCACAATTAGCCGGGCCATCTCGATGTTGGAGTCGCCGGCCGTGCATCTCCACTCACCTTGTAGTTGGGAAGCCCGTACGGCTGCCACCCTAGTCTCTTGGCCATCTTGGCAAACCCCTCCGTCTCGATCAGGTGGTAAAAGGCAAAGGGCGGGAACATGGCGCCATCCCGGTGCACGTCCGCCTTGACTAGCAGGGCCGTGCCGCCAACGCCGTCGAGCGGGACCGTCAGGTCCTTGTCGCCGCCGGGGGTGCTCATGTGGGCCATCAGAGTGCGATACGTGGCCATTTCGGCGTACCCCTCGAGCAAGATATCGTCGGGCCCCATGGTGGTGGCCATCTTTGTTGCAATGTCGCTGTCCTGCCAGCTGTTGTAGTCGTATGGACGCTCGTCTTTTTTCTTGGTGTCCTGGTTGTAGAAGCGCTGGAAGCAGTTGGCGACAATGACGGGCTTGTCGTGCTTTGCCAGGTCTTGGATGAGCGTCGGCGGGAATTCGACAATGTCCGAGTCGAGCCACAGCACCCACGACGTGGCGGGGCCGAGGGTGGTGAAGAGGAGCGAGTTGCGGGCCTTTGCCATGACGGCCCGCCGTTCCTTTTGATTGGACATTTTGTGGCGCTCGCTCTCGTCCTGGGAGCTGAGGGCCGGGTCAAAGTCCTGGCGCAGGATGATGATGCTCTTGAAGCGGTTGGCTTCGGGGCCGCGCTTCTGCGTCTGCTCAATCTGCTGTTGCAGGGCCGCCGTGGCCGCGTTGCCCTCCTTGGTCTTGGGCAGGATGAAGCCGATGGTGATGAGGTCGTGGGGGTAGCTCAGCCGCAGCAGGTTGTCCCAGTACTCCTGGTAGAAGCGCGCCATGGGCGACAGGATGAGGATGTTCTCGCGGTTCTCGATCGGGCGCGGCGTGACGGTGACGTGGTTGAGGTTGTATCGCGTGACGGGCGGGGGGCCGGCATGGTCTCCGGATCGCGACCTGGCCTTTCGGTAGGGCAGCGTAGGGGGCGACAAGTGATGCTGCGCGGTGGCAGCGGCGGGCCGGCCGGGGGCGGCGGGTTTCGAGGGCGAGATGAGGAAGACGAAGATGAAGATGCAAAGGACGGCGCCCAAGGCGAGGGTGCAGGGGTTCGCCTTCTTAAGACGGACTGACCCCATGGGTCGGGCCATGGGGGGCGATGGAGACGGCTGCCGTCGTCACGCAGCGGCGGTCGGCGGTGGGAGCATGGACTGGCTCGGCGGCGACGGGGATCATCAACGACGGCCGCGCGACCTGGCCCGACGGGAGCGGAGGGAGCTGGCGGCGAGAGCGGATCGCGAGAGGGGAGGCGGCCCTGTCGAAGGCGAGGGAGGAGCGCCGGCGGCGCGGCCAGTTGCAGGCGAAGCAGCGGCACGGGGAGAGGGAGCCTACGCCTGGACCTGCTTGTCGTCAATGGCTCGGGCGGGCAGCGAGCGGGTTCGTCGTCGGCGAGGGAGGTGGCGAGCGCGCTGGGAGGCCAGCTAATGCTCGGTGCAAATACGACGATGGCCTGTAACGAATCGTGGGAGATGGGCCCTCTGGATTCTGGTTTCTGGCTTCTGATTCGCTCACAGGTTGCGTCACGTGGCACCGTCGCGACTGTGGCCGGCCCCCACTGGCGTCTTGTCTCTTGTCTCTTGTCTCTTGTCCGTGTCTACGACACACACAAGCGGGCAAGCCAGTCTCTGCAGCCTGCATTCAGCCGCAACAGCCGGCAAGGACCTAGGTGTTGCATCCGATACACCATCCAGTATCCATGGGATTGATTGCCGGCCGAGACATCATTGTCCCAAGAGACCGGTCAGTTCGGAAATCCGTTAGAATCGGTCGATCCAACCTGAGCGCCGGGAAGCGCAACCTCGAGTTCGTCAAGGCAGATACAAGTATCCCCGTGGCGCACGTCCCACAAGTACTACCAATCTGCCGGGTTTTGGGTATCTTGTTATGAGCCAGATGCCGGGAACAACATTGGAAAGCGCGTGGTCTATCTTGTCAGTTCAAGGGCGGGAACTCATAGCTGATCGGGTCGTATCCCTCATTCAGCAAATACAGCATCTCCCATCTCCGCACATTTAAGCCGCTCTTCTCCAGAGACAGCCTCTCTGCGCTGGTCTCATGGATGCCACAGATTTCAGCATGGAGAGAATCAAAGACTGTTTGTGGGATGAACAGATCACGACATATATTCGCAATAGAAGCGCAGCGCTCAGACAGCAGCCCGACGCCTGTTACACATGGAGACTTGGATTGGATCGACATAATGATCGCCGATAAACAAGTCGGCGGCGTCATTGACCTGGAATGCGGTGGCTACTTCCCTCCATCTTGCTGCACATAGCCGCCAGTCTGGCGGCAAGCAAATGTGAACCGTTCTGTCGTCACCATTCGGTAGCGGCGCAGCGCCGAGACCGCATAATTTGGTGCGCACATTCTCCGCGCCTACGCCGCGCCCCCCTCTGCGCCCACTGCGTATACATTGCAAAGTGAAGCTATTCGCACCCACGGGCACGAAGGCATATACAGACATAGAGGCTGCTTACGTCGATTCCATGTATTCGTGCTTGAGGCTCAACGATGCGTTATTTCGTCGAATTGAACCCTGCCCGCCCGCCTGCCTGTCCTTAAGAGAGTTCGTCTATATATAAATCTCGCTATGCCTCTTCCTCCTCTTAGACGGCCTATTCCACCTTATCCTATAGATCCTCCTACGAGGGCTCTTATAAGGGCGGCTTACATCGCAATCTTCTTTCTTGCGTACGACGCTACGCGTGAAATTGGCCATTTCGAGCACAATTGTCACTCGGTGACAGCATGGCTCAAGTTTAAATGCGATGTACCCCATAAGTGAAACTGCCAAGCGCTTTTCTTAGACGGATTGTCTAGACACCCAACCCTTTCCCCAAAACAGGATTATGATTGCCGTTATGCCGCTAATACACATCAAGCTTTATTCTTTATCTGGCCAGCTAATTGCCCATTTATAGCTGTCGGCTTCTTTATATCTGCGGCTAATTTCTCTTCGCGGAATCGTCCAGTTGTGGGTTGCAAGCCACTGGTGCATACCCTTGCTCAAAATGTATTCGAGGAAAATATGACGAAAATCAGCATCGCTAGATGACTGTACTATAGTCATCCATGTACCGGCAGCTGAAGACCACAAGCAATGCCGAAGAGATGTAATATATGAGATTCGGTCCTCCAGAAGAGTTTCACTCGGCGGTAAAAGGGGAGGGTCGAGGCAAATCAGACGTGGAAAGCCAGCAGCTAACTGAATGGGGACCTTCGCGGCAAAGCCCCAGTCAATGATGCTTGAAAGTATTAGCAATGGTGCCCACGTGATTTCAAGAGTAAATTACCCAGTAATATTCTGTGCCGAGTCCACCAGTATGTTCTGCGGTGATAGATCTCCATGGTCCATAGCAAACGGAGCATCCTCTAGCTCCGGATGAAGCACGCTGGTGAGGATGGCTTGCTGATCATGGCAGTCTTGTTCGGTTAGACCTGGAAGGTGGCCATCGCACACTCGACGGCGCCTGTTGGAGATTATCCTCTCGAAATGTCCTATAGCACTAGTCCCTACTACAATCAGCTAGTTTCTAAATAGACAAGAGAGAAACGTAGTTATTTCCCTGGTGCACTCAATAAGTGATGCTTGTATCAGCGATACCTGAGCTAGTATCTTATCTCGCACCGGTCGCGAAGGGCACCTCGCAGACCAAGAGAGCGGTGCGCCTGCGATCCATGATAACGCGATAAAAGGGTATCCAATCACGTTTTCAAAAGTTAGGGTAGATCCCCGGAGCTTTGGTGCCCAAAGGAAGCCGTTAGTCCCGAGCTCTCGCAGTACTTCGATTTCGTCCTGCAATGTGCGTATGATGGCTTCCTGGGGAGCGTCCCGCATAAAAAGCGGTATCCGAATGGCCCAAGTTCCCCCATCCGGAAAGTCTGCCTTAAAAACGCGGCACTGGCCACCATCAAAATGTTTGTCCAAAACTGGTGCTTGACCGTCCAGTCGAAGCAATGATATGGCAAGAGGCAGTTTCTCTGGGTGAAGAAGCCGATCGTTCATCTGTCTTTAGCTTTTGGGACGATTGTCCCAGTAGCGCACTTTGTCGAGGGATTCAGCGCGGTGACTACAGCCACGACAGGTTGCTCGCGGAGGAATAACTAGGTATTAGATCGGGTGTTGCGTTAGGGTGGGGAAACGGGGCTTAATATATCTTGGACAACCCGGCTAATTTGTTAGAGGTATTTACATTTGTTTCCCCTCGACAAGCAAGAGTCGAGTCAAATCCTCCTCCACAGCCACCGCCATGCGCAGCAATGCCCCTCGTTACACACCAGATGAGCAAGACGACCCAATTGTCTTTGGAGGCCCTGTGTTGACGAATCAGACGTTAAGATGCTTCCAGCTCCCGTACTTTCTTGTCTATTTTTTTGTTTACTTTTTGATATCCAGACTTCTCTCTTCATATTTGTGCCTGATTCGAAACTTACCTATGTACCTAGGTACCGTACTTAGGTGGCTAAGCAGTTCTTGCTCGCCTTACGTAAGGACATGCTGCTGGCTTGTTCCTCGTACCTTGTACCTCGCATGTGCCAAATCCCTGCCAGCTGCCAGCAAGCGTATTATCGGCCAAATGCACAGCTTCCAGCAATTCTCCACACCAAGTGGCTATCCGTCTCAGCCTCATCAACGCAAAACCGCAAGCAAGGGCCCAAAACATCAGGCAGCTCGCGTCCTCGTCCTCTCTCTCTCTCGCCACACGCGGGCAATCCCCTCCCTTCGGCCGTCGCCCTGCGCTGACCCATCACTCCGTCAGGCTTGTCACTTTCCCTGCCTGCCATGGCCAACAAGATGGACCGCGGGCTCGACGAAATCATCGCCGACAGCGTAAGTTCTCCAAGCTCTGCCGCGTCGCATCCAAGGCTGACGTTTCGCGTCCCCTCGCAGCGTGGAGATGGACCCCGCAATCGACGCGGTGGCGGTGACTCTCGTCGTCGCGAGCGTCAGGATTACCCCCGCGAGGGCGTGAGAAAGGTGAGCTTCCTTGTTTCGTCAACGGTCCTGGTTGACATTGATCTCGGGCCCAAGCTTCATAGCTAACCAGTCCTACTCTGCTGCAACAGACTTTCCAGCGAGGTGAACCACGAAACCTTGACAGGTTAGTTCCCACATGCAGCTTCGAAGCGCCCCGTCGACCTCTGCTAATTTTGCCCAGCGAGTGGCTTCACGATCGCTATGAAGCACACCGTCAGTCTCTCCGTTCTTATTTCGTGCCAGCGAGCGCCCCTTACTCATGCTTTCCAGAGTCCCGCAGAGAGCCCGCACCTCGACGTCGCCGCGAGTCTCCCGTCCACAGGTGCGCAGCCATGCCCGGTCCAAGCGTCCACGAGGAATTCCCCTACTGATTCACTGCACCTCCAGCGAACCTAGAGGATCGAAGCTTCGAGTCGAAAACATTCACTACGATCTGACCGAAGACGACTTGGATGTACGCATGCTTGTCCCCCCTTAGGTCCGTCCTGCGGGTGGCTGGCTCACCTTGCACGCAGGAATTGTTCGCAAGGATCGGTCCTGTCTCGCGTTTGCAGCTGCTGTACGACCGCGCTGGACGCTCCAACGGCACCGCCTACGTGACCTACGAGCATCGAGACGATGCGCAGGAAGCTGTGCGCCAGTACGATGGGGCAAATGCCAACGGTATGGCCTCCTCGGACTGCTCTCGCGTCGTGGCATACCGCTCACCTGTTGTTTAGGACAGCCCATTCGCTTGACTTTGCTGCCCGGTGGTCCGTCGCGAAACCCATTTGACACGGCCGTCATGCCCAGCCGCCCCCTGGCAGACCGAATCTCCGCCCCGAGCGGGAGATCGCGCTCCCTGTCGCCTCGTCGCCGCGTCGACGAGGGCGAGGCGGCCCGCAAAGGTATCGATAGGTATATTCCAGGCGGCGGTAGCCGCTCCAGGAGCCCGATGCCCCAGCGTCGCGGCGGCCGTCGCCCCGGAGTCCGACGCGAGGCCAATGCTAAAGATGAACAAAGCAACCGCGGGGCCCGAGGCAACCCCCGGTCCAAGAAGACGCAAGAGGAGCTTGATGCAGAGATGGAGGACTACTTTGGAGGCGGCGCCGCTCCCGCCCCCGTGGCCGAGCGCGAGCCCACCAACGGCAATGCCCCGGCTGCTGGGATCGATGACATCGACATGATCGAGTAAAGGCTCGTTTCTGCACTTTCCATGTACATCGCCAAGATTGTGGAAAGAACCGACGGGCTGTGAGGGTTTGGGAAGTTGATGGAGGAAATACACAGATTCTGAACGCCGGGATGAGTATCAGATTGTCGCCATATCGCGAAACGCGCTGGGAGGGGTTTCACCCGGCTCTGGGCATTCACGAGTCGAACACCACGGTGAGCAATACCACTTTCGGCCGCACCGGCCGCGTGCCCAGAATGAGACTGATAAATGTCAGGTCTCGCGTCACTGGCTTCCTTGAGCGCTACCTTTCAAGTCGGTGTGAGCATGTCCGTCAAGGCTCACGACACATTGTCTTGGATGTGGCTTTGCAGAGCAAGGGATGAGCTTTGGTTCCAGTCAGTCACTCAGCCAGGAGAAATGATTGTCACGTATATCGTGCGTCGGGCGAGATCCAGACCGCTTCGCTATTCATTAACAACTTGATTGCCTAGCCAGCGGCGGTGCCTCTGCGTTGGTATGGCAGCTGGTTGTGGCGGCATGTTTCTTCAGATTTCACAGTGTCTCTGACTCGTCTTGCATAGATAGATATCCTTCATCTGTCAAGGCGTGGTACGTGCCAGGTAATCGGAACTTTTGCGCGACTCGTGAATCCGTGACTGTCCACCAAGCGCCTTCGGGAGAGGGCGTTTTGGCCTTGGCAATCAGGGCCTACCTATACACTTCCGTACAAGATTATACAACAGCCCCTCTGACGACTTGCGTCGATATAGAGCTGAGTCACCCGTCTGCCGCGTCAGTAGCGCGCATGTGTATGGAGAGTCGCTACGGGATGAGTGCAGCCGTGACGGCCTCGGCCAGCGCTGCAGCCCCAAGAGCTCCCAGCCCGCCAGCCTTCATATCGAATGTGTCGACGTAGATTCGAGAGCCCGGGACGCTCAGCTTGGACTCGTCCATGGCGTCAGCTCCTTTGTCTGCAGACCCGGCAACGAATACGCCCTTGCTCGATAAGGCGCCGAAGTGGTCCTTGACCAGACAGCCCGACTCTGACACCTCGGCCATGTCGGCGACTTCGTCCACGCCATCGGGGACGCCGAACATGGTGCCCGATAAAGAAAATGCCGTGTCCCGGGGTGACGCTCGTGCCGTGGTGAAGAATTGAATTTGCGATCCAGGGGCCGCAAAACCAGAGCCCTCCATCGTCTGCACAAAGCGGGCCATGGCCTCTTCCTCGGAATGAACCATGTGAGTCCGCTCCGGATCGAGGGAGAGCAAGCCCTTTTTGGAGCCCCAGCCGCCGCCGCCGCTCACTGCCCACAGTCAGTGCTTGCCTTTCGAAGCCACGGGCATATCAACCTACGGATCTGATAGAAGCGCCCCCCAGACTGATGCAACTGCTCAAGGCACTCGGCGGTCTCCTCGATTGCGTCCCGAGTCAGCGGCTTTCCCTGCAGAATCGGGGTCGGATCAGGCGCATGCTCCAGCGCTTCGTGGCCGCTGGGCGTAACCATGGCCCAAACCCCCACTGGGCCAGGCGGGGTCCCTGATGCTGGCCTGTGCCTGAACATGGTTTCCACCGCGGCCTCTAGTTCCGTCGATGCCGGTTCTGACTTCCCGTTGAGGCGGACGCCTCGGATGATGTTTCCAAAACTCTCCGTCACGAAGCGAGGGCGGGTAACGGGCGATAGAGGGGCCCAAAGTCCAAGATCTGCTACGGACTGCGCCGGCGTTTCAAGCGACATGCGAATGCGCTGGAAGTGCTTCTCCAAACTTTGGGCCAGCTGAGGAGACGTGCGCGTCATGTCGAACCGTGAAGTGATGAGCGTGGAAGGCCGGCCGTTTTGAAAGGTTGTTCGCGCCAGGGGAAGTGTGATCCAGGGGCTGCCAAGATCAAAGGTGAGAGACGATACAGACTCAGAATCTTCCTTGGACTTGGGAGGCTGCGGGAGCCAGAGTTCGGGCAAGGTATCGTCCAGATGGCCCCGCAGGACGGAGATGCCTTGCAACGTTTCTGATCCCCCAAAGGCCGGTGCCAAATGGTCAACGACGGCGCACAAGACATGGAACTGGCCAACGTGGGCATCCCCCGCCAGTAGTCGAGCAATCTTCCCCACGAAGGCGCTGTCGCCGACTTGCCTGGCATAGTGTGGTGTTGCGAGAACTACAGCTGCGTTGTGGGCCAGGGGGTTGGCTAGCACTTCGTCGCTGTCGCCCAACACGGCGAACAGCTGCGCATCATCGCTCTTGGAAGTGTGAGCTTGCAGAATCGACGGAGAAGTGGAGACGGCATACTTGCTTCTGAGCTGGCGAAAAGTAGGAGAAGCGGGTTTGCTCACTGCCGTCGCGGCTGGAAGAAAGCCATCGCGACTGGGGCGTTGGCTTCGGCCCCGGTCGTCGACAGAGGGATAGGACGCCGAGGGGCCGCCAAGCCATCCGAGGTGACATTTTCAGGAAGCATTCATTGGCTACCGTGTCTCTGGCGAGAGCATCAAACGAGTCTTTTTCGAAGTGTTTGGTCGTACAGGAGGTTGTCGACACAAAGTGTGGCTAGTAGGCTGTGGCTGAAGCTTCTAGGTTCGACTGAAGTCGAGCCCCTGCACCGCCACATCGTCCGGACCCCTCCTCCCCCTCACTATCCCACCTTTTTCTGTATCGCGGGCGGCATCGCAGCCGTGACTCAAAAATTCGAGGCCCTAGAGATTGACCCAAGGTTGAGTCATCTGTGCCAACCAGCATAAGCCTCAATTCGCCGTGCAGGACAGCGACGGAAGCCCTTATCCCTGGGCTTCAGCTACAGGCGTACAGCACGACGTTGAGACTCGCCGTTCGAGCGCTTCGGGTGCGCTCTGTTTCCCCAAGACGACTCTGGAAAAGCACCACACTTGCCACCATGGCGACCAACAGCGGGCGAGGCAATCCAAGTACCGATTCCTTCTCCTCTCTGTCCTTCGGGTCCCTGACGGCGTTGCTGACCTTGTTACCCGCGCAGTTGGGGCGAGTGAGGGTCTCGCAGAAAACACCGGCACGCCTCCCTCGATTCCGGCCGCTGCCAAGCAGGAGCTCGCCAATGCCACTCAAACTGGCACCGCTGGAGCCCACGCCTCCGGTACCGATGCCGGCACGGCGCCGGCGGCCGGCGGTCCTCCCAAGGTGAAGACGGAGAAGGAGTGTGAGTAGCTATACCCGTTCGGCTGGGGGCACAAATTGCTGATCCGAGACGCGCGACAGTGGAAAAGGAGCGCAAAAAGGCCGAGAAGGCTGCCAAGCTCGAGGCAAAGAAGTCGAGGGCTGCTCAGATAGCTGCCAATCCCGCAAAAGAGAAAAAGGCAAAGGAGAAGAAGGAGGAAGAGGTCATTCCAGACTACGTCGAGGACACGCCCGCCGGGGAGAAGAAACGCATTCGCCCCTTTGACGACCCCAACTTCAAAGCATACGATCCCATCGCCGTTGAGTCGGCTTGGTACGAGTGGTGGGAAAAGGAGGGCTTTTTCAAGCCCGAGTTTACTGCCGACGGCAAGGTCAAGGACGAGGGAAGCTTTGTCATTGTCCACCCGCCGCCCAATGTCACCGGTTCTCTCCACATGGGCCACGCTCTGGGCGACTCGCTGCAGGACGTCATGATCAGATGGAGCAGGATGAACGGAAAGACGACCCTCTGGGTCCCCGGCTGCGACCACGCCGGGATTTCGACGCAGAGCGTCGTCGAGAACATGCTCTGGAGGCGGCAGCAGAAGACGCGACACGACCTCGGCCGGACCAAGTTTGTCGAAACTGTCTGGGAGTGGAAGGAGGACTACCACAAGCGAATCAACAAGGTGTTGAAGCGCATGGGTGGTTCGTTTGACTGGAGCCGAGAGGGTGAGTGTCCTCTTTTTCTTGATGCTGTGTGCGGCAGTCTTGATTGCTAACGGTCAAAGCTTTCACCATGGATGCCAACCTGTCGGCGGCCGTGGCCGAAACCTTTGTCCAGCTTCACGAGGAGGGCATCATCTACCGAGCAAACAGGCTTGTTAACTGGTGCACCAAGTTGAATACCGCCCTCTCCAACCTCGAGGTCGTCAACAAGGAGCTACCGGGGCGCACGCTCCTCGATGTTCCTGGCTACGACAAAAAGGTCGAGTTTGGTGTCATTGTTCACTTCAAATACCCTGTCGAGGGCTCCGATGAGACTCTGGAGGTGGCCACGACCCGTGTTGAGACCATGCTCGGTGACACGGGCATCGCTGTCCACCCCAACGACTCACGATACAAGCACCTGGTGGGCAAATTCGCAACTCACCCATTCATCGAGGACCGCAAGCTGCCCATTGTTGCCGACGAGTACGTCGACATGGAGTTTGGCACGGGTGCCGTGAAGCTCACCCCAGCACACGACCCCAACGACTTCAACTTGGGCCAGAAGCACAAGCTCGAGTTTATCAACATCCTGACCGACGATGGCCTCATGAACGACAACGCCGGCCCTTACAGGGGTCAGAAACGCTTCGACGTCCGGTACGCCATCCAGGACGCACTCAAGGAAAGGGGGTTGTATGTGGACAAAAAGGACAACCCCATGACTGTCCCGCTTTGCGACAAGTCTAAGGACATCATTGAGCCCATCATGAAGCCTCAGTGGTGGGTTCGGATGAAGGAGTTGGCTGAGCCAGCTATGCAGGTGGTACGAGACGGCCAGGTCAAGATTAGACCCGACGCTGCCGAGAGGAGCTACTTCCGCTGGCTGGAGGATATCAACGACTGGTGCATCAGCAGACAGCTATGGTGGGGACACCGCTGCCCGGTCTACTTTGCCAAGATCGAAGGGGGTTCCGGCGATATCCCAGAGGACAAGCTTTGGTTCTCAGGGCGAACTAGGGAAGAGGCCGAAAAGAAGGCCGCAGCCGCTCTTCCCGGGAAGAAGTTTGTCCTGGAGCAGGACGAGGACGTTATGGATAGTGAGTCTCGATGACCATGGCGTATTGCGCGGTTTGCCTACGATTCAATGCTGACTCCATCAACAGCTTGGTTCTCTTCAGCCTTGTGGCCCTTTAGCACGCTTGGGTGGCCCAACAAGACGCACGATCTCGAGACGCTGTACCCCACGTCGATCCTCGAGACAGGGTGGGACATTCTCTTCTTCTGGATTGCCCGCATGATTACTGTTGGCCTCAAGATGACTGGAAAGATCCCTTTCAAAGAAGTCTACTGTCATAGTCTCGTCCGAGACTCCGAGGGCCGCAAGATGAGCAAGAGCTTGGGCAACGTCATCGACCCCTTGGACGTCATATTTGGTACCAAGCTTGAGGACCTGCACGAGAAGTTGTACCAGGGAAATCTACACCCCAACGAGGTCCAGAAGGCAATGAAGTTCCAGAAGACTGCGTTCCCCGACGGAATTCCTCAGTGCGGTGCGGACGCGATGCGCTTCACCATGGTCAACGCCACTACTGGCAGCGGAGGAGATATCAACCTGGAGATCAAGGTGTAAGTTGCCTTCGCTGCTATGATTCGACAGGCGCTGACCGCAACAGGGTTCATGGCTACCGCAAGTTCTGCAACAAAATCGTAAGTCTTCCATGACACCGGATCATCTCGCTCCTTGGTCCTAACCGCTGTTGCAGTTCCAAGCCACCAAATACGTCTTGGGCAGTCTTCCGCAGGGCTTCACCCCATCCAAGGACGGGGCTGTGCGAGGAAAGTCATTGGCAGAGCGGTGGATCCTCCACAAGATGAACAGCGCAGCGAGAGACATCAACGCGGCCCTGGCCGAGCGCGAATTCTCAAAGTCGACCATCATCGTGTATCGCTATTGGTACGCCGAGCTGTGTGACGTCTACATTGAGAATTCAAAGTCCATCATCCGCGACGGGACCGAAGAGGAGCGCAACTCGGCCATCCAGACGCTGTACACGGCCCTGGAGGCAGCCCTGACGATGATCCACCCGTTCATGCCCTTCATCACCGAGGAGATGTGGCAGCGGATGCCTCGAAGGCCGGGCGATAAGACCAAGTCCATCATGATCGCCCGGTACCCCCAGTACAACGCCGCTCTCGATGACCCGGAGTCGGAGGCCACCTACGAGCTCGTTCTAGGCTGCGTAAGGGCTGCTCGGTCCCTTATGTCCGAGTACTCTCTCAAGAGTGACGCTGATGGTAAGTGCGCCGGGGGTGTGGACGACGATGCTGATGCAAATGTGGCTGACTGAAATTGGGTTTCAGTCATCATCCAAACGTACAATGAGACGGCGCTCAGGAACTGCAACGATGAAGTGGCGTCAATCAAGTCGCTGAGCGGCAAGGCCGTCAAGGACATCAAGGTCCTTGGGCCCGACGCGCCCCGTCCCGCGGGCTGCGTTGCCTACCCGGTGTCGACGAGCGCGGCCGTCTTCGTGTACGTCAAGGGCCGCGTCGACATGGACGCCGAGATTGTCAAGGCGCAGAAGCGGCTCGACAAGGCTCGGGCCACGGTGCAGAGGCAGGAGAAGATCTTGGCGGATGCCGGGTACAAGGAGAAGGTGTCAGCGGCAGTGCAGGAGGCGGATCAGCAGCGGCTGGCGGAGGCCAAGCAGGAGGAGCACAGCTTCCTCGAGACGATTAAGCAGTTTGAGCAGCTGAAGCTCGAGTAGGGGTGAGTGTGGATATGGAACATGATGAATGAATGTAGAGTGGTGGGGAAAAGAATATTGGTTGCTAGTTGCTACACATACATGCGCCGCGGCATTGTTTCTTCCACATGATGATGTCCTCGGATCCTTTCTTACCCTTTCGTGTCTGGCGAGGTCGTGATCACGTCTCGGCTGCTCGTCTGGCACAGCCTGGGCGACCGACCAGTGCCCCGTGTTTGAAGAAGCAACCATGTCGCATCTCGGCGCGTCCATGCCTACAACCGTGGCCGTCTACTGCTTCCATCCACCCTTGCCACCTCCGCCATCCCTTCCACCACCACCCGACGCCTCGTCCTTTTTGGCCCCCCCGCCGCCGCGGACGGGCTTGGACTGGGCGGCCTCGTGGCGGCGCAGGTCCTCGGGAACCTTTGAGATGGAGCTCTTTGTGAGCATCTGGCGCAGGTCGTAGAGCACGTCCGAGTCCTCGTTGCCGAGAAAGGTGATGGCGACGCCGCTCTTGCCGGCGCGGCCGGTGCGGCCGACGCGGTGGGTGTAGCTCTCGATGCTCATGGCCATGTTGAAGTTGACGACGAGGGAGACGTCGGGCACGTCGATGCCGCGGCCGGCCAGGTCGGTGGCGACGAGGACCTGGGTGTGGCCGGCGCGGACGGCGCCGAGGGCGGCTTCGCGCTGCTCCTGCGTCTTGGAGCCGTGCAGGGTGACGGCCGAGTAGCCCATGGTCTTGATGTCGCGGGCGACGGCGTCGCAGTTGCGCTTGATGTTGACGAAGACGATGATGGGCGGGGCAAACTGCTTGGACGCCAGGATCTCCTGCAGGCGGCGCTTGCGGCGGTCCTCGCCGGCGATGAACTCGACGCGCTGCTCGACCGTGTCGACGGCCTCGCCGGCGTTGCCGATGGTGGCAATGGCCGGGCGGCGCAGGTACTTCTTTGCGATGCGCTCGACGAGGGGCGGCATCGTGGCCGTGTACATCATGGTCTGGCGGTACACGTGGCTCTTCATCAGCTGCGCGTTCTCGGCGTCGTCGCTGTCGGGCTTCTCGTTGGTCACGGGCAGCGCGTCGAGGATCTTGTTGACCGACTCCTCGAAGCCCAGGTCGATCATGCGGTCCGCCTCGTCCATGATGACGTAGCAGCACTGCGCCAGCACCAGCAGCCGCCGCTCGATGCAGTCGACCAGCCGGCCCGGCGTCGCCACGATGATCTCGGCGCCGTTGCGCAGCGAAAAGGCCTGCTCCTCGAGCGAGTGCCCGCCGACGATGCTGACGCAGCGGAAGCCGAGCGGCACGGCAAACTTCATTGCCTCGCTCTCAATCTGCTGCACCAGCTCGCGCGTCGGCGCCAGGATCAGCCCGTACGGCCCGTCGTTCTTGTTGCTCTCCGTCAGCGGCGGCAGCTGCGAGATGTAGACGAGCAGCGGCAGCAGAAAGGCCGCCGTCTTGCCCGAGCCCGTCACCGCCACGCCAATCAGGTCGCGCGCCTGCAGCGCGATGGGGATGGCGGCGCGCTGGATCGGCGTCGGCTCCCTGTACCCAACGCGGTCCACAATGTCGAGCAGCCGGCCCGGCAGGCCCGACTCGCCCCAGTCGCGCATCGGGTTGGGGATGCTGCCGCCCTTTGTCGCGATGCCAAAGTCCTCCTTGAATATGCGCCAGTCGCGCTCGCGCATCTCCTCGAGCTTCTTGTCCGACCAGTGCCGGCCCAGGCCCGTCCTCTCGGCCCTCTCGCGCGCCTTGTCCCGCGCCCGGTAAAAGTCCTCCATGATGCCCTGGGCCCGTTCGCGCCCGTGCTCCCGGTCGCGCTCCTCGATGATGCGCGCCCGCTTGCGCGCCCGCCGCTCCGCCTCGTCGTCGTACTCGCCGCCCACGCCCGCGAGCGAGGAGCCGCGGTTGACGCTCTGCTCTGCGTACAGGGGGTCGTGGTCTCTCGACGTGTCGTCCTCGGCGTCCCAGTCAAAGTTGAACTTCTTCTCCGTCGTCCGCATCCGCTTCTTCTTGGCCGAGAAACTCGACTGCTGGTTCACCTCGGGGCCCAGGTACCGCGACCGCAACAGGGCCGCCTCGATGTCCTCGGCAGACCGCTTATCGCCGACTCCCTTTTCGGCCTTCTTGCCGTCTCGTCCGTCGCGGCCGCGGCCGTGCTGCTGGTTCATGGCCCGCGGTCCCGTGGGAACCGGCGCCGAGCCTCGGGGAAGGCCGCCTGTGGGTGGTGCCGGGGTCCCGTTTGACCGTTCTTGCCATTTCTTCTCGTCATCTTTGCGGCGGCGCGCCTCCTCGGCGGCCTTGCGCTTCTTCTCGCTCTCTTCCTTCTTGGACTGCTCGGCGGCGAGGCGCTCTCGCTCGGCCTTGGGGATGAAGCGAGGCTTGGCCGCGGCGGCCTCTGCTGCTTTTCTTTCCTTGAGGAGCTGCTCAATATCCAGCGGCATCTTGTGATGAAGTCTTTGTTGCGCGCCGGTTCACCAGGACGTGAGGAAAGCGAGGTCGGGGTTGCGAGAGTGGAAGCTCAAGGTTGGGGCACGTCAGACGGTCGGCGAGGCTGTGGAAATTCGTGGTGGGTCCTGTGCTACGGCCAATCAAAATACGACGCTCATGCGAAAGCCATTTCGTCCCCTCAGCCTCGCTTCAAGTTCACCATTTCACTGTCCAACAGCTCGATTCCTCGGCCGTCTTGTTCCTCCACCGCCTCCAGCGGACGCGCTCGCCCAATCCCGGCGGCAGCGCTCCTCAGCCACGTCTCTACGAATTCGCAACCTCGCCCCCCCTGGCCAACAATGGCCTCTCCCAACCAGTCCCGCTTCATCCAGCTTGCCCAGTCGCTGCCGCCTCAGCTGCAGCGCTTCTTCGCCCGCTGGCCGCCCGCCGCCCTCTTGCCCAAAGGCGGCGCCGGCGAACCGACCAGGTACCAGGCGGAGCGGCCGAACCCTTTCCGCTTCTACAAGAACCCGGCGACAGGCCACTGGCAGGACCCCGTCTACTCGCAGCGCCGACAGGCCCAGCTCGTGCGGATGGCGCGCGAGCACGGCGTCGAGCAGCTGCTGCCCGAGACGAGAAAGGGCACCGAGTACCGCCTGGCGCACCGCGTGGAGCACGGCCTGAGGGTCAAGGGCACGGGTGTGGGACAGAAGGTCAAGGGCCACATTTACGAGAGACACATGATTGCCAAGTACGCGGTTCCTCCCTTTGCCCGACGCATCTGGTTGCTGACTTTCGGAATCCAGGATGGAGGAGAAGAGAAAGGCCATGCTGGAGATGCCCAGGCTCATCAAGGCCTGGAAGCGGGTAAGCCTTCTTTTAACGTTGCAATCTCTTCCTCCACCACCGCCCCCTTTAGCTGTGACTTTCCATTACTGACACCGGCACACACACAGATCGGGAAGAGGAACTGGACCAAGTTTCCGAAATAAGCTGGGCGCCAGACCCGATGGGGAGAGTTGCCATGGCACGACCCTTGGGGCTTCGGTTCGAGTTCTGTGTACTTTTATTTCTGCTCAACGTATACTCGAATCCGACCCTTATTTTCTTTTCGGCCTTCAGTCTATGCCGTGGAGCCATCAACCGTAGATGTCTGGTGTGCCGGCAGGTCAGGCCATTACCCAACACTGGACACTGCGGTCTCGTGGATGACCCGTTCCTACAAAACTTATGAGATGCACCTTTTCTTCTGGTAATTATGTTCAAGTCACGTCTCGTCAAATCGTGTTTCCTTCTACTTCAACAATTCTTCTGTTCCGGGCACACATGTTCGTCACGTGACGCGGCCCAGTCTGCCAACACCATCCATCAATCGTCCTTTACTTGTGGCTCAAACTCATCCACTCACTCACTCTTCCTCAACTCCGCTTGTTCCCCTCGTCACACTCGGCCGCGCAATCCCATGGCCGCTCCTCGCCTCTCTCCCGAGGAGCCAACAACCACTCAACGGTCTCACTATGAAATCCTCGGCCTCAGCCCCGCCATGCTCAACGACTCCTCCTGCAACCAAGATCCCTCGCCTCTCATAAAACGCGCCTACCACCGCGCCCTCCTGCGCAACCACCCCGACAAGGCCAAGCCCGCACCCCCCCCCTTGCCCCCCCGCCAAAGTACCGCCCCCATCTACACCGTCGACCAGATCGGCCAGGCCTTTGCCGTCCTCTCCTCCCCCGCCCGCCGCGCCGCCTACGACGCCTCCATCCGCCTCTCGCTCACCCGCCCCGGCTCCGCCCCGGCGCATTTCCACACGGGCGTCGAGAACGTCGACTTGGACGACCTGCTCTTTGACGACGATGAGCAGCGCTGGTCCCGCTCCTGTCGCTGCGGCAACGACCGCGGCTACTCGTTTGACGAGGCCGACTTGATGGACGCGGCCGACGACGGGCTGCTCATGGTGGGCTGCCAGGACTGTAGTCTGTGGTTGAGAGTCCACTTTGCCGTCGTAGAAGATGCAGAGCCCAGCGCGCCTGAGAATTCGACGACTTGAACATGCAACAGGTGTAATCATCTGTAGGTGATGCTTCCCAACCGTGCCACGAATGAATGGGCTCGCAGCCCATCCTGTCCAAGACCCGACTATTGCACCAACCAGTCGACTCATGCCCATGTAATCCTCGGCCCCGAGACCTGCATTGCATGTCACCGCCCGCAGCGGATGCCCTCCGAAAGCGCAAAGATATGTTTGGTGTATTGAAAGCAAATTTAGTAATTTTTCCTTTTTATAATTTGTCCAGACCATCGCGCATTAGAGTCTAAAAGCAGAACCTCCAGAATGCTCTCCTTTAGGCTCCTTGCCGGTCCGTTGGCAGAGTCAGCTCCTCCACCCGTTGCGTATGCGCGCGTTTACCTAAGCGATGCCGAAGCTCTTGGTCAACAAAAAAAAAGTAAACGAGGTCTTCCGTCCACTCCGTAGACACCGGCCCACCCCATACCAGCACCATCAAAGCCTTGATACTGCCTTCCAATCCTTGTCAGTTTTACTCGGCAGCCTTGGGCTCCTCGGCGGCGGCGGCGGGCTCGGCGGCGGCAGCAGGCTCCTCCTTGGTGGAGGCGTCGGCCTGGCCCGATGTTCCCGTGGTCTCCGCCTCGGACGAGGTCCAGAGCGTCTGCGAGTCGTTAGCGGTGTCGCAAGGCGTCATCGGGTGAAGGGCACATACCAAGTTGTCACGCAGGAGCTGCATGATGAGGGTCGAGTCCTTGTAGCTCTCCTCGCTCAGGGTGTCGAGTTCTGCGGCAATAAGTCAGAAACGGAATGCAGACAAGGCGCCGGCCTGGGCAACAACGTACCGGCAATGGCCTCATCAAAGGCCTGCTTGGCGAGGTGGCAAGCCTGGTCGGGGGCGTTGAGGATCTCGTAGTAGAAGACGGAGAAGTTCAGGGCGAGACCCAGGCGGATGGGGTGGGTGGGAGGAAGCTCGGTGGAGGCGACCTCGCTGGCGGCCTTGTAGGCCTCGAGAGACTTGTCGGCAGAGTCCTTGCGACGGTCTCCGATGGCGAACTCGGCAAGATAACGGTGGTAGTCACCCTTCCTGCGTCTGGGGTCAGCCGGCGTTGCGAGGCGCATCTAGGCGCGGGTCGGGTCATGGGAAGGCTTGGCCATCGCACATCTTGTGGTAGAAGACCTTGGACTCGCCCGACGTGGCCGATGGAATCAGGTGGTCATCGAGGACGTCGAGGATATCATCGCAGATCTTGGCGAGCTCGGCTTCGATCTTCTGCCTGTACTCCTTGATAAGGGTGACTTGGGACGAGTTGCCCTTAGACTCCTCCTTCTGCTCAATGGAAGTGACTATTCTCCAAGAGGCACGGCGAGCGCCAATGACGTTCTTGTAGGCGACGGAGAGGAGGTTGCGCTCCTCGACGGTGAGGTCGCGGTCCTCTGAGGCGACAATCTTCATGTTCTCGACCATTTCTGCGGCAGGCGCATCGACGTCAGCACAAGAGTCGCGACACCATTGCACGGCAGAGACAGGAAAGGCTTACCCTCGTACCGCTCGGCCTGCTCGGCGAGCTTAGCCAGGTAGACAGCATCTTCGTGACCCATTTTTGCGGTGACTAGACTGTGCGGCGATGAAGAAATCAGGGTCAGCGTCATCGATCAAAGAACGCGTTTCGCCACGAGTCAAGCGATGGGCAAACATATTGGCCGGAGAGTAAGACGAGGCAGGGAAATGCAGCAGCGGGTGCACGCATGGGCGAGAGGATGGTGGATGCTGGTTAGGCCAACAGCCGGCAGAGAGGGGATGCGGCGGGCGGGCGGGCAAGTCTCTCGCAGCTGCCGCCAGTTGAACGAGGGGCTGGCAAAATGACGACGCTTGCCATGGCAACGAGCCGGGCGAATGAGAGGCTGTTTTTGGGGGGGGGTGGCCGATGTGGTGACCCCTTCTGGCCGTCGTCGGGGAGCCTCCCCGCTCACGATGAGTCGTCGTTTGCATGGTGGGGTTTCGACGACAGGGCTGGCGAGGAGAGCCGCAGTCCCCAATCGAAAGCAAAAGAAAGGCGTGCGCAACGCCACGGCCCAGCGTGCGGGAGTCGATGCCGCCAGAGAGCTGGCTGCGGCGTCGCGCATCTGCGGCCTCTGGCGGGAGGAGGAGGAGGTGGTGGTGGTGGCCATGACGACAGAAGGAGGGGTGCGCCAAAGGGGGAAACGAACAACAGGACACGCAAGCAAAACACGTACCGAGTGCAGCAGTTGAAGAGGAGACGGCGTGCAAAAGCCGGTGCGAAGAGCGGAAGAGAGAGAGGGCGGTCGGCAAGAGGTGGGAAAAGAGACGACGATGCGCGGGCGCGGCGGGCAGCAGGTGGTTGTTTTGTTGGGAGTTGGAATTCGTGCTTGGTTGATGAAGCGAAAGGAGGAAGCGTGGATGGAAATTGGTGAGTGAGAAGGGGGCTCGGGACGGCGGCCGGAACGAGCAGCAGGCTGCGGTGAACTTTTATGCAGCCGCCCAATCGCCTCTGTCATGTACCGTCGCGGTACCTCCCTTATTCAGCTTTTCTGCCGCAGGGGAGGGGAGGGGGAAGCGGAGAAGGGACAATGTTTCCGTCTCTGGTGACGCGCCGCGGCGCGCAGATTCATGTATCTGTATGATAGCGAGGTACCTGGCGAAGCTCACGTGTCAGTCCCAGCCGCAAGTCCACCGGGTATGCCGAGACTACTGCGGGGTACCAGCGGGTGGGGACGGCGCCCAAGTACCGCCTACCCGACTCCTCTCGTCACCGAAACCCGCCTGGGTGCGGCCAACGCGCTGTGCTTGTCGCATGTAGCTCCGAGGTACCGCGACCACGTACAGTGCTGAGGGCCGGGAACTTGGGTAGGGCGACGCCGCAGTCTCGGGAGCCTGGAGCGAATGGCTGGAACTCCCGCTATCGCGCTGCGACGTCTTGTCAGCCTGGGACATTGGCCTCCTTGGCAACTTGGGTACCGATGAGAGCCTGAGGAGGTGGTCATGGGGGTACCTGCCGCTCTGTGCACCTTGGGCGCCTGCTCTAGGTACCCGACCGGCACCTACCTTACCTACCTAAGGTACCTACCCTGTGTCCGGTCTCGTGGCGACGCATTGAACGACACAGTCGATGCCCCGACGATGAAGTTCCTCTCCTTCAACTTCGCAAGACAGACTCTCGGCAGTCATGATTCGGGCCTGATTTCTCTGGCCACCCGTGCTCACGGGAATGCCGCTCCTCACGTTACAACTAAGCGGCCAGCCAAGCGAGTGCGAACGGACTCCCAAAATGAGCCCGTATGGACAAACGTAGGTACTAGCAAGTAGTGCCTTACAGTAAACCAACCCGTCAGGGCCGCAAAGGGAGGCCAAAGTGCGGATGATATTGCGTCGAACGGCCATGTGTCATGTGTGCGTATCTCGTTGTGCAGCCGAATCATGCTCTGGCGCTCCAATTCGGAGTTTTCTTAATACCCCTCAAAAAAAAAGGGGCCAGCCCTCCCTCTTTTGATGACCCTGCCCGCGTGTCGAGTTGAGGTCTTAGAGGTGGATTTCGAGACGAGAAATATCCCGAGCCAGAACCAAGACGACCGCCTTGTTCTCGTTAGAAACCCCCGAAGCGCTAGGAAAACGGTACCCGCTCGCCCCGCCAACGACCGCCTAAGCCACAAGTATCCGCCGTCCACTCACGTAAGATAGCCGCCGCTCAGCCTCTCTGCTTGCAAACGCCCGTCATTGGCCAACCAGAGCTTTGCCTTGCGCGCAATGGCCTGACCTGCCTTGAACTACCATCCATCCATCTCTCCCCAAACCACACGCACACACGGGACACCACGTCATAACCTCCAAACCAGAAGAGAAGGGACACAAATACCGGCACCCCGTTCGCCTCGCTCGCCCAACATGCTCCTCCGCACAACCTATGCCAGGACGGCTGCTCTCCGTCCCCTCCGAGCCACTTTTTCCACCACTGCCCGAGCCATGGGCGAGGGAGACACCGGCGCGCCCCCAAAGATGGGCGGCCAAGGGTGCGCCCTCCCCGCTCCTCTTTCTCGCCGTCTCAGACGTTATCGGCTAACCGCCCGTCCTCTGCAGTGACGCCTTTCAGCGACGCGAAAAGGCCAGTGAAGACTATGCCATCCGCCAGCGCGAGAAGGAGAAGCTCCTGGAGCTCAAGAAGAAGCTTGCTGAGCAGCAGCAGCACCTCGATCGTCTGTCCAAGCATATGTTCGTCCAAGCCCTCTCCATCTCAGCCCGTCTTGTCCGATTCTGATTGTGTGGCCGAGTCCCGTTGCTGACCTGGACACTGCAGCGACGAAATCACAAAGGACCAGGGCGGCGAGCAGAATTGATGAAGTCTCTTGCACGTGCATCTAAACCGGGCCACAATGGAGCACCAAACCTTGTGCAAGCGTGTAGCAGAAAGTGCTCGACGACCAGAAATCACCCCCATCACACAAATCGAAGAAAAGAGTGCACATATGGTTGATAATCCAGAGTCCATGTTTCGCATCAGTCTAAGTTACTAGGTGTACAATACATACTCAAACGCATCGCACCGAGCCTGCAAGGGCCAAAGGTCCAGTCTAGAGCCTCCCTCCATTGTCCTTCGTCGTGCTCCTCGTCGTGCTCAGATCCTCAGTGCCGTTTCCGGGGTCCAGTCCCAAACTCCAAAGCATCCCAATGGCTCACCGCCGCCCCATGTACGATCGGTAGAAGCTCTCTGCCGCATCGTTTTCCGCCCCGGCATAGTGGCTGTTCAGTGCCACACTGGTCTTCTGCGCCGCCGCCACCTTGGCCTGGAGAGCCGCGGCGTGAGCGTCGATCCACTGCAGCTGCGTGAGGTGCCCGTTCAGCACGCGCACGATCTGACTCAGCTGCGTCTGCCAGTTAGCACGAATTCGTTTGCCGGGCGTCGAGGCCTGCTTACCGGGTCCTCGGCCTTGGCCCCCTTGCTCAGAGTGCCCGAGATGTCGTTAATTTCCTTGACCATCTTGGATAGGTCCCGCGACTTCTCGTCAAGCTGCTGCGTCAGCTTCTCTGCCAGCTTGTATGTCCGCTCGCGCTCCTGGTCCGGTCCGGCAAGCTGCTCTCCAGGGCCGATTTGTTTGACAAACATGTCCTGCACCTCTGATTCATACCGGTCGAGCCAAGCCTCGAGCTCGTCTTGCTGGCTCTCCACTGCCACCAGCTGCCGCTCAATCTCGTGGCTGGCTCGCTCGGCTTCAAAGGTGTCGAGGTACAGCTTCTGAATCTTCTCTCCGTTGTCGACGAGGTTCCTGTCCCAGGTCGACACGACGGTGGCCTGCTCCTTAAACTCCTTTTGGTACTTGGACAGATCCGAAGCCCATCGGGTGACAATATCCTCCATGGTCTTGTTCTTGAGTCGGGGTATCTGCGAGGTGGGGCCGCTCGTCGAGGCGCCGAGTGCGCTCGGGGTTCCGTTCTGGGTGGCGGCTTTGGCCGATGGAGTATCCTTGCCCACGTTCTGGGTGGCGGGCTGAGCTGCGAAGAGCCCGCCGGCTGCAGAGGCCGAAGTCGTTGACGTGGTGGCCGCTGGCGTAGGTCCCGCCGAAGCAGGCTGTGAGGTGCCAGAGGCGGCTGGTGCGCCAAAGGGTGACGAAGTAGGCTTGGCCGCAGCGGCACTGGTGGAGGACTGCAGGTTTCCAAACAGGCCTCCTGCGGTCGACGATGCTGCGGGAGCTGCGGACGTCGTCGGGGTAGAGGCAGCCGGCTTACCGCTGCCGAACAAACCTCCCGTAGCACCAGTCGGGGCGCTTGACGTGGACGGGGCAGGCGTGTTGGTAGCAGTCGCGCTGCCAAAGAGCCCTCCAGCGGGCGCCAGCGTCGTGGTCCCAGACGCAGCGGGAGCGGCCGGCTTGTTGGTGCCGAAGAGCCCTCCGGCGGCGGGTGTTCCCAAGCTTGCTGTAGTCTTGGCACCAAACAGGCCACCCCCGCCGCTGGGAGGATTGCTGCCTGCCTGTCCACCGCCAAAGAGCCCAGATGCAGGAGTCGACGTTGTCTGCGGTGCAGCAGGAGCCGCGGCGGACTTGGACGAGTCCGTTGGCGGTGCTCCTGCGGGTGTAGTTGATGCGAGCGAGAACATGGGCTTCGCGGGAGTTGCTGCGGCGGTGGCTGACTGGCTGCCGGGCGCGCTCTCAGTCTTGTTCCCAAAGAGCGAATTGCCCGTGCTGGCGAACATGCCCGAAGCTGGCGCGCCTGTCGTGGGCGTTCCCTGACTCGGAGGAGCGGTGCTTCCAAACAGGCCGCCTCCCGTATTGGAACCACCGCTGGCACCGCCAAACACGCTCGAGGCTGGCTTGTTTGCCGCGGCGCTGGGGTTTCCGAACATGCCACCAGATGCTGGAGCTGCAGCCCCAGCACTGCCCAAGATGCCTCCGCTTGCGGGAGTTGCGTTGGCCGCCGCTGGGGTGGATGATGGCTTCGGTGCGCCGAACACACTGCCGGCGGAAGCGGGCGTAGTCGAGCTGTTGCTTCCGAACAGTCCTCCAGCCGCGGGAGTCGCCATGCTCGTGCCAGGGGCAGCCATGGTGGAGGCTCCGCCGAATACGCTGGACGCCGCCTTTGGCGCGTCACCGCTGCTTGGCTGGCCAAATACGGAGGCCGAGTTGCCCGTAGGTGTAGAATTGTTGTTGCCAGCGGATGCGCCGCCCAACGACCCAAATGAGAACTTGGGCGTGCCGGTAGAAGCAGAGCCAAAGAGACCGCCCGCAGCAGGCGCCGAAGACGTGTTTGTGTTGGACGGCTCGCTCGACGAACTGGGGGTTCCGAAGCTGAACGCCATGGCCGCTGCAGAGGGCAGAAAAAATCGATCGCCCGAGTCGTTGGTCGGTGCTTGGTCGGCGCGCGAGGCTGGCTAGCTGGCTAAGGTAGCTGGAAGAAATTGTTCGCTCACGAATCCACCATGGCAAAGCAGATGAGAAGATAAAAAAAGAGCTTTTGCGCAGCTGCCAGAGACCGGTGTTGGTGAGGTGAACGGCGGGCCAGTCCCGAAGCAGGGAGATTTCTGGCAGGCTGCAGAGCTAAAGAGTTGCTGTTTTTTTTTTCTTGAGCCGTGGTTTCGACGCGCCGGTAGCTCCCCGATGCGCCAACGTGAGGCGGCGGAGCCGCAGCAAGGTACCTGCCAGTGAACGGCACTGCCACCAAGCCCCACGTGATGAACTTCAATGCCGACGACGACTCTCCCAAACCTGCCTCTTCTAGATCCGAGCATACATTGCCACGTTGCCGAATTTAACCATCCTGCTCGGGAGGGCGCCGCGCTCCATCCGTGCGCGTCCAGGGCAGAATCCCGCGCCTCCTACATCGTCGACCGATCGCCAAGGGCCCGTAAGTCGGCCTGACGGACAGTATCCGACATTCAACTTCCGTATTCCGCCGCAAACCATCCATCGAGGCGCTCCCTGAAAACACCCACCGCACACGCGGCCCCGAAGAGCCATAGGAGCGTCGCCCATCCCCCGTCGCAAACAATGGCCGGCTCCGAGGGGCTTGAGCCTCCCCCGGAGACCAACGTGGCCGACCCAGGGGCACGCCAGCTATGTCCGTCACCCACTGTCCCCCACTATCTCGAACGTCCACAGGCTGACAAATGCGCGCAGCTGAATCCTCCGACGAAGACGACCGGTTTACAGACGCGCAGTCGGGCCCCGCGAGCCCCCGCGCCGGCTCCCCCATACCCAAGACCAGGGTCGAAAAGGTCGACAACGAGCCGTCGCACGGCCAAGTCCCCGGCACCGAGGCCTACGAACAACGCGAGCAGGATGCGCAGCCCGACGAGATTGCCGTCGCGCTGGACGAGGATGCCGCGACGCCACTGGCCACTACTAGCGCGGAAATCCCGTTGACTTTGGTGCAAGAAGCTCCGGGCCCAGAGCCCAGCTCGCCCTCCCCGGAGGCAGAGGCTAAGCGCGCCGCCGACGCTGAACCAGACGTGACGCTCAATGCGGACGGCGAGGTTCGGGGCAGCGGCGAGGACTTTGGGGACGATTTTGACGATTTCGAGGAGGGCGCCCAGGACGACGATTTCGACGACTTTGAGGATGGGTTCCAACAGGCTACCCCTCTGGCATCATCGGCTCAACAGCCGGAGTCTCACCCTCAGCCCTCTTCACTGCCACTCGTAAGAGTCCAATTCTCTGATCCCTTTCCTTGTAGCGTTCTGACAGCCTTCAGCCTATGCCCGACTTCGACGGTCTCGGACCGGATGACATTATCTCTTGCACAGAGCCCTACTTGGATGCGCTTTTCCCCCCAGACGAAATCGACTGTCCCACGCCACCACCGCTGCCCAAGGACCTCTCCATCTTCATGACACCTCGCGCCGCGCCCCTGTGGTCCCAGCTCGTGGCCCCCCCCCCGCTTGCCCCTCCCGACTGGATCCGCTCCCGCACCCGCCGTTTATTCCTCGTCTCGCTGGGCGTGCCCGTCGACCTCGACGAGATCCTCCCCGCGTCGAAGCAGAAGAAGCTCATCCTGCCTTCGCTGAGCATCCCCGCCACCTCCCCCCGCACCTCGGGCGACTCGCGCTCAGCGTCGCGGTTGCGGCAGGGCGAGGGCAACGCCTCATCGACGTCGCTAGACACGCAGGGAAAGGCCGCAGGTCCCAAGGGACGCAAGGGACCCCCGCCGCAGCCAGAGCTGGACTTGGTTGCTGCGCGATACCTCTGCACCACCACGGACGAGGCCCTGAACGGGATGACGACCGAGGAGCTCAAGGATCACGTCACCAAGCTGGAATCCATGGAAGACGCGGCCAAGGAGCTGCTGGAGTACTGGCAAAAGCGGACGGATGAAAAGATAGGTGACCGCGAGGCATTCGAAGGAGTCATAGAAAACCTCGTCAAGCACGCCCGCAAAGTGCGGAAATAGACAATCCCCTCACCTGCATCGTCCAAATTCAAGTCGATCGCCGCAAAACTGCTGCGTGCCCCTTTACGGGACTGTTCTCCCCGACGGAGATCCATGATCCAGTGACGGACGTATCTACAGCATGCATCCCCCTCTCTGTACTCGGTTTGGCCAAATTCCCATGTGATTCCTCATGACCGCACCGTCTCCACAAGGCCCGTTTTGAATTGACGCCCAGTAGCGCCAGCCATGCCCTCCACGCCCCGCTGCTTGGCCTCCTTTTATCAATGCCACCTTTCAATCGAGCTCGTTGAGCGGCCGGACATTGCGGCGATCGCGCCTTTAATTCGCTACACAATCATCTCGGTCGTTCAAGACATGCTAGGCTCCAGCGTCACACCGCTAAAGACGAGTCAGCAGACGATCGCGAGAGTAAATGACTATAAAGGGGCGGCACTCACGCTGCGATGGTAGCCCAGCCGATGAGTCGCCAGTGCTTTTCGATGCGTCGACTCAGCGCAACCTTCTCGCCAATGGTTGTGCAGGCGGGGCTGGTCAGGACGAGCTTGGCGGCATCGTTCTTGATGGCGGCAACCTTGGCGCCCGTCGAAGTCGAGCCGATGTTGACCATGATGACCTCGTTCTTAGCCAGCTTGGCGACCTTGGCCTGCTTGCCGTCCGCAGTCCTCACACCGAGGAGGCGGCGCAGGAGGTAGAAGTTGACCTCGATCTCGCTGTAGATTTCGGGGAGTCTTCCCCTGAGACCCAAGACGAACCCGACCAGTCGATCGGCTCGGCAGAGGGTAGGGTCGATCCGCGTACCGACGCCAATCAGGCCACCGGGAACGGCGTACTTGAGGTCGTTGGCCTCCGAGTTGAGCGAGACGACTCTGCTGAAGATGGGGGTGCATTTCAAAGAGCCCGCGTCGTCTCGAGACACGATGCCAGGCCGAATCTCAATCTCGTCGCCCAGCTTGACGACGCCGTGCAAAATACTGCCACCGGCAACACCGCCCTTGAGCTCGTCAATCTCCGCGCCGGGCTTGTTGACGTCGAAAGATCGGATGACAATCATGTGAGGGTCCATGGTGAAGTCTCTGGGGGGCACAGGGATGGTGTTGACAATGGCCTCGTTGACGGCATCGATGTTGAACTTGAGCTGGGCCGAGATGGGGATTACGGGGGACTTGCCTGCGACCGTTCCTCGGATGAACTTGAGAATGGAGTCGTAGTGTTGCTGGGCGGCCTCCTCTCTCATGAGATCGACCTTGTTTTGCAGGATGATAATCTTGTCCAGCTTCATGATTTCAATTGCAGCCAGATGCTCCGAGGTCTGGGGCTGGGGGCACGATTCATTGCCGGCGATTAGCAGAAGGGCTGCGTCCATGACGGCGGCACCCGACAACATGGTGCTCATGAGAATGTCGTGGCCGGGGCAGTCGACGAAGCTAGACAGGGATTTGTGTCAGCTCCGTACCACGAGTTGCCGGCATGCCGGGGGGACTCACGAGACGTGTCGCAGTAGCCTGTAGGTGCCGCTGCAGCCATCTCGCTCGCAGGGCGGGTCGACCTCCTTCTCGCTCTTGTAGCTTCGGTAGCACCCAGGGCGCGGGCAGTCGGCGTTGTCACACTTGTAGATCTTGGCGTTGGCATAACCCAGCTTGATGGTGATGTTACGGATCAGCTCGTTCTTGAAGCGAACCGTCTGGACGCCCGAGATGGCCTTGACGACGGTCGACTTGCCGTGGGCGACATGGCCGATGGTACCAATGTTGATGGTGGCTTGGCGGGCGATAATCTCGGGGGTGAGGGGAGACAGGCTGGCGATGTCGAGATCTTTCGGGTCGGTTTGCGGGGGCAGCGGGGGCCTTGGGACAGACTGGTCTGGGATGGCAGGGTTGGACTTTTTCAGGGCCGACTTGAGGGGCTTGTCCTCGAAGCCATCGCCGGCGTCGACGTGGCCGTCAAAGGACTCGCCAGACTCGGACTCGGACTCGATGTCGTCGTATTTGGTATCGCCGTTGGCAGCCATGATGAGGGTTTTGGTGGGGCACTCGGCTGCAAGAGTTTGCTGTTGACTGGCAGTAGGTGAGCCTCGGCGAAAGGGACCGGGATGGACGCGTCTCTGGTGGACTCGGCGTAGTCGAAAGCCTCGGAGGAAGTGCAGTGGCCGCGAGAAGGGATGTCTAACCGTCGCGGCGCAGCGTCGAGGGAGTCTGGAGCTGGAATATTTCGCCTCGTAGCAGTCAAAATTCCTCGTGTGCAGTCATAGGGACTTGGGCAGACGGCAGAGTCTAGCGCTAAGCCGGTTCGGGCCTGATAGGCCGATAAGCCTGAGGTGCCCCTCGGCGGCTGAAGCTCGGCTAGCTGCCCCGCTCGGGAGATACTTTGTACTTGAGACTTTCAGCGCAAGGGTGAGCCTCAGGTCGACGATGACGCATCAGCCCTGGTGAGCCAGCGAGTCACAAAAGGTGGAGGTGGTAGCGACAGGAGGCGAGCCACTTCTCAGGGCGGGTGGTTTACGATCCGAGCAACTAGCTTATTGGCGTGCAAGCTGGCTACGTTGCACTTGGAAAGGCATCGGCAAAGTCTCCGGGTTGAGGGGCATCGAGGCACCTAGACTTGTGGGTATCGTAAGCGGAGTTGACCCGGCAAACGAGGCCTGAGCGTTCGGCAGGTGAAGTCGGGTAGCGGCGAGCTAACAAGGCTCCCGTCGACGAGGCTGTCCCGGGATATCCTACCCTACAGGGTTAGACCACGGCGCGACTGTATTCCATGCGATCGCCGGCGGACCGTGGAGCTAAGGTATCCTAAAATATCACGGGCCCTTGGCCGAGCATCGCCGTGCAGGCGAGGACGGAAGATAAGGTTGCCGTCAGATTACAGCGCCAGCCAGCCAGCCAGTGCAGATGCGATGTTTTTCCTATGCAGCCGGCGGATGCGCCGGAAGCCGTGCTGCAAAACCAGACAGACGTTGCGAGGCGCCAAAACACGGTTGAGCTCGACAAGTCCCAGGTCAAGTCGAAGCGTGGCCTTTGGTGCTTGCGTTGGTGGTGGTTGAGGCTGTCGTGTCAGGACACCAGACGGTCGGAGGACGCCGTCCGAGTCCGGGCATGGATGGACATGCCCACCTTCTTGTACAGTATGGCGTCAACTGCAGACGTGTGTGTTGCACCGCATCGACGACGGGAGAAATCTTTTTTTAAAAATGCTCGGTGGGCAGAGACGGTGCAAGGCAGACGGGCGACGAATCCCAGCGCCCGTGTTGCCGCCGGACGCCGGTAACTCTGGCGATCGCAGCCATCCCCGCTTGGGGTTGGCCTCGGGAGAAGCCAATCAGCGTCCCGAACCCACTGCTGCAGAGCGCTGGGGGCCACGCATGTCCGCCGCTCCACAGCCCACCGGTTGGCTCGCCATGCGCTGTGCCGCCCGGGGGGATCGTTAGCCGCCGTGCTGCAGGGCCTCGCCGGGCTCTAATTCGCCAGCCCCGGGGGATGCAACCTCTGGATCGAATCTCAAGCAGCACGGGCAGGTTTCCTGTTTGCGCCCCTGTCGGTTGGAAATGCAATCGGGACGCTGCTGACGAGGGCCTGCTGCCCTTGACACGGAGCCGAGGACGCTGCCGTTGCACACGCACTGCACCCACAGCACTTACATACAGTCACAGGCGCATACGGACTTACGGAGGGAGTACTACCTACTACCTACAGAAGTTACAGCACAGCTACCACTGCTGCTGCCGAGAAGCACCTGCTGGCCAGCCCTCGGGACGCAGCAGACCGCCCATCCGAGCTCTTCTCCCACCGCCTCCTCCTCATCCATTCGTCCCCTCTTGTTCCATCACCATCGGGGCGAGTCGAGGATTCGGATGCTCCAGCCACGGCCCCGGTCCCATGGATTGTACACGGCATATCGACAAGTGTAAGTCTCTCCTTGCCGGCATCCCCCGTCCTCTTGGGCGTCTATCAACCCGTCGCCGCCCTATCAGAATCCTTGCCGCTTCCCTCCCCCATGCAGCCACCTCCTCTTTCTGCCTCCCGCCTCTCGCTCCTCGGCGCCTGCGGGCTGTCGAATGAGCTCGCACTCGCTGCCGCCCTCAAAACCCGTCCCAGTCCCTCGACTCTGGCCCTGCTTCCCTGGCCGGCCCTCTTCCACTCCCTCGGACAGCTGGTCTCTCCATTCTCCTTGCGCTTCTTGTCTTCCTTTGGCGTTCTGGCCGCGACTGGTTTCCAGGCCCGATCCCGTATCGTTGTTGACCCTCGGTTACACAGAGCACACAAATCCCTCGACTTCTCCTTCTCAGCCGCTCTGTCCGACTTCGTCATACCCTCCTCTCACACGCCGCGCAATGGTCGTCCAAGGTTGGTCATCATCACTCGGGCCATCAAAAGCCCACGTCCACTGACTCGCTCTTCAGGCCCTGATGAGAAGAAGCGGCCTGCCGCCTTGAGCTTGACTCCCGCCCGTTCCATCTCGGATTCCTCTTCTTCCACAAACTCCCTCAAAGTACCCCGTTCTCCTCGTTTTGCAGAGGCCACCTCTGTACACTCTCCCGTCGCCATGCGCTCCCCCTTTGCCGATCCCGACAAATCTCAGGTCCCCCAGTCGCAGCCCACCGACATTGGCTTCGGCTACATCGCCAACCAGCCCAACCGCGAATCCGTCGCCGTGCCCATGACGCCCAAGTCCCCCCTCAAGAGCGCCATCAAGATGCCTGGCACTCCGGCGAGGCAGCTTTCCAACCCTCTGAGCCCCACCTTTCGCGAGGAGTATATTCTGGAGAAGCGTGAGCTGTCGACTGAGAAAGAGCAAGTCAAGGACGTGGTAAGTCATGGCAAAGAAACCCATTGGGGCGAAATGGATCATCTTCTGACCAGCTTGTACAGAAAATGAAGACGCGCGTCCGCATGGCCAAGTTTGCTCTCCGTGGCGTCGGTTTCAGCTGTTCCCTCATCATCCTCTCCATGCTCTCCGCCTCCTTTGCCATATTCAACGCCACAAAGAGTTTGCCCAGCCAGAGCGGCATGCCGTCCTGGGCGCCCAACACCGCCTCTATGGCTTGGCCCCAGAAGCTAGCCCTCTCCATGGCCTGTTTCTCCCTCTTTGTGTGCATACTTGTCTTCGCCACCTACTGTCGAGGAGGGCACAAGCGCGCAGAAAAGGTCAACACGTACTATCAAATGTTTGCCGTCGGCTGGGTGAGTGAAAGCCTGCCCCTTGAAGTCTGCAGCTTATGCTGACCGGCGACATCAGTTCATGACGAGCCTAGTCCTCTGGGTCGTCACCGCCGCCCTGTTCCAGCATGCCAAGGATCACAGTAACAACAAGGACATGTGGGGATGGGCCTGCGTTGACAACACCCGTTCCGACGTCTTCGGCCAAAAGGTCGACTATCAGCTCGTCTGTCGCCTCCAAAACTGGTCCCTCGTCTGCATCATCATCGAGGTCGTCGTCGAGGTCGTGTCCATTGCCCTCTACAGCTTCGTCTTTTACCGCTACTACACCAAGCGCCGTCTCTTCAAGTCCATGGATCTGCGAGACCGTGCCCGCTCCGATCTCTACCTTGCCCAGCTTCGCTCTCAGTCGGCCCCAAACACGCCCGGCTTCGGCGGCCCCAAGTCTCCCGCGTTGAGCAACTATGCCATGTCTCCTCGTCATCCACCCGCGGCGTACCGCAATCTCTCGGACATTGACGAGTCGAGTCCTTTCACCCCCGGCGGCCGCGTTGTCGAGCCCCAGTCCCAATTCTCCCAACCCTTCTCCGGCTTCAAGCTGCAGCCTCCCCCGACCAAGGCCCCCTCGGCCACCCCAAAGACAAACCAGGGAGCCTTTTCCCAAAGCGCAACGCCATCGAGCGGTGCCCTGGCACAGCCGGCTCCTCTTGCCGCCGACGAGCCGACGTACGACGCAGTTCCCATTCCCGGGGCGTACGCAGGCTCATCGGTCAAGAGCCCGCCCCCAACGGCGACGACGTTTGGTCAGGCTCGGTGAGGCGACAGAGGGCGGGGTGAAGCGTGAGGGAGATGACTTTGCTTTGGGGGTCTAAAATATGGCATGGAACTGCGCCGACTATTCGGCCGCATCTGTCTCGAGGAGATATTATACCACAGGCGTAATTTTTTTTTGTTTTTGGATAGGCATGTCATGGACATGTCCTTGAGTCGAGGTGGATTGGCTAAACAGCCGCTCTCTTAATATTTGCTTTCGTACAAATTTACAAATGCCCAACTCACAATCTTCAGCCTGTCAAACAAGGGTCGTCGACCGAGGTGCGCGCAGGGCGTGGGCCACGGGCATCGCAACTTGACAACCAGCAAGGTTCGTGGGGCGTGACCCACTTCATCTTCCACCTCCCCCACTTGCATGACACGTCGGAACAAAGCGCGCGGCACGGTAAAAGGAAACAAATCGTCATAAAGAAGCGATTCCTAGGTACAGGAACAGGGGCGACAAAGGAGAGATGAAAAGACAAGAACCGTTGCATTACTTTTTGGTAGCCCGCCACACCTTGAACCTTGTAGGTGCAAAGGACTTCCCGAGCCTCCGCCACGCAGCCAATTCGATTTTTTTGCCCTCCAGTCACCGCGAGACCGTTCATGGATCCGTGCAAAGTCTCGGATGTGCCTCTAGAAACGCAAATCTATCAACAGCTGCAAGGAAAATCGCCGCAAACACTCCGTCAGATGCCAAAACTGCCGTGCGGGGGCTACCCAATGGCAAAGCAGCCCGGCCAGGATAACTGTCGACGATGGTGTGCCTCTGTGACCTTAGATGAGGTCGGCCACGTTCATGGGCATTTCCTCGATCTGGGTGCTGTAGAACTGTTCAATCTCACGCATCATGCGCACATCCTCGGCGGTGACAAAGTTGATGGCAACGCCCTTTCGGCCGAATCGGCCGCCACGACCAATGCGGTGGATGTAGTTCTCGCGGTTGGCGGGCAGGTCGTAGTTGATGACCAGGGAGACCTGCTGGACGTCGATACCACGGGCCAGAAGGTCAGTGGCGATGAGGACGCGGGAGGAGCCGGATCGGAACTCCTTCATAATCAGATCACGCTGGGCCTGCTCCATGTCGCCGTGCATGGCAGAGACGGTGAAGTCGCGGGCGGCGAGCTTGTCGGTGAGCCAATCAACCTTTCTGCGCGTGTTGCAGAAGATGACGGCCTGAGTGATGGTGACGGTTTCGTACAAGTCGGACAGAGTGTCGAGCTTCCACTCCTCCTTCTCCACGGCAATGTAGAACTGCTTGATACCCTCCAGGGTAAGCTCGTCCTTCTTGACCAGGATGCGAACGGGGTCGCGCATGAACTTTGTGGTGACTTCGAGGACGTCCTGAGGCATGGTGGCGGAGAGCAAGACAACCTGGGTGCTCTGGGGCAGAAGCTGGAAGATGTCGTAGATTTGCTCGGTGAAACCACGCTGAAGGGAGAGGGTTAGCGCGAGCACGTTGCAAGCGACGTGACGGGCCGCGTCTTACAGAAAGCATTTCGTCGGCCTCGTCGAGGACGAACATCTTCATGGCATCAGTCTTGAGGAAGCGACGCTGGATCATGTCCTGGACACGGCCAGGGGTGCCGACAACGACTTGGGGGCCGTCCTGGAGGGCCTTCATGTCATCGCGCACGCTGGTTCCACCGATGCAGGCGTGACACTCAATCTTCATAAAATCGCCAATAGCGACTACCACCTTTTGGATCTGCTGAGCAAGTTCACGGGTGGGAGCCAGGATCAGGGCCTGGCATTGCTTGAGGTCTTGGTCAATCTTTTGGAGAACGGAAATGGAAAAGGTTGCCGTCTTTCCAGTTCCCGACTGGGCCTGGGCAATGACGTCGTGGCCCTTGATGACGGGCATGATGGCGCGCTGCTGAATGGCAGAGGGTCGCTCAAAACCATAGGCGTAGACTGGGCGACAGGCGTCAGCAGGGTTGCAGGCCGAAAAGGGGGGAATGCGGGCAACTGGGACTCACCACCACGGAGCAGCTCAGATTTGAGGCCCATGTCATCGAACGAGTCGATAGTCTCGTCATAGTTGGACTCGATCTGCCCTGTACGCCGAGCTCGTCAGTCTCCGGTGGACGAGCGAGGCGAGAGAAAGCTGGAGCGACGCAGGCCGCCTCAGGATGCGAAGAGACAGGCTGGCAGCGCCTCGGAGCGCGCCAGAGAGCGGAGGCAAGGCAACTCACCCTCGGGGACGTCCTCGAGTCCCTTATCGGTAGCCATGATTGCGCTGGTGCAGAAAAATCTAGATCAAGCACAGCTCGATCTAGACGATATCGAATACGCGGGGGCGACGGGGTGGAGGCGACAGAAAAGTCTGCAGGCGCTTCGCTGAAGAAGGCTGCGACTGGGGCCGAAGAGAAGAAGACTAGATTCAAACGCTCTCGAAGATGTCGAGAGCCGGCAGAATCCAGGAGAAAGCTGGTGATGATCGCGGAGTGATGTTTCTCTGAGGCGAGAGTTGAGGGAGGGAAAAGGGAAAAAAAAATCACTTGCTGAGGGGCTCTGGCCGACTTGTAATTTTTCCCTCCTGCCCACTCCGGGGCCCAGCCAATCAGCGGGGGCGAGCCCCAAGGCGGGCCCACGCTTTTAGGGTCGCCTCCAGCGAACCACAGCGGTGCGTTTCGGGAGCACGGGGGGCACCTACATTTTTTTTGGCTCTGGAGGCGGCCGAGGGGATTTTTGTTTCCATATTTCTTGTGTTTCTCTCCCGTTTTCCGTCCATTTTCGCTCTGGCCTGCGAGGCTTGCTCGTGGCGGCGCGGGGCCATTTACAGTAGGTATTGTACACTCTTCACACTCAGCCAAATCCACACCATTACTCACATTCGCTAAACTCTGTTGCAAAAACCTCTTCTTTTCACTCGTGATCCACCACTATTGTTGGTACTACATACATTCTGCCATGCCCTCTGCTGTCGGGCATCGTGACCAAGATGGCTCTCTGCCTCGTCTCGACAAGCCAGATGCTCCCGAGCCCAGCAGGTCTCGCCGCGCAGACTCGATCCCGTCGCACCCTCTCCGAGTAAAGCCCCTCGGTAATCGCTATCTGTCCGACGGGCCCAACGCCCGCGCCAGCGTAGGCGCATGGAGTGCTCTCCCCGATGAGATGCTCATGCTGGTCCTGGAGCTCTTTGACCCGAGGGAGCTCCTCCGCCTTGGCTCCACGTGCAAGTTTCTCTACGCCTTTTGTCATCTAGACGAGTTATGGAAGGCCGTATTCCTTCGGTACGTGGTTCTGCATTGCGCTCTTGCACATCTCCACTGCGTCGCGGCACTGGGCGCCTTGATCAAGTAGTTGCTCAGCATCATTGGGAATGACCTGCTGGCACGGCGCCGACTCAAACTGCCGAGCCACCGCGCCCGTCACTTGTCCAGTGTTCCTGGTCCGCAGTTCCTGGTCCGCAAACCACCATCGTTCCTCGTGACGCTCATTGCCTCGCGTGACTGACCGGGCACTCTATAGATTGCCGAGGGAGGATAGCCAGCCACTCGGATGGCTTGGGTCCTGGAGACGCACCGTTCTGGCCTTGTCCAAGGATCGAGAGGCTCGCGTCGACTGCGGCAATGTCTATTCTGACGTCTTGCATCGGCCGTTTGCTTGCACCAACATCAACCTTGAGCCATATGTCACCAACATCCCCAAAGCAAATCAGATGCGCCGGCTCGACAATGTCACCTACGACCAGTTCGCGGAGCGATGGACCGAAGAGCCCTTTATCCTGACGAAATGCATCCAGGACTGGCCTATTTGCTCCACGTGGTCCATCGGCAGCCTCCTCCGAGACTATGCCGACGTCGAGTTCCGCGCCGAGGCCGTCGACTGGACACTGGCGCGATACTGCGGCTACATGAGCGACAACAATGACGAGAGCCCGCTGTACCTGTTTGATCGCAAGTTTGCCGACAAGATGGGCATCAAAGTTGGTTCAGATGCCGACGCAGCGTACTGGCGGCCGGAATGCTTCGGGCCCGACCTGTTTGAGGTTCTGGGGAGCGAGCGGCCGGCCCATCGATGGCTGATAGTCGGGCCCAGGAGGAGCGGCTCGACCTTTCACAAGGACCCCAACGGTACCAGCGCCTGGAACGCCGTGATAAAGGGTGCCAAATACTGGATCATGTTTCCTCCGGCCGCGCAGGTGCCGGGCGTCTACGTGTCGCCCGATAGCAGCGAGGTGACGAGCCCGCTGAGCATTGCCGAGTGGCTGCTCACCTTTCACGACGAGGCCCGCCAGATGCCAGGCTGTGTGGAAGGCATTTGCCTTGCTGGCGAGATTGTCCATGTGCCGAGCGGATGGTGGCATCTGGTGGTGAACCTGGAGAGCGGGATAGCTGTGACGCAGAACTTTGTGCCTCTGTCGCCGGGGCTGAAGCTCGTCTCGGAAGTGCTGTCGTTCTTGCGCGACAAGCCGGACCAGGTTTCCGGGTTTTCGAGTGCCGTCGAGGACCCATACACGCTTTTTGCCGAGAGACTGGGGGAAACGTACCCCGAAACGTTGGACAAGGCTTTGGACCTGGCGGACAAAAGGAGCGGCAAGAAGCGCAAGTGGGACACAGCCGTGGCGCAAGGAGGAGCGGGGTTCAGCTTTGGATTCGGGGGCGACGAGGACGACGAGGAGATAGACTGACGAGGCGTCTTTTGGCCAGGGCTGTCCGGCAGGCACATGCACGCACAGGATTGGCCTCGGTGATGTTGACGTAGGGCCGAAGCCAGGTCTTGCGCTGGCGCTGTTTGTAGGGATGGAATGCAAGGTGAGGCGGTTCCGATGGTGTGCTTGCTAGTGCATACAGTACCCGGGACCTGCATGGCCGGCCATGTGCCCCCAGCACGAAGGCTTGAGAGTTTTTGGCTCTGGTGGCTGCTGGTGAGGCTCTGAAGTGGAAGCTCTTTGTGGGCGCTTGTTTGTCCGGCCTTCCAGGCTTCCACCAGCAACTCCACCTCTTTGACTGCCCCCCTTTGTTGATGATTTTAATTACAGTTACTACTTAGTAGCCCTACTTAGTAGTACTTCCCAGGCTGCCGCTGCAGTGCTGCTGCGGTGCTGCTGCTGCTGTGAAAGCACCTGTGCCTTGGCAGTCTGAGATCATCGACCCCACCCCGGGACCATCGGGCACCGGCTTACTACCTCTGTACAAAGCGCACTAACGAGCCTCGTCGCGCGGCTAGTACAGTACATAGGTAGGTAGCTTGTCGTGGCTCCCCTTTCGCCCTCAACCTCCTCCTCCTTGGCGACTAGGAATTAGGCCGGCTCCCCTCTTCTCTCCGTTGCCGCTCTCTCTCTCTCTCTCTCTCTCTTTCTCTCTCTCTCTCTTTCCTTTCATTCTCCTCACTCCTCACCCCTCACTCCTCACTCCTCGACAACCTTCGGCCTTGTCTCTAGGTCCTCGACCACAGTGCCAGGTGCACATACTTAATACGCCCGCGCCGCCGCCACTCTTTGGCTGCACCACGCCGACGACAACCACAAACTTCCCCCCTCCTTCAGCCTATCCCGTGGCGCTGTCGGCTTGCGCGCAACGCGAGCCAGCCACTCAGTCGACCGCGACAAGTCGCCTCTCAGGGTTGTGCGGCGCCATGCGAGCTCGCGCCCGTTCATGTCTCTCGCCGTCTGCCCGCTGCCTGCCCCTCCCGCTCTGATAACTCGTCATTTCTCGCCTCCCCGTCTACGCGCCCGCACTGTATCGGCCTCGACGTGAGCGCGCACAGGCTGGCCAGATTGTGCCAAGGCTGACGAGGCGCCTTCAGCAACCCTGCTGTACTCCCCTGTCGCGGTGTTTGGCCGCCCAGACACCGGCCCACCTGCGTCCGACTCTGCTCCGCACCCAAGCACGTCGACGGAAACGTCACTTCGCCCTTGATCCAGCTTCGACCCCCATCGAGCCGACAACAATGGTGTCCGACGAGCACTACGAGCTGTGCCTGCCTATCCTGCAGGACCCCGCCCTCGAAGACGAAGACAAGACGGACAAGCTCGAGGAGCTCCTCAAAAAGGAGACCAGCCTGACGGGCGCCTCTCTCGACAATGTCGTCCTCGATGCCATGTGGAGATATCGCGAGGCCGGAGGTGCGTCGGCCTCGCCTCCACCCATCCGCCAGTCCATCCTCCGCCGCCCTTCTCCGGCCTCCTGGCGCGGCTCCCCAACGCCCCTGACTGGGTCCCCGCGCCTCGGCGTGAGTCCCCTGGCACCCCCCGGCTTCGTCCCCTCCACCTTCAACCGGACCATGTCGTCGACGGCCTCGCCCTTCTCGTCTCCCCGGGCCTCTCCGCGTCTCGCCCTGGCGACGCCCGCCATACCCCACAGCCCGAACCTCAACGCCTACGAATTTGCGAGCGACTCCACCCCCGCCGCCGAGATCCTCGGTGACTACCAGACGGAGAACGTGGAATGGCTCGTCAATGACGATGCCGCCAGCGTCTCCTCATCGGTCGGCGCATCGAGCGGCCTCAACGCCGCCGCCCCAGAGTTTTCGTCCGTGTCCTCGCTGCAGGCTGACATGTCTCCCTATGACATGCTACGCTCCATTCTTGGACAGACCCGGACTGACGAGGACATTGAGGCTGCGCTCGCCATGCATGGCTACGATCTGAGCGCCACCATTGCGTCCATCATGGAGAATCAAACCCAGGACGATGGGCCCATGGCCCTGCCCATGGACGAGCCACGCAGCGTCGTGGTCGGCAAGTCCATTTCCGCCGACGGACGCCCATCGACGCCTGCCAGCCAGCAAAAGACGGGCGTCATTTGTAAGTTTTACATGTCGACGGGTCAGTGTCTCCGCGCAGACTGCCGCTTCAGCCACGATCTGAGCAGTCACCTTTGCAAGTATGTCGGACTTGTTTCTCCCACTCACGGCGTTGCCCGCCGATGCAGCCGCTCCTCTTTCCATTGCCTTTGCTGATCCTCGAATCCCCTACAGATACTGGGTCATGGGAAACTGCCTTGCCGGCGATACCTGCATCTTCTCTCACGACCCTTCCAAGTTGGTGAATAAGCTTGGACTGGACGAGAGCTCGGCCAAAGTGCAGAGCAGCCTTCAGCTCCAGGACATGAACTCTTTCCCCTGCCTGCGGCCAGAAACCCCCAGTTTCAGGGGTGGCTTCCCCGCAGATGCCAATGCCAACGTCGCGAGTTTCACCCCGCCGCTGGGACCGCGTCACTTGCACGGGACGGAGAGCCCCCGCCTGCGGTCACGGCCGGGCAGCCGACATCAGGCAAAGGACACGACTGCGTCTGCCCCGGCGCTCGACGACAACGAAGCCTTTCCGTGCTTGGGCTCGGCTTCGACGAAGCAAGGCAAGAAGCACCACGGCAAGCGTGGCGGGCATGGCCACGGCCACAAGGAGAACCTTGCTCCGAGCTCCTTGGCGGAAATCGTCAAGAGGACGCCATCCCCCGCTCCAGGCGCGTCTCGCCCCGAATCCCGGAGGTCGGGACACAACGGAGGCGTCGTCCCGCTCCGGAACGGCGAGAGCAGCGCGGCCTCGCAGGCGATCCCCTGCCCCAAGCAAATTCCCTGGCTAGAGACGGGAGAGCTGGCGAACAAGGCGTATCTCAAAGCCCGACAAGACGCCATCAAGCATGGCGGGCTTCGGAACAAGTTTCTGCAGAGGCAAGTCATCCATTGCCGGCGTGATGGCCTCGGGCTAACAGGAAGGAACAGTGCAGCGCAGGCGTGGAACCGCAACGATGCGAGAGCGGCAAAGGCCCTCAGCCTTCGAGGCCAGAGCGAAAACGACCTGATGCGGAAAGCACATCGCGAGGCGGCGCGCGAGCTGTACGAACAACGTAACAAGGGCGGCATGAACAAGGCGTCGGAGACATATGTGGATCTCCACGGCCTCCATCCCGAAGAAGCGGTGGAATACCTGGAGAAGGTGCTGATGGAGAATAGCAGGGTGGCGAGACCCGTGTACGCCATCACGGGCACCGGGCATCACAGCAAGAACGGCAAGGACAAGGTGGGCAGGGCGATCCGCGGCTTTCTCAACGAATGGCGATATGCGTACCGCGAGTTCTCGGTGCCGGGGGACCGCAACAGCATGGGCGGGATACTGGGCATCGATGCCCGCAGCTGGGACAAGTCGCTGGGCCGAGAAGGGGGGGCGGGAGCGGGAGCGGGCGAGGATGCCGAGGCGGTGGACATTCTCAGCCAGGGCGTGGAAATTGGGGACGGCAAGGTCAGGCTGTTGGTCCGGGACGCGCCCAAGGGGCCGAGCGGGCGGCGATGAAGCAAAGAGGATAATTAAAGCAGTAAAAGCACAGAAACGCCCGACTTGCAGAGACGGCGAGGAGGCAGACGAAGATGTGATGGAGCCGATGGGTTGCCAGTGCCCTGTCCCTGCTACGCTGTCGGGGCATCGTCGGCCGAGAGTCTGGAGAAGTGTCCAGGGAAGCGTCTATGCGGTTCCCATGCATAGCCTGCCTGGCTGGTGATGCGCCGTGTCCAGGTACCTGCGTACGGTGGAGGGCGATGCATCCATGCATGCACCCATGCAGCGATGAGTTTCACCGCGCCTCAAGTGTGTGACGTAAGAGGCCCCCTGGGGGTTTTAAAGTTCACCTCGTCGGAAAAGCCTCATCCTTAGCTGTGTCTTTAACTTCTCTCTTCTTCTTCCTTTTCTTCTTCTTCCTCTTCCTCCTCTTCCTCTTCCCCGCGCTGCTTCCCCCCATCTATCGGCTGTCCTCGTCTGCCTTCGCCTTCTGGGCCGCTGCGTTGGCTGCGAACACAGCAAACCTGTCGACCGAGGCGCGCGTGCCAGGACGAGACGAGCAAAGACGAAGAAGTGCAGCGCCGACCCCAGAGACCCGATTGAAGCTCGAGAGAGCCTCGGCCCGCAATCATCGTCGGGGGAAAGGAAGAAGAAGAAGAAAATCCGACTCTCTTGCTTTTGCTGCCGCTGTCCTTTGGCTAGCTGCTCCCCTTCTCTCCCTCCGTTGCCTTCACTTTTTCGCCCCCTCTGCTTAGCGCTCTGTCACTCGTCGTCGCGTCTTCGGGGCAATCGGCATGGAACGGTAGGAAGCCGGGGGACCTCGAGCTACGCCGGTTTGACCTTGCGCCTACTTCCTCGGGACCAACGAGCGACCACCGCCGCTCTTCTCCCCCCCCTCGTCACCCCACGACAGACATGGCGCTGGAGCTCACCGAGACCGGCCGGGGCGGCGGCAGCGCCGGCGGGCCCCCGCCGCGGCCGTCGCTGTCCTCGTCGCACTCGTCGTCGTCGTCGCCGCCGCCGCTGCTGACCGAATCCCCCTCGCCGCCGTCGCCCTCGTCGCCCTCGTCGCTGCCGCCCTGGTCGCGCGGCACCCGCATGTCGCCCTACTCGCGGGCCCCCGACCGCCTCTCCTCGGGCCGCCCTCTCCGCTCGCTCTCCTCGCGCGGGCCTCCTCCGCCACGACGCCAACGACCCGCATACCACCCGGCCGAGCTGCTGCGCGCCGCGCGGGCCGCGGGCGAGCGCCTCGCGCGGGCCTTTATACGCCTGACGCCCGCCCAGCGCGCCCTCGCCGCCGCCGCGGGCGCCGCCGGCCTCGTCGCCCTGGTGCTCGCCGTCGTCTACTCTCACCGCTTCTTCGCCTGGCTGACGCCGCACGCGCGGGCGTGGCGCGAGCGCCGCGGCGGCTGGCTGCTCGTCTTCGCCCTCATCTTCGCCGCCGCCTTCCCGCCCCTCGTCGGCTACTCGACGGCCACGACGCTCGCCGGCTTCGTCTACGGCTTCCCCGCCGGCTGGCCGCTTGCCGCCGCCGCCTGCGTCGCCGGCAGCCTGTGCGCCTTTCTCGCCAGCAGGACCGTCCTCAGCGCCTACGTCGACCGCCTCGTCGGCCGCGACCACCGCTTCGTCGCCCTCGGCCAGGTCCTCCGCCGCGATGGCCTCTGGTGCCTCACCGGCATTCGCTTCTGCCCGCTGCCCTATAGCCTGAGCAACGGCTTCCTCGCCACCATTCCCAGCATCACCCCCCTGGCCTTTACCCTCTCCACGGCGCTCTCGAGGTATATCTCTCCCCCCCCATCATTCTTCAAGCTGCGAGCACAAGCTGACCCTAACCCCCACAGCCCCAAGCTCCTCGTCCACGTCTTCATCGGCAGCCGCCTCGCCGCCCTCGCCGACAAGGGCAACTCGATGACGGCCGGCGACAAGGCCATCAACTATCTTAGCATGTTCCTCGGCAGCGCCGTCGGCATCGGCGTCGGCCTCATCATCTACCGCCGCACCGCCGCCCGCGCCGCCCAGCTGGCCCGCGAGGGCGCCGCCGACCTGGACGCAGACGACGACTTCGACGCCGCCGCCGAGCAGGCAGACGCCGGCTACCACGACTCCGATGCCGCCCTGCTGGACCCGGAAGATGCCGCCGCCGTCATGCTCGACGACGACTTGCTGCCGTGGGACGCCGACGGCACCAGCGGCGCCCCGCCTCCACGGTACGAGGATGAAGACCGCGGCGCCGGCCAGGGCAAGTACAATGGGCGTCCCGACGATGCCTCTGCTGTATGAGTGAGGAAGGATGTGCTCATGAAGGGGAAACGGGCACTGCTTCATGAGCCGCCCCGATGTCGCCCTTGGTTCGTAATGTTAGATCGGTTGGCTTTATTGAATCGGCTCGACCCCTCAGCTGGAAATAGATCAAACCCGCCGAGTCTCGCAAGAGTTCTGGGTCGGCAACACGCATGCATGTATTTATAAGGACTGATCTACTACAGTGTGTTGAGGTACATGTCCCCATACACGAAAATAGTTCATCCTGGAAAGCGGACACTCATGTTTACAAGAGACAAGAAAAGGACAACGCCATGTCTGTCAAAGCAGTCATAATCATCTCAATTTGGGCAATCTGCTTGCATCCTTGTGTCGAGCTTTTGACTTCACATGCCCCTGTGTCTTGAATGCCCATTGCCGTATTCGCCGCCTTCCAAACGCCGTCGCTCAAAAAAATCACGCTGAGGATAACCGAGGGAAAGAAAAGTCGAATCAAGATCCTGTAAAGATCAAACACGCTTCATGGCTGGAAAGACTGGAGTCCAAGGGTCATAAAAATGCAAATCATGAGTTCCCGCGGTCCTGGTTGAGAAACTGGATAGCCTGCTCCATCGGATAGCCGATAAAGACAGGCCCCGTGAAAATCATTTGTGGTGCGCCGCCTTGCCCCGTCTTGAATGAGCTGGGGTTTACGAAAGCAGGCTGAGGCGCGGGCGAAGGAGATGGCGGTGGCATGGCCGCATGGGCTGCAGTAAAAGGTGCGTCCCGGATCACTTGCGGGGTGGGGCTGGCCCTGGTTTCGCCTTTGGGGTGCAAGCCAAGGCCGTTGAGAGCAGCAAGCTTGGTATGGTCAAAGGGGCACTTGCCGCCCGTGACAGGAGCCTGTGTGCTTCGGGTTGGGCTAGGCATACGTACGGGGGCGGGCGGGGGCGACGGCGGATGTTGTTGCTCAGGGCCAGAGACCTCGTAGATAGGGACGGAGATGCCCCATGGTCGACTGGGGGACTCTCCGACGCGGACCTCCTTGAGCGGCCTGTCGAAATGGGCCTGACGCTCGCCGTCGGCGAGACCCGCCTTGTTGTCGGCATCGGACTCGGCCGTACCGCTGACGGCCTGGGCCCAGTTCTCGACGCGCTCGTTAGAGGCTCTGTCCACATCACTCCGATGCGGCAACTCCTCTTCCTCCTCGGGAAGCATCGACTGATGGATTTGGCCAAGTCCCTCAATCATGCTGACGATGTTGCCGTACTTGGAGTCCAGTTTCTTGATCTGCTCTTCGTTCTTCTGGTAGCGTCGAAGGCACACTTCGTGGCTGCGCGGCAGCTCATGCTTGTGCGTCTCGACGTAGTGGGCAATCTCCTCGGCTGAGTGCTTGTCCATGAATCGAATGGGACACTTGCTGGCGGCAGTGCCACTCGGCGGCGGCTGAGAGGCCGACTCGTCGTACATGGCTGCGCAGATGGGATCCGCTGAATGGGGGACAGACTGGTCATGTTCACCAAGTTGCGACGCAGGCCCGTCATCGTCAGCCGCCGACTGCCGGCTGAAGGGACATTGCAGGTTGCCCTTCTTGCCCTCGATAGTAAAGTCCTGTTCCAGGGCCGTCGACATGGACGTCTGGAGATGCGACGTATGCGACAAGGACTCCCTGCTGGAGCCCGTCGTTTTGCTGGGTTCGGCGAGGGAGACAAGCTGGGTGGCGGCGCGGCGTCCGTCGCGGATGACGAGGGCGATGTGATGCTGCGACTGGGGAGAGGAGCGCTGAGGAAGAGGAACGGGAGAGGTGTCGTCGACGGAAGTGTGCGGAGGCAGCTGCAGCTTTGCGAGCGTCTCGGCTATCTCCGGCGTTGACGGCGCATATTTGTCGGCCAGGTATTGGAACTGTGGGAGGGTTAGCGCCAAAGGCCCCGAATAATGGCGACGGAAATGAAAAGAGACGCGACGCGGCAGATGGGTCAGAGAAATAAGAGTTTGTCAGTCTCGGCAGGCGAGCTGCTCGTGATCTAGAGCTAATGATATCTCATCATGTTTTTCTGTCCACGTCTCGTCTCGGGATGGATGGAATAGCGGGAAAATCATTACCTGCTCGTGGGCAAAACGCAGCTTGTGTTCGAGGACCGTCTTGCGGTCGGCCAGGATCTGGACCTCGTCGGCCAGGGCATTGAAAGCATCGGCCAGAGTGTGGGAGAGTCGCAGATGGTCCATGCCCAGGACGACACGGGATGGACAGTGATGGGGAGAGGGAGAGAGGGGGAAGAGGAGAGGAGAGGAGAGGAACTGGAGAAAAGTAGGTGGATGGGGAGGAAGGAAAAGTGACGGGGCAGAAAAAAGCAAGGCAGGCGGTGGGAGGACCAGGACGTTGAAGAAAGTGTCTGGCTGGTACTGCGCCCTGACAGGCACCCGAAAGGCTGCGGCTGCTGGGGCGGGGCAGCTCGGGGTGTCACAGCATCTCAGGTACCTGTAGGCGGTGCCGTGGCAGGCAGAGACAAGGCGGTTTGAGTTTGCGAGGCCGGCACTTTGTTTAGTCATGGAGCCGAAAAAGTACAGGACCCCCGCCCGGTACAGACCGAGTACATGCGGTTGTTCACTCACTTGTGGGCGCGAGTGTCGGGCGGAATCTCCGACGCGTCAGTGCTGTGCCTTGGCGCAGACACAGGCTCCACAGAGCCTGGCGGTACCTGCTGTAGCCTGTACGTGCATTGGTCGGCATGCCTGTGGCCAGTGGAGCTGCCTGTCTTCTCCCCCAAGTCCCCGTCTCCAACCACCGTCGCATCACGAAGCAAGGGAAGTGAGCGACTTTTCACCTCGGCCAAGGGGCAGTATAATTGATCAAAGCTCTCTGCTCCCCATTCATGTACTGTACATACTAGGTAGCTCAGCTGTAAATTGCTCGCCTGCATGGAGAGGGGGGGAGGGGGGAAGAGCCTATTTCTCAACGTCCTCTCTTCTGCTCTTCCTCGTAACGACAGCAAAACCCTCACTCACCCCCTCCGCCCCCTCCAAGGAGCCCTTCCAAGGATCCCCTCTCCCCCTCTCCCACCTCCAACACGCAGCTCACGCACAATGGCCGCCATGGACATTCCGCCGGCCAAGCTGCTCAGCAGCAAGAGCCATGTTTTGCCCGGCCAGCTCCTCGTCACCGAGCTCTTCTTCCAGGTGCCCCTCGACTACGCCAACCCTTCGGTCGGCACCATCACCCTCTTTGCCCGCCGCGCAAGCAAGCGTGAGCGGCCCATCTTCCCTCCCGAAGACGACGAAGGCCACCACAATGACGACGACGGCGACGACGACAAGTCCTCCCCGCCCAAGCCCTACATGGTCTACCTCGAGGGCGGGCCCGGCTTCGGCAACCGTGAGCCTCAAGAGCACCCCCTCACCCGCGCCGTCCTCCCCCGTGGCTACCAGGTGCTGTTCCTTGACCACCGCGGCGTCGGCATGAGCACCCCCGTGTCCACCGCCATGCTTGCAAAGCTGGGCGACGCCGACGCCCAGGCCCGCTACCTGCGCCTCATGCGCCAGGACAACACGGTCCGTGACTGCGAGGCCGTCCGCAAGTGTCTCACCGACGGCTGGCCCGCGTCTAAGGCTTCGTGGTCCATCTTCGGCCAGTCCTACGGCGGCTTCGTCTCCCTGTCCTACCTCTCCATGTACCCGCAAGGCCTCCGCGAGGTCTTCCTCACCGGCGGCCTCGCTCCCGTCGGCAAGACCATCGACCAGGTCTACCGCGCCACGTTTGGCAGGACGGCCGAGCGTAACAAGCAGTATTTTGCAAAGTTCCCCGAGGACGTCAAGGTCCTCCGCCAGCTTGCCGCTTACATCGAGAACCAGGGCGGCATCTCCCTCCCCGCCGGCGGCTCTCTGACGGTGCCCCGTCTGCTCACCAGCGGCATCGCCTTTGGAGGCCACGGCGGCTTTGACAGCGTCCACAGCCTCCTCCTCCATCTCAAGACGTCCCTCGACCAGCTGGGCTTCTTCACGCGCGCCGCCCTCCAGGCCGTCGAGGCCTTCACCACTTTTGACTCGAACATCATCTATGCCATCCTCCACGAGGCCATCTACTGCGACGGTCCCGGCCAAGCCTCCAACTGGTCCGCCTATCGCATCGGTCGGGACCGCGAGCCCTTTTCCTGGCTCAACCCTGGATGCGACTGCTCCAACCCCGACCAGCCGCTGTATTTTTCGGGCGAGATGATCTTTCCGCTCCACTTTGAGACGTACCCAGAGCTCATTCCCCTGCGTCAAGTTGCCGAGAAGCTGGCTACGGCCGATGACTGGCCACGCCTGTATGACGAGCAGCAGCTGCGCAACAACTCGGTCCCCGTGTACGCCATGTCGTACGTCGAGGACATGTACGTCGACTACGACTTTGCCAGGCAGACTGCCAAGCTTGTCAAGGGTACCAAGGTGGCCGAGACCAACATGATGTACCACTCTGCCCTGCGGGCCAAGTCGGAAGAAGTGCTGCAAACCCTGTTCAGCTTGAGGGACGACGTTCTCGACTGAGCTCCAGAACACAATCCTCCTTCCCTTTGCCCCATTTCGCTCGCGGACCGGTCACTGCTGGGCAGTTTGGCCGTGATTCCCCTTCTTCGTGACATGGCATGGCATGCCCGCGGAGGAGATGATTCGCATATCCCTGTCGCAGATTCACCCACGTTCTCGGACACACCAGGGCCGCAAACCGGAGCAAACCCACAACTAGAACATAGTAGGGCGCTAGAAGTTTTGATGAATCCCCAAAGTCCTGCTCGGAATTCGGGAGAATATCGAAGCCTTGGAGGCTTGTTTTTTGCCTCGGGTTGATTTTCTGATGAGAAATCTCCACAAGGATCCGAACGCCGAAGGTGGTCCGCAATGGGGCCCTTAGACAATGCAACAGTTTCGTGCCCAGTATCGTGATGCCCAAGTTCGGTCATCCACAATGGGCCTGGAGCTTGTTGGTGGCGAGCGCGCGACTCCGCTCTTCTCGCAGATATGATGTGGTGAATGCAGTCGGTGTAGGCCGCAGCAACCCCAAATCGTCTTTGAGATGCTTCGACATGATCGTATTACACTCTAGAGCTATCCACGCCTGATTGAATGTCGTTGCTGTATTTTGCTGACGTGCCTGTATTGTATCGACTGTCTTCTGGTTCATCCCATGCCTCCATAGCCACCCACTGCCTTGTATTTGGGGCATATTCTACTTTCCAGCAGCATCGCTATTTGCCGACGCCCAAACCTCTACTCGCCGTATGCGAACACAATGCGCCACGCCCGGCTGGATATATCTTGCCGTTTGACTGCATATCCGTGTTTTAACCAAGCACACATCAGCCTCCGATCCCACTGTTTTCAAGCCTTAGCATGGATATGGTAGCGAACACTCATTTATACGCGTCTTCTGCTCTTGCCCTCTCCCTCTCCCTCTTCTCTTTTTGAGCATAAAACTCTTAATGCTCTTACGCTGCCGCCCTGTCGTTGCACTGGCAGCGTCTCATACGCTCGGCGAAAAAAGAAACCTAGTTTACATGACGACTGCCTGCTGTCGCAGACTCCAACAGCGTCTCGTGTGGGGAAGCCGTGGGCGTCATGTGCTGTGAGGAGCCTTGTAGTTATGTGACAGCCTAGACCTGCCCGAGCCGGATAATAATTGCTTCGTCTGTCACCGGTTGATAGCTTACTGGGCTGCCTCCGGTTCGATTACATTGCGGGCGGGTGACGGCCGGACCCGATATAACGGAGTCCACTACGTCGGGCGTGACAGCTAGAGCCTGTCGTTACGAGCATCCCATCCATTGCCTTCAGTTTTCTCGGCTTCCATGCCTATAGCAGTGACGTGGTTGGCAACACGGTCTGCATTTCGGTAGCGTCTTGGGAACTTGGGAACACCAGCCGCATAGCCGCCGCTGCACTGTCAAGGCTCACCGGTGAAGAACCGAGCCGAGACATACGAGTTGGGTCAGTTCCGGAACCTCCCTTTTTTGTCGCGTGCGACGGACCATGGGTCCGAAGAGCGATTCATTCGGTTTACCTGCGGCGAGATACCGAGCTGGTTTGTACCTCCCGGCCGACCTGGCTATAAGCGTATTGGTGAGGCTTTTTGCTACCGTTTGATTGATTTTCAAGCATGCGCTGGATTATGCAACGCTGGGTGAGGCTAAGATTTGGCGCCACCGTGGTCGAGATGTGTCTCATCTGGGCATGGCAGCCAGTTCTCCTATCGCGGCGTCCATCCGTCATGGAACTACGGAGTAGACTCCGACGGACAAGTAATAGTATATTAAGCTCGGGACCGTCGTAGCGGAATAGTCAGTCGCTATAACATCTTACGCCGAACTTGTCGAGTCCAAGCCGCAGCTCCACAACACGTTCCGAGAGCACATCTTCAAGACCATCGGCGAGTACTATAGCATCGTTGCTGATGGCCACGACGTTGCTGCCGAGGCCTATCCGGACATGGCCTTTTCGATAAAAGATTAGGTGCCTGGAACGACGACGAAGCTTTAGTATTGCTTAGAGCTTGGCTGGTGCGCCATGAGGCGGTTGTTGAGTAGCCGGCGAGCTGTATTCTTCTCGCGCGTGCGAGATACCATCCAAAAAGCTAGGTTCGCATCGCACTCACTTAAATACGGAAAGATTAGTGTAATATGGCCCAATGTAAGGCATTGCATTTAGAGATAGAAAAAGAGAAGAGTATTGCTACAAGTGTTGCTGTTCAATAGACACTTTTCTCCTATCCGTATAGACACTCTCCTCACAGCAGCTAACGTCGACGCCTATACCGCGCGTTCCCTTGAAAAAAGGGGCCTCGTAAGGAAAAAACAAACTCTATAAACATGCTCAATTCAAACTCGTAACGTATTTCTGTTTCGCACGCGTTCCTCTTCCTCTTCTTAGGGCCGCCTGCATAACGCCGGGGAGGTAAGCGATACGAATAACGCGAAAGCTCGGCGCCTAGGTGCACATGTTGGTTTGGCCTCGGTGGAGGAGCTCGCTCTTCACACGGTCCTAGTCTTAGATGCTTATTAGTGAGCGATCGGCGCGTGCGGCAGTCCATTCCACCATTCCTCGACGCAAAACCAACCGGGCTTGCGGACCCCTGGTTCTCGAGTCACCAGAAGGGCCAAGCCAGTTTTCGACACAGCATGTCGTCGACAGCTTTCTATTGGACGGGTGCCAGCCCGACTGTGCTGCAGACCCTGCCCTTCAGGATCCAATACCACAGCTATTCTTCCTCAATCTCCGCCTGCATTTGAAATTCTGCATAGGTAAAGAGTCAGTGAGGCTCTGCGTCAGTTAGGCATGGCAGTTCCTCTGCAGTCTGCACTTACGCCAAAGCCTGTTGGCCGCCGTGGAAATCACCTCGGCCTTGGCAAGCAGCTTCTCCTCCAGCTTCTCGTCGTTGCGCCCCTTCAAGCGAATCTTGTTGGGCTGAGCCTTGCGTAAAAGTCAGCATCCAAGAGGCTTCGTGGCATGCATCGTTTCCTACCTGCATCAAAACAGGCAGCAACTCTTTCGGGTCTGCATTTGCTACCGATGCGACACTGCGATAGCCGCTTTCCCAAAAGACTCTGCTGTAGGCAATGTCAGCGCTCTGTCTCCCACGGAGCTCGGCAAGCGACCTACGCCGTGCGGCTTTTGATGAAAGGAATCTTTGTCAAGGCCAAGAGATCGGTCCTAGCGCCCGCCATCAACCTGTCGGAAAAATGGTCGAGTGCTGCCGACATGACACTACAGCCGCCGTCAGCCACTCACGCGTCTAGACAATGGCCATCCACAGGCCGTCTTACCCCCATCCCATCTTTTCGCAAAACTTGATCATGCCCGCGGCGAAGCCTTGACAAGTCTGCGAGAGGGTCTGCACAGTGCCACGCGGCATGTCGTATTTGCGGGAGACGACGTGGATCGGCATCTCGTTGCACAGATCCCGCAGCTGGAATGCGAGATAGAACCGACGGTAGACCCGGGCCAGGTTCTTCTCCTCTTGCGTGTTTTCCCTCAACGAGGCCCCGTGGCCTCTGTAGATACACTCAGTCTGTGGCCGAGCGAGGCGGTGTCGCCATGGGACAACTTACAGTCTGAGAATTGCCGTGGGTTTGATCCCGAGAAAGCTGAGCACGCGCAGTCCACTTTCGTCCAGGAGCTCCATCTCGTTGCGGAAAACTTGCCAATTGACGGTGACGCCAAAGTCTTGGACGGGGGTAAAGACATACAAAATGTGCATCTCGCCGTCCATGACAAAAGCCCGGAGTGCTTTGGAGAGCTCCTTATAAACGAAAACCCCATCATCAGGATCGACTGCTGAGGCTACAATAGCATTGCCTAGCCGCGTTGGCACGAAGTTACCCAGATTGTCGCTGGTGGCGAGGCCGATGCTCTGCAGCTCCTCCAGGCTCGACTCGGTGCGGTCACGCACAAATTCTGGGCTCTGCGAGTGGCTCAGCAGGGACTTGGTAAAGTAATCGTGGATAGATTCTCGACTCGTTGCCAAGCGAATAGATATGACCTCCAAGAGTGCCCTTCATGCCACGTCAGTGACTGCAGGAAGCTCGAGTCCGTACCTCACGTACCGCTGGAGGCGCCTGTTCTCGGTGTTGAGGCAGCTTGAAACATTTGGGATCTCGGCATGCATAAGCTCCAGGATGGGCTCCAGGTCCGCTTCGCGACAGCAGAGATATGTTTCGCCGACTGGGGACTTGCCTTGTCGACCAGCACGGCCTCTCATCTGTCTCAGCATTGCTGGGCCGACAAGCTCCCGGCCCATGCGGGCGTTGTGCAGAATGACTCTCCTCGCGGGACTGCCAACTGTCAGAATGGGCCACCTCGGCGGCGTGCGCCGTTGCTCACAGATTGATGCCAGCAGCCAAGCTACATGTGGCAACGCAGACGAGGATAGTCCCGGCGTCGTATGCAGCGGCCACGAGGTCTCGTTCCTCGCTGGTCAAGCCGGCCTGAACATTCAGCCCGTATTCCCGGTGTGATCAAGGTGGTTGAATTGCAGACGTACATCTGAATCCGAGTGAGCCCACGATGGTCCAAGGAAATGGGAACCAGTCATGCAGTTAGAGCCTTACGATGAAACGCAACTCCGTGTCGAACGGTTTCTTCGAGAACAGGGTCAACTCCAGTGCTCAGACTGCGCAAGTCTCCGAGCAAGTCCTTCCTCTTCTCAACCAGGTCAGGACTGAGCACATCAGGCTCAGGCATGACGCGGCTGATCCAGCGGGCGTCTGCCTCACAAACGCCCCGGCTGCCGGCGAATACCAGGGCACCAAAGCCCGATGAGGCGGTCTCGTGAGCAAGTGCAACTACTGCGTTGAGCACAGGATCGGTAAACTCCTTGTGAGCTGAGCTCTGGATCCTCCTGATGGGAGCCATTCGGCCCGCTGCAAAGCCATGTCCTCCCGGAGGTGCCGATGAGCCGGGCATGTTGCGCCCGAGCCCAGCTGGAAACACCTTGCCGTCATATACAAGATGCTCCTCGATGGGTACAGGCCTGTACCGTGTCTCGTAGCAATGGGCATCGAGCCATTCCGCCATAAGGTTCATATTCTACAAAATAAGCTTTCGGCGAGCACAGGGGGCGGCCGGGGGCATTGCAACTCACGGGTAGCGTAGCACTCATGCCTATGATCTGGATGGGCTGATCAAGGCTCAGCAACTTGGTAGCTATGAGTTCCAGGAGATAGCCGCGATGGTCATCATCCACCATGTGCAGCTCATCCAGCACCACGGCTCGGAGTTTGGAGATTGAGCAATCATCGATGGCCGTGTTGATAAGAGTGTTTGCCTTTGTCATGCGTCAGTAAAGGATGGCTAACCGACGTAGCCTGTGGACAGACCTTTTCCATTGTGCAGACACCGATCTCGAAATCATCCCAGGTCGCCCTGACCTTTCCACCTCCGAAGAAGCCTACGACCCGAATAGCATCCTGATCTGTGCGGCGGCGCCATGGACCACGACGGTTCTGTGTACCTAATGGGCCGGCGGGGGCCTGAAGGCGGTGGACAACGTTTCGCAGCCAGCGGACCTTTTCCTGGACAAGAGCAACGTATGGGAGAACGAGGAGAGCCTTGACGCCCGGCTCCTCTATAACTCGCTTCAGCATCAGCACTGGGCCGCAGTCAGCAGTCTGGAGGGCCAGGCCAATCAGGGAGCTACAGCGCACAATCTGCGACCAAGGATTTACCGCCGCCGGTTGGGGCACAGTAGACCAGATTCTTCTGCCCATCGAGGAGCCCGGGACCTTTGAGGCAGTTTCGCTGCCAGGGGTAGATTTGCTTGATGCCCAAGGAGGCAAAATTGGTTACGAGCTGAGGCGGGAGGTCGTAGAAGGGATGGGCGAGGTCCAGCTCTGGATCTCGAGATGACGTTGGGGTGGCGGCGATGAACTTTCGTTGCGAGTACTCTGACACGGCCACAGCATCGCTTAGATGGATGATGCTGCTGGCGGCAAGGCGCGCAGGGGTAGCAGGCAAGCTGATGGCGCGCTGGAATTGCACGGCGCCATGGGAGGGATTGCTGTGGGACAGAGCATCGCCGTCGTTGTTTGACCAGCTCCTCTTGTGACCAGCAACAGAGGATGGGGCGAGTGAAGCCTGTCGCCGCTCCTGAGCCTGCTGCAGACTGGTCTTGTGCAAGAGGCCCTGCATGCTCTTCATGATGAGCGGTGGAGCGACGAGGATTGGGGTGTCAGGCGCATGCACGAGCTAGAAATGAACGTGTTTAGATGTGCACCAATGTCTCTCCCACCTTCTCTCCCATTCTTTCTCTTGTCGATGTTCTCCCGGTGATTTTCTCGTCAGGCATCTCGCCGCCGCATCGCTGGTTGACGGGGGGTGGAGGAAGAACGGGGCCGACTGTAGGTTGGATTGAAGCCGTATTGGTCGTGCCAGCGCCCGCTTGGGGTCGGACGGATCGAACGGAGGCACTGTGCGAAGAGGACACTTGCAACGCAGCGTGGGGATGTCCACGCACGATACAGTAGAAGAAACGGCCGCACAGTGCTCGTGCCGTTGAGTTTTATTAACCTCTCGCGCCTGGGGCCGATGGCGTAGCTGAATACGTCAGTGGCTCGAGGCGTGATGTCACGTGACGGAAATCTCAATCGTTTCGTCTCCCAAGACGGCTAGAAGCCCCATGTACTGCGCCGTACCAGCTACTTTGTACAAGGTCTCTGCACACATGTCTGGATGTGTGCGTGCTCGAAATGCGGGAGCGAGACAATAGGCACAGAGCCACTTAATAAACGCGGGGCGTTCCTGGGGGAGCCAATAGAGGCGCGGGGGTCCGCGCCTTTAAAGTCGGCGCGGACGTCCGCGCCTGTTTTGTAAGCCCAGCCGGAAGATAGTCGGGCCCGCCTCCGGCCCCGACCTGTCCTCTCCTTTCTCTCGCCCTCCGTACTGTGGCAAGCATATCACGACCATATCCACGGAGGGTCAGCGCGCCGCCATTGCGGCCCAATTTATCCGCCGCCCCTTACGCAGAGTAGGCCAATATGGAGCTTACTGAATTCCCTGACGATTGCCTTCCTCCTGAGGGTCAATTCGACTCGCGAGAGTCCTTCTTGTCTCAATTAATGCGTGGGCAGCTCCAAGAGGCTATGCCTTCACCACAGGCAAGTCCACGAGAGACCCGCGGTCCGGAAGACGCACAGTCACATTTGCCTGTGATCGTGGAGGTAGACCAGGGGCTCATACAAGCAAGGACCAGAAGCCAGCTGAACGGCAACGGTCTACAAGCTCCCGTATCACTGGATGCCAGTTTTCCATCAATGCGAAAGAGAGCCTTGATAAGTCGTACTGGTATATCAGGCATCGCCCAGGCGAGGAGAAGTCGGTCCACAACCATGAGCCCAGTCTGCACATTACAGCACATCCAGCTCATCGTGCCCTCTCCTCAACTGACCAGTCAGCTATTGGGAACCTCGCAAGCGCCGGCATAGCACCAAAGGATATCCGGACATATATGCGCCAGAGCTCTCAGACTGCTCAAGGAGCGACACAGCAAGACATATATAACTGTATCGCACAGCGCAGACGAGAGCTTCTTGCTGGGCAGAGCACAATGCATGCCCTTGCCAATGAGCTTGACAACGAGGGGTTCCAAACCCGCATACAGCTTGACCATGACGGCCGAGTCACAGCGGTCTTATTCGCACACCCGGCGTCACTAGAATACCTCAACGCATACCCAGAATTACTACTTCTAGACTGCACATACAAGACGAACAAATATAAGATGCCACTGCTCGATATGATCGGCGTTGATGCCTGCCAACGGTCATTCTGTATTGCCTTTGCCTTTCTCAGTGGTGAAGATGAAGATGACTACATCTGGGCACTGGACCAACTCCAATCGATATACGAGTTATATGACATTCGCCAGCCATCCGTTATCCTTACAGATCGTTGCCTTGCCTGCATGAACGCAATTTCCCGGTGCTTTCCTGCGTCAAGGTCTCTGCTCTGCATCTGGCATGCGAACAAGGCGGTGCTTAGCTATTGCAAACCAGCATTCGACCGTGAGGATGAGAACTCTAACAGTGATGAGAAATGGGTTGAGTTCTTTGGGTATTGGCACTCAATCGTGAGCTCGAGAGATGAGGAGACATTCGATCAACAAGTTGAAGAGCTGGAGAAGCGCTTTGTACCACGATACGTCAAGGAGGTTAGCTACATACGGGAAACCTGGTTGGACCCGTATAAGGAAAAGCTCGTCAAGGCCTGGGTTGATCAATATGCTCATTTCGGCAATGTGGCTACTTCCCGGTGGAAGGCATCCACGCATTATTGAAGAGCCACCTTAAGAAGTCAACACTAGACCTCTTCGAAGCAACGAGGGCAATCAAGCAAGCTCTTCTCAACCAACTGGCCGAGCTACAAGCCAACCAAGCCAGGCAGCATATACGGATGCCAATTGAGCTCTCTGGAACCGTATATAGCACGGTACGTGGCTGGGTATCACACGAAGCCTTGCGACAGGTTGCAAAGCAACACAAGCGCCTCAACGAGAAAGACATCCCTGCTTGCACAGGCAGCTTCACCAAGTCTCACGGTCTCCCTTGTGCGCACACATTACAGCCGCTCATAGAGGAAGATCTGCCACTCCGGCCACAACATTTTCATACGCATTGGCGCCTTCGACGGGATACCAAAGAGATTGGTCAGGTCCTCATAGAGCCTCGTCGGCGATTGGACCAACTTGTCGCCACATCGAGGATAACACAGTCATCCACACAGCGCGAGCCAAGTGCATTTGAAGCCATAGAGCCAGTTCTACGGCCAAAGGCGCCACCTACATGCAGCAAATGCCACCAGAAAGGGCACATCATGACATCTCGCAATTGTCCTTTACGCTATAGCGACATACTGCAGCGGGCAGAGGCACGGGCGGCAGAGACTGCAGAGACGGCAGCAATTGCAGCGACTGCACAGACTGCACAGACTGCACAAGCAGTAGCAATTTCAGAGACTGCACAGACTGCAGCAGTCATGGAGACAATCACGGTTGCAGTCACTACAGTCTCTACGGTGTCTACAATTGCTGCAGTCTCGACAGGAATTGCAGAAGCTACAGAGACTACGGAGAATCTACGATATGATGACCCACGAGCCATCTATCAGAGGTATGTCAGGGCAAGAGACTCTTGGTATAGAGCACAGCCTCGCGGCAATCTCAAGACCAACCAGGCATACCGAAAGGCAATGGGCTTGCCATTGCGCTACAGCAAGACTGAATATGACTGGTGCCTCGACTGGAAGCAAATGTCAAGGAGCTGCGGCTCGAGGAAATGGACCAAGGAAGAGATGATGGCATACCTTGATTGGGATAAGGCAGAAGAAGAGCGGTTAGATGCCCGGGTGGCCGAGGAAATGCAAGCGCAGCCTTTCTCACGAGAAAGAGGTACTGCAGGTATATGGGCTGACTGCGAGAGAGACTCGGAGGAACAGCAGGCAAACTATTCCCGCATATAAGTCGTCTGCTAGGACCGGTCTGTATAAGTGCGCCACAGTTGGAAACCACAGCAATTCTAGATTAAAAAAAAAATTTGAGTCGATTGACACTCAAATTGACGCTGTGGCCGTTGAGTACTTTTGCCGATGTGCGGGGAGATATGTGCAGTAAAACTGGCGCGCCAGCGCGGTCGCGGCGGGCGCTGTTCGCGGCGCCCACAATGGCCAGCCGGGCTTACATAACAGGCGCGGACGTCCGCGCCGACTTTAAAGGCGCGGACCCCCGCGCCTCTATTGGCTCCCGCGTTCCTGGCACCTGCTGACATGTCCCTCTGCCTCGCACAGCAAGCCCGGCCAAGCCCGCGGCGCCTGGCGCACGCTGCAGCCCCGATTTCCAAGGGACTTCTCCAAGGGCTGCCCCGCGGGCCGTCATTGGCCGGCGCACCAACCCTGCGCCTCGCCTTTGCTGTGGCCCCGGGCCCGGGATGATTGGCAGCACCGAGTTATGCGTTCGCGGTACGTACTCTGCGCAAGGCAGTTCCTTAAAGGTACCTAGGTACTTAGCTTATGTATATGCACATACAGCATGTAACACCCAGCATTCATGCACCGTTTTCTGCATAAGGCACTGGAACAGAGGTACTGAATAAGTACTCGGTACGAGGCATCCCCGTCTTCAGCCCGGGAGATGCTGCGCCAGATCACACTCCCGTGCTCCGCCGGCCTCCAGCGAGAGCCGCTAGTGGGAAAAGGGAGGGAGGGGACCGACAAAAGCATGGTCGACGTCGGGCATCACATCGCCACCTCCACACCCCCTTCAATCTGTAGGTGAAAAGTAGTGTCAAGTACCTGTTCTGTAGAGAATGACTATACAAGATATTCGGCGGCTGCCGACCACATTTGCAGGGTATAATCACACCGGCATGCACCAATGCCGCAGAAACCTTCCAAACAGACGTTCACTCACCTACCGTCGGGTGTGGAGCACTTTGAAAGTATGCACCAACTTGCTCTACAGATGATTTATGTTCCGGCACAGAACGCACAGGCGGCGGATGCAGAGGTCGTGCGCTGGCCATCTCCATGACGAGAGAAAAAGCTTCTTTTGGTGGGTGAGGTGCTGTGCAGGCATATTGGCCATTAGACCACGACGGCCTCGCTTCCTCCATTTACTCGCCATCGATTTTTCTCGTCTTGCCTTGCGAGGCAACACGGACAATTAGCCCATCGCTTCTTTGCCCGCTCGAGCTGCGGGCTCTGCACTGTGCCGTGCCCAGCGCCACATTCCGACGTTTCACAACCTCCCCAAAAGACTTTGAGTGCTCGCCTCGATTCACCGACGATGCTCTGTCCTTGGCTAAAATTGGCCTGTTTCACGACTCTGGCGCATTTCCCCTTCCCTCTCCCTCTCCCTTCCTCCCTCTCCTTCACCGGAGCTTGACGTATTGTACCTTGTAATAAGAGCAACCTTTGATAAATGTCATTTTGCCAGTCTCCGTGCAATTACTGGGAGTGAGAGTCTTATGCACCCACACCCTAGCGGTCAACGGATTACGAGTCCAATCTAATACTCCTGCTCTGCATTAGTACCACCGCGCGTGGAGGTCAGAATTACAGAGTGTTGGCGCGGAGCCTGTTGTAGGTAAATGGCGGTACGGCAAGAATGCGCAGCAAGGGTGGCAGAGCTGCTCCCTGTCGGCCGCTCCCTCGCGTAAGTTTCGTTAGACAGGTGATCGGTCCTGTTTTCTTGTTGCTCAAATATAGTACGCATGGCGACCGTGGCCGGAATTGCCTCTCGCCGACCACCTCGCCTTCTAACAAGGAGCGGACTCACCCGGTTGCCCGCCAGGTGGGCTCGGTGCTCGTCGCCAATGCAGGCCTCAAAACGGCCAATGCTTCGCCACCCAGGGCTAAATATACTTCGTTCATGTCCGCCCATCGCAAGGTGGCTGCGCTGCTATCCATGCAGTACAGGACGCCGCACGTACGGAGCACTTTCCCTTCCGACTGGTGCGCTTCGTATGCCGTCGCCATATGGCCTACGGCGGCTACCATCTCGGCATGTAATGGATATAAGTCCCATTACGTGGATGCGATACCTTGGACGGAAGGGCGGACGGAAGTATTCTAAAGGCAGGCACAAAGTACGGAGTACTGCATGCGTGCCCAGCCGGCGGGACGGAGGCAAAGTCCAGGGTACATTTATATAGGCCAGAGTGCAGACGCTAGTACTCCGTACAGTGGGTGATGGGTGACCTGCCCGGCTCTCTCTGTCTCTAGCTCGACAGCCCTCCGATGCCAACGTCGGCATGCGATTACGCACGAGCTCTCGACGGGGGCAAGGCGGCCGCGCACCATCTTCCGGACATATGATCGGCGGTCGAACAAGCCGTGACTTGTCATGACGCACACGCAGGGGCGCACGCACACGCAACTGGCCAGGCCGAGGCGGGATCAGCACCTCATGTAGGTCCCTGGAGCGATATGCGCGCGTGTATGCATGAATGTACCTGCCTATTCCCTCTGTTAGCCGTCGTAGTGGATTCTCGAGACTCTTTCATCTCGAGTGCCGTGCTTCCCCAACCTATCTTTGCCTGACCAACCCTCGCCGGGGCTAGCATGTACGGCGGTACGTGGAGCACCGCGAGCCAGCATTCATTTGTTGGGCAGTGGGCAGTGGGCAGTGGCAGGACTTTTGGCTCCATGACTCCTCTGGCGAGCCTGGTTGCCTGCCCTGGCCCAGGCAGGGTGCGTCCTCGTACTTGGAAGAATATTCACGACTTCTTTTGGTGCTGGCTGCATGTCAGCCCTTGCTTGCTTCCATGCTATCCAAGCCTTGCTGAGTCGGGGGCGGAGGGCGAGTGGTGGGGCACCGTGGCCTTTGGTGGTGAAGGAGGATGGAGAACGAGAACCCATCGCAGAAAGACTTTTGGTAAGCCTCGGTCTGCGATTCGACGCCCAAGCGACCGACACCCACGTAGCCCACGGTTGATGCCTTGCCCCTCGCCTTGCCTGCCTGCCCTGAAACCCGCCGAGTCGTACATGCGTGGGTATTCGTACATGGCGACGAGGAGCACCAAGAGAGAGAAGAGAGAGAGAGATGGGATGCAAGGAGCGCAAGCCTGGTCGGCCAGCACGTCACGCTAGAGGTACCTGCCTGAGGTAGCCGCAACGTAGAGTACAACATGTAGTATTGTGCGAGAGCAAATTGCCTCTACTCAAGGTAAGTAGGTAGGCAGGTAAGGTACCTAGGTAGGTAGGCAGGTACTGTACAGCCCATGCTGTATGTACCCAACTCGTGAGCCGTACGGGGCGGCGCAAAAAACAATGTGCGAGCCAGTCTGCCTGCGGCGGACGCTGATGAACGCCTCAAAAACTTGGGTTGAGATCCGTCCACTTATTGAATGGTGTGTGACCAGCGGCCTTGCGTGGGACTCGAGGTCGCACAGAATTGGCCCGGGGGTGGTGGCATGTATATATAAAGTACCGCCCATCGTCCACGAGGAGCCGCACCCCGCCAGCCGTCGAGGCTGCGGGCGCTTCGGCGCTAGTAGAGACCTTGCGAGTACCTGGACCTCTAGTGCCGTCCAACCCATGCGCCTGCACCAGAGTGGACGTATCGAGCCAGGCCAGGGCCGTCGTCTCGGGGGGCGCCAGGACGTTTCTTCTTCTCCCGGCGTCTGGGAACCATGCCTTGCCTTTCTCTACCTACCTCACCTCACCTTGGCCTCTTCTCTTCTCTTCTCCTCCAAACTGCCCCCGTCTCCACGTCGTCTCTCGCGAGACCGGCCGTCTCTCGTTGCCCGGCGACTGACGCTTCTCTCGGTCGCCTCTCCCTCGAGCCCCCATCTCGTCAAAGCATCCCTCTGGACCATTTCAGACCATTGGCTTCAGTCCGCGCTCACACACACTTTCCCTCACCCTCTTCTCACTCACTCACACGAGCCCCGGGCATGCCTTCTCACGTCGCCCGCTGCACCCCACGGCCACGAGAGTGATCAGTCGGCGCCATGGCACAGCAGAATGTTTGTTTCCTCTCCTCGGTGCTAATGTTTTCAATTCGCCCTCGAAGCCCTTTTTTTCCCGCGCTGTCAGGCCCCGTTCCCGGGACCCTGTGCTCGCACGCATTTTCCCCAAGTCGTCGGCACGGCTGACACGTCGAGCAGGACTCTAAGGCCACAGGCGCCGACGCCCTGCCAGCGTCCGAGTCAGCGAGGGCCTCGTCTGGCTCAGATACCGCGGCCAAGGACCCGGGTGCTGAAATGGCTGCACCCTACGGCACGCGCTCCCGCAACAGAACCAGCAACGCCCGCCCCAATTACGCAGAGGACAAGGATATTGACATGGACAATTACGACTTTTATCGCGGCAAGGATGGCCACGAAGGCTCCAAGAAATCGGCACGGCACGCCCTCGCGGCGGCCACGCATGCCGATGCCCCTCCACGCAATGGCGGCGGGTCGCGCAAGTCGGGCGTAGACGACGGCCGAGCGGCTGGACCGTCGCAGAATGGCTTCAAGGACCAGAATTCCACCGCCAACAGTGGGAATGGTGGTGGCGGCGGTGGTGCCACCGGTGCATCGCAAGCCGCGCCCCCTTCTGGTGCATCGCAGTCATCGCGCAAGCGCAAGGCCGCTCCAGCCGGGGCGACAAGGCGGGCCAGCAACGCGGTGCAAAGCACGGGACCGCCGCTGCGCGAGACCAACATGATGACTTTTGAAAGGTGCAACTCGTGTCTGGACCAAGAGCGGTTGATAGCCGACGATGGGACGGTGCTGGAGTTGAATGGTAAGTCGTCGAACCCCCATTCCCCCCGGTACCAGCGGCACGGCGAGGGTCCACCCACTCGGAGGGCAATTTAGGAGCTGCGTGTGTCCTCGGGGCTGCCTAGCCATGTCGTGCCGCCAAATTTCAAAGTTTGTTGCAGCACGACTCAGCACAGATCAGGGCAGCCAGCGCCGGGCACCAACAAGAACCCAAAAAATTCAAGCCCCCAGCCGCCGCGGGTTGTTGGAGTGCCTTTTTAGCAGGTCGGGGCTGACAAGCAGCGCGATGCAGATCACGTGTACTTGGTGTGCGAGCCGCCGGGCGAGCCATACTACCTGGGCCGCATCATGGAGTTTCTGCCCGCGCAGAATGACGGCTCGACGCCGGTGGACTCGGTGCGCGTCAACTGGTTCTACCGGCCAAAGGACATTGGCCGCAAGGCCAGCGACACGCGGCAGCTCTTCGCGACAATGCATTCCGACGTTAGCCCGCTGACGGCGCTGCGCGGCAAGTGCCGCATCATGCACCGCGGCCAAGTCGACAACATGGACCAGTTCCGCAAGACGCCCGACAGTTTCTGGTTCGAAAAGCTCTACGACCGCTACATCCAGAAACAATACGATCTGATTCCGACGTCGAGCATCGTCAACGTCCCCGACAAGGTCAAGAAGGTGCTCGACGACCGCTGGAAGTACGTCCTGGTGGAGCAGGGGCGTGGCAAGGAGCTCACTAGCGCCGTCAAGCTCTGCAAGAGATGCAGCGGGTATTGTGCAAGGTACGTACCCGTCCCTCCACCTGCCGACATGACACACTCGTCAGAGGTACCTCGGCCAGGTACCTCGGCCCCCGTCACAACGTCAGTCGAGATGGCGTGCGACGACGAGGATGGGATACACTCTTCTTCACATGCTGACATGGATCCCACCACAGCAATGACTCAGTCGACTGTGCCGTCTGTCACAATACCTACCACATGAACTGCGTCAGACCACCCTTGCTCAAGAAGCCCTCGCGTGGCTTTGCCTGGTCCTGCGCCGCATGCAGCAGAGCCCAGGAGCGCAAGCTCGAGGCCCGCAACACGCCCAACGGCGCCGGCGATGTCGACGACGACGAGTTTGTCGACGACGACGACGACGAGGCACACGGTATCAGCACCGACCGCACCACTCCCGCCGACGATGACTCCAACCCCCAGGCCACCGCCCAGCAAATCTGGCAGGCCAGCATGTGGCCCTGGCGCTACCTCGGCATGCACTGCAAACCAGAGGACGCGCTCGACTACGACGACCGCATTTACCCGCGTGCCAGCACCCGCATCGGGCCTCGCCACCAAGCCAACGTCGCCCCCTGGCCGGGCCGCCCCGTGCAATACGTCAAGCCCGTCGAGGTCAAGAAGGGCGCCAAAGGTCCCAAGATGTCCAAAGAGGCGCAAGATGCCGAAAAGGCCCTCCGTGGCAAGCGGCCGAAATGGGTCCAGGATCAACCTCCCGGATACGTGGCGCGCGGCGAGGATCACGATGAAGACGACCCAAAGGCGACGTCTACACTCTTGTGGAGGCCCCCGTCTTCCGACAACGACATCCGCAGCAACAGCGTGGAGGACTATGTGAAGAAGGTGCAGAGCATGGCCAAGAAGCTCAGCTTGCCCGAACGCTCCACCAATCTCCGTGACGCAGCACTCGAGACCCTTTTCCGCCACGAATACGACGTCCCAGGGGCCCTTAAGGCTCTCCCGAACATCGAGCGAGAAGCGTTCAAGGAGCCGAACCTGACTGCGGCAGAAGTGAAGAAGTTCGAGGAAGGGGTTTCCAAGTATGGGTCTGAGCTGCATCTGGTCATGAAGCACGTCAAAACCATGACCCCGGCACAGGTAGTTCGTTTCTACTACACCTGGAAGAAGACGGAACGCGGTCAGCAGATATGGGGCAGCTTCACTGGGCGAAAGGGCAAGAAGCAGGCCAAGCGCGCCGAGGCGGCCGCATCAAAGTTCGCCGATGACGTGGCAGACAACGACGACGATTCCGCCTTTGACAGCGCCAAGGCGACAGAGAAGAAGCGCTGCTTCGTTTGCCAGTTTTGCTCGACAACCAGCTCTCGCCAGTGGCGAAGGGCACCCACCGCCCCTCCGGGCGTCGCTGGCGACCACGGCGCCAAGGCTGCCGCCAAGGACAAGGGCAGTCAATTTGTGGTTGCGCTGTGCCGGAGGTGTGCCGAGCTGTGGCGGCGGTATGGAATACGTTTCGAGGAAATGGAGGAGGTCGCCAAGAAAGTTGCCCAGTCTGGCGGGCGAGCATGGAAGCGCAAGCAAGACGAGGAGCTCCTGAAGGAGCTGCAAGCTGCCCAGGAAATGGGACTGATGACCCCGGATCGAGACATGACCCCATTGAGCGGTACCATCCCTGCCGCCAGCCAGGAGCCACCTCGAAAGAAGCTCAAAAATGCTCCCTCAGACAACTGCAAGGACAAAGACAAGGAGTCCAGGGAAAAGGAGAGAGAAAAAGAGAAAGAGACCAAGGACAACAACAAGGACCCCGAAACTGCCTGCTCAGATGGAGGTGGCTCCGTCTCCGGCCTGTCCAAGAAGAAGGACAAGCCCGCCGATACCACGCCCATCCCGGAGATGCCCAAGCCGCGCACGCTGCCGTGTGCCATTTGCGACCAGATGGAGCCCCTCGGAGATCAGCATGTGTCATGTAGGGAGTGTCGCCTGACTGTCCACCGGAACTGTTACGGCATCGTGGACAACCGCATCCAAGGCCAATGGACCTGCGATATGTGCTCCAATGACAAGAGCCCGCAGGTTTCAATCGTGAGTCTTCGGCGTGACGATGCTCCCAAATCCCCTCTTTCTAAACCATCGCTCACAACGACTTTTAGCAATACAAATGCGTCTTGTGTCCTGTGGAGCACACGGAGAAAGACTTTGTCGAACAGCCCAAGCTCACCCACCATAAGAAGAAGATGTCAGAAAAGGACCGCGAACGCGAAAAGATGGAAGTGCAGCAGGCACGTAAGGCAGCCGAGTACTACCGCAAGAAGCAGGAAGAGATGAATCGGCCGGTGAATCCGAGAGAGCCCCTGAAGCGCACGGCCGACAACAATTGGGTCCACGTCACCTGCGCAGTCTGGACGCCAGAGGTCAAGTTCGGAAACGGTAAAGCCCTCGAGCCTTCGGAAGGGGTCCCCTCGATACCGCGGTCGAGGTATGACGAGACTTGCCAGGCCTGCAACCAAAAGGGCGGCGCATGCGTCTTTTGCCACCAATGCCGCACACCATGTATGCCGACCAGCGCCTTGAACTTGAGGTGGAGTCGTCGATGCTAACGGAAGACTGCAGACCATGTGGAATGTGCGCGACAGCATGGCCACCTACTCGGCTTCGATGTCACCCCGGTGAAGAGTTCTCGGCGCGACCAGTTCAACATTGTGACGGTCGGTGGAGAGAGCGGAACCATGTCTGCCGTGGTCTGGTGCAAGGACCACGTGCCGACAAAGACAGTGGCACATCGGATGCACGATGTGGTCAGCGAGGCGGGGCTGAATGCGCTGCAGCTTTACGTGCAAAACTACAAGCAAGCCGACCGGACCCTGACAGGCACGGTTCGCAAGGCAAACCTGATGATGAATGCTGCCAAGACGTCGGGGGCTCCTGCACAACCCGGGGGCTCTCGGCGGACTTCGACGACGACGACGACGATGACGACCGCTGCTGCTGTGAACGGCTCGGGACCACACGCGCGCTGCGAGATGACCGAGGCGGCATCGAACGCGCAGCAGCCCGGAGACAAGGTCTGCATCACCTGCGGCATCGACGTGACGCCCAAGTGGTGGCCCATCGATGACTCGCTGGAGCGTAGGCTCACCAACGGCCATCATGGCGTCATTGGATCCGAGGCACAGAAGTTTGTGGAACAGAGGAAATTCCAGTGCCACAAGTGCCGTAAGGCTGCTCGCACTCCGAAACCGTATGTGCCGGGGCCTTCACCACCGGCTAGCGAGCCTCCCCGCGTCCACGCACAGGCAAACGGGCAGGCGGTCGGAGTGTCGCCGTTGCGAAGCCCGCCGCCAGCCCCATCCGACTTTCGGCCCATTCGTCCTGAGATCCACGCCCTCCTGCATCACCCGGCCTCCCACCCACCGCCTACGCCGGCGCCGGCGCAGCCGCCACCGCCACCTCTTCCTCCTGCCCTCTCTCCCGCCGCGTCGTCGACCGCAGCGCCGCCGCACACCGCAGCGCATGTCATGGGACCACGCCCAACACCCGTGTCGCATCCATATGCGGCGGCTCCGCCGCCCAGACCGGCACCGTACAACGACTGGAGCCATCAGCCGGGACTGAGGCACGCATCGCCCCCTCGGCATCTCAACGGAGGCCCTCCTTCGCTACTCAACGGGCCTCCGCCGCCCATGGCGAATCTCTCATCGCTTCGACCTCCGGCAATATCAGGGCCTCCTCCTGTCGCGCCCCTTTCAGGGGGCCATCACCATCCGCACGGCTCTCCCTTGTATGGGAACGGCGTGCCTCTGTCTCCTCGACGACAGAGTGGGCCGCCTCCGCCTGCACCGTATGTACCCTCATACCATGGAGGTCCGGTTCATGGAACGCCAGCACCGCACAACGCGTCGCCCGGCTTGAGCAACGGAGCGCCCCCTCCGCCAAGGCCCGATGCATTCTCGCATGGCTTGCATCCGCAAAGATCGCCGTTCGCAGGCCCTCATGGAAGCCCCCCCGTGTCGAGAAACGGGCAGTTGCCGCCACACGAGCCAGCGGGGCCGATGGGGCCGCGAGCACCCGAGAGCAGACCTGCCAGCGGCGCAAGTGCAAGCCCGTCACTGCGTAACCTGCTGTCTTGATATTGCAGGCAGCGAAGACCCTTCCTGCACGCAACGCCTGGGCAGGTCGACTGGGCTCGCAATACAAACTTTGCAAGAGATTCCTCTTGCACCCCCTAACAGCGACAAGTCCCTTTTTTGACTGTATCGACAGGTAAAGCAGTTTGCCTGGGAAGAATCGATGGCGGCATGCTTCATCGGTCCGGAGAAGGCTGCTCTACCTGTTTTGGCGCTCGAGCAGGACAGGCGGCTTGGATTCAGCAAGCTCATGTAGAACTAGATCAGCAGGGGACAGATAGAAGGGTCCCCTTGTTAGAGAGGCATACAGGCGCAGGACGGTACAAGTACTCAGTGTCCGTACACTTGATTATGGATTGGGGTAGCAAACCCCTTGGGGAGTGTTGAAGTAGGACAGGCAGAGTACCTACCAGTCAAGATAACAGATGACAATTAAATACAGCTGTGCCGGCGGCGTGACTGGTCGTGATGATACATTCGTTACTGTACCGTCCATTTCCCAGCTATGCCTGCTCTCTCCGTCAAAGCAAATAAGAAGCCGGTAGGTTTTTTGTCCGTTTAATAGCCTAAGACACAACGAGATGGGTGTCTACACAGTCTGTACTCACACTGTGAATACGGACTTGGGACTGTATTGGATGACGTGCTGTCGTGGCGGGTGCGTGCGTAGTTGCGGGGAAGCCACGCGGTTGGCGGCCCCGTTTTTACGGGCCAAGGGTGGTTTTGAGGGGGGACGGGAACGGGAAGAAGAGAGCGAAAAAAGAAGAACGAAAAAACGAAAAAGGAATAGAAGTAAAAAGAAAGGAAAAGGAGGGGTCGCCAAGCTTGTGGTGCGCATGCAGATTGACTGACCTTGCGAGACAAAGGTGGCTGTCAGACGTGCCATGCCAAGGGTACCGGTGCAGGTCCTGGCAAGGTACCGGTACGGACGGCGGTGATGCGCAGTGTGGCTGACAGCGCGGGCTGTTTTGAGGCGGTGCAGCCACGCCTTCCTTACCCCGTAGTCAGCGAGCAGAGCGTGCGCCTTGCAGTAATACGTAGTACGAAGTACCTCTGCCCCCTGCGACATGGGGCGGAGTACCCGAGTACCGGTCGGCGCAACGTATCCGGACGGACAACTTCCACCACCTGTCGCAAACAGCTTGGGTCTTGTCGCGCCCATTGCTGCGCTGCTTGTCCTGCGTCCTTGGCAAGAAAACTCCTTTTCGCTCCGGCCCCCCCCCTGACGCACACGCACGCTCTACGACGGGACCGGCGAGCACAGGCCGACGAGCACCTACATCACATAGCTCGCTCCATCCATGCAGCGGCGCAGCGCGGAGCTTCGTCAGCCTATCAGCACGTGACGCGAGCTTCGAACCTCGGGGGTCAAGCCATCACGACCGAACGTCGCCAGCACCAGCAGCAACATCCGTCGTTGGCTATATACGCGGCTTTGATAAAGCAGCCGCTGCGGCCGGAACACGAGGGGAGGCACTGCGGGCGGCTACTCGGGGTCACGACCCTCTCTCTCTCTCTCTCTCTCTCTCTCTCGCTGCACCACCACCATCACCACCACCACCATGGCTCAATTCTTCTTGGACCTCTTCTACTCCCTCGGGAACTGCCTGAATTGCTTCCCCGGCTCCCCCACGCTCAAGGTCAACAACCGGAGCTTCAAGATCCTGCGCCTCCTCGGCGAGGTAAGCTCCCGTCCATGCATTCTGCGACGAGACGTCCTCGCTGACGAGGCCTTTTGTCGTTGTCCAGGGCGGCTTCTCCTACGTCTACCTCGTCGAGGACACGTCGAGCCACCAGCTCTTCGCCCTCAAGAAGATCCGCTGCCCCTTTGGCGCCGAGTCGGTCCAGCAGGCCATGCGCGAGGTCGACGCCTACCGCCTCTTCGCCCACGTGCCCACCATCATCCCCGCCGTCGACCACGCCGTCGCCACCGAGCGCGGCGCCGACGAGGCCACAAAGACCGTCTACGTCCTGCTGCCATACTACCGCCGCGGCAACCTCCAGGACATGATCAACGCGAACCTCGTCAACCGCGCCGCCTTTCCCGAGAGGCACCTCATGATGCTCTTCCTCGGCGTCTGCAAGGCCCTCCGCGCCATGCACGAGTACAGGCCCGGCCCCGCCGAGCGCATGGACATGGGCAACGAGGCTGACCTCGACGACGACGACGACGGCCGCGGCGGCAACCGGGCCGGCGCCTCGTCGAGTCGCCGCACGGAAGAGGACGAGGAGCCCGAGCAAGAGCGGCCCCTGATGGAGTCGGAGAGCCGCGTCGGCCGGGGCGGGGCCAAGGTGCAGTCGTACGCCCACCGCGACATCAAGCCCGGCAACATCATGATCGACGACGCGGGCTCCACCCCGATCCTCATGGACCTCGGCTCCGTCGCCCCCTCGCCCGTCCCCGTCACCTCGCAGTCCCTCGCCCTGCAGATCCAGGACACGGCTGCCGAGCACTCCACCATGCCCTACCGCGCCCCCGAGCTCTTCGACGTCCGCACCGGCACCGTCATCGACACAAAGTCGGACATTTGGTCCCTCGGCTGCACCCTGTACGCCTGCCTCGTCGGCAAGTCGCCCTTTGAGATGCGCTCCGACGAGACGGGCGGCACCCTCAGCCTCTGCGTCCTCGGCGGCGACTGGCGGTTCCCCGACGAGTCCCCCGGCGGCGCCAAGCGCATCAACAGCATCGGCCAGGCAAAGGCCCGCGCCGCCGCCACCGCCGCCGACCCGTCCTCGGCCCACGATGCCGGCCCCGGCGCCGTCTCCATCAGCGAGCCCATCCGCGAGATTGTCCGCCGCTGCCTCAAGGTCGAGCCCGCCGAGCGGCCCGACATTGGCGAGCTCATTGCTATGGTGGAGCAGGCCATTGAGCGGCTGCCCGACCAAGACGGCCCAGGGTCCCCGTGACGAAGCGTGCACCCTCTTACTTCCTCATTCTCACATCATCTCACTTCATGTCACGCCTAACCGCCATTTTTCTGTTCAATTGTCTCCTTCTTTCTGGGATGTACTGTTCGTTCTGTCACTGTACGGGAGTCATCATGTCATCTATCTGCATTGGCGTTCACGGACGGACTATCTCATCGAGGCACGGCTTCGAGAGAAGATGGGCGGGGCGGAGAGCTGTCGGGAATAGCACCACTTTTGCGATTTGCCGGAAGCCAGGGCAAAGAACTCTCGGCCTGCATGCTCCACTAGACAAAATTCAGACCACTCGCGGTCCCCTGCTTTGTCTCGAATCCCCCGGCGGTCTCGTGGCCCCATACTTCTGCTGTTGGACCGCCGCTTCCCTAGCCAGTCCGCCATGCGCTTCTTTCTACGCACCCCGCGCATCAGCACGCTGCCCGACAACTACAGACGGCGTCACCAAGATCCTAAAGCTGAAGCTTGTATGTAGCCACCTCAAAGGGTCGCAACTCCAGAGCAAATTCGCCGTTGGCAAACTTGATCTCCTCCAGTTCGTCCTCGAGAACGTTTGTCTTGGTCACCCGTTTCACATCGAGCTGTGTCCGAATTGCACCCTTGCTACGGCCGCCCAAGGACTCGTACACGCGCAGCACGATGCTCTGGCCCTTATTGGTGCGGAGCCCTTCGCGCCGACTTACGTCTTCATCGTCGTGGCCACGCTTGACCGCATCTAGCATCAGCGACGCGGACTCGTCGAGGTTGATCAGTTTCATCGGAGCACCAGAAAGCCTCTCCACCGTAGCCTTCGGAGCCGACAGCAGCTTCAGCGGGTTGTTGAAAGCATAGGCAGCCTTGACCGTGGCCGAGGACAAGGACCCCTTGTGGGGGAATATGGCCCAGCGGATCGAGTGATTGCCCATGTCGGCGTGAGCGTCGGGCGCCTTGGGCGCGCGCAGCAGCGACAGACGCATCACTTTGCCTGCGGTTGCAAATCCGTACTTGCTGTCGTTGAGAATGGAGACGCCATAGTTGTGCTCGGAGAAGTCGGCGAACCTGTGGCAGCAGACCTCGAACTTGGCCATGTCCCAGCTCGTGTTGTAATGCGTGGGTCTCTTGGTGATGCTGTACGCAGTCTCGTACGATGCTTCGTTGTTAACGATATTGACTGGGAACTCGACCTTTAGGAACTTGGAGTCCTCATGCCAGTCAACCTCGGCGGAGCAGTTGACCTGGGAGGGCTGACCCTTGATCGCTGCCGAGAGGCTGATGTAAGACTTCAAGGCACTCTTGCCGCTGATTTTGATATCGGTAACCAGCGTGACCTTGTGCGGTTTGCTCTCGTGGACCTTGGTCTTCCCATACTGCAGGTCTCTCTGCGTTTCGAGGTGGTAGACCTCGACATCCCAAGCCTCCCAGTACAGCGGGATATCGTCAAAAATGACGAACTTGTTGGCCTTTCCACCCCTTTCAATGATTTCCCGCTCATTGGTGCGGTCGTAAAGGGAGGTGATGCAGCCGTCTTCGACAACAACTCGGAGGTCATCATTCTGCAGGACAAATGCGTCCCCGTTCTCGGTCACCGATACAGCTGGCATTTCGTCCTGAGACTTGAAAGCACGCAGCGGTAGCAGTTGGCCGTCTCCACAGGCAATGCCGACCTCAGCGTCCGAGACCTCGACAATCTCCTTACGATGCCAAGGCAGAGTATTGACGACAACGGACTCATGCAGGTCGGCGGGGTGCTCGTTGGAGACGTCCAAGGAGCGGTACAGGTCTTGGAGGAGCTTCTGCCCCGTTTTGAAGACCTCTCCGTAAAGCTGTCGCTCATTAGCATTGGCGCATACAGAGTCACCGGAGAAGAAGCCGCCCACCTTGTCCGAATCGTCGTAGCACATCTCAATGGAGCTTCCAGGAAGGCAATCATGGAACTGGCAAAGCAGGACCGCCTCCCACATGTCGTCGATTTCCTCAGAGGGATACCTGTACGACTTGTCATTGATCGACGCAAATGTAGCCAGCTGCTCAATGTCGCGAAGCATGACCTCAGCCTGACGGTTGAAGTACTTGTTGTTGGCTTGGGTGGTGTAAGTGCCTCGGTGGAGCTCAAAGTACAGCTCTCCGTACCACGTCGGAAAGTCGTCGGCCTTGGGCGCCAGGCGGTCAAAGAAATCATCAACGGTGAGACCCAGCTTCAGCTTTGGGATTGCTCCGACGGTGTTGCTGATGCCGGCGCATCGGCGGAGCTTCTCGAAGTGCTGCCAGGTAGGGCCACCGCCACCATCGCCCTTGCCGAAAACCAGAAGAGACGACTCGTCAACGCGCATCGTCTTGTGCTGAGTGATACTTCGCCTCAGGTCGCCAAAGTTGGCGTCCGAAGTGTACGTCTCCGAGGGCGGCATGTGGCAGATCACCTGGCTGCCGTCGGGGCTGACCCACATGAACGTCGTGTGCGGGAAGGTGTTGATGTTGTTCCAGCTCAGTTTCTGGGTCATGAAGCGGTCCATGCCGGCCAAGCGACAGAGCTGCGGAAGCTGGCTCGAGTAACCAAAGGTGTCGGGTAGCCAGAAAGTGCGGCAGCGAGAGCCGAACTCAGCCTCAAAGAACCTCTGTCCATAGAAGAACTGGCGCACAAGCGACTCACCACTCGGCATGTTGGTGTCGTGCTCGACCCAGCTGCCGCCGATGGGATGAAACTGGCCCTCCTCCACCTTCTTCTTGACACGCTCAAAGGCGCTAGGATAGTACTGCTTCAACCACTTGAACTGCTGCGCTTGAGAGCAAGCGAAGTGTGCCTCGGGGTAGCGGTCCATCAGGTCACACTGGCTGGACCAGGAGCGACAGACCTTGCGTTTTGTCTCCGCCCACGGCCAGAGCCAGCAGGTGTCGATGTGACAGTGACCTATGCCGAACACAACCGGGTCTTTGCCAACTTGGTACACTCGATGCGAATCGACATCGGGCCCGATTATCTCCTGAGCCAGCTTGCGGCACTTGAGGATGGACTCCTGGTTGTCGACTTGGAAAGTGTCGATGATCTTCATGGCAACGACAAGAGCCTGGTTCTGTTCGGCCGAGTCCTCGGGCAGCTCGCGCGCGGCGTCACCGAGCTCCCACATGTCGAATAGAAGCATGCGGGCGGGAACGTTGACGGCGGCGATGCTGGCCTTGCTAAGCGTATAGTACTTATCGGGGTCGGGTGGCGCGATGCCGGTCTTGCCGCTGGGCGCATTCCCAAACATACCGTTGCAGGCCATTTCAATGTAGATAATGTGCTCCTTGGCGTTGCGGAAGGACTTGGGGATAATCCATTCAATACGCTCGTCTCCGCCGGTCAAACCTTGCAAAGGCACACCATCGTCAGTCCAGACTAGGCCCTCGTTTCCGGCGTCCCACTCGAATATGACGAGCTCCTCGTCCTGGATGTCCTCAGGGACCGTCAGATGGACTCTGAACCAGTGGGTCGTCCATGCGGGCCCGAACGAGGCGCCGGTGCTAGTCTCGCTGAAGTCGTGGGAGACTGCCTCTTTGAACGTCGGACGTTCTTGGCCAGGGGCGCTCCAGACATAGAGCTTGACGTGTGGTTTTCCCGAGACCCTGGCGTTGTAAAGGTTCCTGCATGTCGGGAGTCAGCACGCATGTACGAGAAGTTTGGACGGGTTGCACCACTCACGCTAGCAAGTTAACCTTGTCATACTGGCCCGACTTGTAAAAGGGCTCGATGCGGCCCTTGAGGATGCTCGTCTTGGAGACGCCGACGGGCTTGTGGGCGAAGAGGGGATAAGAGCTCTTGCTCTTGACATCGCCGCCACCACCCATGATGCGAGGTTCAGGGGAGTGCCCGGGAGCTGGAGGTGCTGATCGGTTGGACAGACGACGTAGCTTGCCCGGCAGCGGGGACAGTCGATGGGCCGAGGAGGAAGCTTGGTGATGGGCGGCGGGAGGGGAGAAGATATGATGGTCGGAGCTGTTGTGCCAGCTGCGGAAAGCGGATCAGCAGCTGACAAGGCCGAGTGACGGGAGGCGGGCGGGGGCGGGGAGGGTGTCAGCGAAGGGAAGGTGGTGTGCAAGTGACACCGTTGCAGCGGGTGCTGGTTGGAGATGTGTCTGCTCAAGAGGCGGTATGCACTGCGTAAAAATGCAATTTGTGTATAGAATGTGTAGCTTGTGGCCGCCCCAGGGAGGCGGTTGTGTGGACGAGGTCAAGGGAGGGCGTGGGGACGAGGGACTGGAGGTGAAAGGTGGAAGCTCCCAAGCTCTCTTTAGCGGGCAACTAGGCCCAGGTCGGTAGCTGGGCGGAGGGCAGCGGGAGACTCAGTCGATGGAGATCGGCTTGCCTACCGGTCTGTGTGCGGGGGAGGCAAAGACACACACACCCTCGTCCTTGGCTGCATCGTGGCTGTCGTACGGGGGGCTCGTCGGACGGTTCCTTGAAGGTCATGCACGTTACGCACCTCATCTTGGCGACTGAGAATGGAAGCTCGGTGGTTGAACGTGTATCTATGTAAGGGCCTATTATAGGATGGTGTGCTGGACGGCCTGGAGCGGCGACTGGGAGAGGCTCTCGGCTTGGGCACCCGTTCGTAGGTACGGAGGTATTAGTGCTCGGCACTTTATTAGGAGGGCTGCCTATCCATGCATGTTAGCTCGGAGCAGCAAAGCGGCGCAGATGCCGAGATGGACAGGCTCAATGGGGGGCGTTCCCGTCTGCCGAGGCGGGACGGCGCGATACCCGAATGGGCTTGTGGGTGCACAGCGTAACTTACAAGTCCGCGGAGCAGCCGGGTGAGCCAAGAGGTCGAGCTGAGGATGGCAAAAAATAATAACGAAGAAGATGACGATGGTGAATACCTCTAGGAGGCAGTGTCGAGACAAGATGGGCGGTGGTCAAGGTAGGTGCTTTGGAGCAGGAACCCCCCGTGACGCCGCGAAAGGAGGAAGGAGCTTGGGCCCTGGGACTCCTGGGAGCAAGTGCAGCTGGGTTACATCCTTCCTCCATTCGCCCCCTTCGGCGCATCCTCCAGACTGACCTTGACGATAGCAGCAGCATGCAAGCCGGCTTGGCTGTCACAACTTTATTTCGACCGGCAAGCCACGTGCAGGCAGCAGCAGGTCCGGTGCATGAGCAAATACGACGCGAATACGACGCAAATACGACGCAAACGCGGACGGCATATCGTGTCGTGATCCCTCTGCGTGACTCTCCGGCCACGGCCGCATCGCCCTTGAGCCAACGGCTGGCCATTGGCTCGAGACGATTGCAACTCTGGACGGGTTCAAGGCTCGTCACCTGCCATATGAAAGAGTCTAGATCTCTTGGCCCCTTCAGTCCATCCCGTCCTCTTTGAAATGTCCTGCGCAGGCGGCACTGTCCATCATCACAGAATACCGCTTGCTATGAAGGCTCCCTCCGATGTTGCCGCAGACGCTCTCTTGTCAATTCATCGACGCTTCTTGCTTTACACGCACAATCTTCAAGTGCATGCAAGAACGGTGATGTAAAAATATCCCTCCTCAGCTCCGAATACAAAGAAAGACCAAAGTCAGCAGCATCCAGTTCTCGGAGACTTGCTCATGGCCGTCGAGGTTCCTCGGAGTGCAGTGCGATGCCCTCAATATCATGATTTCTCGGCAACATGTCCATGGATCCTTTGTCTCTCAAACGGCTCTTCCTTCTCCAAAACAATTTGGATCCGGTTCAGTTTCTTTGTGCCAGCGTCTCAGATCTGGCTCGGTTGCTAATTCCACTCGCCAGTCATGATGCCTTGGCCCAAGGGCAATCCGATGGGTGCAGGCCATTTCTTTGCTTGCCGCCCGCACAAAGGCCTCTCCTCTGTTGAGTTAAGCGAAGCCGTGGGGCTTTGGGCGCTCCGGGCTCGTCGAGCCGCCCGGACCCTGGAGGCGCCTCACTGTCGGGTGCCCTGTGGTCCCCTGTCCACGGCCCTGGAGCGCCATAAATAGGCGCGCCCGCACTGCTACCTCTCCTGGAACGTGGTCAACGGCCCGCTATAATAGAGTCTCGGCCCGGTGTCTTTAGCGCCTCCGCACTCTCCCCTGTAAAAATTCTTCTCTTCTGCGGGCTGTTAGCAGCCTGTTAGTGGATAATTATTTTCAGGTCACCCGACCATGCTTCTGCCTCTCTAGCCCTAACGGGGCTCTAGCAAGCACCAAAAGGCAGACTTTGGAGAGTTCGTCTCCTCTTGGGAAGCTGGTCTCAAATAACAGCATGCCTTGCGCTGCCTCGCCTTCTGCCGCCTTGCGGCATCGCCTCTTCTGCCGCCTTTGCTGGCTGGCCTCGACTTCTGCCGCCTCGCGGCCCCGACCTTTTCTGCCGCCTCGCGGCCCGACTTCTTCTCGCCCTTCCTGGCACGCCTCGCGCTGCCTCGCACCCTCTGCCGCCTTTACCGGCTGGCCTCGCCTTCTGCCGCCTTGCGGCCCTGACTCCTTCTGCCGTCTCGCGGCCCCGACCTTTGCTGCCTTGCGGCCCTGCTGCCGCCCAGCGGCCACGACTTCCTCTGGACTGGTGGGCCGCGGGGGCCCCGAGGAGCTACAAGAGCCTAGAGCTCAAGGCCTCACCCGGTGCCCCGGAGCTGCACACCAATCGACAACACCTCCACCACCTGCTTGCTACGAGGAGTAGGCACGGGGACTTCGCCGACTGTCATGACCACGAAGTGGCCCGGATCGAACGCTCCTGCGGAGAAGACAATCGCCATCGGGGCGAACCCCGACTAACATTGCTACACTCTCTGCTCCCTTTTCTTTCTTTTCTTTCTGCCCTGTAGGCCCTCCTCGAGGGGGCTTGCGGCCGGCCCATGACTTCGTGGGCTTTCTCAGTCACCCGGCCTCGGCCAAAGACTGACTACTATTACGGCTTCACTGCCGTGCCTGGAACCCGCTGACGGGGAAGGGCCCCAATTTCCGACCGGCCTCAGAGCCTCAGAATTGCTAGATGGAGTGGTTAGGTGCTACACACGGTCCTTAGTCCAGGTACTCGGGATATTCTATGTATCTAGTCTTCTCTAGCCTAGCACGTCTTTTGCCCTTATAGGGATGTCCCAGACGGTAATCAATACTACTACTACTACTACTACTTTAGCGCCTCCGTCTACAAGCAGCTCTCCCCGAACTCTTCAACCAACCCTCATCAGCGTCCACCGAATGTTGCGGCCACGTCGTCTTCATGGATTGTGCCGCCTTCTCAATCCCCGCGGCAGCAGCCGTTTGCTAACCTCTGGCGCCCCACCGCGTCCTCGAATCTCTTCAAGGACGCCGCCCAAGCTGCCGCAAACCAGGGCCAAAAAGACGACAACCACTGTCAAGCTGTCGGATCTGCCTCAAGGGCCCCTTCGCGCCGAGCAGACGGCGACGCCCGCAGAGGACGAGCAGCAGGATGCGCCGGCATACCCGACCGTTGTGCTTCAGGCACGGCGCAACATGCGCGAGTTTGACAATTGCGTCTTGCTCACCCGCGTCGGCAGCTTCTACGAGCTCTACTTTGAGCATGCCGAAGAGTACGCGCCCCTGCTCAACCTTAAGCTGGCTACCAAGAAGACGAATGCCGGCCCCGTTCCCATGGTAGGTACATCTTCATCTCCCTTTCAAGTGAGGCGGCTCACACGCTTCCGCCCTAGGCCGGCTTCCCCTTCTTCCAGCTGGACCGCTTCCTCAAGATCCTGGTCCAGGATCTGAACCGCTACGTCGCCATCGCCGACGAGTTCCCCAACAACGCAGCCGACAAGGTCAAGTCGGGGGGCTTGATGCATGACCGCAGAGTGGCTCGCATCATCACCCCCGGCACCCTCATCGACGAAAACTTCATGGATCCCTACGCCAACAACTATGTCCTGGCCATTCATGTCTGCGCACAAGACACACCTGCGCCCGAGCCAGGCCAAGCCGTCCGCGTCAGCGGAATTCCCGCCTCGCCAGCCGTCACCTCGCTGCCTCTGGGTCTCGCTTGGCTTGACCTGTCCACGGGCCACTTCTTCACCCAGGCCGCTGATCTGGCTTCCCTGCCATCTGTCCTGTCCCGGATAGCCCCTAGCGAGGTCGTCCTCGACCAAGATTTTCAGGGGCAAAAGGACCACGACATCTTCTCCATCTTGGCTGATGACCGGCACCTCGTCACTTACTCGCCCCAGGGCGGCCTTGCCGACATCGGCGAGTGGACAGCCCTGCTCGAGGCAGAGGTGCCCGAGAGCACGCGAGAGAGCTTTACCGATCAAGAGGTCCTAGCCGGCGGCCTGGTGCTCAATTACGTCAAGGATCGTTTGCGGGGCCTGTCGATGAAACTCCAGCCTCCGCTGCGGCATGAGAACATGCAGATTATGAACATTGACAAGAACAGCATGCGCGCACTTGAGATACGGCAAACCATCCGAGACGGCTTCTTCCGCGGCAGTCTGCTCCACGCCATTCGGCGCACGGCGACTAAGAGCGGCGCCCGGCTTCTCGGCGAGTGGCTCAGCGCACCCTCGACATCTCTTGACGTTATCAACGGGCGCCAGGACCTCGTCGCCCGGTTCATCGCCGCCGACGACCTCCGAGACTCCATCATCCTGCTCCTTCGCCGGAGCCACGACTCGCAGCGTCTGGTCCAAAAGTTTGCCCTGGGTCGGGGTGACGCAGACGACTTGCTGGCCCTGGCCAACACCATCCTTGCTACCCAAGACATTGTCGTCCTCCTCATGCAGACGGCAGTCCCGACCAGTCAAGCGTCAGAAGTAGACTGTCTGAACTCTCTCATTTCTCGCTTCGACCTCGAGCAGCCTCTCAAGCTTGCGCGCCGTATCAAGAACGCCATTGATGAGGAGAGCATTGTTCATCAGCACGAGGCAGAGGAGTCTGAGGCGAGCCAGATGATGGCCCTAGCAGAGGAAATCGTCGCCTCAGAAGGGACCCGAGAGGACGCGTCTGTGCTGCCCAAGGGGAGGAAGAAGCGCCCGTCGTCCATCAGGGAGCACTACGGAGAGGACAACGAGGCCTGGATTATGAAGCCGACCGCCAGTGCCGTTCTCAAAAGGCTCCATGCTGAGCTCGACTGCCTTTTGGAGGAGAAGGTTCAGCTCGGCGAGAATCTGCGGCAGCGTCTTGGTGCCTCGAGTCTCACCCTCAGATGGAACCACGGCCTGGGCCACATTGCCCACATCAAGGGCAAGGACACGCAGAACCTCGCCGAGATCAAGGCGCTCTCCTACAGCCGATCGACGCGCTCCTTCCACCTCCCCGAGTGGACCGCTCTCGGCCAGCGCCTCGACCAGGCGCGCCTCCAGATCCGGCGCGAGGAGCAGCGCGTGTTCCAGGCCCTGCGCGAGCGCGTGGTGCGCAATCTGGTCAAGCTGCGCCGCAACGCCGCCGTGCTCGACGAGCTCGACATTGCCACGTCCTTTGCCAAGCTCGCCAACGAGCGCGGCCTGGTGCGCCCGCGCCTCAACAGCTCGGCCGGCCACACCATCATCGGCGGGCGGCATCCGACGGTCGAGGGCGGCTTGCTCGAGCAGGGGCGGACCTTTGTGCGCAACGACTGCGTCGTCGGGGCCCCTTCGGGCGGCTTCCTATGGCTCATCACCGGACCCAACATGGCGGGCAAGAGCACCTTTCTCCGCCAAAACGCCCTCATCACCATCCTCGCCCAGATCGGGTGCTACGTGCCGGCTTCGTACGCCGAGCTGGGCATCGTCGACGCCATTTTCAGCCGCGTGGGCTCGGCCGACAACCTGTACCGCGACCAAAGCACGTTCATGGTGGAGATGCTAGAGACGGCGCAGATCCTCAAGCAGGCCACGCCGCGGTCCTTTGTCATCATGGACGAAATTGGACGGGGCACCACGCCCGAGGACGGCACGGCCGTGTCGTATGCCTGTCTTCACCATCTCGTGACGGTCAACCAGTGCCGGACACTGTTCGCGACGCACTTTCACGGCGTCGTGGACCTCGCCACGAAGGAGGGGCTCTGCGGACCGAATGGTGGAGCCGTGCAGACGTACTGTACCGACGTCGAGGAGGATGGCAAGGGGGGGTTTGTCTACGTGCACAAGCTACGGAAGGGCGTCAACCGCCACAGTCACGCGCTCAAGGTCGCAAGGCTGGCCGGCCTGCCTGAGCGTGCCATTGACGTCGCGCATCGGGTTCTGGCCCAAAGCGACGAGGGCGACTTGTGCGGCACGAAGAACGCCGTAGACTAGAAGCTAGGGCCGCCGTTTTGGGTCCCAGAGAATCAGGAATTGGCGTTACATATGCGGCTGTTGGTTTCTTGTATGTTAGCCATGATACCCTTGACAGCTGTTTCAAGAAGCAGATGGGAGAAGGGGATTCGTCATAAATGTGTATGTCTCATCAGGAGAATTCAGGGTTAAAAAGCTCTTGATACGTGTTTATTTAATCATCCGAAAAGGGGTATGTGTAAGGATTCGAAATATCAAAAGACAAAACTTACCTGTTAGTCAACAGCGCAACTGCTGCATGCGGTCACATCGAGGAGTCACAACTCGGAAACATAGCTTTCATTATCTCTCGCGCCATGCGATCGCTGCTGCAGTGCCCGTGGGCCAGCAAGCGATATATGTAGCCGTTTCAGATCCACTTGTCGTGAACCTGATCGAAATCCCGAAAGCCAGTCCGACCCCGTCATGTTGTTAGGACATTTAATCACTGCAAGGCGCGTTAGCTTAGTCTCGTAGCGAATTGAGGGCGGTACGTACAAGAGACCGCCAAAGCCCTCGTCGTCCTCCTCCTCAGACTCCTCCTTCTTCTCCTCGGCGGCAGGCTTGGAGTCGCCGGCACCGCCAGCAGCGGCAGCGGGGGCGGCAGCAGCGTAGGCATCGGGGTTGGCGATGCGGTCCTTGAGCTGCTCAATCTCGGGCCAGCTGTACTCGGTCTCGATGGCGACGGCCAGGGCGTTCTTGTACGTGTTGACGATGGAGTGCATGACGGAGGCCATGGTGGGGAAATTGATGGCCAGGGAGATGCTGGCAATGGTGGCGATGCAGTTGGACAGGGAGCCGAGGAGCTGCTCCTCGCCAATGTCAAGGATGTCGGCGGGGAAGGTCTGGCCCTGGTCGTAGACCTGGGCAATGCCCATACCGTAGGTGAAGGGCGAGATGTTCATCATGTTGAGCAGGGTGGCCTCGGAGGGGCCGACCTTGCTGCCGGACTCGACAAGCTTCAGGTCGGCCGTGATTTCAATGGTACCACGGGCGATCTTGGTGGGGACGCCGAGGGCCTGGAAGAAGGACGTCTTGCCGGGCTCCATGCCGGTGTTGCCAGCGGGAATCCACACATCGACGGGAGCCAGGGCGCCGGCACGAGCAGGCGCGGCGACTCGGTTGGACAGGATCTTGTCACGAATTGTCTTGAGGTCGCTGTTGGTGAAGACGAAGCCGACGTTGCCCTTGACGTGAGGCAGGAGCTTCTCGTACTCGGGGGTGTCGATGATGAAGGTCCTGAGGGCACGGCGAACCTGGACACGGTCAGCCACAAGCCCATCAATCAGGGACCGAAAATTTGCATACCATGGTGTTCTTGCCCATCAGGACAACGCCGGAGCCGCGGAGGGCGTGACGGATCTCGTGCATCTGCTGCGACGAGACATTGTCGACGGTGACGATGAAGATTGACTTGAATTCCTCCAACAAGCCCTTGAGCTTGTCGAAGTAGCCGGCCTTGTTCGCAGACTTGCCCCCCATATCTTCTTATTTATGAAGGCAGGATGTTTAAGGGCAAGGGAGATTTGGTGATGTTTGCTGGGGGGTTTTCGAGGGTGGTGTCGCGGAGCGTTAAGTAGGAGGTGGAAATTCCGGATTTTTGCGCGCTGCCGGCCGACAGAAAAGTGTGTGTTTCCGACCGCCGTTGCGCTTAGGGCTCAGGGGGCCTAGCCTTATGAGGCTAGTTCGAGCGTGGACGAGCTCGTGGTCGGTACAATGAAGATGTATCTTTTTTTCCCTCGTCCGCTTCTCAATCGGGGGCTCAGCTTGTGAACGACGATTCGGCCGCCCTCATTGGATGACTGCCTTGCCGGATGAATGTTCAGCAAAAGCCGCAATCTTCAGCCTCGACGGCGTAAGAGGAGTGCGAAGCATGATGAAGATTCCCTATAATCGCGTACACGCCCACGGCGATGTCCTCCTGGCCGCACGCGGAGGCAAGATTCACACCTTTGGCCTGCTGGACGGCAAACACATCTCAACATGGCAGCACCCGGACGTGCTCACCACCCCTCTCAGCACCGCCGAGGCCACGTCCGAAGCAAAGGGTGCGTCTTCGCCTGCGCCCGTGGAAGCTGTCGAGAGCAGGGAGGCCGACGGAGATGAGCCGCCAGCCAAGCGGCAGCGACTGGAAAACGGCGAGCATCTCAAGGCTTCGGCGGATGCGCCTGTAGCTGACGCTCTGACTGCTCAAGGGGAGGACGGTACTCAGGGTGATGGCGAGGGCAAAGGCAAGGCGAAGGGGAAGAAGAAGGGCAAAAAGGCCAAGCCCGAGGGTCAGCCTCACCAGGTCGCGCGCGCCCCTGAACGGCCCGTCATCACGCAAGTGACAACCACGGCCGATGGCCGTCATGTCCTGGCCGTGTCCGGGCACGACAAGGTCATCTGGGTCTTTGAGCACGACGGCCAGGGCGGACTGAGGCAGATCAGTCAAAGGTGCCGACCGAGACTCCCCCCCCCAGCAAACCTGACAAGGACTGACCAGCTGTGCAGAACAATGCCCAAGCGTCCCAGCGCCGTGACCATAGCCGCAGATTCTCAAATCATCAGCGCCGACAAGTTCGGCGACGTCTACACCCTTCCTCTCCTCCCGGCCCCCCAATCACCCTCATCCGCAGCCCTTCGTTCATCCACGCCGAATCCCCTCGCCAAGCCCGCGGCATTGGCAGCCAACACGCTTGTCGTCCACTCAAAGCGCAACCTGGAAGCTCTCAGGCATCAGAAGAAGCAGCTCGAGCTTCGGGGTGAAAAGGCCGCCGACGCAGTCAAGGAGGGCCCCAGCTTTGAACTAACGCTTCTGCTGGGTCACGTCTCCATGCTCACCTCCCTGGCTCTCGGTGAGAGCGAGGGCTGCAGGTACATCCTGTCCAGCGATCGCGACGAACACATTCGCGTGTCTCGGTACATTCCGCAGGCGCACGTCATTGAGGGATTCTGCTTAGGCCACAAAGAGTTTGTTAGCGAGCTGGTTATTCCGCCCTCACGGGGTGAGGTCCTCGTCTCGGGGGGCGGTGATGAAGAGCTGTTTGTGTGGGACTGGAAAGCCGGCAAACTGCTTTCCAAGACGAGCGTTGTGTCTGTTGCGCAGAAAATCGCCCCTGAAACCGCCAAGGTGGCCGTCTCTGGCCTGCACTCCCTTCTTTATCCCTCCGAGTCGGGGAGCCTCACCTACATCCTGGCCATTTGCGAAGGGTAAGTCCGGCCACCAATCTTGGCAATGGCAGTGGGAATGTTGACAAGGATAATACAGCATCAAAGCCATCTTCTCGTGGCAACTCACCGATCACAACACCCTCAACCGCCCAGGCGTGATCCAACTCCCCGCCGCACCTCTCCACCTCTTCATTTCTGCCTCTGAAAACGCACCGCCAAAGCTCATCGTCGCCATGGACCCCGGCGAGTCATCAGTCAAGAGCCTGCATGCCATGATTCTCACCGCGAGCAACGGGAGGCTGTCCGTGGACACGGAGTCCTCTTTCCGGGATGAGGGGCTCGAGGCGGACGAGGCGGACGCGTCTGAAAGTGAGATACGGCGGCTTCTGTATACCGTTGAGAGCTTGAGGAAACAGACCAGTGGCGGCGAGGACGAGGGGGCTGCAGACGCCGAGGTGGGCGCGGAGATGGAGGCTGACGAGGCTCCTGCCGCCGATGACTAGATATACTCGCCAATGAAGTCTTGACCGTCTTCCACCTTCCTGAACATCTGTTCTGTCGATTTTTGTAGGTTGACGGAGCATCACGACAGGCTCGCCCTATGCAGCCTTACTTCCTACTCTCGAGTAATTTGACGAATCTGCAGGTAAATCATCATGTTCATGGGTCTATGTCTGCCACTACAACCCCGTCGAATTGTCTATATCCTCTGTAACGCCGTGCATCCAGATCAAATGCTCGCGGCCACTTTTTGGACGGTGGCCGGCCGAGTGCATCGGTTTGTCGCCCTGCCGTGCCTCGTCTCCACTTCACGCGCAGAATGTCATTACTCCACTCCCCTCTCATGGTATCGGTGGGATTTTTTTTGATGCGGACACGTGCGCATTCGAAAAGACCAAATGCCATGTAGCGGCATGATCCCCTGCGCGCATCTGAGCCCCCTGTCCGAACGCCCCCAGGCCGAACAACATGTACTTTCGTGCCGTCGATGCTCTGTCGTGTTCCTCGAGCGGCTTCTTTGTGTAGTGTTCTTACTGCGAAGCGCACTGCACGCGCTCGGCGCCAGGGTGACCATCCTCGTCGTCTTCCTCGCCCATGCCGGAGCCGCCGCCAAAGGCGCGACTCTGCGACTGGTTGTCCAGATCCTCCAGGTCGGCCGGCTCCGTCATCGCCTCAGTAGGCGGGACGTTCTGAACGGAGGGAGCGGGAAGCAGCTTTCGGAGCTCCTCGAAGGCGTTGGGGTCTTGAGTCCAGTTCTTCTCGGGGAAAACAACGTTGAAGTGGATATACAGGTTGCCAAAGTCGTGGTGGCGGTGCGAAGGCATGCCGTGGCCGCGGACCATTTTAACCGAGTCTGTAGACCATGTCAGCATACAGCCGGGACGAAAGCAAAGGAGCCCACTTGCCTTGAGCAATAGCTTCGCCCGGCATGATGTCGATGCTGAGCCACCGGTCGTCGAGGTGCTCTATGTAGATTGTGCCACCGGCCAAAGCCGTCACCAGCTCAATGTCGCACTTATAAAGAAGGTCGTCATCCTTGCGCGTGAAACGAGTGTGAGGCTTCTGCTCGATCTCGAAGACGACGTCGCCGGCCTGCACGCCGGGAGCCTGGTCACCTTCGCCTCGGAACTCGACTTTGGTACCGCTGCGGACACCCTTGTCGACGTGGACGTGCAAGACCTTCCTGTCGACTATCGTCTTCTTACCGTTGCACTGCTTGCAGCGATCCTTCTCCTTAATGATCTCGCCTTCACCGTTGCAATCGGGGCAGACCGTCTGGAAGCGCTGGATCATGGGGCCCATCTGGCGCATCATGGTCTTCATGCCATGGCCGTCGCAGCCGGGGCAGGTCTTGACGGCACCGGCCTTGCCGCCAGCTCCCTCGCACTTGGGGCAGATGATGGAACGTTGAAGGGCCAGCTTGGAAATCTTGCCGCGGTAGATGTCCTCGAGCGACACCTTGTGAGTATGGTGAATGGTGCGCGCCTTCGGGGGCCCGCGACTGTTCATGCCTCCAAACATACCGCCCATGCCACCGAAGCCACTGCCGCCGAAGAACTGCGCAAACAAGTCTTCGGCGGCCATGCCACCTCCACCGGCACCGCCCTCGAGACCAGCCTCGCCGTATTGATCATAGACTTGTCGCTTCTGAGGGTCAGACAAAATTTCATAGGCATGGGAAACCTCCTTGAACTTGTCCTCGGCACCGGGATTATGGGCGTTCTTGTCTGGGCGAGGGGTTAGATTACTTGTTCGAATAAGGACTGATTGGTTGGTGACAACACACCAGGATGATATTTCAGAGCATTCATCTTGTAAGCCTTTTTCAGCTCCTGGTCCGTGGCTCCGGGGGCGACCTGGCGCGCGTTAGCATTACGCAGGCTGTGCGAATTGGGAGGTGTCAAGAGCCAGCATACCCCGAGGGTGTCGTAGTATTTTGTTTCCTTGACCATGGTGGCTGGCGATCCGGTGAATCAAGTCCGAGTGAAGGGTTGGAGGTTGAGGAGGAATCGGCACCGACGGCAGCAGCGGAAAGAACAGGATCGTTGAGGCGCTTGGTGCTGTGCAAACAGGTTGATCAGCGGTTGCGCAAGAGGATGACGGAAAGGGACAGAACGTGTTTCGGTGGGCCAAAGGAAGCTTCCAGGGGGTGCAGGCAACCGGGATTTACGTGCTGACCTCATCTGACCACCCAGCCGCACGGGAAGGCTGATGATTCTTGGCGCCTTACCTTAGGATTTCTTCTCGCGATGGCAAGATTCGACGCAAAAGCTGAAGCCCCGGGCAGCAGGATGCAGAGGGGGGAAGAAGGGTCCTTGAGGGAGGTGAGGCGGGAGACGTTGGAGGGAGAGGGAGAAAAATGCGAGATGCAGCTGGAGAACAACGGGCGAGTTGCCTGCCGTGATTTCCTCCTTGTCTTTTCCGCTTCCGGGGGATGCGAAAACCACTATCGAGCGACGAGGAGATGCGCAGACCTTTTACGAATCTGACCCGAGAAGCGTGGCTGAATTTGTCTGGCTTCGAGAGACGACGTTTGGCTTTTTTTTCTTCGTCAAAGACAGAGAAGCCGGCGGTCGCGTTCTCAGCGGCGGGAGGCTCTTTGGGAGTTAAAAAGAAAAGTAGAGAGGCTGCAGGGGGGGTGGGGGCCCTGCCGTTTAGGCGGTGCTGGGATGCGCCTCATGGAATTGTATCGAAGAGTGTCGACACTGTGGCGGTGCTGCTGATGCTGCACCACCTTCCTCGAGCGACTGATGCCATTTTCAAGAGGCGAGTTTCACCGTGCATGATACCTCGGCTTCATTCGCCGACTGCAATGTCTCTTTCTCCTTCATCCGTCTGCTTGAACCCCCCATCTCGACTATTTCGAGGGCCTCTCTGCCGTAGCGGCGGGCGGGACCCCATGAAGCTCACTAACATTTTTTTCCTGGCCAGCTCCTGGCCAAGATGACACCCGAGGCGCGGCCTACAGATGCTAGGGTAGGCGACAGCTCTTGTCCAGCTACGCCTCCCACAAGCCGCAGAGCATAATATTATACTTTCTTCCACCGACTGTTCCCGGACTCGGAGGATCACATACACGTACGTGTCTTTTAGTTATATGAAATATCAAGTACACAAAGGTCGGTCAGGCTGTGACCAGCAACTACAAGCAGGCCCTGCTTTTCCTGATAAACAAAGAGTGGGTATGGTGGTATCACTTAATAAGAATGCCCGAGCCAAGCAATGCCCCGCGGTTCAGCAAACACACACGCCTTGCCTCCCAGGCCCATGACGTCTCCTTATCGGGCCCCGACTATAGCTCCCAGTCTGGCAAACAGCTCCCGCCCACGAGACGCCGACGCCCGTAGGCGACAAGTTCCCTAGAACGCATCCTCAAACGGGCAGTCAACACTGTCATGGCCGTCCCGCTCACATACCGCGCACCACTTCATCGGGTCCACCACGCCGCTCTCCTTGCCCGCCACCGGCCCCGATTCCATTGGATTGGGCAGAGCCTTGACGGTAGGTGTCGTGGTCGTAACGGGCACCTTGGTCTTGACGGGAGAAAGGGGTGCTGGCTGGGCATCTTCGGTGCTGAGTGGCACGTCCGACTTCCACATGCCGTTGCCCGTCTTCATATCGCCCCCGTTCTTAGCGCTCTCGGGACCAAACATGTTTGTGCAAGTCAAGATGTCGTGGCCGCTCGTCTCGCAAATCTCGCACCAGAGGGTGCTGGTCTCCGTGGCCGTCGAGTGGGTGTCGCTTTCGTGCATTGTATCGAGCTTGTTTCCTCGCTTGCGCGGGGCTTCGGGCGTCCGCAACCCGACGGGGATGACCGTGTCACGGGAATCTCTCTGGGTCGATCGCTGAGCAGGCATCGAGTTCCCTTGCGCACCAAGCCCACGATCTCGAAGCGCCTCGAGCTCCAGCTCCAGCTCCTCCTCCCTGCTGCTCTTCCGGTCCAACAGAGACTGCAACTCGGCCACCTGTCTTTCCAGGTTGTCGCGTGCAATTTTGCCCTCAACGAGGTTGCTGCCGGCGCCAGTCAAAGAAGATGGCCGACGACCGGGGACTCGGCCGTCTCCTCCCGGGATAGGGTCGCGGCTGAGTGAGTGAATGATTGCCTTGAGGCCTCGAATCTCATCCTCCTTTTGCTCCAGCTCCTTGGACGCGCCAACGCCGTCCCCCTGCGAGTTGGAGCTGGAACCCCCCTTTTCACGCTCGCGACGGAGTTCTGATCGGGTCCTCTCCACCTCACCGCGCAGGAACTCAGCTTCCCCACGGGCTTCCGCCTCGCCGCGACGAGCGTCCTCGAGGCCCTCTTCCAGCTCCTGGACGAGTTCCTCCAGCTGCTTGAGTTGGCTCGCGACGGAATCCACGTCCAGGTTCCTAGACTCCAGCTCTCGCAGTTCAGCCATGAGCTCCTCTATGCGCTTTTCGTACACGCGCTCGGTTTCCGCGCTCGCCAGCTCGAGGGTGTCAATGGTGCTTCGAAAGTCTGCTCGGTGGGCGTCAAACTCTGCGGTGAGCATGGCGATTTTGTCGTTCTTCTCTCGCAGCAGATGCCGGAGCTGGGCCGAGTCCTTGTCGTCTATGCTGTTCCTCCTCATCCTACCCGCATCCGGATGCTCGAGGAGCGACTGGAGCTCGACGAGGCTGCTCTCCATCTCGGCCAATGTTGCCGCCTGTTCCTTGAGCTGCCCGTCACGATCTTCAAGCTGCGAACGGAGACGATCAATCTCGTCGTCGTTGACGGCATGAGCGCGCGAGGCCGGGCGATGCATCTTCATGCCGAGCGACGAGACGGACCCGACACTGCCATTCGTTTTCGATCTATGCAAGCCTACCGGGGTCGCTTCGTCGTCGAAGGTCAGAGCCGATCCCAGGGCCGAAGCGCTGCGAGGCCCTAAGCTAGGCTTGCCTTCGGGTTTGGGTGGTTTCTTGCTCGGGTCGCCAGCAGTGCCACGAACGCTCTGCGCCAGCTTGTTTGTCGGGCTTCCGAATCGCGAAGATACTTTGGCCGGGGTTCCAATGGATGGCCGAGGCCCGGGCGTCATCTGCGTTCGGCGGAGGGGGGAATCGGGGCGAGGCAGCGAGGTTCTCGGCCGCTTGATCTGAGGGCTTGGTGCCCGGGCGCCAGGACCGACCGAGGCGCTAAACTTTGGCAGAGCTGGCGTAGGAGGCGTGAAATGTGTCGAATGGCCTCCATTCTTGAAAGGCGTGTAGGCGTTTGGCGTGGGCGTCATGGGAAAGAAGCCATTGGGCGCTCCTCGTCGGGCGATCTTGGCCACGGGGACAAAGATGCCGGCGCCAGGGGTAGTTGTCGCAAAGTACGAGACTCTTCAAAAGGAGCATCGCCGGGTTAGCTTGACCAAACCAAGTTATGTGCATGGCGCGAGAAGGGAGTCGTGGCAGGAGTGCTTCCATACCCATCAACGTCGCCGCTGTTCTTGCCCTTGGCGGCAAAGTCCGAGTGCAGCTCGACTCCGGCGAACGTGCCCTTCTTGCCCTCGACGGAGCCGACGAAGCGGACGGTGCCGTGCATGCCGCCGGGAACATCGACAGGCTCTCCGACGGCGACATCGTCGGCAGCAGGCCTGGCGGGCGTGGCGGGCGCCATGGCGTAGGAGGAGTCGCTCAGAACCGAGTCGAGGGCGTAGCTCTCGCTGACATCGGGGATGCTGGCAAGGGAGCTGGGGGTCAGGGCGACGAGCGACGTCTTGCGAGCCACGCCCGGGGGCACGAGCCTCGATTGAGCGGCGTAAAGAGAGCTCAAGTCGGGGGTCGAGGCCGTAGACGCGGGTTTGCGCAGGGAGCGGGAGAGCGCGGCGCGGCTGCTGTGAAAAGTTGCGGGTGTGGCGGCCGTGGTGGTAGCGGTCGCGGTGGCGGTGGGAGCCATGGCGATGGGCTTGTGTGTGGCTACTGAGCAGAGCTGGTCAGGGCCAAGCCAGGTTGGGTGGTAATAACAAGCAACGGAAAAAAGGTCATGCATACCTTGCCGAGGCAGGGCCTCCTCCCAAGGAACGGCGCGGGTCCACGCGTTGCTCAGATGCTTGTCCCCACGCGCGCAAGAAGATGAGATGAGCACGAAGAGCAAGCGTTGCGAGTGTTTCTTGAGCTCCTTCTCGCCTTCTTGACGGCCGAAAACTGTCAAGGGAAAAAAAAGTCAATGGTACGGAGGGAAGGAGATGTGGCTCAACGAGCAAGCGCCGCTCTGTTTAGCGCAGCAAGTACTCTACATACATACCTCTGGTAGTGCCCGGTCGCAGTGTCACCTAGCAGCGTCTCTGCGGAGCTCGTCGGCGGTTCGGTAGAGGGGCAATCAACAAGTACAAGCAGCTCGTCTAAGACGGCAAGGGCGGCGCTGGGAGTTAATTGGCGTGATAGGTTGGTAGGTAGAGTAAAGGGTAAGGTGACGCGAGGTACAAAGTAAAGTGGGCGGGTAAGAAAAGGTACGGTACCTCCTTGGTCGGTGCAGAGACAAGCAGGCGCGACGGAGCGGGCAGTCGACAAATCTTTGTTGTTGGCAGGAAGCAAGCGACGAAAAAGTATGCGAGGGAAGGGGGGAAAGGAGAAAGGGAAAGAATGAACGAAACGAAACAAATCCGCCGGTCGAATTTGTTGACGGACAGGCCCGGGCTTGAGTTGAGGGGAGGAGGGAGAGGGGAGAGGGAAAAGGAAAGCTGGAATGGGCTCTGTTGACAGTAGCATCTCTCCGGTTGCCCCGTCGGCCTGCAGGCAGCTGCCCGTCACCGCCTCCGTCGTCTGCGCCTCCCCGTCTCACCACCTGCAGGTGCATTCACCACGGGGTCGCATGCCTTGGTAAACAACCTGCGTTGCACCCATCGGTTTTTGGAAAGGTACAAAGACAGCTGAGAAGCCAGAAGGCTTCGGCAGATCCAGACAAAGCGCCGACCCGCGGGGGATGACGAACACCCCTACTATGCCCAGCTTGGCTAGCGACGCATTTGCTGGGACCGTCAACTAGCAGGGAAGCCATGGAGATCGGAATGGACGGGCACCACTCTCCCTACCTTGCTCTCCCGCGGCCTCCCACCCTGTTTGTTGTTGACTTGCATTACTATGCCAGCTTTCCACGGCCGCCTGCTGTCCGGCTGACCTCGACGCTTACCTACCTGCCTGCCTGCTCAGCTGCCTTGATCTAAACATCATCGGTATCAACCTCGGCTGCTTGGCACCTCTCTCTCTCTCAACACCTCAGTTCGCTAGTCATGTATGTACAGCACAGCGTTTTCAGCATACCGTACAGGCACAGTGTAGTAGTCGAGAGCCTGCATCAGTGTTTCGCCGTGCCTCCAGTCATTGGATCGAGCGAATCCGCCCGGCTGCTCATGGCGCACGAGGCTGCTGCACCACGGCCCATCCGCCTCCAATGGCATCCCGATTTTTCACTCGTCTCCCTTTCTTCAGCTGCCTTCCAAGCTCGCTAGAGTCTCCTTGCCTGCTCCCGTCGCAGCTGGCAACAACTAGTCTGTAGGCGTCGCTCTAATGTACGCCCAGCGTCGTATGCAATCAGCCAACGAGATGAACCAAAGCGCCTCTGTCACGGGATATTCCATCATACGGGCTGCTCCGCACTTGTACCTCGTGAGTGGATGTTTCCAGATCGTATGTACATACGGGGGATAACGAGGCAAGACATGGCAACCAAACAGCCCTCGTTCCGTGGCCGTGAGAGTTGAGATTCCGCGCGGCATCCCCCAAAGAGTGAAGAGGCCTTGGTATTGTTGAGAATGCTGCATCCTTGACGCTACCAACCACGTGGGACATTAATCAGAATGTTCCTCCACCCCGACCCGTAGTGTTTTTTACGGTTATTCATCTACTCGGGAGGTCGAAGGGGTCTCCGAGACAAAGGGACCAAGCTAGCCTGGCGTTTCTGTCTCTGCCTGACAAGGGAGCGGCCAGCGGCTTGGGAAAGATTGGCAGTAGTCAACTTGAGACTTAGTGGCCTGCATCGCATGCACCCCGAGTAAAGGTGCCAGGCCGGCTGCGGAACAGTCTCTCTGGTCCTGCCATCAGGGTCGGCCATGGCACGAACGCTCGATTCGCTAGGGCGTTCGCAGCGTGCAGACCACGAGCCTGGCCCCTTGCACATGCAAGAAGGGGTTTACGGCGACCCGACTAGGCGCGCGTCCTGTATCATGGGTCTGCATGCCCACATCAAAACTCAGCCTTTAGGTTTTCACGTGCTGTCGAGTCGGAAAGATAGCCGTGGCCTGCGGGGAGAAGGGGAGTTGGGGGGCCGGCTCCTCTCGACGGCAGGGCGATGTGGCTCACCCTGGTGGCGCCAGTGCACCTGTTCGCTAAGCCGGCGATCCATGGTCCCGTTCAATAATGTCTTCTCGACCGAGCGGTCTCGTCCCGTCGTTTAGGACCATGGCCTCCCGATGCTGGCGTCGAAGTCGTCGCTCTTCAGCAGAGTGTTCCCTTGTTCGACGAGCCATTGGATCCGTCGGTTGTTCCCCGACAATCTCCTCTTCTATTTCCATGATGAGTTCGGGGAGCTCTCCCGAGCGTCGCCGAGAGCTTTCCTTGTCTATCAAGCCGGCCTTTTCGAGCGCGCGAAGACCGCGCTTTGAGTGCTTGATGCCAGTCACGATTTCGGCGAGGCGGTTATTCTTCAGATCCATGTATTCTTTGAATCTGCAGCGACGTTGTTGCGGATCGCTGCCCCAGTTTTGCTTGGCGAGCCACTTTTCGACAAACTTGGCCTTGATGATTAGGCTGGCACCGTACTTGTTGACGAGTTCGAAGACAAACATGAGGCAGAATCTCTCGGCCATGTCGCGCAGGTAGTATTCGTCCCAGTGGCTGTTGCTGAGGTCGGGGCGCTCAACATCGTGGAGGCTCAGCTCGAGCGATCTCACGAGGGCCGAGTAGGCCATCTCGTTGTTCAGCCTGGACAAGCCGTCGAGGCCTGCCACGGTTAGCCCGAAAGCTGCGACACAGGGCGAGGCTGTTGTTCTTACCCATGGTCTGCCCTGTCAGCAGAGCGAGTGCTCGGAGGCATTGCATACGCTCGTCGTAGTCGGGTCGGGTGATGCCGTAGAGCAGGTGCGTCGTCGTCTCGGAGTCGTTGATTGCCCTGTCGCAGAGAATCTTGGTGGCGACTTCTCTAATGGAGTAGCTTGGATGGTTCAAGAGCTTCTCGATCGTCTCCAGCTGCAGGGCATCCTCTGTGTCCTGGGTGATGTACTGCGTCTTGGGTTCTGCGGGCGGCACCACGTTGAGGTCGCGGATGACGGTGAGGCCGGCGAAGATGCTTCGGACCAGCCCATAGGTGGCGAGGCCGATGGTCAGGAGGACGACGCGCTCATCGCGAGCTATCGCCGCGAGGCCGGGTGCCCATGCCATGGCTTGCGCTGGCGATTTCTGACGATGCTGGTCGTCGAAGCTTGGCCTCTGCTGGCATGGGTATTCTTGGAGGTGGCCCGTGCCCGCCAAGTACAGGCGTTGGCTGCCGAAGGTCGCTGCCGGGCATCTCGTCGCCGAAATCTCGGCAACAAGTACACTTTCGGTGATGACAGGTACTTGCACACCGACGCTCTCCAGCAGCATTAGGTAATCGGTGCAGATTTTCTTCCGAGCGGCAACTTGTCTCTACTACGTACAGCAAAGTTTGGAACTCGCGCCTTTCCAACTGAAATGGTTCGCACGTCCCAGCACAACTCAAGCTCTGCCTAGGTAGTTTATGAGTCCCAGTACGGCTAAGGCGTATTGTTCCTTGGATACGGTTCTCGGCTGGTGATATCGGCGCAGATGTGCTCGCTATCATGGACACCGCCATGGAAGCCATCTATGCGACAGACTACCAGCCCAACACGCAAGGTAAATGTGAACCATGCACCGTACGCCAGCCCTTTGGGAAAGGCCGGTATATGCGCGATAGCCCAGTGCTGTTCGACCACTGGGCGTCATTGGTGATTGACATGGCTAGACAAACACATGGCTGAGCTATTGATAACATGTCTGGCCAGGAGCAAGAATGGAGCACGGCGAGGTTGCCGCCGACGGGTTGCCCCAAATTCGAGGTCGAGATTCAGTTGCTGTTTTCACGTACGTACACGGCCGGAACATGTTACCACCGATTCACTTGCCGATCGTATAATATAATGAAGGTCTCGAGTATTTCCAAGCCCTTGATTCTGGCCTCGGTGTCATCACTGTCGTCATCCGTCTTGCCGTCCGTGACCAAGCGTTTATCACTCCAAGCTTTTGACAAGTGCCTCCAGCCTGGACAATTAATCCGTCACAGCACCTATAGACAGTGAGAGTTCGTGACATGCCACTTCCCATAATTCATTTTGCCCCAGTGCTCAATTACATTACATTCAGCCATGCGATCCTTTCGTCGGCCTCCTTGAACGGCCAGAGCTTCGACGGATGGAAGATGCGTCGTGTTTGGGGCCATGGAGAAATAGATGAGCATATATTCAAGCAGTAGAAGCGCGTATGATTGTCTGTCAATGGCGCGCTGCGATGATTGACACTCGGCCATGGTCAAGGAAGGAAAAGCGAGTGATGCAGCAGAGACCGAGGTCGATAGATTGATGTCAACCTTTCCCCGAGGGGTGGCTTCGCTCTTGGGTGTTCAGGGTCATCAGGGATTCATCAGTCTGTTGTTTGGGGGGAGAATCCAATCGTTTCTTCTGCTGGTGAGAGACGATTGCATCTCGGGCATTTGGCCGATGACGTGGACGGCTAGGCTAGGGGCGGACCGTTAAATAACCGCTCCCTGGGGGGCCACACTCCAAGCCCTGCAGACGAATCCTGGCTGGTGTTGCAGGCCGGGTTCCTTTATGGGCCAGCCACACGTCACTGGGGATTGTTGGAACCACCGTTGCACTCTGCAAAAACGAGATGCGTACGCGCACCTAATCACAGGCACAACTGAACAAGGTATTCTTGTTCACACTTGCGCCGTTTCTAACGGGGAGAGTCTCCTGCTATTTAAGCCACCGTATGCCGCCTCCGCCAGCCAAAGCTGAATACCTGGCAACATCACCCAGCAGCCATATCTCTCTCCGCGCCTCCCCAGAACAGCTTACCAGGTCTGCGACTCCGCCGCGTCGTAAACCCTTATATGCTAACGTTCCATAAGTTAGACGGCGGCATAATGGCAGCCCTGCTTAACAACGTCAAGGCCAGCTCCGAAGAGTCGAGTGGACGGAGCAGGGGTACCTGGGCGCGCAACGGCGGCCAAGCCACAGGCATCCTCGAATGGACAACAGCGACGCCAGAAGCACTTAGGCCTTACCTTGCAGTTATCGCAGAACGAATCCCCGTAGACAAGAAACGATCGGAAGAGGCTTGCACGTTGAAGATTGATGGCCTCTTTGTTCAAGGACGTCGGACTGCCATAGTCTACCGCTGCTCTCAGCAGCCCGCAACGCTCCGCGAGGTACTCCTGAATATCGGAAAACCTTCCGGTGATGACAGGCGTATCCTCGCCGGTATCATCGCGACACAGGTCCGGTCGCTTCACGTCCACTTTCAGCTTCAACATATGGCTATGCGGACCGAGAGTTTCGTTTTCTTCGGCCATGCCAAAAGGCCTGATCTCACCAAGCCTTATATTCTCGATTGGTCACGTCGATCATCCCCCGACATGTACCAGCATCCTCAGTACCGAGTCGATAAGCCTCTCTGGTTCTACCAAATCTGGTCTCTACTGATGGTACTTTCCGAGATTGCCGAGTGGCGGCCGCTGGACGGAGAATTTCGCGACAAGGGACAGCTGCTGAGACGACAACAGGCGAGGAGGCGGCTGGTGACAAGTCCGGATTGGAAGGGCGCCGCGACGGCTGAACTATTCAAGTACGGCTTCGACTTCCTCGACAGGGATCGCTCAACACTTGAGAAATGCAACCACTGGGACGTCAAGCGCTTCTATGATGGATTTTGCGAGCTTCTGGCACGGCCTTTGAAGAGGTAGAGACAGGGCCACGGAAGGGCACGGTGCTGGGGCTTTGTCACGGAACAAACAAACAGCAATCTACTGACGCTTTTATTGATTTATGTATGTGTTATTTTCCGTCCAGTCCCTGTGAAGGTGGCAAAGACGCGCTGAGCTTGAAAGGTGCTGCTGTAAAGTTCTTTCCTTGATCCCTTGCAGGCCAACTTCCATTGTATCTCCCCCAATCTTGGATCCAGGCGCGTTGGCGCCAATAGATAGACGCAAGAGCACACACCAGTAACCAAGTGATAGTAACAACGAAGCGGCGGCAGGGAAACCCCCTTGGGAAGAATCAGAGGCTGTCTCGCAGATTGCCCTCGAGACCAGCCACCCTTGTTTAGAACGGCAGAATTTCCAATAATCATAACTTCTTGGTTCCGAAGGGAGGCTATGAGGTCCGAGTGGATGTGTCGTCGAGACATGCGGGCGCTAGGGGACGGCGAGGGCGCCTTGGCGGATCGGGAGTCCCCGTCAAACCCGACGGGGACAACAGCGTACCTTAGGGTTAGGGGACTACGGTATTAAGGCTGACTCTCAAGAGATCACGAGCTATTTCCGGTCACGGGCCCACCAGCAACGGAGAGGCTTGGCCGTTGCTGCAACCGTCCGGCTTCCCCTCCAAAGTTGATCTCCTGTTTAGGAAATATAGGCGTATTACTATTTGCCCATGCCCCAATGTCTATTCGACCAACGGCACGGTAGGCAGAGGCAGCAGTCCGGTAAGCAGTCAAGCGGGCGGGCGGTCGAGCAGGCGGTCGAGCAGTTAATCGATCAACTGCGGTGCACAAGGTAGCGCCGGGAAATGTAGAGCGATGTACTCCGTATATGCGGCTCTTGGATAAATAGAGAATTGGTCTTAAGCAATAGTTAATAAGTGATTATAGATATTGCTAATTAGCTTTTCCTCTTTTCCCGCCCCACAGCTGTCGAGTGGGCGCGAAGTGCCCAAACCAGTCATATGTAAAGAGGCCGCCAAATCTCGCTACGGATGGTGCTTGGATTATACACATGCGGCAAAGAAGTGCCGGACTGCAAAACGGCCTCTCCCCTGGGCTGCAGTGGAAGGACGGCATTTCCCATAATTTCGACAGGGGTTTTTAATAACGATATGGAGGCAACTGGTTTTGCAACAAACGAAAAGGTTCGGGCCATATATGGGCACAAGCTGAGAAAGATATGGAGAGCAGAACCACTTATCCGGATCAATGAGACATTGTGACCTTAACTGAGAGCAAGCACGTATAATGAAAGTGACGTGGGCGCCTCCCGCGCCACTTCATGCTCAAGACATTGTTCGTGTTATTCAGATTGCAAGCGGGCCTGTAAGGGGCTACGCCCCGATGTGTAGATCTGGCATGGCCAGACTAGTCACGTGCGAGCGCCACGGACACGACTCCTAAAGGGAGCGATGTAGACACGTCTCCCCTTTACACTCTTTGTAGCTCAATTTACATCAATTACGCCCAGCACCTGTGCCAACAGTGCTGACCCCGTAACATATTGAGCTACCAGTTAACAAAAGACAGGACAGACAGAAGGACAGACAGCAGGACAGACAGCAGGACAGACAGCAGGACAGACAGCAGGACAGACAGCAGGACAGTCAGCAGGACAGACAGCAAGACAGGCGATAGGCTAAACGACGAGACGGACGATCGATCGGACGACGAGACGGACGAACAAGATGGAGGACAATAGTAGTTATGCAGGGCACCGCGACCGGCGGCGCAACGAGCCGATGGAGGAAGGAGCAAGAGCTCTTGCAGATCTTATCTGGGATCGCGGGAGACGAAGAACTGCGGAAGATGTTCACCGGGCTAGGCCTAGCAGCGCCACCGTTGACACCCAGCCCGGGGTGCTCAGTACCCCGGCGATCTTACCCGTCGAACCGAGGCCGGAAGCAGCCCAGAAATGGACCGTGGCAAGAAGCGCAAGCCGATGACTTGGCCGAAGTGGAACGGTCAACCCGAGTCCTTCCACTTCTACCTCGACCGTCTGGTATTTAAGTACAATACCGACGAAGAGGAGGGCCTAAACGGCAATAACAACGTCGTGTGGTACGAGATCCTGCAGACCTTGCCGGATCAGATGATGAGGAGAGTCGAGGGTTTTTGGAGGCAAGAGAGCGCGAAGGGCAACCCAGACCCCCGGAAATTCTTCTCGCACCTAGCCCAGACGTTCGGCAGCGTGCAGCAGACAGAGAGGCGCAGGACAGGCTGCGCACCCTCATTCAACGAGACAGCCAAGAGTTTGGGAAGTTCCTCCTGAATTCGAGGAAACATTGACCAAAGCGGGCGGCGCGAGCTGGGATAATGCTTCCAAGCTCGCATGGCTACGGAACTCGATCTCTCCTGCTCTCCGTGAGCAACTGTCCCGGTTATCATGCCGAAGGACTACAACGAGTACATCCAACGTCTACACCCGATTGCTTGGGCGTTCGAGCACACCGCGAAGTTTAAGGCGTTGCAGAGGAAGCAGGGCTCCCGCGGGCAACGTGACCAAGGGCAGGCATCAGGCATCGGCAACATCCAGGTCGCCGGTAACGACAACACCCCGGCACCGTCAGCAACGTTACCCGCCGAGCAGAACGCACGTGACGCACGCGACCATGACGGCGACGTAATAATGACGGTTACACGCACTCAGGGGCAGGGTCAGAGAGGACGGGCGAACGGCCAGGGGTCAAGTGGAACGAGCAAGACGGTTCGCTTCCAGCCTAGGTCAGGACGGAAGCAACGGGCGAGGTGGGTATCCGAGGACGAACGGAATAAACGCCGTGACGAGGTGCGTTTTCTCCGCTGCGGCGACAACACCCATTTCATTGCCGCTTGCCCCTACTCGCCAGGACAGGACCCTAGCCGGTCGAGGGATGTAAAGTCCGCACCGCTAGGATCATGCCCTTGCTGGAAGATGATGGTAACGACTCTAGTGAGGAAGAGTCAGGACTTAGCGAGACCCCATCCCTCTCGGGAAATGCGTAGCCTCGAAACAAAGACGGGTCTCGAGGCCAAAGAACGGAGCAGTGGCAAAGAGAAGTTCTCAGGAAAAATGGAAGTTGGTCCTACAATAATTCGAAGCATTATCAATAGGACCAATCTCTTCTCCTCACTCGTAGACGAGGATGCCAGTGCTACGCCGCGGTTGACGAAGAAGTCGTCGAAAAGTTGGAAGTTCCTATAGTGGAAATAGCACCGCGAGCTATTACAGGAGCATCAGGGGCAATGGAAGGAGCAACGATTAGGGGCCTCGTATGGCTATCAATGGAGGTCAACGGCCACATACAGACGATCTGTGCCTACGTGGTGCCCCGATTGGAATTCCCCCTAATCCTAGGAAAACCCTGGTTATGCCACACAAAGTCGTACTCAGTGCCCCACGAGAAACGACTATGGCATGAACCTACACAAGACTGGGTAGATCACCTCGGGAAGGAGAATATTCTGCGAAAGCCAAGGAGTTCGAAGAAGCAAAGCACGTACTAGCCAGTACCTTTGTGGGTTACTTTGAAAGGATCCGCAAGCAGGAAGGAAGAGAGGCAGCTGCCACGGCGATTTTCGCTATCAGCATGAAGGATATCGAAAGGGCGTTATCACCAAAGAAACCCATGTCAGAAGCAGAGCTACGCCGAACGATACCCCAGCGGTTCCACGATTTACTGCCTCTATTTATGAAGAAGGAAGCTGATAAGCTGAATCCTCATAAGCCAGGCATAGACCACGAAATCAGAATCAAGGAGGACCCGAATGGCCAGCAGTTACCACTACCGTATGGAGCACTATACGGTATGTCACGGAGGAACTCCTGGTTCTTAAGAAGACTCTACGAGACCTAGTGGATAAAGGATTTATCCGTGCAAGCAGTTCAGAAGCAGCAGCTCCAGTCCTGTTTGTGAGGAAACCAGGTGGCGGGCTGCGATTCTGTTGTGACTACAGAGCGTTGAACGCAATCACTAAGTCGGACCGTTACCCCTTCCTCTAATAGGGGACACTTCGCAACCTAAAAGATGCGAAGTGGTTCACTAAGGTCGACGTGGTACAAGCGTTCCATAAAGTACGGGTTGCAGAAGGAGACGAGTGGAAGACAGCGTTCCGCACCCGGTACGGTCTCTTCGAATGGATGGTTACCCCGTTCGGGCTAAGTGGCGCGCCAGCAACCTTCCAGCGGTATATTAACGGTATCCTACGAGACTACCTCGACGAGTTCGCCTCTGCTTATATGGACGATATACTTATCTATTCGAGCGGGAGCAGAGAAGACCATTTCCGGAAGGTACGGTTAGTTTTAGAACGCCTCGCCGAGCATGGACTACACCTAGACCCGGAGAAATGCGAATTTGGAGTCAAGCGGATTAAGTACCTAGGATTCATTATTCACGCAGGAATTGGCATTCAGGCAGATCCCGACAAGATACGAGCAATAGTCAGTGGGCAGTCCCCGTTACCCAGAAGGGGTGCGCAGTTTTCTAGGATTCGTTAACTACTACCGGATATTTATACCGCAAGCCTCGGAAATAACTGCACCTAACAGCACTAACAGGAAGGGGACTAAGTTCAAGTGGACGGACGAGCACGATATGGCGTTCCAGACACTAAAGACGCTATTTACGAACGCCCTATTCTTACTCAATGGGATTTCGAGAGGCCAACCTTCGTAGAAGCAGACTGTAGCGGCTGGGCGCTTGGGGGCACTTACGCAGGAAGTCGACGGACAACGCAAGCCAGTAGCGTTCCACTCGCAGAAGCTATCACCGGCTGAGCGCAACTACCCAATCCATGATAAGGAAATGCTCGCTATTATTCGTTGTCTCGAACAATGGTCAGCCGAGCTACGAAGCTGTGATAACTTCGTTATCCTTACCGACCATAAGAACCTCGAGTATTTCATGACGCGCCAACAGCTCTCGGAAAGGCAGGCACGTTGGGCTGAATATCTCTCGCGTTTTAACTTCCAGCTCCAGTACCGTCCGGGACGAAAGCAGTGGTGCCAGACGCGCTCTCGCCGCGAACAGGACCGACCAAACGAAGCGGATCACGAAGCACGAGATATGCAGCTTATTCCAGAAGCAGCCCTACGTACCTACGTCGGAGTAACGTCGACTCAAGCGGGAGAAGGCGAAGAAGAACACACGGTTTTCACGACCCAGAGCTACAACAATTATGGCAGCAAACGGCAAACCAGGATCCAGTCTTTACAAGCGTTTATAACGCGGTACGAAACGGATCTCGGTCCCTCGACCCCAAGCTTAAGCTGAAGGTACAAGTCGCCGAGTGCTTTATTGATCCTCGGGGGCACCTACGACTACGTGGCCGCTTATGGGTGCCAGGCGCACCGATCACGACAGAAGCAGCAGCCAAGGCAGCACCGCTAGAGCAGGAGTCGCTAAACGAATTACGGGGCTCCTTAATCCAGAAGGTTCATGACTCCCATGTAGTAGGCCACCCGGGACGGAAGGGACGATAGAAGCCGTATCCAGGGACTTCTACTGGCCGCTAATGCAACAGCATATCCGACGTTTCTTGCGTAACTGCGATGTCTGCGGCCGTACGAAGATATGGCGCGAGCATAAAGGGTCTACTTAGACCGCTACCCGTACCGGACCGCTTCTTCCGCCAGATACAGATGGACTTTATTACGGACCTCCCCCTTGCGAACGGTAACCGCTGCCTCTGGGTTATCAAGGACCGGCTAAGTAAGGAAGTTATACTCGAACCGATGCCAACGATGGAAGCGGAAGCATGTGCAGAGCGTTTTCTATGGTGCTTCGCCCGCTACCACTGGTGGCCCGACGCTATAACGAGCGATAGGGGCTCGAATGGGTAGGCCGCTTTTGAGGCACATGTGCAAGTTACTGGGGATCGACCAGCAGCTAAGCACGGCGTACCACCCCCAAACCGACGGAGGCCCTGAGAGGATGAACCAAGAAGTACAGGCATACCTCCGCGCCGTGATTAACCAGAACCAGAACGACTGGGATAAGTGGGTTCCCGCGGCTCAGATGGCGTTAAACGGTCGGGTCAATACCTCTATAGGGATGTCCCCATTCTTCGCTATACACGGCTATGAGCCGAAGTCACCAGTTCCCCTCGTTACGGAAGCATATGCGGAAGAGTATCCTCAGCATTCGCCAGAAACCAGGGCAAAGAAATTTGTTACCAAACTACAACAGATTACGGACCTCTGCCAAGCATCAATGGCGACAGCTACGCAGCAACAAGAACGCTTCGCTAACAGACGACGGAACGCGGCAGAACGCTTCGAAGTAGGCGATAAGGTTTGGCTTGACTTACGGAACTACGCGTCAGAGCGACCTAAGAAGAAGTTCGACTGGCTGCACGCTAAGTATACGATAAGCAAGGTACTCGACCCGTACACGGTTGAACTAGCAGACCTCCCGAGGGGCTGCTATAATAGGTTCCACGTCGACCAACTCCGGAGAGCGGGGACGGACCCAATGCCTGGTCAGCAACGCACAGACGCTCAACCCCATCTATCCAAGTAGACGGGAGGCTCACCAAGTAGTAGAGGAAATACTATGCGCTAGGTGGAAGAGAACCGGCCGCGGCCGTAGGCGGGAGTCCTTGTACGCTGGCAAGGTTGGCAAGACCCGACCTGGACCTCTTTAGACAATATGCAACAGACAGCGGCCTTGGATAAGTACGAACAGAGATACGGCCCGGCTCTCGAAAACGATGGACCATACCAGCACCGACGAGTGGCAACGGAAGCACAGCCGGCCCAAATCCAGGGGCAAGTCGAAGGAATACAACCACAGCTGCAGATACAGGGCAAGAGAATACGCGGACCACTACGGGCTAGGACTAATGGCGACGCCCGTCGATAGTAACGGCACCAGACCCTATAGACGACGGCCTACGATCGTTGTAGGGGACCAGGAACAGGAAAAAGGGCACCAGCGCCAGAGAGGAGTAGGGGCTAATGTGAGGGCTACGCCCCGATGTGTAGATCTGGCATGGCCAGACTAGTCACGTGCGAGCGCCACGGACACGACTCCTAAAGGGAGCGATGTAGACACGTCTCCCCTTTACACTCTTTGTAGCTCAATTTACATCAATTACGCCCAGCACCTGTGCCAACAGTGCTGACCCCGTAACAGGGCCCTTGCAACTGGATATCGCGGCTGTGCCCGGCTATCTCGTGCCGAGTATGGGTGAGACGAACTCACCGGCAAAGGCAGAAGCGACGAGCAAGGACGGTAGGGAAGGCGGCAATTCTCCACTCCCGCCTGAAGCTTAAAGGATATCCGGCATATTCGACTTCAACGTCAACTTCGCCGCTGTCAGCAGGACACAGGCTATAGTACGCGTTAATAACGCCTCTAATTGTGGTGCCCCCTATTTTTCCTGGTGTGGCGGTGTTTTACCAGGTTAAGAATTGCAATATTATATGTTCAAGCGTTTGATTCAGCCCGAAGGGCGTTTACTCAGTCAGAAAGCAAGGCATAAAACCTCCTCTGATTGGCTAATTGGCCTGGCCCGTGCTCAACTCGTGCGCGGATTGGTCGACTGATAACGTCACCAAAGGAAGGCCCGCAAAAACTACCCCCTGAGCGTTGACTAGGAAACTAGCTTGCTTGGCAAGCTCTTCAGGAGTTTTCAGTTCTTCCTTTCTTCCATGCGGTCAATTTGTTGCGTTGCTATGCACGATTTTGACTGAATAGCCCCCGTGCCCCATACTCCTTACACTAAACTACATGGCGGCTGCTCCCCTTTTCTGTCGAACCTGTCAAACCCATCAGTTTGCTAACGGTATCTAGGCTCACACATGACCTCCGGCTGCCGGCCTACCTCTCAAGATTCCCTGGCTACCCTGTCTCCGGGAAGCAGTGCAGTTTCCTCCCTGATCATTCAGACCTGATCTAATTACCTGAAAGACAGCCTCCCCATCGAGATCTATCACGGTATTACACGTAGGACGTCGCAAAGCCTCCCTGCCCGAGCGAAATCGAGCAGTCTAGGTGTTTATGGTGTGGATACATATACAGCCAGATGGAGGACGATATACCCCAGGCGGTTCGGAACTGCCATACCTGCAAGCAATACCTGCCCGAAGTCGAATTTCGAAGCGTCAAGGACCCTACGAAGTTTACAAGAGACTGTGCTAGCTGTAAGGCACGCCGAAAGGAACGGGTAACCGAATCTCGAGCCGCCGTTGCCGCAATGCGGAATATCGCCTTGAGGCTATCGCCACGCAGAGCCAGGAAGAGGACGGATTCGCTAGCTAACCTGACGCCTCCAAAGCGGACTGCGCCAACGCCTGCGTCTGTGAACGGCCTACAACCTCCTGTCATGCCTGCTTTATTCCGTGGCCAGGCGCCTGCACTGGGACTGCCTATACCTCCGCTGGGGCCATCTACCCTAAGTGCTGTTGGGGGACCTTCCCCTATCCCTCCTACCCATGTCCTGCCAACAGTAGTTCTGGGCACGCCGATTCAAGACACTGCTTCTACGGCACCTGTTGTGCAAGGCACCCCTGTACCACAGGAATCGCTTCCTACCACTCCTTCATTATTGCCACAGTGTCATCGCCGCGGCCGTTATACTCGTCAAGGCACACAGCCTCAAGCGCGACAGTTTGATCAGAGTATTGATCCGCTTTTTACAGGTGACCTTAACTTGCCTGCCCTTAGTGAGGAAGATCAAGCTCTTGTGAGGAGTTCTATACTGCGCTGAATGACGACAAGATGCATAGTTGTATTCGTTGCCAGGAGCGTTGGTTCGATATGAAGCGAAATAGCTTGAAAATCTGCAGCCGCTGCATTGGTCGAGACAGGAAGAAAGCCCCTCACGAGCCCTACTTCTTTAGCGCTGCGCACAACCTTGACTTCGGGAAGTCCCCGGCAATCTACCTGATCTAACAATGGTCGAGGAGATGCTCATTGCTAGGGTTCACGTACACGTGAAGGTCCTGCAGGTACGTGGCGCTCAATATAAATATCGCGGTCACGTTGTCCACTTCCTTCGCAATGTTGGCAGGCTATTTGAAGAGCTCCCAGTCCTACCTGAAGAGCTAGATATCGTCCTCCTGCGGCCTCCTAATATGGAGGGCGACCCTCGCTTCCGGCAACAGTTTGCTCGCGATTTCCGGGTACGCCGCTCATGCCTGTTGGCCTGGCTGCATTACCTACAACGCCACCACGGGCTATCGCGATATCGCCGTGAGTCAGGATCGCCTGCACCGGCTTCCTCTTGATGGCAACATAGTTGCTTCCATTGCCAGCCAAGTGGCTGACATACCTGACGGCGAGGTCCCCCAAGGCCCCGTTGAGGAGGCTGTGGAAGAGGATCCTAGCGACGCCGACGCATCAGCGATCCCGAATTTGCAAGTTTCCGATACCGAATTGAACGCTCTGCAGTCCCGATTTCTTGATGGTACCCTAACCTGAGCGCATGACTGATCTGGAGTATATGCCGCGTAGCGCAAACTCTCCACCGGATGCCGCTGCCTTCCATTCGCAGGACCCCTATCGACGAATTCAACCGTTCCCAGCCGCTGCTAACGCTCGCGTTCCCTACCCTCTACCCTGACGGCAAGGCCGACTTCGTGGAGCCTCGCCTACGGAGCATCACGTACCAGGACTACCTTGGCCATGCGATGAGATGGCATGACGGACGTTTTGCCCGCCATAAGACGTGGCCTTTCGTCGCCCTCAACACGCTGTTACGTGCGCAGGTCCGAAAGCGAAGTGACTACTTCGTCAAGCAACGCGACAGCCGCCGTCAACCCCTTACACGCGCTGACCTAGAGGAAGCGATGGCTGAGCCTGACGAGCCAGAGGCTCAGGACCTGATCCAGTCGATCACGCGCCAAGCCGCGGTAATCAGGGGCACCTGTCCAGTCACCACCACGGCCTATATTGGCTAAGTGGCCACCCAGACTTAGATCCTGACAACGATCAGTCCCGGGAGCAATTCACCCGCATCTGGGGATATCACGTATCTGCTGTCAACCCAGAGCCTCAGCGAATACAGGCGCCTGGGGAAGGGAATCCCCTGATCGGCAATCTATTGGAGCAGCCCCTTACGGTTCAGTTCCTATCAATGGTGGTCAACCGCGTGCAACGCCACCGCTGCAACAACTACTGTATGCAGCTCAATAAGCATACCAAGCAGGTGGAGTGCCGCTTTGGATTTCCTCACGGACAGCGCCTGCTAGCCTCCCTTGACAAGGTTCCTCATTCTAAGCACTGGAACTTCAGGGCGAGAGGAACGATGGCCAGATTAACCACTACAACCGCTTGCTTACCGTTGCGTGGCTAGCCAATACAGATGTTTCGCCCTGCACGAGCCTCCAGCAGGTAATCGATTACGCGGCCAAATACTGCTCCAAGTCGGAAAAGAAGAGCGAGTCTTTTGCCCAGATCGGGAAGGCCCTGATGCCCCGGGTCAAGGACCACAACCCCCTTATTTCTTTCACGTCAAAGCTCCTCAATCAGCTGGTTGCTGAGCGGGATTACTCGAAGCAGGAGGTCAGCCACTTGCTCCTCGGCCTGCCGTTACAGGAAGGCTCACGAACCTGCCTGTACGTTTGCCGTAATCCTGACAGGCATTCCCGCTCCCTCCGTATTGACGGCGATGAGGTGGACGAGGCCCCCAATGTTTACGAAAAGTACACTCAACGCCCGGAAGCCCTAGCGGACCTAAGCTACGTCTCCTTCCTCAAGTGCTGGAATATCCGTCCTAGGGACCCTTCCAAGTGGAAGCAATGGCAGCCAGTCAACGTTAACGGCAGACCTCGTGTGTTGGTTTACTTTCCTCGCTATCAGGCTGATCCAGAAGGTCAACAGTGGCCAGATTACTGCCGTGTAAAGCTAACATTAAACCACCCACATCGGCGGGTTGATGATCTCCTCACATTTGACGGCCAGCTTTTGGTTCTCACGCTGAGGCCTTCTCCTATTTCGCCTCGCCGCCCTTTTACCTGGGAACCCCCCAGGAAGATCTTGACCTTCTTGGCCGCCGTGATATCGATGTCAATTACGACTGGACACGGCATGTGGGTACATATCCGGAACTTCGAGACGGCTACTGGAAAGACCTTATCGCTAGCCACCCCATGGCCAACGATGTGGAGGTCCTTGGCCCTCACTGGCGTAATACGCTGAATCCGCAACAACGGCTCGTGTACGACACATTCATGGGTCACTTCCAGGCGAAAAATCCTACTCAAATCCTTCTCCACGTTGATGGTGGTGGTGGCACCGGCAAGTCGTTCCTTATCAAGGTGCTTTCCTCCCATCTTCAGGCGGCCGCTCTGCCGAATCCTAGCCCTATTTGCCGCGTAGCTCAACAGGCGTTGCGAGTAACCAGATACGGGCAGCACCATTCATTCATTGCTACGCCTCCCAGTAGGTGGTGCTTTACCGACCTTCCCCAGCCGACGCAGCCGCCCTTCAGTCCCGCCTACGGCGTCAAATACCTCGTTATCGATGAAAAGAGCATGCTGGGGATTGAGCAGCTCGCGCGGATCGATTCCCGTCTGCGACAGGCCTTTCCACAGCGTAGCCTCGAGTTCTTCGGTGGTGTGAGCGTCTTGCTTGTGGGCGATTTCTTCCAGTTACCACCAGTCCGGCAAAAGCCCTGTATTCGACTAGCACCAGCCTGTCTTCGTTGGAAAGGAGGGCATGTGGCCTACCGGTTATTTGACCGCACCGTCTTCCTGACCACGGTACAGCGCCAGGCTGGTGATGACCAGGCTCAGTTCCGTCAGGCGTTGCAGGAACTGCGTGAAGTCAAGTTATCCATACCGTCCTGGAACCTCCTTAGCAGTCGGGTACAGGCCAGGCTAACGCAGAGCGAGGTTGACAGCTTCAGGGCCGCTTTGCGGGTGTATTCTACAAGGGCCCGGGTCAACGAATACAACTACGAGCATATGGTGCATCTCAACGCCCCGGCAGTACAGGTGGAGGCAAAGAATCAGGGCAAGGGCGCGGGGCGGGCGCAAGCGACAATGCTGGCAATCTATCTAACAAGTTCCCTGTTGCTAAGGGCGCCAGGGTAATGCTCACTACTAACCTATGGCAGCCAGCTGGCCTAGTTAACGGTGCTCAGGGTACTGTATACGATATCGCCTGGAACGCAGGCGCCGAGCCATTGGAAGATCCCCCGGCCGTTATTATGGTGGACTTTGATAGCTACGACGGACCGCCATATCTAACAACTAACGAGGGCAGGAAAATCTCACCCATCCTCCCAGTCAGGCGTGATTTCCTAGTGGGCAACGAGACCTGCGCTCGCACGCAGTTTCCCCTGATGGTGGCGTTTGCTATCACTGTTCACAAATGCCAGAGCCTAACTAAGGATCAAATAGTTACTGATCTCGCTACACGCGACTTCCAGGCCGGTATTAGCTATGTTGCTGTGTCACGGGTTACGTCGCTGCAAGGCTTACTCCTTGAGGCGCCTTTCGATCGTCAGAGCCTCTATAACCACACGCCGACGGAAGGTTTATAAGCCTGTCTCCCCTACGTGCTGCGTTTACGGCTAACTACAAAGGCTAAGGCAGGGATGAAGATGCGCCTCGCTGACCAACAACGGCGTCAGGGTCAACAGCTGAGCGATGCACCGTATCCACCACTCTACCTTGACTAAACGACGTCTTCCTATAAGCTACAGGGAAGGGGGAGGTTCGATATAGGGTATATAGTTAGATTGGGCCAGTCAAGGAGCGGTTTAAACGGCTGGATGGCCGCTGCAGGCGAAAGGGGGGTTCTAGGGGGTCCCCCCCTAGGAAAGTTGAATTGCAGGTATACGATGTTCACCCTTCGGGCTGGATATTCAGCCGTTAAGCCCCTTGCATTGGCAACTTAACGGGTGTTCGAAGTATTTTATAACTTCACTCCATTAATATACGAGGATGGTATCCGGAATTCCGGAACCGCGCCCCAGGCCAAGAGAATTAGCTCCTATAACCCGCCCAGCTCGCTCAGTATTCTAAGCCTTGTCCGCAGTCGTTACGCATGACCCGTGGGGCATTGGAAGAAGCAGGCGTCGTGATATCGCATTGTGTTGCAAGCGAGCTACTGGTACCCGGTCTCATAGTGAGGGTTAGCCAACTTGATTCTCCAAGCGACGGTAGACAGACACCACAGACTTTACGTATATATCGTGATGGTTCCGGCCTTTGTTTCAGCAATCCGGGTTCAAAGCAAACACTACGCATCGAACCTTTTTCCTCTCCCTATACTCTATTCGCCAAGTACCCCCATCCTGCAATGAAGAGCTTCGGGTCATCTCTCGCCTTGTGGGCGGCCATCTTCTTGCTCCTGGGCTTTGGCGAATCTCTGCTCCTCCCTCAGGACGCCCGGAACAATCTTGGAAAACGTGGACTGGCAAGATTTGTCTTCCGTGGCGAAACCGGCAGAACCGACCGGGACGTGGAAAAGGCCGGCGGTATTTCCTCGAGAGGCTTTGAGAAACACGCGAGGGGCGAGCTTTCCAATGAGGAACTCGAAAAAGGCTGCAGCTTATTCTTGCATGCCCAGGGGGTTTCGCCGACCAATCCGAAATACAAGGAGAATACACAATATGTTTCAACGTCGCCAAACCCGGCGGATGCAATCACCTTTGCCTACGACCGCGGTGACCCAACAAAGCCCGGATTCATGTACGTCATAGCCGTTGACGAAAAGATGATCGACGTGGGTGCAACTCTTGGCAACCTTGCCTTCAAATCGCAGACCGAGTACGCAGCTGTGGGGGCGATTCCACACAGCCAGATCGTGGGCCATTTTAGAATAACGGCAAAGGATTTCGATCCAGGTCTTTCAAAGAAGCTGCAAGACGGCAAATACCTGCATCAGCTGGTCGACGGCAAAGGAGTCGACGGCTTTCAGAAAAACCCGCGCTTTGATCGGAAATTCCTGTCCAGGCAAAGCAGTGGCGCACAGCCTCAACTCGCCGGGATTCCCGCAGACAACTCAGCATGGAATCAGAAGCCATGGAATCGGAAGCCGCTAAAGGATTACAAGGGCAAGTCGGTGGCCAACTTTCTGGGGAACTTTGTTTGGCAGAAGGTCTGCCGGCGAGACCAAGTTTGTGACCAGAGATTCCGGTTGCCTCACGAGTGAGATCACTCGCCGGCTCCCGTTGAAGCCAGGTCAATAATGAGACACTATTCTCTGATGGGCTGTAGGATACTTCGAATAATTGAAGTATCCATTGTTATGTGTTTCGACTTTCCTTGTCCTACTTTTTTAAGGACTCAAAGAAAACTATGAATGATGTTGGGACATCTGACAGACTTACGGCACCTTGCTTGGTGGTCCAAACATGCATCTACCAGACTACCTTCGACGAGGGACATTAATAACGAGTGTAAATTGTAGACGAGTATTCACTTCTTGACCCCCGGGCTTCAAACTTTCCACTTTGGCGATGACTTTGGCACGAAAGCACAAGAAGATGCTCTGCCAAGGCCTCAATCCAAACATCAACAAAACCCAGTAAGCCTTCTTGAGCGCAATATCAAGAAGAAGGCTTTGGAGAATTCAAACCTCAGCCGTAAACGACAGACGTTGTGGCAAGGCCGATGGCAACCATGTGCAACACGCATTTTAATTTCCACGTCGGCTCGTCATAGAAGACATGAAGCCTCAAAGAGCGAACGAGACACACAAAGGCCGATTTCCAAAGTCGGACCCCGCGAGCCCCAGCGACATAGTCCAGGACGACCTTTTTCGTTATCCGAGTCTGAGCTCAACTGGTTCCAACAGGAGAGCGGTGAATAGTAGGGACCTGCAACATCATCGACTCGTCAGTCATGGACCTTAGATTACCAGCATCTTGCACCCCATTTGCGACTTACCAAGCGTCTCGTGTTGTAGCTGCCGCCGCCGCCGCCGCTGCTACTGCCGTCGAAACTGATTGGGTTGTCCATGTACGCGTGGAGCTTGTCCCGAACCCACGAATCCGGATTGCCAATGCTCGACACAATGCCCGTCGTGGAGCCTCCGCCTAGAAGCACCGTGAAGATGCCACGCAGCGCAAAGTCAATGTAGGCCGGGTTGGTCAGGTCAAAGGGCTCGCCGCGGACGAAGATGTCCTGGCCCGTCTTCCCCATGGCCGGGAACGAGTTGCCAAAGCTCAGATTAAGAATCTTAGGATTGATGTTGTGGTAGTCCGAGCCGATCCCTGCATCGCCCAGAATGTAGCTGCCGCCCGTGCCCCAGTGCTGGGGCTCGAATTCGTCGTCGACGCTGTCTCCGACGAGCGGCGTGCGGCTCGACGGAATCTGCCACGGCATCACGGGCGCCTTGAGATTAAGGCTGACGGCGCGGCAAAAGTTGAAGTACTGCGTCCATTCGTGCGGGCCGTAGCAGTAGCCGTTGCCGTAGGCGCGGTAGGTGAAGTCATCGGCCTCGTAGCGGTCCACCGCAATGAAGTCGGGCAGCCAGTCGCCCTCGTAGACACCGAGCGACAGGACGTAGTCGGTCGTCTGCTTGGCCACATCGATGGGAAGATTCGAGCTCGTCTCCGTCGAGTAGATCCATCCGGAGCTGCCAACACCCCAAAGGTTGACCTGCCATCCAAACGTCACGCTCGGCGCAACCTCGCGGACCAGCCAGTTGACGGCGAGCACGTAGCCGCGGAGGGTGTCGGGGATGCTGTCAGGTACTTCGGCACTGATGTCGCGGTACTCGAGCGCCGACTTCAGCGGCTCGCGTACTGGCATGGGGAACTCGGGCGGCAAGTTGCTCTGCTGGCACGCGCTGATCAGGTCGGGGTTGATCACGAAGCCCGCGGGAACAGGATGGTCGTCGTCGACGGTGGCCGTAGCCAGGTTCAGCGCCAGGATGAAGTTGCCGAAGCTGTGCATGAGCCCCTTTTCGTCCTGCAGGTGAGACTCCGGGTTGCCGCCCGAGAGATTGCACGTGTACGAGATCATGATGGGCAGCACCAGACTGCCGTAGCCGAGCTTGGCCTCGATCTGGCGCGCCCTGTCGAGGGTCTGCTGTGTCGAGGTATCATTGCTCAGGTACGAGCCCGGGTCGCCGCCCCCGTCGACGCCTGCGTACTTGAAGATGGACGTCGCCCGCGCCGCTACAAAATCGTCCGTGTTGCCCGACGTCAGGTCCGTGAGGCCGCCGAAGCTCAGGAAGCTGGGGAAACCGCGAACATTGAGATTCGGCCCCTCCTCGACCGCGATCTCCAGTGTCGTGCTGCCGTCCTTGGCGACGTCTAGCGACGAGGCCGTGTCAACAAAGTAGACGACGCCAGCCGCCAAGAGGCCCGACACCTGGACCGTGTACATGCCAGGGCCAACCAGTACATCGAACGGCGTGATGCCAGCCTCAGCCACAACCGTCTGGGTGTAGTTGAGGCTATTGGAACTGAGCCGAACCGAAATGCTGACGTCGACTTTGGCGTCAGTGTCCACCTTGATGGGCAATTTGACAAAAGATTTCGTGTCGATGTCCTTCTTCTTGACATTGTCGTCTGAGAAGGAAACCTCGAATAGCTTGGCCGACAGATCCTGATTCTGGGATTCGAACGAATATTCAACGTTGTTCAAGGTGGTGCTCGCAACGCTTATCACCGCCGTGCCCGACGAGGGCAGCCAGCGCAGGGCTGTCGTGTAGTCGCCGGGGCTCGTGAATTCGGCCAGCGTCGAGCCGCTTGACTTTTCGACCACCTTGACTTGGAATTGCTCGCCCTCGAGCCCGGAAATTTTTCCAATCGTCAAGTTGATGGCGCTGTAGTGTTTCACGTCCCCGTAGGTTACCTTGACGGACGTCTCGCCGCCGGTTTCGACCGTCACGCTGTCGGGGTCTACCTCGGCGGTGGCGGCGGTAGTCTCATCTGATGTTGTGAGGTCTTTGACCGTCACGTTGTACGTGCCCTCTGGCACATTGCCAGACGTCGTCGTTCCGAGGGGCATTTTGAAAGACAAGATTCGCTGTCCCTGGGTAAAGGTCACACTCTGCTCGTTGTCCTTGAGCGCCGAGTCCGGGGTGTCCGCAACCTCGATCTTGACAGTGCCAGATACATCGGGGACTTCATCGGCGGTGAGCACAAAGGACTCTGTGTAGCGGTCGGTGTCTTGGGTGAGATCGCCGTTGATGCCAAAGGTGATTGTATCCGAGGCGTTGAATTTGTAGGTTTTGCCAGTGTGGAGCTTGGCTGTGACGACAAAAGTCGAGGAGTTGATCTGCTCGTTGATGGTCTCCGGGTTGAGCTCTACCCAGGGGTTGGTCGATCCGTAAATGTATTTTCCTTCGACAGAGGCGGGCGATTTGAAGATGATGCCGAGAAAGTCCTTGACAGTGACTGAGCCACCATCCTTGTATCGGATGTTGGTGAGCACCATGCTCCCGTAGTATTCGGTGGCTCCTGGCGTCACCGTGGCGTCGTACAGGATGTCCTTCGCCATGGCGTTGTACTTGCAAGACCTTTGTTTGAGAAGATGATACGAGATATCGATTGGTGGTTTGACAAAATCAAAGTTAATGCACTCGCCACTCTTGATGCAGTGTTTGCTGGGAGAGTGAACGGTGCGTCCTAGAGCATGAAAAGTTTAAGCCAGGGGGTTGCCTCTGCCTGACTCGGACTGCAGGAGGCCGAGTCTGAACCGTCAAAGGCTATTGACGTTGGGACGTCGAAGCAATGGAACTCAGAAGTTGGGGTGCGGTTTACCACAAACGAAGATTGGTTTCCACAGTCAGGACTACGGTTGCCCAGATCGACTCGCGAACTCTTTCATCCAGGCTATATATAGCTGTTTTCGTCGAGTACGTACGGGCGATTTTCGGATATTGCTGCTTGAAGATCAACGTGGATAGCGTCATCGTCATGAGAGAACGGAGGATGATGAAGCGGTGCTACATTGCACTGCGGTCTATATTGAGCACATGCTTGCCTCAATGGGTGATGGAAGACTAGACGCCATTGGGCAAGACCACGGCAGACGCCATCTTTATGCAGACGCCGCCGTTATGCAGACGCCGCCGTTATGCAGACGCCGCCGTTATGCAGACGTCAAGCAGTCAATAAATGCATCACTGTGTTGTCTCATGAGTCTCGCGAGCAGTCATATATCAGCCAGCAAACATTGAGGAAAACTGCTGGGTCAACGACTCAATCCGGGGACGGCTGGCGAAGGAGGCCAAGGGCGTTGCAGCGGGGGACGAAAACACGGCGCTGTCCAGCGGACTCGCTTCCATGTCATTGTGAGAGGTTGGCGTTTTGAGGCACAGAGGTTGAAAACTCCGCGTCAAGTTCGCATAGGGAAGTCGGAGCCAGGTCAGCGTACCGTACTATTTGATACGAGGATGCTTGTCGGTTCATCGAGGAGCGCAAATTTGGAGTTGACGGATGATATCAGTTGCTGCTCCGGGGGGCTTTCCCGATGGCTTTCTCACCCAATGATGTCTGGGGAAGTTGAAGGTTGTGCAAGTTTCCTCCCCCGCAACGGTACGGAAGAGGCGCTGTTCCACGAGTCAAGTACCCGAGACTCTTCCTGGACTCGCTGTTCGACCGGACAATCACCCGACATCTGCAGCCTGGAAGCTCAGCTACCAATAGCGGAGCAGGGTGTAAGCCCGCTGCCGACTGAGAGGAAGCGAAGCAAGGCCTCGACGAGCCCGGACACGGCAGTTGCAGCTACAGCTCGCATGTAACACCAAGCATGCCGGGGGGAGACAAGTCTCTGCGCAGCGAGCCGGATGTTTCGTGGCTTCGCGCCACTGACACAAGATGCATGGCCTCGGCCTCCCTGGATCAGGAAGGGAGCCTGCCGGACAGGGAGGGCGTCGGAGCGTTTCTCTTCTCCTTCAAGGGCTGCTGCAGAAGACGTGTGACGAGCCGATACGAAGCAAATTTCCGTCGTCGCACAAACATGTGCAGATGGTAGCCGTCTCCGCGACTGCTCGCCGTGTCGTCTCTCCCGAGTTTCTGCCCCTGCCCACCGCCCAAGCCGTGAAGTCGAAGCAGGACTGCAGGAGTGGCGCATGCCCCCGGACTATGGCGCCCGGTTTGATGTTGACACACGATCGCGTCAGACGGGCCTAGGGAGGCGGCTTGAGTCTGTCGATACCCGGCGTTGAACAGGCAGCTGGGCACTTGGGCCCCGCGCTGTGTGGCTGCAGTTGATTCTGACAATCTGCAGCGCTGCATTTGAGTCATCATTTTGGGCAAGTCGCGTCAGCAGCAGTCGACGTCTCACTTCGGCATAGCCTCGGCAGCTCACCCAACTTGGGCAAGTGAGAACTGCGCCTTATCGATAAGCACCACTCGGCCAAAAAAAAATCCAGATCGTGACTTGGCCAACCACCACGACCAGACTCGCTTCCTTTCGCCTAGGCCTCGATCGGCATCAATCGTTACAAGCCGATCGGTCAGCAACGTCGCCGGGAGGCGCCCGTTTCCTCCATAATGGCTGGATCGCAGCTCAAGCGCCTCAAGGCCTCTCTGCGCGAGCAGGGAATAACTGGGCCGCAGCAATCCAAGAAGCAGAGGCGCAAGGCGGCGCAAGACGGCCAGGCTCGCGGCGAGAAGAAGCTGCCGAGAGGACTTGTCTTGGATGGCATCCGTCAGCAATTCAACCCATTTGACCTCAAGCACGCCGCCAGAGGGCCCAAGTTTGAGGTCACGACCAACCGCCCGGTCACTGGCGATGCTGCGAGGGGCATCAGGGGCCGCCCTGGCCAAGCCAAGGCTGCCGGCGAGGAAAAGGTTTGTTCGCAGCGGCACGAGACTCGCGGGTTCTTCTAACTCTTTTGTGACAGCGCCGAGAAACCCTACTGGTCGACATGCAGCATCGCCACAAGGTGGGGGGGATTACCGATCGACGATTCGGAGAAAACGACCCAACCATGGCGCCAGAAGACAAGATGCTGGAACGATTTGCTCGAGAGAAACAGAGGAGCCACAAGAAGAGCTCTCTGTTCGATCTCGAGGACGACGAGCCTTTGGCGGGCGGCCTTACGCACGGGGGCAAATCCTTGACCTTTGAAGATGAGGAGCTAGTAGACGACTTCAACGAGGACGATCTGGACGCCGACTACGACAGCGATGGCTCAGTCAGAGAGCAGCAGCGTCTCAAGCGCTTGCGCTCCATGGCCGCCGAAGCAGACGAAGACCAAGAACAAGAAGAGCCGGAGCGCAAAAAGACGAAAAAGGAAGTCATGGAGGAGGTTATCGCAAAGTCCAAGATGCACAAGTACGAGCGACAGGCCGCCAAGGAAGATGATGACGACGTGCGCGCCGAGCTCGACAAGCAGCTGCCCAACATCCAGCTCTTGCTGTCCTCGAGCGCCAAAAACACGAAACGGCAAGGCAACGAGGAGACGCTGGCCACCTCCATTGCCGGTGCGGACAGAGACGCATTCGAAAAGGACTATGACCTGCAGGTGAAGCGGCTGGCCCAAGACAAGCGAGCACAGCCTGCCGATCGCACCAAGACCGAGGAAGAAAAGGCCGAGGTTGAATCGAAGAGACTGAAAGAGCTGGAAGACAAGCGGCAGAGGCGCATGATGGGTGAAGACGTGTCCGACAGCGACGAGGACGAAGACGACGGCCGAAGAGGTGCCAGCGAGGCGAATGACGCGGAAGCATTGGAGGAGGATGACGATGACGAGTTTGGTCTCGGCAGCGGCCTCCGAGCCCGCCCTACAGCTACCGAGCTGGGGTTTGATGACGAGGACGACTTCATCATCGACGACGACTTGGTCGCCAGCGGTTCTGACCTCGAGCCAGTGGATAGCGACGACGAGTCTGGCGGCGATGATGCTGCTGAATCTGAGGATGAAGAAGAGGACGAGTTTACCAAGGGGCTATTGAACGAGGAAGAAGCCAGGAACCCAGCATTCAAAGCCGGTGCTTCGGACAAGTCTGCGGCACTGCAATCAGATGACCTCGGACTCCCTTTTACGTTTCCCTGCCCGCAGACATGCCAAGAGTTCATGTCCATTACGGAGCCGTATCCCAGCAGCAATCTCCCGACAATTGTCCAACGGATAAGGGCCCTGTACCATCCCAAGCTCGACAGCAAAAACAAGGAAAAGCTGGCCAATTTCGCCTTGGCCTTGGTCGACTTTGTGTCGTCTCCTTGGGACAGCAAGTCGCCTCCGTTTCCGGTCTTGGAAAGCATTGTGCGGCACATACACTCCCTCGCCAAGATGTTTCCCGTCGAAATCTCCAAGCGATTTAGGCATCATATTGGCGAGATGGGCCGGACACGTCCGTTGGCTCTCCAGCCGTCCGACCTGACTCTTCTAACCGCAGTCGGGACCATCTTCCCAACCTCTGATCACTTTCACCAAGTCGTCACTCCCGCCATGCTCGCGATGGGGCGATATCTCGGCCAGCGCATACCGCAGCAACCATCCGACTACGTCATTGGGACCTACCTCTCGATTTTGTCACTGCAATATCAGCAAATGTCGAAGCGTTTTGTGCCCGAGGTAATCAACTTCTGCCTCAATACTCTCTGCGCGCTTTCGCCCATGGCCCCACTCAGCCAGCTGGGTAACTTTCCTCAACATGAGCCTCCTCCCGGCACTCGCGTCGAGCACGCCAAAGCCATTGCGCCGAGAAGATTGCATCTCGCCGACGGCGTCGCTGCCGAGCACAAGGAGAGACAGGCTGCTGCCATCAAGGTCGCCGTCCTCAACACGTGCGTGCAGGTGCTCGAGGCGGCCGCGGATCTGTGGGCTGGAAAGAGTGCCTTTTTGGAGACGTTTGAGCAGGTGGTCAAGGTTTTGAAGCACGTGCGCGGAGACGCGTGCCGAAAACACCTGCCGGCGCAGCTCTGCGACAAGACGGAGAAGGTCGAGACGAAGCTGGTGCGCATGCTTGGCCTCGCGCAGCTGTCACGGCGGCCGTTGGAGCTGCACCACCATCGACCGCTGGCCATCAAGACGTACATACCCAAGTTTGAGGAGACGTTCGATCCCGACAAGCATTACGATCCGGACCGCGAGCGCGCCGAGCTGGCTAAGCTCAAGGCGGAGCACAAGAAGGAGCGCAAGGGGGCAATGAGGGAGCTGAGGAAGGACGCCAACTTCATGGCGAGGGAGAAGCTGCGGATCAAGAAGGTCAAGGACGAGGCGTACGAGAAGAAGTACAAGAGGCTCATCGCGGAGATTCAGAGCGAGGAGGGGCGGGAGGCGAATGCGTACGAGAGGGAGAGGGACGCGCGGAAGCGGGCGAGGAACAAGTGAGCACGAGCGCAGCAGTTTTGAATCCATCTGTTTGACAGAGACTTGCTTGCTCTCTTGCAACTTGTTTTCATATCATATAGTGACTGGACATACTGCAGTTCTTGAGGGCCTCGGTTTGCGATGTCATGTCTGGCATGGTACCCAGAAAGCGATCAGTATTAGACCAGAGGCTACCTATTTGTCACTTTTGTTACTTCCTTCAAGTCCTCTAAATGCCTGGTTCCGAGCTGGGGAGGCCATGGTTTATCTAGTATGTAAACCTCGAGCTGCGTTGCCACAGCTGCTGCCGGCCCGAAATAAGTGGGTCCGACGGTCGCGACGACGCGACTCCACTTCATGTTGTCCGTCGAAGCCCTCGAATCTTTTCCCTCGAAATTCAAACATCCCAACTGCCAGACGCAGCCGCCCTCATCACACGCGCCAGTAATGCCATTGCTGAGGTCTAGTGCCACTTTTCGCCGGCGCAGCGTTTTCCACGAGGACATGACATTGACAGACGCAGTGCCAAGGTTGAAGAGAAAAAGACACCCGTCAAGCCCTTGACGACACTCACTCCCGCAACGCTCAAGTTCAAACGACTACGACAAGCATCTTGAAACCAGAAGCCCTCTTCTAGCGTCCGTCAGTGCCACCAAGTGTCGTCATGGCTTCTCGCCGGGGCGGGAAAGCCAACGTGAAGCCCCGCAACGACGTCGACGATGAGGAAGACGACTACATGAACATGACCTTTGAAGACCAGGCGCCCGAGAAGGAGAGCTCCGTCAGACGCTCGGAGCGGCTCAAGCGCGAGTCTCAGGCCCGTGGCTACGTCAAGTCCAAGGCGACGCTGGCCAAGGAGGAGGCCGCGGCGCGCGAAAAGGCGCTGTCCAAGTCGCTGCTCGACGACCCGCGCTCCAAGAAGAGCAAGGGCCTCGCCATGATGGCCAAGATGGGCTTCACCGGCGGTGGTCTGGGAAAGGGGACCGACGAGGGCGGCGGCGGCTCCGGCAGGACCGAGCCCATCAAGGTCACCGTCAAGGAGAACCGTGGCGGTATAGGCCTCGACAGCGAAAAGAAGCGCCACCTGCAGGACGAGGCGGCGGCGCGGGCCACCAAGGCTCCCAAGATGGATCCGCTCGAGTATCGCGAGCGGGCCAGCAAAGAGAACGAAGAGGCCAGGCTGGAGAGCCAGCTGCTAGGAGCGCAGCGCGTTGTCGAGGGCCTCGAAGAAGCTCCGGCATCCAAATCCGGCCGCATCCTCAAGTCCATTCCCATTGTTTACCGCGGCCTCGTCCGCGCCCGTGAGGAGAAACAGCACAACATCCGCCTTCGACACGAGCTGGAGCAGTCCCTGGGCCGGCTGCCCGTGATCGAGGACGGCGAGTTCGATGACGACGACAAGACGGCTTTGGGCCTGAAGCACATCAGCTACGTCACCGCCGAGGACCTGGACGACGAGGATGAGGAGCTCGACGCCTTCAACGCGCTGGGCGCCGCCGACCGCCTGCGCAAGGTTGTCGAGTACCTGCGCCAAGAACATCACTATTGCTTCTGGTGCAAGATGGCCTACCCCGATGAGCGTATGGGGGACTGCCCTGGCCTGGCTGAGGAGGACCACGACTAAACGAAGATACGGGAGCTTGACGTGCATTGTCAATGAGCGACTTTTGTTGTTCGCTTCTACTGGATGTTTTTACTGAGCACTACTTGAAATTTGCGCGAGAATCCTCCCTGGCCGCCTCGCAAACCGGTCGTTTCCATACCAACTCCCTCCCCTGTTTTTCGGTCGATCCGTGAGATGAAATGCAGAAAAAAGGAACTCCAGGTTCGCATCAATGGCCTGCCCAGTTCATCGAGGCGCCTCTGGTTTTCGGTGCGTTGCCGCGTTTGCCTTACAAAGAATAAGGCGGGACTCAAAGCGGCCCCCATCTGCCGTGCCAATCTTTTCCAGCGATGGAGACATCAAGAGGTCAACCTCTAGATCCTCGGACGATCCACTCAACGAGTCATCGCAAAAATGGACTTGCATGACTTCGGGATCAAAAGGGCGGGGGCCCTCATGCCGATACAAGCAAGTCGCGTCAATGGTGAAGATTGCCCTGGACCTCGTGATGATGACCATGAGCTCGCAGGCCTCGCGAAACAAAGTCGGGAGGATCCTGTCCCGCAATTCCTCATGAAACGGAGTTGGGGCGAAATTCGAAAAATGATCGAAGAACGTGGCGCTCAACTTCGTCAGGGCCTCGGGGTTCAAGCCTATGCCGAGGTCGATGTCCTTGGCAGTCTTATACTTCATCTTGCTGACGAGATCGAGGTTTGTTTCGTTGCCCTTCTCGAGGTCTACACGGGGCGGTGGTCAGCAAGTTGATTACAACACTTCCATGACCAGGAAACCCGTTTCTGGAGCAAAACTCCAGCCGGGTAGGACGGGCTCACTTACCTCGCATTTGGCCAATCATGCGAACGAAAATCTCGCCAATCCTTCCGCCCCAGAGTCCGTTCCTTGCCTGGAAAACTTCGTAGCAGAGTATCCACCAGATGAAGCGTTGGATCAAGAAGCTGGCCAGGCGCGGTGACTGCTTGCATTCTTGGATGAGCAGGTCGATCGGGCGCCTGGTCATAACTACCTCAGGCTCTTTGAAGGGGTTGCTCGTGCAGGCAGTAGCAATCTTCTCGATGGTGAAGCTTATAGAGCCCCATCTAGAGATAATCCAATCATCGGTCACCTTGTCGGGGTCTCCATAGTCAGGTTTTCTTTCGTTGAGAACCTCCTGGAGTTGCGACTGCCAGTGTTCGGCATTTTCGCTCTCTTTCTGCACTTTGTTCTCCAATTCCCGGTTTTCTGATTGCAGGCGCGAATTCCGATCTTGCAATGCGATCAGTTGCTCCTCAAGCTTTTGGGCTTTCTTCGGCGTGTTTGTCTGCTTCGTCGCCATCGTTTGAGCTCTCTTCAGCTGAGTACCCAGCTTCTTGGACTCTGCTTGCTGCTTCGCTAGCTCTTTCTTGGCAGATTCCGCTTCAAGCTGAAAACGTTTCGCCCCATCATTGGCTTCTTTCACCTCCCGGTCCTTTCGAACCAAAATGCCCTCCAGAGCAGAAATGTGGTGTTGGTAATGGTCTGGGTCTTTGGAAGCAGGATCGATTTTCGGTTTCTTGGCCTTTCCTACTTGCTCACGCGCAGTTTCATCGGGTCCTCTGCCGTGCTTCCCAGCGGCAACTTCTCCGGGATGCTTTGAGAGAGCCTCTGGGGTTGCTCCTATACTCGAGGAACTTGCGGAGTATGCGGAGCACTCAAGAGTCTCGTCCGTGTCTTGGGACGAAGATGACAGCGTCGGCTGGTTGATACTTCTCCTGTATTGCGATTTGACGCCTGCAAGGCAGTCAGCCACTGAGCGAGGCTGAAGGTTTCAGAGTATTTATGGCCTCAAGACCTACTATTGAGACGGGTATCTCGAGCATTCGCAGCCGGGGGCGGCTCAGCAAGGTGGTCCACCTCCTGCTCATGTTTGGCTCTCGTCTTGGGCACCATGGTCTCCCGTTGGCCAAGGTGGGATCTGGTAAGCAAAGGCGATCTTCGGCGGTGAGAGAATGAGACGAGACTGAACCAGCAGAGCTGTCTGTTCTCCACGATGCACGGAGGAGAAGATGGGTTGTGGGATGAGGGAGTTGAGGGAGTTGAGGGTTGGGAGGAAGAAAAAAAGGTATGCGCCCCGGGGTCTCCTAGAAGTAGCGGGAACAGCTCAGCTCTGGCATGACAATGGCTATTCTGAATAGAACCGCTCTCTTTCACTAACTTGTTGTCCTGGTGACCACCAGCAAGGAGTCATCTCGGCCCTGAACAGCTTCCAGGGCCGTCGCCACAGTAGGAGAACGCAGCGTTCAGGCACACTCTGGCTCTGTGCCCGTACTTTGAGCTTCTTCTCCAGGCCATTTGCCCTCTTCACCGGCAACACTATGAAACTCGAGATGGACGAGATAACTTGAGTTGCTCGGCGGCGAGGCGAAGTAATGGCTCTCGGCCATCGCGGGCTTTCTTCAGCCTTCCTTCATTCTCTTTGGTTACTTTGCTGCGGCTTGGATTCGATTCGATCACGGCAGATATTGTTCTTCAAAAAGCGAGCACTGGGCCATCTCCAGTCAACCAACCCCCCATTGTTCTGCAGCAACTTGCTCCGGTAGCTGCGGTAACCAGTCCAGATCGCTCAGTAGCTGCCAGCTGCACACGCAGCACTCTGGTGCTCAACCTGAGGCACCTGAATCTCCCTGGTTCTCCCCAACGCCAAGAATTCATTCTATCCCTTCAACCTTGCACACCTTCTTTTCCACGTTCGAGGCTTTTCGCGCAAGGCACCCTGCGTATTCAGAATGGCTTCCAAGAAGCAGCCCATCGTCATCGGCCTCGATTTTGGCACAACGTACGTCTGCTTATCGCAACCCTCACTCACGACTCAAAGACTGACAGCCGAGAAACAGTCATTCGGGTATGGCCTGGGCTCCCGGTGGGAGCTACTCCACCCCAGTTTCTGGCTGGCCTGCGCGCCTCGGAGCAAACAGCGACAAGGAGAAGGCTCCGAGCGCCCTGGTATATCGGTCCAACTCGCGCCCGCCCTTTTGGGGATATTCCATCCCCCCTGACGAGACTCCCATCAAATGGTTCAAGCTGCTGCTGCTTGACGATGACGACCTGCCGCAGAACTTCCGACGCTCGGAGCATCTGCGCAGGGCGAAAATGCAAATCCAGCAAAACAACCGTCACCCCGTGGAGGTCATCGGGGACTATCTACGCGAAATGTGGAAGCATGGCTTTCGGAACATTGAAGATTGCCTCGGCAAACGTCTTGTTTCTGCCTCGAGACTCGAGCTGGTCGTGACTCTACCCGCCATCTGGCCCCTCTACGCGCGCCAGAGGATGCGCGAGGCGGTGCAGCTGGCGGGGATCCTAGATGACCGAAAGGCCGGGGAAACAATCCTGAGCTTCATCTCGGAGCCCGAGGCTGCCGCCTTGGCCACCATGGAGGACTTTTCCGACATGGTCGAGTTCAAGGTGAGTTGGAAATGCAATGACTTCCGTTGATTGTTTGATCACCGTTGACATGCCTAGAAAAATGACCGCTTTGTCGTCTGCGATGCCGGAGGAGGCACGGTGGTAGGTGACTCCAAGCTGCCTTGGATCCTGTTTTTCCATCTCCCTCTTCGCCTGCTGACCGCGTTCAGGACCTCATCAGTTACAAAGTCATTCGCGAGAACCCGCCTCAAGTGAGAGAGTGTGTCCAAGGTGACGGTGAGTACAAAACGCGGTCGACTATATGGCATCTTGGCTCCAGCTAACAGCATGCACTCAGGCAAACTTTGTGGTGCCGTGTGCCTCGACGAGCGCTTTTTCCAGCTTCTCAAGTCGAAGCTCCCGCGTAATATCTGGGACAGACTTGGCAAGCCAGGAATTGACCACATCATGGACTTTCATTGGGAAAATGGCCTGAAGGTGCAGTTTCACCAAGACAGCACCGATCTGCAGATCCAAATGCCCTACGGCGGGACTCTCGAGACTCGCTTTCATCCTCCGAGATTGGATTTCAGCAGGTAAGTGCATGACTGTTCCAGACAGGCATCGAGTCGGACTATGCTAACTGCCACCAGAAGGGAGCTGATGGATGTCTTCAAGCCCATCGTTGCCGAAGTAGTCGAGCTTGTTTTCAAGCAGATTCGCGAGGTCATGAAGATGGAGAAACGAGGCCCCAAGGTGAAGTCGCACCCTGGAGAAGATGGCGGCTCTCCGATGTGTGGTTTTGTCGGCTTTGCTAACACTTGCCGCAGTATGTTATCCTGGCCGGCGGGTTTGGCAAGTCACGCGTGCTGCGCCAAAGTCTCCAAGACTCCCTCGACACCGAGGGTATGAATACCGAGATATTGCAGGCCCGTGGCGATCGACCGTGAGTGGAAAGCCCCCTTGGTCTCTCAGAGACAGACGTGAATACGCATCTGACTCCTTGACGCAGCTGGACTGCCGTCTGTCGCGGAGCCGTGCTCCGTGGCTTCAACAAATGCAGCCCGAGTCTCTTCACCATGGTGGACGGTCGCGTGGCCAGGGCCAGTTACGGGACGACTCTCAACATTCTGCCCTGGGACGCAAGCGAACACGACTCGCGCGACAGGGTATGGTGCAATATCCAGCGCGAGTTCCTGGCCGTTGACCAGACCCAATGGTTTATCCAGATCGTAAGTCACATTGCGACGTCTTGACGGCTTGGCTGGTGCGGCCCGCTGACAGACGGCGTACAGGGGGAAACTCTGGCCACCGAGGAGCCTGTCACGCACAGCTTCTGGCAGGACTTTGACCAGCCCCAGGACTTCATCGAGACGGAGATCGTGTATTGTACCGCCAAGGATCCACCATCAAGATGCGACGACTCGGTCAAGCGGCTGTGCTTGATCCGGTGGTCCAAGATTCCAAGCTTCGACAAACTCCCCGTCTGGATAAACCAGCAGGGTGGGCGTTTCCGCCAAGTCCACTACGAGCTCCGGATGGTCCCGGACGGCGCCTCCCTCGACTTTGAGGTCTTCTATGATGGCACAATGGTCGGCTCCAGGAATGTCCAGGTTGACTGCACCGACAGCGGCGCCAAGGAGCAGCGACTGTAGGGGGAGGGCTATCTGACGTTGCTTGACGGAGAGGAGACATTTTCTGAGCTCAGAGTCCTGATCAATGCGCTTTTCCTGCGTGTCCGAAGGGCGGCAGCCAGGACGCGTGCGAGCTTTCATCAGCCTTGAGGGTTTTCTAGGCCTACATCTATTCTTGCCCTTGTTCTCTTCTTGCACAAACTTGCTCTATCTCCTCCCTAGGCAGGCGGAAGATCTTTAGGCCACCAATAGAACGATACGAATTCCCTGATTTCAGCCGTATTTTCTCCCTTGACACCCCGTTTCCCTTCTATTGTCCAGAATCCGCCGCATGCTCTCGCAGCGGGAAGCAGGAGCCTCCCTTAGCGCTTTTTGCCCCGTCTCTTGTTGGCCTTGGGCCCTTGCTGGACGCCAGAGGCCTTGGCCTTGGACAGTGAGTCGGTGCTCTTGTCCAGCATCTCAAAGTCCTCTCCGGCGGAGTCGGTGCTCGGCGTCGCCTGCGGGGCGTCCGAGTCGTCGGCAGCGTCGTCCGAATCGATCTCGACTGCCTTGTTGGACGTGAAGCGACCGGGGCCCAGGTTGAAGAGCCAGATCGGGACGCGGACAACGGCAGTATCCTTGAAGGTCGGCTTATGGAGCTCGTTGGGCTTGATTTAGGTCAGCGTGGTGTTCCAGTCGACTGGAATCGGGACGGGAGCTCACGTCAAGAAGATATTCATTCACGTTGCCTTCCTCGTCCTCCTCTTCGAGAAAGACGTCACCCAGGGAGTCGACGACGAGGATCTTGCCGTTCTCGGCGACAACCCTCTTGCGCACGCCCGAGGGCGCAGTGGTGCTCGAGGGGGTTTCCCGCGGAGCTGTCTGGGGCTTGCGGCTCTTCCTCTTGAGGCGTCCGCCGCCGTCCTCCCTCTTGGACTCCTTTTCCTGCATGCGCCTCTGCTTCCTGTTGGCGGGCAGAGGCGGAGGCGTCTCGTCGTCCGATGGAGGCGCAGGCGCAGGCTCGACGTTGGGGATGCCGAGGTTGCCGCCCCAGGCCTTTTCCCGGGCAAACTTGACGTAGCGGCCGACAAACTCCTGCTGGCGCTTCCAGTTCATGTAGAGGATGAGGTAGTGGATGGCTCCGCCGCCCATGATGAAGACGCCGAGCATGACGGTGCCGAGGCCGGGGCGGTACCTGGTGTAGTAGTAGTCGGTGCCCTTCCAGAGCGGGAAGCCGTGGGCCAGGAAGTGGTCATAGCGGTCCCGCGACGGCCCGCGCAGGATGTTGGCGATGAGGGAGAGGCGGGCCTGGCGCTCCGAGGCGCTCTTGACGGCGGCCTTGACCTCGGCGGCGGTGGGCTGCTTGGGGCTGGCGTTGGGCTTGCCGTCCTTGGTTGCGCGGTCGTTTCGGAGCTGCTGCTTCACCTTGTCCGGGTGGAGGGAGCGCGACTTTTTGCGGTAGGCCCGGTTGATGTCCTCCTGCGAGGCGGACGCGGCGATGCCGAGGACGTCGTAGAAGGTGACCGAGGCGTTGGGCTCGTGCGCCGAGATTTCATCGCGGATGCGGAAGATTTCTCGATCTGGATGGAGGCATATCAGTCAGTCGGAGCACGGCAGACATGTTTTTTTTGGGGGGGGAGTCCTCGAGAGAACGAAAGAGAACAAAACACTTGCCTTCCTTGCTCCAGGCCGCCGTGAGGGGAGCCAGGAGGGAAAGAATCCCGACAGAGAGGTAGGAAATCTTCATGCTTGCATGGTAGGGCGGCGGTGGTGCTGCGTTGAGGCTGGCGAATCGTGGGGAACAACAGCAGGGCCCATGTAACTGCTTGATCGATGCAAGGCCAGGTGGCTTGTTAGGTACTCGCGCAGGGGGGAAAACAGGGGGTGAGCTAGCTTGCGCTGCTGCTGGCTGGGGAACATACACAAGAGGGGTCTTATACTATAATTAGATGCAGTCATTCCATCGAAGTAAAGCAATTTGGCGCAGCGGAAGCGCGCCGGGCTCATAACCCGGAGGTCCCTTGATCGAAACGAGGAATTGCTAAGATATTCTTTTTGACGTTTTCGGTGATTTTCCACTCACCCTTTAGTTGATATACTCTTCTTCTCCTCCCTTATTTTTGTTCTTATTTTTGACTTTGCTTTCGGGGATTTTGCTGCGCGACAAAGCTGTGCAAGGTAAACCGTTAAGTGAAGGTTCACAACCTGCATGCTCTTCGACGGAGCCCGGATTTTATGCGCAGGTTGTACATACAAGCCATGCATCAAAGGGGACGACGTATGCCGATTGAGATGGATATTACAATGCCCAGCACGCCTACCCCATCGCCTTGTTTCTTGCCGACATGATGCGTGGCGGGTTGCAGCCAGAGAGCAGGCGGTGGCTATAGGGTAGCAGTTGGCAGACGAGCCTGAGTCGCAACGTGTGTTGCCGACTGGCTGGCTGGCTTATTTCCGAGTCGCATACAGCTGCGCCCACGAGGACGAGCCCGTATTATAAGCAGGAGAATAGGCATGCGTGCGACTTTGGGCTCTCGAGCGAGGCGACAAGGGCCCCTTCTTCGGGCATTGCGGGTAATTAACCGACTCACAATTTTGCAACCCGGCCTTGGCTCGGGTGGACACAGACGCGCAAGGCGTGTCACGGATGCATTTCCACATGCACGGCATACGAGGCTGCTGTGTAGAAATCGAGACGTTTTTTTGTTTTTTTGAATGTCTTGAGTTGGCGGAAAACACATGCACATTGACTGTAACTACAGTACGCATATAAACAGCCTCCTGTCAGCATAGCACGGCAGCGGATGGAAGCCAGTGTTCACCGGCCTCTGGTACTGCGCCAGACACCCACCCAACTGACATTGCGCAGATAAACAAACAATGTACGGATAAATACAGTTGGACAGACAAGGTCAATGGCAGGCCGGCATCCCGCCTCGGGCCCTTCCGGCTCCGGCTCCGTCCCCGCACCGGATACGAAATACATGACTTCCCAGAGCCGCGGATGGCGAAGTCCAGCCACCCCAATTAACGGGCCCCTCTAATTATTCGTTACTTCGTATCCGTACATGCATGTACAAGTTCATGCGGTCAACGGGAGTGCTGACCGACGGCAGACCGCCCTGCACACCCTACTGTAGGTAGCATGTGCATGGACCTACATCTGCAAAAGCCCGCATTTTCCTCTGGCCCCCCCCCTCATCCTCCCCCGTCCCTCCTGCTTCTCCCCTTGCTTTTCTTGTGTGTGCGTGTGTGTGTGTGTGTGTGTGTGTGTGCGCAGGTGTACAGATACAGAGCGTGAGAACGAACATCGGCGTGGCAAGCCCGTCCGAAGGGGAGAAATAAAGACGGTGTAGGGCCGGTGGACTACACCTTGCTTCTCACTCATTCACACCCTCCCTCCTCACTCACACTCTCACATACTTACAATCCCTCTCTCACTCAACTTTCTCACACACCTACAACCCCTCCCCCCCTCACTCACGCCCTCCCTCACTCACTCACCCGCTCTCCTCCCCATCCAACAGTGAACAGAGACGCAAACATGGGCTTCTTCTCCGACGGCCTCTCAGTCGGCCCCGGCGGCCTCTCGCGCCCCTCGCAACACCGCCGCCACTCGTCACGCTCTGTCCACAAGAAACGTCGTTCCCGCTCCAGCTCCCCGTCCCGCCCCCGCTCGCGCTCCAGCTCCCGCCGCCGCCGCTCCGGCCTCGGCTCCGGCGCCGCCCCCTTCGCCGCCCCCTTCTTCGCCGACAGCGGCTACCACAAGCACAATGCCTCGCGCGGGTCCTTCTTCGGCCTTGGCAACTCGAGCCGCTCCAGCTTCTTTGGCCTCGGAGGCTGTATGCCTCCCCCCCTCCCCATCCGCATTCCTCTCTTCGTGCCCCCTTGAGGCAGCCCTGCTCACCACCGCGTACAGCAAGCCGCCCGTCCTACTACAAGCGCTCCCCTCGCCACGGCTTCCTCCAGCGCGCATATCGCCAGCTCCGCCGCCTGCTGCGCGACCTCGTCCACTACGCCAAGCGCCACCCCTGGAAGGTCTTCTTCCTCGTCGTCATGCCCCTCGTCACCGGCGGCGCCCTGACCGCCCTGCTCGCCCGCTTCGGCCTGCGCATGCCCCCCTCCCTCGAGCGCATGCTCGGCGTCGCCTCCCGCGCCGCCGCCGGCGACGGCTTCGGTCTCGTCTCGGACGCCGTCCGCATGGCCGGCGACGGCTTCGCTTCTCCCCGAGCCCGTGACGGCCCCGACCTGCACTGGGAGCGCCGGACGTCTGCCTACAGCTCCGCGCCCTCGCGCCCCCGCGACGACGGCTGGGGCGAGAGCATCAAGGGCGTCGCCAAGATGTTTCTCTAGCTCGCCCCTTATCTTGTGCCTCGGTGACGTCTTCAAAGGCCGACGAGAGCTGGCGTTTTTCTCATGTATCGATCCTCCATAGACTTGCAACATCAGAACTCAGAACCCAGCAGTGTCATTAAAGCCTGCGAGCTCCCCAGCATAAAATGGTCCTGCTGCGCTTCACGTGGCGGCCGGTTGGCTTCGACTTCGCCCCAAGAGTCATACATATTATGGCTATCTTTAATTCGCTAACCCGGTCTCTCGTCTCGCTGCGGCCTTGATGCCCCATCCCGAGGCAGGCTGCCGCCCTGGTCTCATCGCATCCGATACCACTTTGATTCCAGCATATGTCATCGGGCGGCGGCCGTTTCGTATCTCGCCCTTCCGTGCCCTTCTTTCCCACCGGTGAGGGGAGCATCGGGCAGCCAATTTGTGCGATCATGCCAAATAACAATATTCGTGTGATCGTCAAGTCCGGCGCCCCTTTCTTAACCCTTGAGAAAATGTGTTCAATCTCATACCCTTTTGCTTATCGTCGGCGCCACTGCCTCCGATGGAAGGTGCCCAACCGCCCTGCCAAACATGCCTTCATTCCAGTCGGGGCCATCCGAGGCCAGGATGGACTTTCATCTCCGCAGGCGTCGAGTAGAAGGTGTAAAATGTCAAGATTTACATAACATCCATGTACATTCATAAAGCCAGACGAGGAACAAAAATGGAACAGTAAAAGGTCAAAGGTGTGACAAGGGAGAAGGCCCGTCTCGTCGCTGCCGACACGCCCAATCGCTCGCGGGCCGCTGGCAGGGTGACATGACGGTTGATGCATCCAAGTTATGCCGGCGCGCCACCTTTGCTGGGCTTCCAGAATTGCATCATTCGGCCCAATCGCTCCTTAGTCTTGCTCCCCTTGGATCTCGGCTTCTTGCTTTCCGACTCGTTATCCAGCGTGACTTCCATGGAGAGCTTGCTTCTTTCCCCGTGTGCGCTGCTGATGAGCCGGCTCAGGCTGACAAGGCTCGACCGCCTGCGCCCAAACGCAGCCGACGAGACCGAGACGGGCCGTTGCTCACGGAGGGTCGGTTGAGACATACGTTGGCTTGGTATGAAGCTACTGTCCCGCGTCATTGTCGAATTGCTCGACGTGAGTGACCTGATGTCGTAGTCGGCCGATATCCTGACTTCTGGACCCGGCTCACCCATCAGGAGCGACTGGAAGCTGTTCTTGTCCGTCACTGATGAGGGCGCCGTTGATATGCGCTGGGCGTCAATGGACACCGGTGACCGAGGAGACGGGTGAGACGACGATGCGAGGCTCGTTGAGTACGGGCTGAGAGGCATCATGGCCGTGCTGCTGTGAGATGCTGGGTAGACCTCCACAGGGGTGAGCTCCTTGGTTCCCGGCAATCTCTTAGGCGAGGACGTGGCAGAGTCAGGGCCACTCGCGCTGGCGCTGCAGAAGATGATTGACGGGGGATCCTCGACGGCGGCCTCGCCATGCACCGAGCTGGTTGGGCATTCTGCTGCAAGCGGTGTCAAGGGAGGCATTGCGGACTCTATCGGCTCCGAGCTGGCCCTCTTCATGGCGGCGTACGCTGGCTCGATTGGGGAAGCTCGCAAAAGAGGAGAAGCCTCGACCGACGCAAGCACGACGGGAGACGTCGCCGCGCCGTCTCGGTGCAGTTCTCTCATACTTGCTGCCCCTGGCTTCTTTGGTTGGCCATTGGCGGCGGCGACGTCGTCTTCATCCTCTTCGAATACATCAGCCATTGCTGAATTGCTGTTCAACCTATGGATGTTGGAGCGCCCAGGATCGAATGGCGGCAGATCTGGTGCTGACTCTGATCTGCGATGATAATGCATGCCTGGGCCGCTGAAACCTTTCATGCCCTGTGCGCTGTGCATGCGTCGCTTGCCGGTAGTGCCAGCTGCCCGCTGCGCCGCCTCCCACTCTGCATTGTGGGGAAGCGGCGTGTTGAAAGGGCCGAGAGCGGCATCGAGATCTATCATGGGATGCGACGCGTCGTCTTTCGACAGAGGCTGTGGCTGGGGGCTGGCAAGTACCCGCTCGGGGGCCGATGACTCGGCGTTCAGGTCTTTGCCAGGGGTGCCTTCGGGATCTGGAGTCTCTGAATCCTCAGTCTCCTCGGTTTCATCGTCGTCGTCGTCCTCTTCCTCCAAAGGATCAACAGAGGCAGGCGGCGTCGGTGGCCGCAAACCATTCGCCTTGACCTGTTTCTTTTGGCCTCGAGGCTTCAGAGGTAAGATCGAGCCCGCCCAACCCCTGACCCTCTTCTTCTTACTCATCGTCTTGCTGGATTGCTTGTCTGCGTTTGCTGCATGCAAGTCTCTCCCTGTCTCCGTCGAATCGGAGTCGTGGTCGGACGACGACGGTGCAGAAGCAGCTCTCGATACAGACTCGGATGAGCTGGAACTCAGTGATCGCGGTTTCATGGGCATTGTGGGACCGATGAAGGATGACTCCAAGCCGAAAAACGACCAGCGCTTGGGGGCCTTGATTGTTGCGACAGGATTGTTCGGGTCCGCCGCTTGCGCTTCGGCGACACTTAGTAGCGTCGGGTTCGAGTTGCGGCGCCTGGGTGAAGTGTTGGCAACGTTGCGGTTCGGAGGCGCCGCCATACGCTCGAGGATGGCACCAGCCGTGCTTGGCCTGGAGTCGCTCAAGTCGCGAGTGGAGTTCTTTGACAGTGTCACCGGGCTCTCCCGGTCGCAAGGGGAAGCCACAGAAACGACTGAGGATATGCTGCCGGAAACAGAGTGTCCGGGTCGCGCCGTGGCCGTGCTGGACGTGTCACTGGAAACCATTGACAGCGGCCGGGGAATGAATTCCAGCTTATCTGAGAAACCAACACGCGTTCTGCCTGATCTCGGTTGCCTCGGGCTGCTGCTCTCGACATCGGAGGAGAGAGCTGCGGGCGTGGTGGGCCTAGCCGCGTCCACAGTTGCATCGCTGGCAACATTGGCTTCGGGAGCTTGCGCAGGGGTCGGCAAGCCGGATGTTTGGTGGTGAGGCGCAACGTGGACATCCCTCTTGAGCTCAAAGGAAGTAGGGCTATTGGGAGCGCTGTTGCCCCTGAGCATATTGTATCCAGGGAACGGCCGCAGCAAAGGCAAGTCGCTGGCGCAAATTGTCCCGGAGACAACACGACGATGTCCACGTGAGGGAGGAGCAAGCCCGGGTGATGCGAAGCCACTTTCAGACTTGGTTGGACTGGTGCTCATGACGGCGATCGAGTTGCCGTCGCGAATGCTGCCGCCAACGAATTCGCTGCCGCCCCGACGGTGTCCATGCCGGGCTGCTCGCGAGGGTGAGGGAAAAGGTCTCGATGATGGCGAGTTGGGGGTTATGGGAGGACTCAGAAACGGCAATGAATCGGGTCCCTGGGCAAGAGAGGCACCGGGATTAAAGTTAAAAGCAGGCAAAGCCACAGTCCTGCGTGGCCTGTCGCCATTCTCAGACAACGGGCTGGATGACCTTGGGGGTTCAACGGCTGACATGGGCCGCCGACCGCCGGCTCGGGCGTATAACGCCGGGGCGGAAGAAGGCGAGGACAGACGAGCAGGGAAGACGAAGGGCGGGTTCGGAGGGACGTCGGTGTGGATCGATGGGTCTTGAGCCAAGATGCTTGGGGGGCTTGCGGCGTCCGAGGAGGCGAAGCAGTTGCCTGCGGAATCCTCCAAAGAATGGACGGGTGAGGCACCGGCGGCTGCCACCCACGCAGGGCCCTGAGTAGCGGCCATCATTTTCCCAGCCGCGCGGCGGCAACTCAAAGTGATGGCCAACTAGGAGAACAGGGTGATCATAAGAGGGGGCAAGGCCAAGGACGGAAATGGTGAAGAGAGGTCTCGTTCGTCTGCATGCGGGCCTCGGGAGACATGTAACGGACAAGCGACGTTCGATGCCTTTTTGATGGTTGTTTTGAGAGATATCCGAGCTGTAGTCGAGCCTGCATCAGGTTAGCGACCCAGAGGGTTACGGAAAAGGAAGGTGAGGTAAAGCTGAAGAAAAGGTGGGAGGCTGTTGGGCGGCAGCCGAGGGTGGAAAGCGATTCACGACGGTTGGTAACAGACCTGGGTGACGGGCAAAAAATACAAATAAATGCTGCGCTGAAGTAAAGGGACGGGCGCAAAGGCAAAGAATTGAATCGAATGAGGCGACAAAGGAGCGGACGGCCAATACCAGCGACAAATCTCAACGAGAAGTGCAGCTGGAATCGCACCAGGAGGCGAACTCTGGGGAGCGCGCAAGGCGGGAGGGATGGGGAGGAAGAAGGAGGGCGTGAGGGTGAGGATGGGCGGAGGGTTAAAGGCGGGCGGGCGAGAGAGGGAGGGAGTGGGAAACAACCAGAGTGGGCTACCGGGAAGGCCTAGGGAGGGAGGATGGGGCGGCCGAATGCAACCGGCTGGGGCCAGCGCGTACCGCCTACCTGCGGCTAGCGGGTACCTTGTATGCGAGACGAGGTACGGGGAACAAGCAGCAGGGCGTTTGACGGGCTTCAGAGTTTCGGGGGTCCAGACACGGAAACAGTGCTCGGTACAGAACCGTGCTGTGAATCCGGGGCTGCCAACGACCCTCGGAGCATCTACACACGGTACAGCACATGATGTGCCAGGCGTTGTGGTTTGTTTATCTCCCTCGACTATCTGGCTGGATGGCTGGCTGTCGGGATGATCTGGATCTCGACGTGGTAGCGACTACTAATTGGCTCACGGCGATGCTTCGCATCTGCAGAGCGCTGGGACATGCGGCGCTCCCCGGCTCGAGGTACCTTGGGCAGCCACACGGCGCACCTCGGGTACGGGGCCAAGTACGGCACCATGGGCACTAACCTCCCAGGCATGGAGGCGACGGTACGGATACGAAGTACTGAGACGGCCCCCCTGGCGGCACCGCCTCCGCGCGGCCATGCACCCTCACGGCAATAAGAAGAAGCAAAACGGTCAACAGCTCGAATCCTTCCGGACTCTTGTCGAGAAGGCGCAAGGAGGAGGGGATGGGGAGGGATAGAGTTTGATATCGCGGACCGCTGATTTTCCCCGTGAGTACGGAGTACCTGCGAGTCGAAGCTTGTGTGTTTATGCATGAGGAGCGAGCAGTCGAGAAAGGTAGGTAGGTAGGTAGGTAGGTACCTGGTGCTCGATAGGACCCCGTGCACTCCCGCGCGGTCACCACTATTAGGCCACTATCAGGTCTGCAGTACTACCATGAAATGGCTGGCCCGCTGGCTAAAACACCGCGCGACATGGACATGGCTGGAAGCTCAACGGCGATGAGTGGAACACTCTCCATCGCAGACACAACGCCTCTCTAGGCTGCTCTCGGCAGGGCACCCCTCTGTTCTACTAATCTGAGCAATAACGAGACTCTGGTCGTGGATGGATGGATACCTGGCCGAGGCCCTGGCCAAGTACTTGCCCGCGCCCTGCCAGGTACCGCCTGGCCGACGACCCACGATGAGCGCCCGAGACAGGCTAGGCGCAGTACTGTCTGATGCGTCAACCGGTACCTACCCCACCCATAATCTTGGTACCTTGGGATACCCAGGCTGTGCCTGCCACCGGCCAAACCTTGGATGGCCTGCCTGCTAGCGGCTCGTTGGCTGCGTTGGCCCTGGCAGCCAGGCAGTGCATCCCACCTGTGGGTAGCCGGTGATATTTGGCCGGCAGGGGTCCTTGCTTTCCGCCTCGACTTGGGTTGAGAACTTGAGACCCTGCTGTTGTTGGAAAACACGATCCATTCACTGCCGGCGCGGCTTGGACCCGAACATTGAGACCATCTTGGGACGGCGTGGTTCATGCGCGAGAGTGCTTGCTGGCCCAGCAACTGCCATGAGAATGGCGCAAGGCACTGGGCACCGACGAGTTGGTACAGCGTGCGTTGGCCTGCGCTAACCGTGCCTGCTGAGTTCCTGAAATGACGATCATGTGTCGCGGGAAATGGACTCGTACCTCGAGGCAGCGGATAGAGGTGACTCTCGATGGGGACCGTCCCGTGGCGGCCGCCATGGACTTTTGCTCGTCCTCAGCTTCCGGGTGTCGCGGGAGGGATGGGCCGGAATGCTCGAGTCTTGAGGAGCCAAGATTTGGAACAAGGGCACCAGCGCCTCGATCCGTACTGCTGACTCTTTCAGCAACTGACGTGCTCGCAACTGTGCTCGCGACTGTGCTCCAATGAGAGTCGGTGTTTGGGCACGCCCTGGACAGTAGCTCGCGCTCTATCGGGAAAATGGTGGGGACTGGCGCTGCAAGTGTCCAAGAGCCTGCTAGGCAGGAGCTTATTGCAAGTCGTGATTCGGCGACAGAGCACAGGACGCTATGCACAGAGGCATGCCTGGCGCCTCGGACATCCGGGCCCCTGCCTATCCCTCCCTGGCCGTGCGGCAAAGTCAAGGTCTGCTGTTTCATCCCGGCCTCCCGCGGGGAGGGGGGGAAGGGGGGGCAGATCAAGTATCGTACAGGACAAGACTATACTGTAACTACTTGCTTCTGGCCCAATACGCCATGGCCGCTCTCCCCTTTGGCTCCCCCTTGGCCTCGCCGGGAGATACGCGCGAGTGGTGGCAACGGCGCCCCGGGGCCAGATGGTCGGTCGCGCGAACCACAATGAGCCGCCGTGTATGACAGGCAGCTGCATGGATGCCTGCATAGCATGCCCAGAAGTACAGTAGCCATCACCCGTGTTCCTTTTTCCCTGGTCCTCCCTTGCCTCGCCTGCGTGTCTAGAACGAGCCAAGATTGACATGGCCTCTCTCGCAGTTTACTGGACGTGCATGCATGCATGCGACGATGGGGATGTGCTGCATGTGTTTTGTGTGGCCTTACGTACTCGGTACGCGTCTGCATTTATCGAGCTTCTCTTTGATTGCGCAACTCGATGTGCAGCGGCCGACTGAACGAACACGTAGCCGGCCGGGCCTTGGCCAAATGAGTTCGCGGTATGCTGTGCGTACCCGCTGAGGTATGTGCTGTCAGACGGCCAGGACAGATCAGCGGGACCAGAGACTGGTCAAGTGACGGCCCCGTATCAGCGAGATATGCATGTACAGTACGTACTCGGTGCAAAGGCCAAGGGGCGGGAATGATGGTCGCCTTTGCGACTGAATCTCCCCCAGATTGCTCCTCATTCCACCTTGCCGTCCCCGATGGACTTCGCTTTATTTCAAGCCCGCTATCATGGATCATGGCACGACCGGGTCACCAGTATCCGGATTTCGGCAGGCACCGAGCAGTTGAGGCTCTCCTCACTAACTCGCTCAGGGCTAGTTAGTTAGCCGTCAGCCACGGCGTTTTACTTGGTTCAAAGGCCGCATGCCCTCTACTACAGACCAAAGCCCCAACGTCTCAACTCTATTGCACCGCACAGTCTTTTGTTCTCCCTTTTCGACCCTGACTGTCACACAAAGAACACGGGGGTGGGTGGTGGGCCTCTTTACAGATCAGGGTGAACTCGCTCGTGCGGGCCGAGATTTATTAACTACCTACCTAATAAGCGCCAGCGCCTCTCCTGTATGCATGGGGATGAAGAGGGGAGAGCTGAAAAGTCCTCGATCGGTGTTTCATGGCCTTGCCAGGTTCCGCCTCGGCGTCTGCGCCTATCCCGCGAAAAGAGTCGATCTCTACACACGTGCACAGACTGTCAGCCGTCGCATTTTCAGTCCCTGCCGGCCCGCCGCCTCCCAAGAAAATGCCGAAAGTGTCTCCCTGCCGTAGGGAAGCCGCTCGATGATTGATGAGCTGTCATCTTCTGAGGCTCAATACCTACCTCAGAAAGGCAACGTCTGTCCATGCCACTGTGCGCGAGCCGTCTCAGAGATGCCGTTCCTGCAGTATATCCAACGTCGTGACAAAGGCCGCTCCACCCGCAAGGCCCAGGGATCATTCAGCACCGACTCTCCCCCACTTGTCGACGGCGCAATCTCCCCTGGCGGTGTGCAGATGACAACGTCATCATCAGGAGCCATCGTCGTGTTGGCCCACTGCTGGCCGGCTAAGCCACTTGCAATTTAACATGTTGTTCCTCTGACGGGGGCCCGCCGGATGCCCGCCGGATGCCCAGTTGGCCCGCGAGCCCGCCCTACTCGGTTTCCGGGAACAGCATGAAAATTCGAGTACGAGCAGGCCACGGGACTTCTCCGCCGGGCTGATCATTCGTGATTCCTTCTACTAATCAAAGCCTCGCTCCAGATTCATTCATCTGCGAGGCGAGACAAATCTTGGCCGCAAAAGCAAGGGATGCCGGTCAAAACATCCGGATTGTTGGCCGGTCTTTCATCTGAATCCGGCACTGCATCTGTAGCCCTACCGTCTGCAAAGCCATCATGCCAGGTGTTTACAAATATGCCCCGCAACAAGTACGTACGACTTACCGTATACTTGGCTGTACGAGAATCCTGCCTCTTGGTTCCGTTTATGGGTTTTTCTCGCTTGGCCTGACATCATCGCCCATAATAAAGCTATAGCGGCTGCGTTCCTGGTCGATATCCCGCCACCCTTGCTTCCGGTGGGCTCTTTCTGGGTCAAGTCAAGCATAAACTAGATGAAGCTGGTTTGCACGTGACGCCGCATTGGTCGACTCCATCGGGCAACCACCGCCTCATCTCGCCGATGAACACCCGCCAGATCCAAAGTGATGAAGAAGCGCCAATTTGCGGGGTCGGGGCCCGACCGTTTACTTGCAGCCACATCTGAGTGGAGACGCTGGAGTCGCTCAGCCACACAAGGCTTGCAGGGCACAAAGTACAGCCTACACCGCCCTGGCGTCCCCTAGCCCCGCAGGCCTGGCAGAAATTTCGTCGAGATGAAGCACAAGATTTACGCTCTCCAAGCTTCGGAGCCCGATCCAACGACACAGAGATGGCTACGGAAAACGCTCCAACGGCCGAGTCGGCCGCAAAGCTGGCGAAGCCTCTCGGCATGCGCAAAAATGGTAGGTTCCCTACATGCTGGTCTCGTTTACCTTGCCGCCATGTCCGCCAAGCTGACAATTGGTCGCAGGCAAGCACTGGCATGCGCCGAAGAAGGCGTTCCGGCCAACAGCAGGCTTGACGTCGTACGAGAAGCGCACCAAGGAACGCGCTGCCATGGCACAGATGAAGGCCAAGGAGAAGGAAATGAAGGCGGAAAAGGAAGCACAGCGCCAGGTGAGTGGCCCGAGACACGACGGACTGCGCGTGGTCCCAAGGCTTACCCTCTCGGCAGCAACGGATAGAAGCCATTCGCGAGAAGCGAGCCAAGAAGGAAGAGAAGGAGCGGTACGAGAAGATGGCCGAGACGATGCACCGGAAGCGAGTCGAGCGGTTGAAGCGCAAGGAGAAGCGGAATAAGCTCTTGAATTCCTGAAGCTCCAAATCAGCGATGCAAGAGATTGCTGCAAAGCCTCAACAGCCGCGTGTCGACAGTATTCATTTCGCCTTGCCCAAAGACACATGCTCCTGGCCTCCAGAGCATCTCCGGAATGGACAATTGGAGGCTCACGGAGATGACGTTATCTTAGCCCGTGCCGTGGCGAAGGGAGACGTGCAGGCCAGGTCGGCCCGGCAGGCGTGGGGAAGCCTTTGTTTTGGAGCCTTGTTTCCCTAGAGGGCGGCCGGTCACGAACGCATGTTGCCATGCTGTGATGAGACCTGGGGGCGGGCGCGTGGGTGACAACGATGTGGCCTGTATGGCAATGGCCCAGAGATTAGACTCCGGATGTAGCCGAGGCCGTTGGAATCAACTGAAATGAGGTCCCATTGGGTAAAAGACGTTGCTTCCAACTCTTTTGGGTCGATTTAATTGCGTGCGTTCCTGCTGTCGCCATGACGCAGCCGGCTCTCTTGGGCATGTGACAACGCTGGCTGGCAGCCCCACGCCCGGCAACGCGCTTGTGGCCAGGGTGGGCAAGGTCGTCTCGACTCGTTCGACCACACACACACCTCCTGACGGCCCGCTTTACTCTCAGATCCGAGCCTGAGACTAAACGTCCTCGCGAGGCCATGTCGAACCTTAATAATAATAATAGCTTGGTGGAGTTGCCGAAGCCCCGGGTACGGCATCAGGCCAAGCGATCCCTCACCGAGCTCGCGTCACCAGCCAGGCTGCCACGCCAGCACCAGGCCAGCCACGGCCAGTACGATGACCGAGGCTTGCTCGATGCTCACGCGCCGCTGCAGACACGACATTCGATAAGCTTGTTCCGGCCGGCCGGCGTCGCGACCATGATGAGCCCAGACTTGAGCCGCCGCCCCAGCCTCTCGACCCAGAAGGAGGACGCCGGCGAGGCTGAGACCAAGCGCGCCCGAGACGCGATGCTCCAACTGGAGCAGGAGAAGGCGTCGATTCAAGCTGGGTGGGTCATGTCACGGTGCAGACGTCTCCCGGCATGGCCGCTGACCTTTTCCCCCTCGACACAGTGTCCTGAAGCAGTCCCTTGGCCACCTCGGCACGTTCTCGACCAACACGACCAAGCATCTCGACGACACATACTATGCGGTGCTCGAGAAGATGAGCACCCTACAGAACACGGTCACGGCCATGAAGGGCTTGGCAGAGGGGCTACGCGACATGTGCGATGGGTTTGACGACGACTCCCGGGCTCTCGAGAGCGACACTGTCAGCCAGCTGGTTGCCCTGGGCCGTTTCGAGGAGCAGGAGGCCAAGATCAGCAGCCTTCAAAACCGCGTACATCACGGTCGTGCGAGGATCCAGGGCCTAACGGGTCGAGTAGACGTCGTGAGAGAGCGCATCGAGGGCTGGGAGCGCGCCGACAGGGACTGGCAGGAGAGGACGCGGAAGCGGCTCAAGATATTTTGGTCCGTCACGTCGGTCGTCGCCATCCTCATCGTTGCGCTGGCGGTCGGCGTCAAGTATACGACGAAGCTCGACGACGCTCGTCCACGCTCTCTTGGCGCTGGCTCAACGATCCGTCCCTGGCTTAACGCCCTGAATCATTCGAGCGAAGATGGAGACGGGGAGCCGGGCAAGACGATGCTGTGGAAGACGCCGGAGGCTGATGATGAGCGGCTGCGAGTGTTTGACGAGCTTTGACATGGGGGGGATAGAGGACACGGGTATTGCTTGGGCATGCCGGGTTCTCGTCTATCCTAGGCCTTTTTTGCGGAGTCCAAACATACTGCCGGAGCCTACATACTGGATACGGGCACGGAGAGGCAACCATGATGATACCCTAGAATCTTTATAGATTCATGTTCTCATCCGCCCTCCCCCCTGTGGAACTGCCTCCGCCAAGGCGGGTGGTGATGAGGAGACGTGTCCTCCCTCGTTGGACCCTTTTCAGGACGTGCCTAACGGCCAAATGATGTTTGCGGGTACGCCCGGGTGCGGGAGTGTCAATGAGTTCGGAGGAAAGGGGGACGGGAAGGCGCAAGTCTTCGGCATATCCGAACACTTCCTGCAGCACGGGAAACTTCCGTGGGACGTCGCGTCCATACAGGGCCCTACGTAACGTCTTAGCCACGGCAAGGCATCCTTAATGGAGTCCCCGAGGGCTGGGTTGGGTAACTACAAGATTTGCCGTCCCCCGGGTGAATGGGGCTCCGAAGCCGTCTTATCATGACGTGAAGAGGAGCGCTGCGCCACTCCATCGCGCGTTTCCTCTCACAGCCCCCACGGGTGGGACCCCCGGTCTATGTTGTGTTTACAGCGGTGGTCCCCGTCGAGCGATCCCCGTCGAGCGATCCCCCTGTGGGACAAGACATTGGTCGGCTACTGTATGTAATTTCCCGATTTGCTGGCGGGTGAAGTACAGTACTGTAGAGATGAATTCATCTCGAGCTGGTTCATGCCATGGGCATCAAGAGGGCGAGCTTAGTCTCGCTCACCATTCTTGCCTCGGCTTTGGACACGAATGCAAGTATCAAAATAGAAAAGAGAAAAAAAAAGAATAATAGCGGAGACAAGAAGAACAAGGTCGTACGTTCGGCGATTCGGCTCTCGGGTCGCTCCAGAGTTGGGGACGGCGGCGTCGGGGCGATTGGCTCGGCATTTGTACCACATGGTACACGCGGCACGCGCCCCCTGCGCCGGGGACCGCCATGGATACCTGCCTGTACATGCGTGGCTTGAGAGAGGGTGCGCGTCAGCTTGGAGAGGCTAGACTGACGATGATGAAGCGCCACAATGCACATCCTGGTTTCCGAAACGGGGCTCTCTGCTCTTATTTTCTCTCAATTTTCTCCTTTCCACCTAGCAAGCTGGCAGGACAATCTATCGTATCTGGTGCCGAAGTCCCGACGATACCAAGTGACCCAGAATGCCAACCTGGCAAGGCAGAAAGAAGCAGCGTCAAAGGTCGTCTTGGTGAGAGACTCGGCGAGTCAGAGGTGCCGGGACGCGTCTCTTTGCGCTGCTGCACTGCACGGCACTTTGCGGGCGGCCGGTTTTGAGGATTCCAAGACTGGCCTTCCCTGGCCTTGCACAAGCTTGACGGTCTCGTGGGCCGCCTGTCATGGGGTTTATTCCTAGCGAGTGGCGCAACGAGGGGGAGGATGGGGATCCACGACCGTCAAACTACTGTACTGTAGGAGCAAGCAGGCGCTTGGGCAGTCGCACATTAGGTACTAGTAAGTATACTCGTCCGTACGGATACTGGGCTCTGAGACTGCCGGCCATGCTTTGGGCGCCCAACGACGTTCAGTTGGAGCCAGACCAGATATTATTGAAGGTGAAGTCAGACCAAATATTAGGTACAGCACACGTACCCCCCCGGACGACCCTCCTCCGCCTCCCTCCGCCAAGATGAGAAAAAGATACACCCCTGCAACATGCCGTGTGTCAGTGGTGGACGTGCCCGCTGGATGCACAGTAACACGCGCCATACAGCACACGAGGGGCTTCGGCTTCCATCCCCCCTCCACCCATTGCCGCCGGGGGCTGAGGCGGGCTGCGATGGAGATGAACCTTGGCGACCCCCCATCCCCAGCAAGCTTTTGCACGGCCGCGTCGCCGTCATATTTATATAGTAGATCCGGAACCTCTCCCCTCTTCCCGACCCAAGCCTCTGTTTCGTCTGGCCTTCTGCTCTGGCCGAGAACGAAACTCAGCTCCCTTCTAGCAGCCGACGCCACTCCGGCTGCCCCGCCATTGACCTTGGTAATAGCTTTGCAAGGCCTCAGCCACCGTCTGGTTCATTACCTGCCGTCGACTGCACACATCATCAGCGACCGTCCAAGCTGCCTCGTCCTCCATCACATCCGCCGCCGCCACCTCTATCCGCCATGGACGGACACAAGCCGGATAACGGCGCGGCCGCCGCCGACGCCACGACGACGACGACGACGACGACTACGACGGAGCTGCCTCTCCGCACCCGCCAACCAGGCGCTGCCTCGTCGCCCGGAACCTCTCTGACGGGCAAACAAGAACACTGTACGCGGTCCTGGGCGAGCTAGAATCCGCCTCCGTGCCCATTCCCCTTTTCCTGTCCCGCTGGCGCGGCCTTTTAGGCTAACCTGCCGCACGACAGACCTCAAGCGAGAACTCATGTCGCAACAAGTGAAAAGGGAGATTAGCGAGCTCAACTCTCCCACGGCTCTGCAGCGCTTCGGTGCGCCCTTCCGGTCCGAGCACGGCGAAGTCTCCCCGCAAGAGTCGGAACTCCCCATCCTCAGATACATCTTTGTCCACCATGTCCGAGACTTTCCCTTCCTCGACAAGGCCAGGGAGAAGGAGTTTTGGCAGGACAAGCTCCAAGTCGTAAGTCCCCCGGCGCCTGTCCCTCGACGTTTGCTTCCGAAGACACCTAACGCTCCTCGGCAGTTCCTCGAGTCCTTTGCCGGCAAACAAATCTCTTCCTCCGAAGACCGCCTCGAGGAGACCAAGCGCCGCAAGCTGGCCATCAAGGCCCAGAAGCTGGTGGAGCTGATGATGGTCTCGGGCATCGGCACTTCGTCTGGCTTCGAGGAACGTATACGTTTCTCCGAGATCGAAATCGTCGACAGCCATGCCATTGACACTGGTGTCATGCACACGATCCCCGAAGGAAACTACATCAACGGCTGGGACATCAACGTCGCCGGGGTGCGTGTCATGTCCATCAAGCGCAATATTCGCCGCCACAAACACGCCGAGTTTCTGCTCCGCATTAAGAGGAAGGGGGAGCTGGAGCACTTTGTGGGCCGCAGGTACGGCGACTTCGCCAAGCTGCAGAAGAACCTGCGGACCGAGTTGCCCGGTAGAGTTTTGCCGCAACTGCCCAAGAAGAACAAGTCCAGCTCGACGGCGTCTGGGTTGCTGTCGGCCCTGAGCAACGGCGACGACTCTGATGGGACTTCCATCTCCTCTGTCTCGACCCGCCTGACTGCTCTCCCACAAGACACCGACGCCGCGTCACCGGGGCTACTGTCGCCTCGTGAGGGTGAGAAGCGTCTTTAATCCCCCCCACAACTCCCAAGCTCACAGTAACCCAGGCCAAAAGCCGCACAAGAGACCGGGCTCTATTGCTTCGGCCAGATCGATCCGCTCGAGATCGCCCCGTACACCAAACGAGGACCGCAGCCCGGGGCGCTCGCGGACTCGAGATGGAGATGACGTTCGTAACCAGTCTCTGCCCCCAGGAAACCAAGCCTTACATGTTCTGCAGACGGTTGTTTTGTGGCGCGAAAGCCAGCGAGTCTCTTTGCGTGCCTGGCTTCGATCTCTGTTGCACAACCCGCAGGTGGCCAGCACCAAGGCGATCCAAGACTTTCTGAGCGGCGACCCCATCACGCCGACGGACGACGACGTGGATGATATTGCGCGGCGAAAGGCGCTGGACGAGAAGCGCATCGCGGAGCAAAAGAAATTTTACGAAATTGCCAGGCGACGCGCTGCCGACCTGGACGAGTACATGGAACAGTGAGCACTCGCCCAACCCCAAGGGGAAGCCGACATGGAGACTGACCCCATTGCAGATTCAGACGCGACATTGTAGAGCGCAACGGCCTGACCATGCTGTTCAAAGAAATCAAGGAGAAGGAGACTATAGAAGACCTGAGCATCCAATACCGAAAGTTTGCCGAGTGGCTCCGGATCGAAGTCGCCGCCGTCATCTACCACCTGTTCCTTGCCGAGGATAATTCCCCGGAGATGTTTGCGCAGGCGAAGCGTATCCACTCGCTCATCCCTTATTCGGTCATCAAGAACGTCATCCGTATCGCGAACCCGGCCGCCGTCATGTCGAGCATCCTGGACGTTTTCCTGGCACAGCCGTTTGGAACGCGGTCGCTGATGCAGCGCATATTCTCGCTGACGCTAAACGACGGCATCAAGAGCTTCCAGAGGTCAATCGACGCCCTGACGATCAAGATTGGCGACCCCGTGTTTGCGGAGAAGCTACAAAAATACACCAACGCGGAGGAGCACGTAAAGGTGGCCATTCGCGACGAGGCCGAGAGCGAGAACATTGATATTATCGTGGCGATTCTGCGGTCGGATCAGCTGGAACCGGAACTGACGGGAGAGCAGATCCAGCGGCTGTTCAATGCCTATGTGGCGTTCAACAATGCGGTTGAGAACATTGACGAGGAGCTGAAGCAAGGAGCGCAACTCTTTTCATACCTGAAGCAGCTGCTGAAGCTGTGCACCCGACAACGCGACAAGGCGATGATGCTGCATCTGATTGAAGAGCCCGTTACGCTGCAGTTGTTCCGCGACTTGTTCACCATTTTCTACGAGCCGCTGGTCAGGGTTTACAAGTCGGCAAACGTCTACAACAGCGTCACCGACTTTGCCGTATTCATCGATGACATGATTCAGGTATGTTGCGGGAAACAAGGACGTGTGCGACGACAAAGCAGTGACTGACAGGATCAACAGGTTGTCGACAAATGCCGGGAACAAGATGCCTCGGCCGACCCCAACCAGACGGTACAGGCGTTCATCGACTTGTGCCAGAGACACGAGCACAACTTTTACAAATTCGTGCACGAGGTGCACACTCACGACAATGGGCTCTTCACCCAGCTCATGGGGTGGATTGAAGGCATCCTCGAGTTCCTGCGCAAGGGACCCAAAAACGGAACGCTCAACGTTAATGCCCTCTTCGAGGGAGGCGTGAGCGGCAGCACGCTGGACAAGGAGGAGGCCACCAAGGAGGTTGACGCTCTCATCGCGTGGCAAGAGGCACGGAAAAAGTGGCACAACGACAAGACACGGCAGAAGATGGCGGCAGAGGGACAACCGGGAAGCAGCATGGCCGGGCTCGGCTTGAGTTTCAACACGTCCGATTTTGGCCTGGATGGACAGGATCTCCAGGAGATGGCGTACGACGACGGGTCGGAGTCCGAGGAGGAGGCGGAAAAGGAAGACGAGCTGGACCCGATAGAGGCCGAACGGCGGAGGCGGGCCAAGCAGCAGGATCGCCTCCGACGGTCAGCGGGAGAGCCGGTCAAGCCGGATGTTTCCGAGGTGCACAAGCTCAAGGACAACTTTTTGGTTATGCTGCGACAGGTCTTGGCAGATTAGAGAGGATTTGGGCAGCGCAGGCGGGGGCAGGGCATCATGATGGCGAATTCCTACAAGGACTGTTGTTGGATGATGTCGCCAAGCGTACAAAGTACTCGGTAAAGGGCTTTCGGGGGGAGTGAGGGCCGCGGAATGAAAATCAGACGGAGCGGTGATGTTCTTGTCATAGTGGTGATGTCCAATGAATGGAAAGTAATAAGTCTATGACACCGAGAAGGGCGGGGCGGGGCGTCGCGACTGTCACCGAAGATGGCCGCCGCCAAAGGGTACAGAGTACGTAGAAGCTACAAACTCGTGCGTGGCATCAATCAATCGAGGTGCAGCTTTTGGAGCAATGCAACGCAGCAGAAGAAGAGGACAAGAAACAAGGAGAGCGAGGCAAAAGCAACTGGATGCAATTCTGCCGTCGACGCTTTCATCAGGCAAGCAAGTAGGCTATTTATTGCCTCGGGGCCAGGGCTGCTAATGACTGGTCTCTGATTGGCTGGATGAACCGAGGAGCCGAGCAAGCTCTCCCGACCAGGCCTCGAGCCGTAAGGCATCCGTCAATCATCAATCACCACCACCACCACCACCTCCACCACCACCTCCACCACCATTACCGTCATCTCCCACGGGCAAACTCAACGCCATCGCGGATGAACATCTGTGAACGCGGTTTTGGTTGACCATGGCTTCTTCGATGGCTTTGAGGAGACTGCCCGCGGGCTCTGCTGTGCGTCGCATTGCTCCCTTCCCTTGCCATTTCTTCGCCTCTCCTCAATGTTTCTCGCCACGCCACCCTGCCCTCCTGCCTCCCAGACCGGCAAGCTGACGGACGAGCTAATTGCAGTTTTCACGGCTGGCTCGAACCCACACCAGGGCCTTTTCCACGACCCGTCCGGCCGGTGAGTTGAATCCCGAGACGGCGCAAGGAATGGACCAGTCCTGGGCGCTGACTCTGCGAGACGGCTGCAGCTCGCGTCATTGCGAGTAGTCCGTTGAGGGCAAAGGAGGCCTCGCCCTTCCTAAGCAACAAATACCCCGTCATCGTACGTGCCGTGTCCCCGAAAACAAGCCCCCCACGCAGCCGTTGACAGCCCTGGCAGGACCACGAGTACGATGCCATTGTCGTCGGCGCCGGCGGCTCCGGCCTGCGAGCCGCCTTTGGCCTCGCCGAGGCTGGCTTCAACACGGCCTGCATCTCCAAGCTCTTCCCTACCCGGAGTCACACCGTCGCCGCCCAGGGTGGCATCAACGCCGCCCTAGGCAACATGCACGAGGATGACTGGAGATGGCATATGTACGACACTGTCAAGGGCTCTGACTGGCTCGGCGACCAGGACGCCATCCACTACATGACCCGCGAGGCTCCCGCGTCCATAATCGAGCTCGAGCACTACGGCTGCCCCTTTTCCCGAACCGAGGACGGCAAGATGTGAGTTAGCCACGTCTGCCGTATACTCTCCCAGCAGCCGCTGACACCTGCACAGTTACCAGCGAGCTTTCGGCGGCCAATCGCAAAAGTACGGCAAGGGCGGCCAGGCCTACCGATGCTGCGCCGCCGCCGACCGGACCGGCCACGCTCTCCTCCATACCCTCTACGGCCAGTCGCTCCGGCACAACACGAACTACTTTATCGAGTACTTTGCCCTCGACCTGATCATGCAGGACGGCGAGTGCCGCGGTGTCCTAGCCTACAACCAGGAGGACGGCACCCTGCACCGTTTCCTCGCCAATAACACCGTTCTGGCCACTGGCGGCTACGGACGTGCCTATTTCAGCTGTACCTCGGCCCATACCTGCACCGGGGACGGCATGGCCATGGTTGCTCGCGCTGGCCTGCCCAACCAGGATCTCGAATTCGTCCAGTTCCACCCCACTGGCATCTACGGCGCCGGCTGTCTGATTACCGAGGGCGCCCGCGGCGAGGGCGGCTACCTATTGAACTCGGAGGGTGAGCGTTTTATGGAGCGGTATGCGCCTACCGCCAAGGATCTCGCCTCTCGCGACGTCGTCTCGCGGTCAATGACAATGGAGATTCGCGATGGCCGAGGCGTGGGCGCCGAAAAGGACCACATCTTCCTGCAGCTAAGCCACCTGCCTGCCGAGGTTCTCGCCGAGCGTCTGCCCGGCATCTCTGAGACGGCCGGCATCTTCGCCGGAGTCGACGTCCGGAAGCAACCTATTCCCGTTCTGCCGACCGTCCACTATAATATGGGTGGCATCCCGACCCGCTATACCGGCGAAGTGCTTACCGTTGATGCGCAAAATAATGAAAAGGTAGTTCCCGGACTGTTCGCCTGTGGTGAGGCTGCGTGTGTGTCTGTCCACGGCGCGAACCGCCTTGGTGCCAACTCGTTGCTGGACCTGGTCGTCTTCGGCCGTGCCGTCTCGCATACCATCCGCGATAACTTCAACCCCGGCGACAAGCTGAAGCCTATGGCTGCTGACGCCGGCGCCGAGCACATCGAGGTCCTTGATAAGGTCCGAAACTCCGACGGCCCTAAGAGCACCGCCGAGATCCGACTGGCCATGCAAAAGGCCATGCAGACCGACGTCAGCGTCTTCCGAACCCAGGAGAGTCTAGACGAGGGCGTGCGCAAGATGAATAAGATCGATAAGATGTTCCACGATGTTGGCATTAAGGACCGGAGCATGATCTGGAACTCTGACTTGGTCGAGACGCTGGAGCTGCGGAACCTATTGACCTGCGCGTAAGTGTTGTCTCTGCTTCTGCACGCCGTGCCTCGCACGCAGCAGAAAAACTCGGGGCTGACTCTGTATGCTTCTAGCATCCAAACCGCCACCGCCGCCGCGGCCCGGAAGGAGTCGCGTGGGGCTCACGCCCGCGAGGACTACCCCGAGCGAGACGACAAGACGTGGATGAAGCACACGCTTAGTTTCCAGAAGCAGCCCCACGAGAAGGTGGACCTATCGTACCGCCGCGTCATTAGCACCACCCTAGACGAGGCCGAGTGCAAACCGGTCCCTCCGTTTAAGCGTGTATACTAGACAGGCGGCGGGCAAGTAAAGCGAAGAGGTCGAGGTTGTGTACTGAATATGGGTCTGAAACGAGCAAGCCTACACCAAACAGGCTGCGTCCTTTTCTGCTGCTAGACATGCGCTTTTTTTCGGAACTCGTGGGAGTTTTTGAGGGAAGAGGGATATTGGTAACGGGTGCGAAAATACGACGAAGGGGGGAGAGGGGAGATGGTTTCGAGGTATGGCTGCTCCCATGCAGTGCACAGGGCGCATTGGGCCCCTCGAGAAGGAGACAGCAGCCGTGTAACACAGAAATTTATTCACTTGTTTCCGAGACAAGCTTCTGCATTGCTTAGCGCGAGACAAGTCAGTCCAGGCACGTCGGACAGAGGTGCCCAGGTGTGTTGCTGATGCGACGTGATGGTGCTACCTCGGCCCCCTTTCCGGCCAGGCTGGACCGCATGGGGGATACATTTTCGGAGGAGAGACGGAAGACGAGAACAACGATGTAACGGAGGAGTCTGAAAAGAGTCGACGGCCCCAGACAAGAGGGTCGCCGTCATCCTGTGGCGTTATACACACAGAAACTCAGCCAAGGTGCCACAGGTCTGTTTGATCCTATCGCCAGCAACAAGAAAAATAAGTAACGGGTTTGCCCGAAATAGATGGTCGCCGACTCCCAAGACTTACCCCCGGCCGAGGGAAGCCATGTCAATTGTCCTGATACATCTTCATGAGCCCAGCTTTGATACTGGTCAGCTGGCTCTCCTGGGACCTTTCCCTATTTTCCAGGGCGGTCACGCGCGCCTGCAGCCGAGCAATCTGATCGTCCTTTTGCTTCAGAGCTGCGCGAGCCGACTCCCTACCCATGGCGATGCCCCTCGTCTTGCGGACCGAGGCGGCCAGCAGCTCCCTGACGGCGTCGAGCACCGCGCCGTCGATGGGCTGGTCCCTGAGGAGCGCCACGACGTCGTCGACGACAGTGTCAAGATCGGCGTCGGGCGGGCTGCTTGACGGGATCCCCGGGTTGCCGGGGCGGCTCGTGGCGGGGGATTTGACGGGCGTGGGCAAGCCTGTGGGCTGGGCGTCGTCGTCGAACGTGACCGTCTTTTGCCGCTTGGGTTCCGGGCCGGGGAAGAGGGTGCGGGCGACGGACGGCGAGGGTAGATCCGGAGCCCCGGCGAGTCCACCGGACTTTGGGGTGGCCAAGACGTCGACCTTGCGGGCAGACCTTTCGGTGCTGCTATCGGCAATGTCGGCCAGCTGGCGCTCCTCATCGGAGCCGAAGTCGCTAAAGTCGTCGTCTCCCTGCTCAAAGGCGTCGCGACTCCGCTTGGAAGAATTCGGACAGGGCGTCGCGACGACTTCGTTTGCTGTCGTGGCTGAAGCCGAGGCCGAGGTGGATGCTGAAGTTGTCGTCGTCGTCTTGCTCCCGCTGCCGCTGCTGCTTGGTCCCGCGCCGTTGTCCGTCGAGAGGTCTGTGACGTGGACGCCGGACCGGCCTGGGCTGACCTGAACGCCAAACGACGTCAGAGGCCGCTGCGTAAACGTTGGCGTCTTGGGCCCCGGCGGGAGCTCCTCGGCGGCAGCATCACCAGCGGCGGACAAAAGCCCTGCTTGCCGGACGAGGGCCTCGTCTCGCCAGAGAAAAAAGCTGCAATACGGATAGCCCGGGCACGCCCAGAAGAACTTGCCCTTGTTGGGAGTGTCCTTTTTGACCTCGCGGAGGGCCGCCTTTTTACGCGGCTCGCAGTTACCTATTGTAAGGCGGGCCGAGGGGAGGCCCCAAAGGGGGGGATTGACCGAGGCGGTTAGTCTCTCGGCGCGTTTTCTTCGGGGGGGAGGGGGCATTATTCGAGAGGGTGTGTTATGAGCCGGTAGGGGGGGCCGCAGGGAAGGGACGAAGAAGGCTGCGACGAGGACATACACCACCAGTGGCCGCCCTGCCAGAGGCCATCGAGGCGTTTCTTCTGGGAGGCGGGTGTTTCGGGGCTGTGGCGGCGACGACGGGGAGGCGTCGTCGCCCCCATTGCGGAGTGGGCAGGTAGCTGGAGGATGGCTCGCAGCCGATGTATGTATGTGAGAGAAGGGGCCGAGACGGAAGAAGGGCGGTCGAGCAGCTCCGTATAGAATATCAAGAGCGTTTGGTCTGCGGTTTCGGGGCGTTGGAGATAGGATGGCGGAGGGTGGAGGCGGGTGGAGACTGAAGATGGGGGGCGGGAAGAGCCGCTGCTAGGGGCAGCGTCGCGGGGCACGGGGTACCGCTTGGGGCATTTACAGTGGACGAGGTACTTGTTACGAGTCAGCGGACCTGCGGTAGATAATGCCTGGTATATATACTTGGATGCGAGGCACGATAAGCTAACAGTGTGAGTTAAATATCCTTGGAGTCGAAGACGGCAAAATATGTTTGGTAGTTACCTATGCAAAGAGAATAAAGGGATGTACAGTGGATAAACAGTCAACGACTCGCGCGGGTCATTCGAGACGACGATCCATCTCCGGGCAGAGCCGCGTTTGTCCGCTACCAATGCGGCCAAGGTATGCTCAAGGCAGGGACCAACTGGGAAATCAGAGATGGTCGTCGTTGTCGATGGCCACGTGCGCCGGCGGCTGGATGTGGAAATATCGTTCTCGACCTCACGCGATCTCTCGCTAAAGATGCTGCACTCGAGGTACAGAGGCGTGTACTTTGTGCGGCGACTGCTTACCTAGGTACGTACGTACCTGCCTTACGTACTGTACTGTACTGTACTGTACTTCACCGCCATCATCGAGGAAGGCACAGAGAAGCACAACGGAAGAGAGGTACCGCCCACCCACTCTCTCACTCTCTCACTGCTCATCCAAGCCATTCATCCAATTAATCAACCCATCCATCCATCCATCCATCCATCCATCCATCCATCCATCCATCCATCCATCCATCAACAACCCATCCATCCATCCATCCATCAACCCATGAATACGGCCGTCTCTGTCCCGAGACGACGTCGCTTTCCGAGCATCGAGCCGCCTCGAGCCTCCCTTCGTCCACGGTGCGCTGGCCAAGAGCCCATCTGCCGCGCTTCTTCGGCCCTCTTCGTTCCAAGATCCTCACCTCTCGACTCACTCGCCCTCCGTGATTCGTTGACTTGAGGCATTTACACACCCGCCAGGTATGCCTTACTACAACACTTCTATCTCTCCCCCCCCGTGCCAATGTCCGAACGCTAAGCCTAGCAGGGTGCTCGCCAACTCCCTGTCTGGCTTCTGTATCGCTGAGACAATTGCCCGCTCAAAGCGCCGACTTCGACAATTCCGCACGTCAGGAAACTATCCATGCTCCCCAGACTGCACGTGCCTGCTCGACAAGTCGACCTCGTGCTGGCTCGACCGTCTGCCCTCCTTCCCTCGCGCCCTTGCCCATGCTCTTAGCCCCCGCTGATGCTGTCCACGCGAGGAACAAACAAGGGGAGAAGCAGGATACGGAAATCAGGCAGGGTTGCCTGCCAAGTCCATTGACGAGCGGAGCGCCTGGATCAGCACTGTCTCGGCCGCCTTTCCGCCCATCTTACATCTCGAGCCCGACGGCATTTCCGAGACCCAGCCATGATGCTCTTTTCTCTCCACGACGCATCACAAGACCGCCAGGTCGGGGCACTTCGACAACTCACATTGCATCAACCAGCAGCTGCTGTGGAGCCTTCGAGTTGCCTGAACGGGGAGATAAGACCCCGGCCCCCCTAATCCTGCACTCCGCATTCTGCGACCCTGTCGACGGCGCTCGGATGGATCTAGGCCAAAGTCATACACACGCACGCCATCCACACTCCAACTACATCTCCATCATAAGCGCGCCAGATTGTTGAGCCAGGCGAATCACTCTGGCCGGCTGTCATCCTGTCCATGGGTCTTCCTCTTTTAGCGGCAGCCAACTCAAAGCCTTGAGGGACCGCACAGACTTGGTCATGGATGTCATTCACACGCTCAACCTGAAACTGGCTGCTGGAGGAGGCAACTTCGCGCCGGCCTGGCACGTACCGCTGCGGCGCAGGGCCCTCGGCCATCTTGTCAAGAACTAGGCCCGCTCGTGACATGAGCCCTGTGTGGCCCGCGAGTGGCACAGGTAGCACGCCGCCTCGCTTGCTCTTCCCACTGTCTTGGTAGTATGAGTGCGCCTAATGATGCTAGCCGCCACTGCCTCTTTCCACCTTGTCCTCGGCCCCCTGTTGGCGCAACGACGTCCCCGACTTTTCGGATCCCCTCTCCCTCCTCTCTCATTCTCGAAGACCCCGTTGTAGATGCTACTGCCTAGCACAAGGGGCGAATCGGGATGCCTCGAGCGCGGGTGCTGGCGACGGACGAGGCGCTTGGGTTCCGTCAATAGCGCCAGAGTGTCGACAGAGGCAGCTTTCCTATGCCCGTCTTCAAGACTCTTGCTCACCACCACCAGGAGCCCAGCTACCCCCCACACAACGAGCAAGATTAGGAAGGCGAATATTAGGCGACCTGGACGTTACATGACCCTCCCCCATTTAGCGGCGAGCTGAGATGGCGCACTTCCGTCACTCCCCAAGTCTCGCGGCCATTCGGCCGAATGACCGAGTCCGGAGAGCACGCCGCTTCCCAGTACTCCGCCGACTCCGCGGTCGACCTGGCTGCCGACACCCCCGACATGACCCTGGACGTCAAGCTGCCCATTAGAGCAACAGTCACGCCCCACCGCTCACCATGCCGGATACGGACGGGCGACCATCTCAGGTCATCGACAACGTGGAAAGCTTAGCGGCTCATTTACTGTCGGCGGATTAGACGGCAGACATGTCAACCTCGTCACCCTCTCCCCTCTGGTCGACGTTAAGAGGGGGGGAAGCGAAGAGTGGGTGAGGCGGTCGGGGAGAAAGTGGGCGCGATATGGGATTGGAAAGGGTGGGGAGCAAGGGAGAGGGATTCATGAGTTCACGCCCAGACGTTTTCCAAACTCGCTCTATCCGATACGCCAGAGATAACTCGATGGATTGGGGGGCAGTCTGGGGTATCCTTGATTCATTGCCCTGGGACAGGAACCATCTCACAAACCTCATGGCCGGCTAGTGTCCTAGCCGGCCTGGCTGCACCTCTACCAAGCTGGAAGCTGGGTGAGCAGCGCCATCTCACCTTCCTACCGGTCAACTAGGAAGAGAGGAGAAAGGTCCCCCATGACCAGTTGGTGCCTTGGTCTTCTGGGCTTCCAATACTGCGCCATCTCCCGAGCAGGTGCAACGCGCCAGCCCCCGAGGCCTACGCCACTCTTCCTCTGGACGCGATCGCCGCCCCTCCTCTCTCGGTCCCCTGCTCCCCCTCTGGAATAGTAGCGCCACCACCACTTTGTCCTCGCGCCCGAGCAGGTGAAGGCTGTGGCGGGGACGCTTGTTGTCCAAAATCACGATGGAGGCTTGCGATGCGAGCTAGAATCTATACAGAAGTTGCGAAACTCGAGTCGGGCACACCCCTGTCAGTTATTCCCTCAACTAGGCACCCCCGACTGCAGCATCGCCGGCTGCTTCGTGCCTCGCTCGATTTGCCTCTTTTTCGTGTATCGATCATGGCAATATGTCTTCGCCTCCGTGTTCCCAGCCTTTTCAGAGCTGCCACTTATGGAAGGTGATGAGGCAAAGGGATCATTGTCTGTTTCGAGGCGTCGGGTACGGGGAGCAGGCTCTTCCAATTCCTTCTCTCTCCGCCTTTTACTTCACACCCCTCCCCATGAATGGCCTTCTCTCCCGAATATAAATACTGGACGATGACCTTCAGTTTGTGAAGCTTCTAGTCGATCAGCAGGCAAGCACTCTCCAGCCCCCATCAACTTTCTTCTCAAGCTTCCTCCCCCCCTCAAGAGTTCATCTCTCAAGCTACGCCTCGGGAACTGTGTTCAAAGACGACAACGACAGCAAACTCACAACAAGCTCAAAATGAAGCTGTCCCTCATTCTCGCCATCTTGCCCGCCGTGTTGGCTGCGCCCGCGACCAAGCGTGATGAGCCTGCTCCCCTCTTGATCCCTCGCGGCTCCAAGCAGCTCATAGCGGACAAGTACATTGTCAAGTTCAAGGACAGCATGTCTATTGCAGCCGTCGACAAGACCGTCAAGGCGCTTTCCAACAAGGCCGACCACGTCTACACCAACACCTTCCGTGGCTTCGCCGGACAGCTCAGCGCCAAGGATGTCAAGGCTCTCCGGGAGCGGCCCGATGTTAGTTGCCGCCCCCTGCCCACGCACCAGGTGGTGGTCCTGTCGCTGACGCGTGTGTGTTCCAGGTCGAGTACGTTGAACAAGACTCCATTGTCACGATCAACGCCTTGAAGCAGCAGCCTGGCGCCCCGTGGGGCCTCGGCCGCATCTCCCACCGTGAGCCTGGCAGCACCACCTATGTCTACGACAGCAGTGCCGGCCAGGGCACCTGCGCCTACGTCATTGATACCGGTGTCGAGGCATCTCACCCAGTACGTTTGAAACCCCGGGGGGGGGGGTTGCCTGGACTGGCTGCAGGATGCCCAGGCTGAAGGACGTGGCGGCTGACTGGTGGCGATGCAGGAGTTCGAGGGCCGTGCTACCATGGTTCGCAGCTTCATCAATGGCCAGGCCACAGACGGTCACGGCCACGGCACCCATTGCGCGGGCACCATCGGGTCCAAGACGTATGGCGTGGCCAAGAAGACCAAGATTTACGGCGTCAAGGTGCTCAGCAACCAGGGCAGCGGTGCCGTGTCGGTCATCATTGCCGGCATGGACTTTGCTGTCCAAGACTCGCGGAAGCGCAGCTGCCCCAAGGGCGTGGTGGCCAACATGAGTCTGGGTGGCGGCTTCTCTGCGGCCATCAACAACGCGGCGGCCTCCATGATCCGGTCGGGTGTCTTTCTGGCCGTTGCCGCCGGCAACGACAACACGGACGCATCCGGCTCCTCTCCCGCATCGGAGCCCACCGTCTGCACCGTGGGCGCCTCGACGATTTCGGATCAGAGGTCATCATTCTCCAACTACGGCTCAGTTGTCGACATCTTTGCTCCCGGCAGCGACATTCTCTCCACCTGGATCGGCGGACGCACGGTAAGATAACAGCCGTGTCCCCCCTTCTCTCACTCTTGGAGAAAATGGGAATGGATCTGGGCTAGCCGCGACTGACAATCCTCACCCTTGCAGAACACCATCTCGGGCACGTCCATGGCCACTCCCCACATTGCCGGCCTGGGCGCCTATCTCGCCGGCCTCGAGGGGTTCAGCGACCCCCAGGCGTTGTGCAGCCGCATTCAGGAGCTCGCGACCTCAGATGTGCTCACCGACATCCCCGACGGCACTGTCAACAAACTCGCCTTTAACGGCGCATCGCAATAGCTGCTCGTCGAACAAATGACGGGATGAGTTCGCTGATGGATGCTTTGAGATGGCAAGGGAAATGAAAGCCCTCACTGCGAAACGGTATATATCGCATACATAACGGCCGTAGATCTATGATGTGATGTGAGAGCACCAAAAAAATTTACAGACAGGGGCGGGCTCGATAGTCTAGCGGAATGGAAGATGCTCCCGCGGGGGGTAATAACCGATACACTTGTTGCCGACTGACGTGCCTGTGATAGAAACCGTCTCCATCAAGATGTAATTGCTTCTGTAGTTTCTCCCCGATGTTTTTTTTTTCGGCCGAGGCATGTTATGTATCGTCCATCTTGGTCATGCCTTGTCTATAAATACCTCAGTTGTTTCCTATTTGGTGGATATGGCGACGCATGTTGAGGCTGACAAACACGAAAAGAGGGGACATTTCTCCTCTCTCTTCAGAACTTCGAAGTAATACAAGACTTCTCCTTTGCTTGAAGCTCTTCGGACCTCGGCCGGAAAGAAACTCGACAAACAAAAAGGACCATTGCCGCGGCCAAAATGGGCGTCCATCACATCGTCATGTTCCAGTTCAAGGCCGACGCCAGCCCCGAGGCCGTCAAGGGCGTGCGTGCGACCTTTTCTCTCTTGCCCTCTCTTGCCCCCTCACGACTCGATTGATAGCCTTGTACACGCTGTTGTACTTTACGGATTCATGATTCTGGCACGACTGACTCTCGCGCGAGACACAGGCGTGCGACGAAATGGTGGGCCTGGCAAAGGCGTGCGTTCACCCGGCGACGACCAAGCCCTACATCAAGTCGGTGACGGGCGGCAAAGACATTTCAATTGAGGGAATGCAGGTGCGTTAAAGGGACCTACCTGACCGAGGCGAAGGGTGTTTTTCTGAAGAAGGGAATTAAATGCAGAACGGCATGACGCATGCGTTTGTCGTCGAGTTCCAGTCGGTGGCCGACCGCGACTTTTACGTCAAGGAAGACGCGGCGCATCGGGCGTTTGTGGAGAAGTATGTCGCGGCGTCGGGGGCGGTGGTGGCCAAGGCTTTGGTGGTGGACTTTGCTCCCGGCGAGCTGTAGAATGGCGAGGGCGACGATGGCGAGGGCGATGGTGATGGTGATGGCGATGGTGGTGGTGATGGCGATGACTGATGGCGATGGCGATGGCTGATGGCGATGATGGGCTTGCCGATGATGATGTCGTGGCCTTGCTTTCGGCGACTGGAGGCAACACCAAAGACGAAAACAAGCTCGATATCGAGATACCTGCTCTTCTACCTGGAGTCCACCCCCTGTGATATCACTATATCTGATAATCATGAAGAGCTTCCGGCACTTGTCTATAGGTACAGGGTACTCGGGAGCTGCACGTGACACTGCCTCCCCCGAAAGGGAGCTCAAGCCCAGCTTCATTCCCATGACCAAAGCCCGAAACGTCACCGCCACCACCCCCCTCCTCCGCTGTGCCACACACCGTCCAGTCTTGCAGAGAGACTCTCCCCGCCCTCCCGACATGGCCTCCCGCCTGACCCCCTTTCCCTGCCGCCCGACCGCCGCCATCCGCCGCGTCCTCGCCAGCCGATGCTCGCCCGCTCTCCCTCGTCGCCTGTACTCATCCGAACCGCCTCGTCCCGACCCAAGTGGTGGTAGCTCTGGAGGCTCTGGCAACCGCAACCGGATCAAGTTTTGGCCCTTTGTGGGAATCATTGCTTTGGGCTCCGCTGGCTACGTCGCCCTAGTTAACCGTCGAAAGGGTAAGAAATGCTCCCTCTCAAGGAATCCCTCGGCGACGGCACGCGTCAAACACAAATCATCCAGACAAGGAGAGCGAACTGCGAGGTATAAACACAAGCAAGCACGAGCAATATGTTGACAACCTGGCTTCCCCCTCGTCGCGCAGAAATGCCTCCCGCAACAGAAACCCCCTCGCTTCCGGCCCCCTCCAAGCCCACGCCCGCCTTCTCGCCCGATGACGTGACCGTCGTCTTCGTCCTCGGCGGGCCCGGCGCTGGCAAGGGCACCCAGTGCGCCCGCCTCGTCGCCCAGCACGGCTTCACCCACCTCTCGGCAGGCGACCTGCTGCGCGCCGAGCAGGAGCGCCCGGGCTCGCAGTTTGGCGACCTCATCCGCAGCTACATCAAGGACGGCCTCATCGTCCCCATGGAGGTGACGGTCCAGCTGCTCGAGAACGCAATGACGGACGCCCTGCGCACCAAGCCCAAGGGCCGCTTCCTCATCGACGGCTTCCCCCGCAAGATGGACCAGGCCCACCGCTTCGAGGAGGCAGTCTGCCCCGCAAGGCTTGTCCTCTTCTATGACTGCAACGAGCGCGTCATGCAGGAGCGCCTGCTCGAGCGCGGCAAGACGAGCGGCCGCGCCGACGACAATGCCGAGAGCATCCGCAAGCGCTTCCGCACCTTTGTCGAGACCAGCATGCCCGTCGTCGACTACTACGACAAGCAGGGCAAGGTGGTCAAGATTGACGCCACCGCTACCCCGGACGCCGTCTTCGCCGATACGCAGAAGCGCCTCACCGAAAAGCTTGGCTCCTCCTTCTGATGCCGTCACGATCCCGCTGCCTGTTGGGTTCAAGCGTCCCCTCGAGTTTTGTAGCAAAGGGAAGACTAATTGTAAAAAAAGGGAACCAAGGAGAAAGAAGCAACGGCTGCCAAGGGCATAGAGGCATTTTCCACTGGGATAGAGGCGACGGAACACTCCGTTTGATGTATTTTTATAAGAAGGGTGGCTCGGGATTGTTTTTCCTTTTGTCGTCCGATGGCTGTGACCGGATCCCCGGTGAATCCATCCTGTTCACTCGCTAGCAAGTTCTCGGGTTCGACGGAGAAGCTGGGCAAACTTCAAAGTCTTGTCGGCTTCCAAGCCGCTCTGCGCCGCAATCGGCCTTGTGCCCGTGTCTTGGCGCCGTTTCCAGGCAACCCGTCCCGTTCCATTCATTGATTCTATTGACCGAGAAGCTGGCCCTCCCCTCCTCATGCTGGAAAATAGAAACATGTCATGCTCAACCGGCTACGCCATTCGCACCGTTCTTAAAAATACCCTGGAAAAAAAATTCGACCCCCTTTTCCCTTGGGCTGCTGGGGTCCCCCCCCTCTGAGCCAATGTATTCACACACAAAAGTTTCCGCGTTACCTGGGAGGTCGCTCAGTGCCTCTCGCCCCCTTCCGCGGCGACCCGCTCGTGTTCCTGCCCCCCTCGTTCCCCGTCGCATCATGCGCCCACTCAGTCGTCGTTGTCGGTCCTCTCGCGCTGCGGCAGCCGGCGCCCCGGGCCGCCCTGGCCCATGCCGGCGCTGTTCATCTTGCGCTCCAGCTCCTGCGTCTCACGCTCCTTCTGGGCCGTGGCGTTGGCCTGCTCCAGGCGCAGGACGCCGAGCACGTTCTGCAGCGTCGTCCGCCAGTGGTCGACGCGCGTGGCGAGCTCCTGGTACTGCTTCTGGCCAAAGACGCGGTACGTGACCTTGTGCACGAGGAACATGTCGCGCTGCTGCGACAGCTTGCCCTCGACCAGGCCGGCGCGGATGACATCAATGGCCCACATCTCGACGTCGTCCTTGGGCACCTGGAGGGCCTTTGCGATCTTGGCGTACTCGATTTCGCGGCTGGGCGTGGCGGCCGCCAGGCTGGCAAAGGTCAGGAGGCGCATCTTGCGGTGCAGCTTGTCGTGGTCCAGCTTCTGCTGCTCGATCCAGCCCTCGTGCTCCTCGTTGAAGTCGTCGTAGTCTTCGAGGTCCTGCTCGGCAAAGATGTCGAGCAGCTGCGAGTAGACGGGGTGGGAGTCGCCGAGGGCCTGCACGCTGGGGATGGAGCGCAGGTCCTGGAAGAGGAAGTGGGTGCTGGAGAGGATGGCCATCTTGGCGGCGCGGAGGGATAGTCTTTGGGCTTCCTCGGAGGTGATTTCCTCCTTGTCGTCCGAGTCGAACGTTCGTAGGGCCTTGAGGATGAACTCGTAGCTTATCCTGCAGGAGGGAGAGGTGTCAGTTTTCCTCGCTTTGAGACGTCAAGTTTCGGCATCATTCGCGCCTTGGCCAGTGGAACAACTCACTCTTCCTCGCCCGCCTCCAGGGCGACCTGAGCGACCTCGTCGTAAATCTTGCGCTCAATCTCCTCCCCGGTGCCCCAGATGTCTATCCACTCGGGCAAGTTGTCGAGGTACGGCCTCAGCGTGTCAAACATGCTGTGGGCCTTGAGGAACTTGAGAATCTCCATGAGGACGCGCGCGCGGATGGGGTCCTCGTGGTCAAGCAGATTGAAGACGGTCGTCAGCGCGTTGAGCGATAGGCCCGGCCCGTGGACGGGGGCGCTGGCGAGGGGCTTGGAGAAGTTGTTGCAGAGCGTCGGCAGGTACTTCTTGGGGTCGGCCGACTGCAGCACAAGGTGAATCATGAGGTTGGACGCCGCCGTGTACTCCTTCTCGGGCACCGTGCTGAGGGCCTGCGACGCGGCCACGAGCTTGGCGAGCACCTCCTCCTTGGGCGCCTCCTTGCTCAGCAGCTGCTTGGCCTCGTCGGCCTTGAGGTAGTCGGCCATCTCCTTGGCGAGCTCCTCGAGGGATCCATCGACGAAGAGCAGCTGGGGCTGGCCATTGCTCTTGGCGGCGGGCATCTTGGGCCTCGGGTCGATTTCCGTCGTCGCCGACCGCGCGCTTCTAGTCTTCGTCGTCGTCGTCGATGGATGAGTTGAGCGGGCCGAGCGAGAGGCGACGAGTCTGTCTCGCGGCGGTCTGCGCAGGCGGGAGAAGAGGGGGGGTCGGACTCGAAGAGCGGGAAAATCTGATGCTGGCCGACCCTTGGACACAGTCCAAACGCCCTCTAGTGGGGTTTGGGCCAGTAGCTGCTCGTCCCCGCGCCGAATTTTCTGCCGCGCCTTGTGTGTGGGAGCTAAGCGAGGGCGGTCACCAAGTCGGCCCGTCACGTGACGCCGGATTATACCGAAATGCACGTGCACATCTCCAGTCACTGAGGCAGGGAGGGAGGGACGTGACGTCCCCGGATCAGCCAAACGATGCGCGATCCACCAACTTCTCTTCACTTTTCTGCAGTCTTTGAAAGTCACCGCATCCAATGCTAAACCTTTAAATCGACACGAGTCCATCGCCCCTTGCAGCCTCTACATATACCCTTCCACCAAATGATGCTTCGGCAGTGAGAAAATTCAACCGTGTTCAAACCAAGTTCAGCGTAAAAGACAGCGCTGCAGCATCTTGTAGCCCAGCTTCTATGTACAACCCAGAAGATAAAGGGCGCTCTGTCCAAGAAACCCGAGCAACCTTGTCAACGATGCGCAGATATAGGAGCGAGGCATCAAGAAAGAATGAGCCTGGTGTCTAGGCCATGTACTCTGACATTCGCTCATCGTCCACGGGCCTTGCCCTTCGTTTTGGTTTTGGCGACTGCGTCGCCGACGGGATAAACACTTGAGCTATCGTCTGCAAAGAGTTGCTGGTCTCCCTTACCTCCCATCTCCATAAACTCTCCCGGGGCTCTCTGGCCGTCGGGCGCCGATTCCTTGGGTGTCTTGGTGACGGGGTGCTTATTCTTGGCGAATACTTTGACGCGGGCCCCGTCCTCCCCGGTGGGAAGTTGCGCGGTTACCTGCACTGAATTGAGCGATGCCAACAACGTTCTCTCGCGATTCGGCGCCCGGCGATTGACCTCGAGACCGGCTATGCCGCCGACAAGCCCGCCCGTGCTGTCGTTGACATTTTGCGCCTTCTGTGTCAGCCAAGGGTGCGACAGGCATTGGTCAATGGTGTGTCGCTTCTCCGGGTCCACGATGAGCATTGAGTCAATGAGGTCGACTAGATGGAGATCGCGTCAGCATTGTGCACGTCAGAGAAACAAGAGGTTCTGGCCGGCCACTCACGCGCCGGGTCGCCCACAGAGTCCCAATAGGGCGAGGGGTAGTCGAAGCGGCCGCTCCTGATCTGCTGCGATAACGTAAACGGGAAATCCCTCGAGTACAGCTCGTCGGAAAACGGAGGGAATCCGCAAAGACAAATGTAGAGAACGACGCCGAGGGACCAGATGTCGACCGCCTTTGTGTACTTGCGCTGCTTGGAATCGGCCAGGATCTCGGGGGCCACATAGCTAGGCGTGCCGCACAAGGTGGTCGTAAAGGACTCTTCGCCAATGATCTTGGCCAAGCCAAAATCGGCCAGCTTGACGCTCAAGTTCTTGTCAACCACGAGAATGTTCTCTGGCTTAATGTCTCGGTGGACAATGTTGCGTTCGTGCTGGACTCGGTGTCAGCGTCGACCTCGGTGCTCCTACGCAGTGCGGTGGAGCCTTACCAGATACTTGATGCCCTGGAAGAGTTGCTTGAAAAGCCGGCGCGTCTCGTCCTCGCCGAGCTTCTGCTTCATCACAATGTAGTTGAACAACTCGCCCTCGGGCGCCAGCTCCAACACCAGATAGACGCGATCGCGCTCGTTGAAAGTGTCCTTGAGACACAGGACGTTGGGGTGGCTGACACCCATCAAAACGCCAATTTCCTGCTGGAGCCCCTCGGTCTTGGACCGGTCTTCGACACCTCCCGGCTTGGTGAAGATCTTGACGGCATAGCGTTGACCAGAGACCTTTTCCACGCACAGGTACACTTCGGCAAAGTGGCCCTTGCCGAGCTTCTCCTGGAGCGTGTACTGCTGCAAGAAGCCGCTTGTCTGCCGGCTTTGGGGATAGCGAAAGACAAACCTCGCCTTGCCATGGACGGCGATTTCATCCTGGTCTTCGAGCTCTCGGCGCTGGTTACGACCGACAATGGCCTCGTTGACAAAGGTGCCGTTGCTGGACAAGTCCTCGACGATGGCGACGGCGTCGGTGCCCTTGTTCTCGGTGAAGAGGAGACAATGTCGGTTGGAGACGACCCCGTCGCCTACAACGATGTCTGAGAAGAGGTCAGCGTCTCAGAAGATCCCGGCTCGCGCGCGTCTCGACTCACCGCACTCGGGATGGCGGCCTATCAAGAAGCCGCCGGACGCGGCGCCCTTGATCTTTGTGCGCTCATAGGCCTCCTCCTCCCTGAGCGCGGCCGGCTTGGCATTCTGACCCGGGTCCTGGCCCTGCCCGTTAGAGGCGGCGGCCGCGAGCGAGTCGGGCAGAGGGCAGACGCTCCGCCTCTTGAGCACCAAGGGCTTGTCACCGTACTTGGGATCCAGAGGAACCAGGTAGCCCCAGACGCCCTCCTTGACCTCGTCCTCAACCTCGTCGGAGAGAGCCGGGTGACGATCGAGGTACTGGCTAAGGGGTTGTGTGTCTTGAGGCGGCGAGGAGAGGGTCTGGCCTTGAGCCCAGGGCTCGTCCGACTTGCGCGGGGTCACATGGTCGGCGTCGGCCCCGGGGGGGGTGGCGGTGGGCTCCTTGCACAGGTCGCTGGACGACTGCTCCGTCTGGTGGGTGACGGGAGAAGGGAGGTGCTTCCTGTTGGCGACGGGAGTCTTGTCCGGGGCGGCCTGGGAGAGGCGATCGGAACGTCGAGGCTTCTTGGACTCGGTTGCGTCCTCGGGCAGGGAACCCTGTGGGGTGAGCGCGGCGGTGAGCGGCTGGTACGTGCGTGGAGCCGGACGGGATGGCAGGGACGGACGGAAGGGGATCAAGGCGAACTCACGCGCGGACGCTTCAATTGGCTCTTCTCGGTGCGAGGAGCCATGTCCTCGGCGTCGCCCTCTTGGCTGGCAGCCGCGATTAGGAGGCAAGGTAATACGAGCAAAGGCAAATGCACAGAGGAGGAGAGGCGACGGCCGGAGAGGCGGGATGGGAGGCAAAGTAGAGGGACGCAGCGGGTGAGTGAGCCCTGGAAGCCGCCTTGCAATGCTTGTGTGTGCAGGCAATGAATGAATGAATGATGAATGGGGGAAGAAAGCAAGGCGGCCAGGGCAAGCTTGGTGCATGCCGTAGTGCATGTAACAGCGCGGGATAAGGCGTTGCTGGCTGCCGAGTACCCATCCCGTACCCATCCCGTACCCATCCCGTACCCCTCAGCCAGCAAACGGGGGGGTGCGATACTTGGCGGGCACATGCCATCAGCCTCTTTGGTTCTTGCCCACGCGCCTTGTCGGGGTAGCGTCCGTTGGCCCAGCTATCTTCTTCATTCAACTCACGCAACAGCCCTCATCCGCTAAACCCATCACCACGGGAGTCTGCCAGGGTGCTAGATGGCACGTACCGAGCCCAGTGACTAGCACGTTTTCAAACCTCTGATCGGGACATCTCTCACTTGGGCTATATTAGGCTCACATGGAGATCCTACACGCGTGAAATGTTGCATCATGGGCCTCCCAAGCCATCACCGGCCTTGTGCCCAGCGTCCAAAGTCACGGGGTAATGGCACCCATCGATGCCAGACATCTGGTAGCCCCGTCGTCAGGACACCGCCGTCAGGACACCGCCGTCAGGACACCGCCGTCAGCTGAGGCAACTATCTCGTGTCCCATCCATCACGTTTGACTCGGCCTCCCACGTCATCGGCCCGCAAGCCGAGACTCGCGCCCCTTCCTTCACCTCTCGCACCGCACCATCGGTCCAGGCGGATAATCGTGATAGCCTCTAGTACCTAGTACCTAGTACCTATCTATCTACCTACTTCGTGGAATAGTGCTGCATAGGTAGCCGAGTCGGCATCGCTTGAAGCCCGCTACTCTCCGACGCTAGCACACACTTCCCGGCTTCCATTACAATTAGAGACTACTTATCCATGCTGCTCACGACGTGCCCTTTCCAACCCCTTTCGAGCACTCTGCACCCTCGCCACAAGCCAAGCAGCTTCGTGCCTGCTTCCGAGCCAGTCGCTCGTGCCCCGTCATCAAATGAGTCGCCTTCCCGAGCCTCCAAACGCCAAGTTCCTCAGTTGAAGCCATCCAAGGCATACAATGCCTCGTGCTCCCTGTGCAGCGTCCCGCCTCTTACCCAAGGGTGCCGTCGTCATCGTCATAAGTAGTAGCATGTCTCATTACTCCCAGCCGTTTCTAGACTCCGAAACCGTGGCAGCTCGTGCAGGCGGTGGCATAGGGCCAAACCCGACAATCGATCCCAAAACCTGGCATCCTACTTCTCGGGGATCGGCGACTTTGCCAGCCTTCCACCTGCGCTCACTCGCTTCTGCAGCCGCGTTTCTCTTTCGCGCTGCAGCTTCTCGTTGTTGGGGGGCAGCGGCGGTAGTCCGTCGCTCGAGCTCACATTGCTTCTGCCGAGTTTTTGCTCGTAGTATTGCTGCGCAAAGCGCCCTAGCGGGAACGCCGGCAGCGATGCCGGGATCTCGGCCCCGTTCTGTATCAGAAGCTCGGCCACGGGAAACGGCACTGCCTTCGCCTCTGGGTCCGACGCGCTCACGCTTGGCGTCGGCGACGGCGAGGCTGGATCCGCCGCCGCCAGCGCAAGCCAGACGGGGTGTGTCCCTCTCATCTTGTCCACCACGTTGGGATTCGCTCTCAGTGCCAAGGCGTACAACACTTGCTGAATCTCGTTCTTCTTAATGGCGGCCAGCAACGTCTCGTCGGCCGTAGCATATCGCGACAGGGTCGACGAGATGGGTTCGACGAATGCTCTCTCCACATACTTGGCAGTGATGAATCGGAGTCGCTGCTCGCGCGTCGCCTGTGCACTCGGCTTGTTTGGCAATTCGACCTTGGCCTCCCAGACCATGTTGGAAACCCGGTTTCCGATGAGCAGAAGCACTTCGACGATATCGATGGTAAAGGACTTGATGTCCAGCGTGAGCGACCGCACTTTGCTGATATGCGTGCCCAGCGAGCGATGAATGCCGCTGCACTCGATGCAGAGCACGATGCCCAGGTTGATGGACACCCATTCGACCTTGGATCCGGACCCGCAGTCGGCGCACCAATAGTTCCCCTGGTCGGCGTCCCGAACCATTTGCAGCAATTTGTCGGGCTTTTCGTCGTACCCCGAGCTGGGCGTCCGCACCATGGTCGGTCTCGCCCCGACCGTGATTCGCCGCAATGGCAGACCGCTTCCGGCGCTGGAGTGATGATGCGGGTGGTGGGCGCCGTGGCTGAGTGACTGCGTTTTGCCTGTTAGGATGGAGCCGATGTCTCGCTTGACGGACGATTCTCCGGAACTCTTGCCAGAGCCAACCTTTTCTTGCACCGGTCTCCCCTCCATGGCGCTTTGCAATGCATTGTTTATCGAAACGATCCAGCTGTTCATATCTTCCTCTGACGTCGCCTGATACACGCGCTTGAAGCTTGGCGTGATGACTTCGAAGCAGAACCTCCGCTCAGCGTTGCGCGCCTCGCGAACCGACGCCATTCGAAGGTCGATGGGGTCCATGTGAAGATCGAGCCTCTGTTTCCAGTTGCTGTATTCTGACAGCTTACCTTGATCCAGGACAATCCAGAACCTGTAAAGCACGTAAGCTGCTCGCCATCATCGACCCGGTTCACCTCATCCACTCACTTATGCCAGCCTTGCTTGTTCAATGTGCGCGGGTCCACGTGCCCACCCGGCCTGTTGAGCGCCCAGAGCAGACCTTCTTTTCGTTGGGTAACGGCCGCTTGTGCCGCATCTCGCTCCTCCAGGTCGCGAATTCCCTTGAACTTGGACGCTTGTACAGGGCTGCCGACGGCAGGCTGTGCCAAGCTACCGGGAGACCTCGAGAGCTCCACGCCATGGCCGACATTCGCCTGGCCACTCCCAATCGCGATGGCGTTCTTAACTTGGGATCCCGTACTGTCCGCGCGACCGAGCTCCGAATCAGAGACGTTGCCGGCATTCCCATTCGCCGGCGAAACAATGGGGATCGAGCTGCCGATGCTCGCTTGCTCGGGCTCCATGTAGGGCGTATTGCTCTTCTCCAAGACGCGCCTCTTCTCTTCGCGTTCGCGGCGACGATACTGATATTCTTTGTCGGCGTCCTGGACTTCGCTTGAGAGGGCCTCGAGCTGTGGTAGGAATCCTTCAATCTTCTTGGCAGTGGCGAGGAAGCCCTTTGTTTGCGCATCAGCGTATTTGGTCAGGTGGGAAAGGACCTCCTGGTCTTTGCGACCGCCATGGAGGTCCTGCATGAAACTAGAATAGTCAAATCTCTTGAGCTCAAAGTTGCGCCGCTTGTTCTGGTACTTGGAGTCGCTCTCGGCAAGCTTCTTAGCCTTGACCGAGTCTTGACGTTGACCAAGATAGCGCGACACGTAGGCGTAGTAGTCTTTGCTCTCTTCCTCGAAGTCTCGCTTCTTGGACTCGGCCTGTTTGATGTCGAACTGGTAGAGCTTGTTGATGGGTTCAATGATGATCTTCTGTAGGTTGACAGTGTTTTGTCGCTCGTAGGTTAGGACTTCACGGGCAATCTTGTCAAAGTAATGTTCCAGGGCCGGCTGTACAGCGTTGGCGTTTGTCGCGGAAGCCTCGCGCAGGGCTTCCATGAAGGCAACAAATGCATCGTTGGCTTCGATCTGAGCCAGGTGAGCCTGTTCCGCTCGTTTCAAAACCTTCTTCATCTGTGTGCGCATGTTGCCTGTTTTCTGCTCCAGGGCTTTGAGAGTTGCGCGGAAAACGGGTCCGTCGTCGCTGACCGTGACATCGTCGCCAGGTCTGGGACAGGTAACATCCACCCTCACGGGTTCTTTGCCCAGCGGTGACACTGCAATTCCGATGGTGTCGTTCGGGGGCAGAAGTGGAGAGACTGGTTCGTCGACATCGACGCCACCAGTGAGTCGAGAGTCGACGGACTGTGATGAGGCAACGCGGATTTTGGGGGGCGCTGCCAGGAGGAAGGGCGGCGACGGCGAGCCGGGGTGGCTCAGAGCCGAGCTTGCGCCTGTAGAGGATGTCAACGATGCCTGTGACCTGATTCGTCCGTCGAGTAGACGCACTTGAAACCCAGTAGGAAAAGCTGGCGAGGGCGATAAGACGGTGTCCTCGCGAGTCGTACTCAACAAACTAAGCACAGCGTCAGCGTTGCGCGCCCATCGAGGTGGGGAAGCGTCAAGTAGCAGACAGCACGGGAGCAATCTTACACTGCAAGAGTTTCTCCAGCCGCCCCATCGGTCTTCCGAAGCCTTTGGGGGCCTCCACTTCCACGTCCACTCAAAGGATACCGAGGAGCTGCCGTTTGTGGTGTAGTCACCTACCAGGTCCACGTTTGCATTTTTATGAAGGTTGGGGTCGGCATGGAATTCTCGCGTGACAAGATTCTCGACTTCGCGCGTGGTGGAGGCGCAGACGTAGGTGAGACCTGAGATGTTTGTGTCTATGGGTACGGGGGTGGTGTCTGCGGCCGTCGCGTTGGCTGCAAGAGCCTGCTGCGACTGGCGCATGACAAAGGTAAAGGTGAAGATGAGCTCGTCATCGTTGCTCAGCTTGAGGAGGAAGGCCGGGGTCGAGGTAGACGGCTCGGGGTCCTGGAGGGCGAGGTCAGCGGCAACGGGCGCAAAGCGAAACGCATCGCGGGGCTGTTTGCGAGACGGACCTGGACGTATTCTATGGGGGCAGCATCGCCGACGGGCCGGGAGACGGATAGTCTGCTTGCTGGGAATGCATTGGAAACTATGTTGAGAGAGCTGCGCTTCCGCGGGTTCGTGACGACGAGAGACGAGATGGTCACTGTTTGTGAATGACGGTCAGCCTCGAGCCGAGCGCAGAGAGGGGGTTCGGAAGGACACGAGCGACCGAGGCAGGTAGCGAGACGTACATCGACTCTGGTCCCTGAGGAAGAGGGCGGCGCCGTCGTCGGGCCTGCTGCTGACGTTGCCCATGTCGACGAGGGCTGGGTGGCGACCGAATCCGACGATGGGGCCAAGCTCATGTACACACAGCGCGGGGCTTATGCTGTGAGCAAGAGGGCGGGCGTCGTCATTTGGGGGGGACGGGGTTGCGAGCAGAAGCTCGAGCGGGTAGCAATGAGCAGCAATGAGCAGCAATTAAGGGATGCGGTGGTGGTGGGCGGCGGGCGTCGACAGCATCTGACCGAGCGGATGCGAGAGGACAAAGGGGAGCGGGCGGGATGCGGCATCTGGGGGATTGCTCACGGGGGACGAGGCGGGACGGGAGGCGCAGATCTGGTTGTATCGGGCGACTTTTGGCCACGCGCCGCCTTTTGGGGGAGTAATCAAACATGCACTCCTGATTTTCAAACATGCACTCCGACTTAAACCCCATTTGGAAGAGAGCCCCACCAAAATTTGGCGCGGCGCGTTCCCAACGCCGTGGCCGCCGCGGCTTGCCGCCGGCGCCAGGCCACCTCTGCACACACGTTCGTTCGTTTTGAAGCCATCGTTTTGAAGCTATCACCAACTATTCAGCACACCACACCAACGCCGCCACCGCCGCCGCCGCCTACCGCACAACCGTCACGATGAATTCGACCGATCGCAACATGAATACAAACAGACGATGCCCTCACTTCCACAGGCGCCGCCGGCTCACAGGGTACTACGTAATGCCACCGCCTACAACACATGTGCCTGTATACACACAGGCGCCGCCGGCGGCATCGTACGTCTACCCGATGCCACCTACGCCCTCACAGTGGCAGCAGGGCCGCCCCCTCGGCACAGGGACATCACGATAGCTGCCTGTGGGCACAGCCGCCGGTACAGTCGCAAGGGACGGCAAGGAGCCTGCCCGACAGCCAGGGGATCAGAGGACACGGCGCCATACAATTTTGGTAGGCAGGCCGGGCATACGTTCGTCCCTTACGTGCCTCGTCCTCCGCCGCGTCAGACGGATCAGACGGATCCTACGGATCCTCCGGCACCGTCACAGTCATAGTCACGGCGTTGATTGATCTCACGGGCGGTAGTCAAAGGTGTGCACATTGTATATATATCGGAAAATAGGTCGGGCCGGGCGTATTGATATATTTGAACGACTCCAAGGAACGCAGCTTCCAGCGTTGGTGATAATTAAATGCTGATTGAATGCGACCGGGCGGCAGCCGCGGCGGCCACGGCGTTGGGAACGCGCCGCGCCAAATTTTGGTGGGGCTCTCTTCCAAATGGGGTTTAAGTCGGAGTGCATGTTTGAAAATCAGGAGTGCATGTTTGATTACTCCTTTTGGGGATTGCACCTGCTTGCAAGGAGGTTCCTTCCCCGGGGAGCCACCAGGCGCGTGGCTGTACTTTGGTTGGTCTGGTGTGGCGGCGACAAGGTACCTTGGCCCAACGCCCTGGGAACCGGCTACGCGAGGTACCCTGGGCACGACGGGCGCGGGCAGCCTCGTGTACCTCTGCATTGCGTCAAAGGCACCTGCCCTGCTGCCTATCTTGCTTGGCTGGTTATGGCTGGTAGGGCGGAGTAACCTACAGTACGGGGCAGATTGCTAGGAGCGCGAGGCATGTCTCACCCAAGTCAAGCTCTCCGCCTCGACTACCCCGTACAAGGGACCTTTGCTGGGGCCCACGATCCGAGGTGACTTTGGGCAAAGATTAACCCACAGCCGTGCTGGACAAGCTTAACATTACTCCTCCAAGTGTGACCTCTTGTCTTGGCCAGGATGGAACGTGTGGTTGTTGATGTCCCCCAACCGGTGCATTGACGGCAGCGCTGAGCCGGACACCTGCGTCAAGGTAATGGGTCCTGTAAGGGTTGAGTCGCTGGAAAAGGCAAAAGGGCTGTGGCTGCAGCTCGTCCGTCTATGTATAGCAGCAAAAGCTTGTTTGCGCCTCGCTGTGTAGCACCGACGAGGCCCTAGGCACAAAATGATGTAGGACAAGGTGCCCCACGAAGGGTACGACGCATGGAGAGCAACAGGGTTTCTGGATCTGGCGAAGCCATTGCCGTGCTTGTACTGCCATCTCCATGGCCTCGTAGGGAGGAGGTATGTAATCTTGCATGGGAACCGGCTCTGTTCCCAGGCTGCCAGGGTACCGAGGAGCTTGCTGGCCCGACTCATACAGAGACAGGCCGGTTCTGAACAATAACACCTTGAGGCTTCAAGTATAAGCCGTCTCAACTTGCCCGTGACGACATTGTACCGCTGGACCACGACATGGCACGATCCATCGGGGTATTGCGTCCTGTATGACTTGAGCCTTCTGCACATGGTGCGATCCCGTCTCGGCAAAGTCATCTGATGGGGGTGTTGGGGTCGAATGTCGCTACCAGTAGCGCGTGATGGTTTCTTTGTCCCTGGGGTTGACAATGCAGGCGGGAAGAAAGACTTTGCGCCGTGGGCAGCAGGGGCGTGACGCCAACAAGTGACATCCGAGAGAAAGCTTGCATGGCGTCGTGAGGCGCAAGGGTGCGAGTTCCTGCAACTCGGTTGGGGCGAGGAGACGGGTTGGCCTCTTACTGCCACGAGGCGACGCTCAAAGGCACTATCATCAGCAAGACTTGATAAGCGCTCGTGCATCTTCTCCGCGTTTGTGCCGCGATGCGTTGCCATGCGCCCGATGCTACCCCGGACCCTCTGAATTCCGGCGCCCGACCGGATGTAAGTAGGTAAGTACCCAAGGCACTTAGCAACTTGGGCCTAGATTGCATTTACGGCATATCAGTGTGTTGTTCGCCGACCCGAGGAAGTCCCACTAAGCAAGGCACTTGCTGCTGGTACTCCGTGCTGCCTGCGGAGTACCTGCACCTTGAGCAGAGGAATCCCTTTCCTAGCCGCCGCAGTTCGGGTGGGAAACCCCCCTACAGAGTACATGTCTGGGCAATGAGACCGACCTCGGCGCACGAGCCAGGTGGACGACTCTCTTGACCTCGTTGTGGCGCTTTGCGTCTTTGTTGCCAGCGCGTTGCTCTGGCAGAAGCCACCTCAAAACAATGCTTCACTCTCCCCGAGTAATGCGGCCTCGGTCGGTGCCTTGCCCAGTCAGGTATCCAAACTTGGCTACCCAAAGCACCCCAGCCAGGTAAATAAGCAGCAGAAAAAGTGTTTTGTCTTGTTTTCCTGTCGTTTCGTGTTTCCAGAGTGCCTGCGCTCGGATGGCATGACGTCGAGACCAACTCCGTCCCTTGGCGCCGCGATTGCTCCCCATGTACCGATCGGGTATCCAATCGTCCGACCATGGCTGCCGGGGGACGTGACGGCTACCTCGTTGTTTATCAACAGCTGTCGACGACCTTCCCACCACGTACGGGCATTCGTAGCCCAATCAAGCCAAACCCCATCTACACTCTCGGCTCCCTCTCTGTCCACTACCGTTTCATGCTCGACTCCGCCAGACCACTTGCCGCCACATATATTCTCCTCTCGTGCCATCGTCGCACCCGCCGCCGCGTCCCCGTCGCCAACATTGCCCTGACTGTCTCGCCAACACCCACATCGGCTCGCTGCGACCCCCGACCGCAGGCGTTCCTGGTCATGACCCAGTGCGTTCGAAATCGCCCGAGGCATCACCCCGCCGCCTGAAGCCGCCTTCGACATGTCGACGTCTTCTCGCCAGTCGTGGCAGCCCGGCCGCCGCTTCAAGCACCGAAGCAAAGACTCGGGCAGGGTGCGCGCTCCCTCGCGTGCGCGCTCCCAGCTCCTCGTTGTCGAGCACGACGAGGCCCGCAGCTTCGCCCTGCGAACCGCCTACCTCCACTACCTGCTGCAGCCCAAGGCCAAGCGGAAGCAATACGTTCCCGCCCCCCGCCAGCCTGCGCGATCGCACACGAGTGTTGGACAGCTTGTCCAGGAATATGTCTCCGGCAGCTCCTCCAGCCTCAAGCTTCCGCATAGCTTCGCCGGTCAGCTGCTCGACCGGGTCAGCGGCGTCTTGAGGGGCAGCGAAACGCTCCCCGGTTTCAACGACGCGGCCGTCAAGCGGAGTTTCGCCGAAGCATATACCGCCTTTTCCGAAAAGGCCTTCCGCAAGACCATGGAAAAGGAGAGAAAATTCGAGCCTCTGGTCCTCATTTTCTACTCTGCCGCCACAAAGGCCGCCCAAAAGGGACGCGCCCCCGACGACGACTCGTGGAAGTTCCTTCCCGACCGCCACCTAGCCTTGTTCGTCCGCCTCGCCGCCCACATCTTGCGACAACACGGCCACGACCGCGACCGGCCCGAGCTCATGTCCAGGGTTCAGTCGTTGGAGAGCAAGCTTCTCACAAACGATCAAAATCTGGCAGAGACGGGCTCCGACGGAGCTGGCACCACTGTCGAGGTGGTCGTGCCCTTGAGCTACGATGTCAAGGACATGCCCATGGTCCAGGTCGTGGCTGCCATCTTTGGTTTGAGCCTCTCGGACGTGCAGGCCGAGATCAACGACAACCGCCCCGTCTGGACAGAAGAGGCCGCTCTGAAGGACCTCAAGGCATACCAACTTCGACTCAACTCGGACAAGCCCGGTGCCCTGAGGAGCCAAGACTTTGGTAGCCAAGACGGCTTCAACGAATGGAAGAAGTCCGAGGCGCCGCATCTGTCGCAGATGATGCTCGACATCCTGACCGCCAAGCCGGAGCTGGCCAAGAAGGCGGCCAGCCGCGTTGAGAAGCCCCTACCGAGTCGGCCGCAGTCCGTCTACGAAGATGACCAGGCGTGCGCGAGCCCGAGCCGGCCCCTCTCTCTCTTTGGGGAGGGGATGTTGGGGTTCGACCCAGCCCTCGGCCTCAGCTCTTTATCCATTGATGCCGAGGCCGGTGGCACCAGGGCTGTCGAGGAACCCATCTACACCTTTATTCCCCCAGATCCCAGGGCATTTTACAAGTACATCCTCCAGCATGCCATGGCCTTTGACCAGCTCCATGCCGGCCCGGAATTGGACTACCAGCCGCTCTCCAAGCAGTCCATGGAGCTGATGACGGAGCTCTGTGTGCGATGGCGCGTGCCTCAGTCGGCCCGACTGATTGCTCCCCTCGAAGTAGCGGCCCGCAAGTTCCTGGACCGGGAGATAGTTCCCACCGAGCTGGATGCCATATTCGACTTCGTCAAATTGCCATTGCCCGAGGCCAAGAAGCCTCCTCACATATCCCAATACTCGGCGCCCCTGGCCGAACTCGACCCGAGCCGATGGACAGTTTACGACTTCGCCGTCTATCAGCAGACCCTGCAGGGCCTGCACGACACGCTCCTGCGCGAGCTCTACGATCTCATGGAGAAGTGCTATGATACAAAACCGCCAGACATTGCCGCCGTCATGTTCATTCTGGACAGTCACATTGGCAGCGATCCAATCTTCACCCCCAACCCTTCCGCCCAGGCCGAGTTCACGGGTCATCTGGAACAGGGCCTCGCCCAACGAGCCGCAGACGTCTACCGGGACTACATGGAGAAGGAGATACCGGCTCACAAGGAGGAATGGGAATTCGGCCACATTGTCAATCTGGGCAAGTCGGTCACGAAGCTATGCGATCGGATCCGGAAGCGGTACAAGAAGAACCCCTTGATTATGGGCGTCAACCCGCTCGAGATCTTCGTCGCGGAGGTGCTCCCCAGCTTCGAACAGGATGCCGGTGCGATTATCGAGGCCATAATAGGCGGCGCTGGCGAGAAGGGCGACGAGATTGCCATCCAAGATGGCTTCGAACTGTACAGAGAGTTGGTTGAGATCCGCCGTATCCACCAGGAATCGCTTCCCGACGTCCCGTTTGCATTCAACATCGAAGACAAGCTTGCTGGCTTCGTGTGGCGCTGGATTCGCAATGCGGAAGCGAAGATGGCAGAGTTTGTTAGCGAGGCCATCAAACAGGACCAGTTCCAAGTACGGCCAGAGGGTCCGGACCAGATACCCCAGGACTCCGAGCGGCATAGCGTATCCGTCATCGATCTCTTCATGCTCTTCAACCAGACCGTCGACCAAGTCTTTGCGCTGCAGTGGGACAACGACGAGCATCACGCGAGGTTCATGACGGCGCTGGCACGAATAGCCGCGTCGGGCATCGGTCATTACTGCGACATTGTCGAGCAGCGATTCGCCAAGGAGATGGACCGCCTGTCGGCCGAAGAGTTGGCGTCGCAAACAAGAACGGCGCAGGAGAAGTGGATGCAGATGGCAAAAGACGCGTGGAGCACCAAGGAGAAGCTTGAGCCATTTCAGTTTTATCCCGAGGTAAGTGACATTGAGTCGGTGACCATATCCGCAGGTGGCTGACGCTCAGGCCACAGTCCTTTGTGAAGCTCAACAACGTTGAGTACGCCATGCAAGAGCTTGACAAGTTGGAAAAGAGCATGAACTCGGAGGCATGCGCCATGGTGCTGGAGCAGGTTGACGGCCCAAAGAAGACGACGCGCAAGCCCAGTATATATACCTTTACCATCAAGGTTGTCGAGGCCGAGGACCTCAAGGCTTGCGATCCCAGCGGGTACAGCGACCCCTACATCGTCTTCGGCGACGAATATCAGAAGCGCCTGCACAAGACACGAGTCATATACCGCAACCTCAACCCACGGTGGGACGAGTCCTTTGATATCACTGTGCAAGGCCCGGTCAATGTCATAGCGACCGCGTGGGATTACGACACCTTTGGCGACCACGATTATGTGGGCCGCACGTCGCTCAAGTTGGACCCAGTGCACTTTGGCGATTACCTCCCTCGCGAGTTTTGGCTCGATTTGGACTCGCAGGGCCGACTACTGATCAGGGTCAGCATGGAGGGGGAGCGAGACGACATAGAGTTCCATTTCGGAAAGGCCTTTCGCCACCTCAAGAGGACGGAAAGGGACATGGTAAGAAAGATAACGGACAAGGTACGTGCAAGGCGATGCCCCCGCCCCTGGTCCAGCGTAATGGCACACCTACTTATGCTCGCGCAGCTCACATCGCAGATCAACGCGACATTGTCCCACGAGACGCTTCGGAGTCTGCTGGGGACAGGCGGCATTGGTGCTTCGGTGACGAGCCTGTGGAAGAAGCGAGCATCGACCATACCCGTGACGACGCCGAGCCAGATTGAGGGGGCTCTCACGCCTCTGTTTGCGTACTTTGACGAAAACTTTGCCATTATGAAGCAGACGTTGACGGACGCCACCATGACGGCCGTCATGGCGCGACTTTGGAAGGAAGTGCTGATGACAATGGAAAATCTCCTGGTGCCACCTCTTTCGGAGAAGCCGTCAGCCAAGAGGCCGCTCACTCGCAAGGAGCTCGACGTGGTGTTTCACTGGCTCGGGATGCTCTTTGCCTTTTTCAATGCCAGGGACGAACAGTCCGGGGAGCAGCTGGGAGTGCCGGCCGAGGTGCTCAAATCGCCTAAGTGGCACGACTTGGCATCGCTCAACTTCTTCTATTTTGAGGACTCGCCCAGCCTGATCCGCGAGTCGGAGCGCATGGCGTCGACGGCGGCGCAGCAGGCGCAGCAGGCTCTGCAGCGGCAGGACGCGCTGCAGAACCGCATGTCGGCGCCGGCGAGTTTCGGGGCCAGCATGGGCAACGTCGGCGCGTTTGCGAGCATGGGGACCATAAGGCGCGGCAAGAGCATCATGATGAGCCGCAACCTGGGGACGATGCGCAAGGCCAAGGAGGCGAAGCGGCGGGAGGCGCAGGCGGACCCGAGCGACGACATGATTCTGCGTATTCTTCGCATGCGGCCCGAGGCAGGGCAATACCTCAAGGAGAGGCACCGTCAGAAGGAGCGGCAAGCGGCGACGGCGGCGGCGGCTCTGATTGTGAGGAACAGCGTCGTGCAGGGGTGGAACACGGGGCTCGGCAACACGACAACGGGACAGCTGGGGCGGAGGAACCTGCCCCGACGATAGGGAGCAAAGGGTGAGGAGACGACATGCCGCCTGGCCGGGCTTGGTTGAAACGAACAATCAGGGGCAGCGCTTTCAGTTGGGCGGGCCTCTTGGTCATTGATTCTTTTGGCTAGGTGTAGTGGCATCAGATACCCCTACGAGAAAGAGAGCACTGATAATCCTAATGGGGAGACGACTTTACGAGAAGGGACCGCATTGCATGGTTATGGAGGAGCTATCATTGTTAGCGCTGCGAGAATAGGAGAAGAGGAGTGAATGCTCCGTCTGCTGGCTTGGAGAGAAGGCATGTCAGTGAGCGAGTGGTCAGCTGCCTGCGCCACAGCTTGTCTCGTGAAGGCGGCGCACGCATGCATGGAAGCAGCTTTGGGCCAGTCGAGTCGAGTCCCGCCCCCCCCAGATGCATACTGTGCATGCATGCGGTTCAATCCCGAGATGCGATGGCTGCCGTCGACCCATGACCTTTCTCTCCCTCTCTTGTCCGGCCCGCGCCGTCCGGTCCAGACCCCGTCGCCCTTTGATGGGATGCATTCCAGAGACGTGGGGGGTGTGAATGGGGTGAATGGGGGGTGTGAAAGGGGCGCGAGACAAGACCCTTTGGGCTACCGGTTTGGCTTTTGCATCCCGAAGACCCCGAGAGACAGCTCTACCGGTACTATCACTCTAGCGCACGCAAGGTTGGATGGAAAAGATGGGCTTTGGGCGTATGTACGCATTGCTGGGCGCAAACTCGTACTTGGTAATTGTGTGTTTCCCTTGCTTTTTCCCTCGTGGCCAAAAGATGAGACGGCCGAGTTTCGTCTTGCGGGCAAATGCATAAGCGATATCTCCGGGAGAAGAAAAAAAACGGCGGCAAAAGCATCGGATATAAGGGCGTGTAGTGCATGAGCTCTGTGCCTGCATCCAAAACCGCCTCAAAACGGCCGTTCGAGTGGTACATACAGCATGGCTGATGCAGTGTGAGGCACGCGCCGTTGCCGCCACGAGCGAGCGAGCGTTGGGGCAAAGGAAGCAAATCCAGGCCATCGGAGAGACAGAGTCAAAAAGGTGGCGGGCTTGCCGAGACAAGAGGGCGCCGTTGCATGGCGACTGGAAGAATCCGAACGGTGGCGCCCCCTTTCCTATCGGGACTCTTTTCTCGGGGAGAGAGAAAAAGAGAGAGAGGCAGAGCCGCGTCTGTTTGGCCGTTGCATCGGGCCAACGTGCCAGGCGGCTTGGTGTGGAGATGGGTGATGGGTGGTGGGTGGGCGACCACTGTAGCCAACGTAGCCACTGTAGCCACTGTAGCTGGGGAGCAGTTGTTTCCCCGCGTCCGACTACAGTACCGCCAACGCTTATGTAACCTAGTACTTGCCGGTCTCTTGCAGCGCATACCTACTGTACCTACCTACCTACCTAGGTATTATTGATTCTCTACTGTACCGATTGACGTTGGAGTCCACCTCGTACAGTGCCTATACAGTCCACGCGCGTCGACGTTCAAAGCTGAACCTCGTTCGGACAACGCGTCATGTGCGGAAACCCTTGTTCATCTTGCAAAGAGAGCCCCCGGCACCGCAAGGGTCCATGGCCCGGAAAAAGGGGCCTGGCGACGCAGGTACGGAGCATGCAAAGTACGTACATGAAGGTACCTGGGGCACCTACCACCTCAGCCAGGGCCTCGGGCCTCGGGCCTCGCTCAGTGTTGCGGCACTTTCTCACTCTGCTGTCCGGCCTACCAGCAGATTTCACAATGGCCTTTTCCTTCGGCAGGGAGAGGCGGAAGCTTGTTAGCAAGAGGGGCAGCATTCATCCAATGGTGCACATCCTCGGCGTCTTGGCATGGCCGGCGCCTGCATGCAAGAGCAATGGATGTACAGTAAATACTCATTTGCTCTACAGTAGACCAGTGAGAGAACATGGGCTGATTGGCGCAGAAAACGAGAGGCAGAAAACGAGAGGCCGAAAACGAGAGGCCGACGCCAAAGGGACGAATCAGGTCAGCGGCGAGCGGTGACGTTGGCGGCTGGTCCCCTCCCCGCTCCCCCACAGTGGGAGAATAAATGAGAGTCGTGGGCAAAGTATGTACATCCAGCGGCGAGGCAAGTTGCCGTTGGTGCTGCTGCCCGTGGGACAATGGATGGATGCAGATCGGGACATCGTCGACGGCTTCTTCTTCTCGAAGCCGTTCAAGTGTACAGTACATACAGTAGACGCAAGACTCGGGCTGATCTGTACTTCAACCTACTACCTAGGTAATGAAGTAGGTAGGTACCTACCTAGGTAGGTAGGCACCTAACCAATACATACCTAGGTACCTAGGTATTATCCGTTACACCTCAAAGTACAAACGCAGGCCACACCAAGCCAGATCAGGCAGTTGTGCAAGATTAGGCCAGACTCGAGAAGCAGTCCTCGCCACGACAAGTGGGGAGAGAGGCAGAAGCATTAAAAGGTTCGAAATTGCCCGCCATGTCGGCCGCGTACGCATTTGGCCTCTTTGCCCAGCTCGCCTCGGACGCTGTTGTCGCCCTCCCGCAGCCACCTCAGCCGTGACTGGCCTGCCTGCCTCTCAGCAGTTCACGCAACCAAACCGTCGAAACCGCACCTCCGTCGGCCATGGCCTGAAGTAGAAAGGGCCGCAGATGGAAGCCAAAAATGAAATATGGGCATCCACGGCACAGTGTGCACGGCGACGTAGGTGCGAGTCAAGGGGACGGGGCATCGAAGTTTGTCGTGTTAGTGTAAAGCAAAAGAGTCAAATCCCATGAGGGCTTATCCCTCAGCCTATATGCCGATGGACTGATTATACCCATGAGTAGATCTTTCAGAGGCTGGATCCCCATGCAAAGGGCGATGCCAAGGCTCTAGAATCAATGTGCGCCTGGCGATTAGCCAGCCGTAACTTAGGCGGACCCAATAATCGAAAACGAGGCACTTTTATCCTCCACCGGCAGGCAATGGGACGGAACAGTCCGTAAGGTGTACCGTAGCCGTAAGGTGTAGCCGTAAGGTGCAGCCCTAAGGTGTAGCCAGCATACCTACGTACCTGCCCGGGGGACGTGCCGCTCGTCGTGTCGAGGTCGATTGGCTGGTTGGCCGGATGGTTGGTGCCGCGAGGCCATGTGACGGGCTAGTCCAGCGGCAGAAGCAGCCCAGCCCATTAAGCAGTTGGGGCGCGCCCCCTTTTATTGCTCGTCTGTCGATGCTTGTTTGCTCGATGCGGTATGCACATACAGTACGAATACGACGTCTGGTCCAGGGAACATCTTCCACCGCGAGCCCCGCTACAGAGAAGTTCCAGCGATCCCCTTCCCCCCTCCCGCCTCCCTCTTTCCCTTTCTCGAGGTTGTGCGCACACGTCGACACGGTCGCGAGCATGACACGCCCATGGGAGCCCCGATCGATCAATTCAAAGTCCGGTTCGTATTGGCGCTAGTGTCGTCACAGGCCCAGCGCGGGGCTCCACGGCACGGGCGCCTGACTTGGCAGCTTGGCTACGGTCCAGAGCGCCCGCGTCTCCTTTTTTTTCTTCCTTTTTTCCCTTTCGTTGAAGGCGTTTGTTCCCTCCATCTCTCCACTCCCCCTTCCATGTAGAATCTCGCTCGCCTCGTCTTCCGGCCGAGGGGAACGGGAAGAGAGGGCGAGGGGCGTGAACAAGGGGGGAGGCTTGTCGGTCCTGTAGATCAGCAGGCTGTCCGTCTCCCGCTGCAGTTGTACAAAATTTAATAGACCAACGAGTGTCGTGCTTCGGTTTCTTAGCAAGTCGTCCTCTTAGGACCTCATGGACCTCATACTACGGATACACAAGGCTTCAAGTCTTCTTCTTCTCCTCCTCCTTCATTCGTCATGCCGCCCTCTGTTACTTTCTCTTCATTTCCTTTTTCTTCTCTGCCTCATCAGCCATGAATCAAGCCGATACCTACTAGTAATTAGTCGTCGTCGTCGGTGCGCTGTGGCCGACTGGACTGGGGTACAAGAGGAGCGTGGCGGAGTGGTGCAGATTGGGGTAGGCTGGTACTTGTCTGCTCCCGACAAGGTACATGCGTCTCTACCAAGACGCACAGGCACCGAGGTACCTGCCTCGGCCCCAGAGGTACCTGCTGGGCACCAACCCGCAAGCCAGACAGCGCTGAGTGGTAAACCAACGGCGCTTCTCCTCCCGGCCAGCCCCAAAATCCCCCGCCCCGCTCCCCAGCAGGTCAGTACGGTAAGTAAGTTACTACCTGTAGGTACCCTCTCCCCCATCCCAGCGCCCACAGGTACCAGGCAACAGGTTGTAGCGCCCAAAGTCGCACCCTGCCGTCTCCCTCCCTCGACCACTTCCGCCTCGAATGGACTACCTCGCTTTTTCGCTTCGTCCCTTTCTCTCCTCCCTCACCCATTCTCTCTCCTCACCCCCCATTCCCAACGCCCCCGTCTCGCTGCTTGGCTCGAATCGTCGGTGACCGGTCTGTCCAACCCAGGACCAGCCGCGCGATCCATCATCGCCATCAGCCTGCTCTGTGCGCTGGCTCTTCTGCCGACCCCTGGCCCCTTTGCTGCTGGTCCTCGTGTCTGTCGGCGCGCGCCATCTTCCTTCTACCAAATACAGCCTCAGCTTTTTTACCTCGCCACCTCTCCCCTTTCCGCCGATCGAATGATGCCGGGCCACCTGCCTGAGCTTCTTTGACCTCTGTCCGTCTCGGCTCGATTTTGCATCTCCTCGCCCGCCTCAGCCACCCCCGTCCCCACGCGAGGCGCCTGTTCGCGTCCATCGCACGCTCCTCGACTCGACGTTTAATCCGCTCTTCTAGACTGCTCTCGTCCTCTCCCCTCCCCGCTACCTGTTGACCCTCCTAAAAATCTCAACACGCTCGCCCGCCTATTCCGTCGTTGGACTGCCGGCTTTGCAGTCCCGCCCGTCGTCGGCGAAATGGTCGATGACGCTGCCCTCGCGGCGGCGGCCGAGGTCGTCGCCTCGCTCGCGGCCGACCAAAAGTCGTCGTCGTCTCTGGCCGTCGGTCTCGGCGCCCCCATTAAGCTTCCGGGACGCGAAACCCCTGCCAAGAGGAGCCTCGAAATCGAATTGCAAAAGCTCGCCCTCCGTGTCGGCCAGCTCGAGACAAAGGCCTCGGCCTCGGCCTCGTCCATCTTCCCCGAGACGCCAAACGAGGTTAGCGACTCTCTCTTTGGCGTCGAATCTGGCCCCAACAGACCCGTGGCCTGCAAGCCAAAAGCGACCCCCGCCCATCAAGGTAGCTTGGACAGCCCGACCCTTGTGCCTCGCCAGCTGACCAAGGAAGCGCTGGAAGGACTGCGAGACCACGTTGACGACCAGTCCAAGCTCCTCGACAGTCAACGCAGGGAGCTTGCTGGCGTCAACGCCCAGCTGCTTCAACAAAAGCACTTACAGGAACGTGCCCTCGCGGTCCTTGAGCAGGAGCGCGTCGCGACGCTCGAGAGGGAATTATGGAAGCACCAAAAGGCAAACGAGGCCTTCCAAAAGGCGCTTCGCGAGATTGGCGAAATCGTCACCGCCGTCGCTCGCGGCGACTTGACCATGAAGGTTCGCATGAACACGGTCGAGATGGACCCCGAAATCACAACATTCAAGCGCACCATCAACGCCATGATGGACCAGCTGCAGATCTTCGCCAGCGAGGTTTCGCGGGTCGCTCGTGAAGTCGGCACAGAGGGCTTGCTGGGCGGACAGGCTCGCATCGGCGGCGTTGACGGCACATGGAAGGAGCTGACTGATAACGGTGCCGTCTCCGATTCTCACCTCTTGTCGCAGTACTCACAGCTAACTCTTTGGCCTTTTGCAGTGAACGTTATGGCGCAAAATCTCACCGACCAAGGTAAGCGCCCCGCGAGAAACCCTGCTATCGTTTCGGGTCGGTCGTCTAACACGATTGGATCCATAGTGCGCGAAATCGCGTCCGTAACGACAGCCGTCGCCCACGGCGACCTGACCAAGAAAATCGAACGGCCAGCAAGGGGCGAAATCCTCCAGCTCCAGCAAACGATAAACACAATGGTGGACCAGCTGCGAACGTTTGCCTCCGAGGTGACGCGCGTGGCAAGAGACGTCGGGACAGAGGGCATTCTCGGCGGGCAAGCTGACGTCGGGGGTGTGCAGGGCATGTGGAATGATTTAACCGTCAACGTAAACGCCATGGCCAATAATCTGACAACCCAGGTGCGCGACATCATCAAGGTCACGACAGCCGTCGCCAAGGGTGACCTCACCCAAAAGGTCCAGGCCGACTGCAGGGGCGAGATTTTTGAGCTCAAGTCCACCATCAACTCCATGGTCGACCAGCTGCAGCAGTTCGCCCGCGAGGTCACCAAGATCGCCCGCGAGGTCGGAACCGAGGGCCGTCTTGGCGGCCAAGCCACAGTGCACGACGTCGAGGGCACGTGGAGAGATCTCACCGAGAATGTCAACGGCATGGCCATGAACCTGACCACGCAAGTGCGAGAGATTGCCAAGGTCACGACCGCGGTGGCCAAGGGCGACCTGACTAAGAAGATTGGCGTCGAGGTCAAGGGGGAGATTTTGGAACTCAAAAATACAATCAACCAGATGGTGGACCGTCTCGGCACCTTTGCCGTCGAGGTGAGCAAGGTCGCCCGCGAAGTCGGCACCGAGGGTACCCTGGGCGGCCAGGCTCAAGTCGCCAACGTCGAGGGCAAATGGAAAGACCTGACCGAAAACGTCAACACTATGGCCTCGAACCTGACGGTCCAAGTCCGAAGCATTTCCGCAGTCACACAGGCCATCGCCAATGGCGACATGAGCCAAACGATTGATGTTGAAGCCAACGGAGAGATACAAGTCTTGAAGGAGACCATCAACAACATGGTTGAGCGACTGTCGAGTTTCTGCTACGAGGTGCAGCGCGTGGCAAAGGACGTGGGCGTCGACGGGAAGATGGGCGCCCAGGCAGACGTCGCCGGTCTCGATGGCCGCTGGAAGGAGATTACGACAGACGTCAACACCATGGCTAGCAATCTGGTACGTGGACCCTGCGCCGGGCTTGGTTGCGCCACATGCGCAGAGGCCCGGAGGAGCGCTCTGAGGCCATGACACTGATCGCATACAGACGACGCAAGTGCGTGCCTTTTCTGACATAACAAATCTGGCCACGGATGGCGACTTCACCAAGCTTGTGGACGTCGAGGCGTCTGGCGAAATGGATGAACTCAAACGAAAGATCAACCAGATGATTTCGAACCTGAGAGACAGCATTCAACGTAACACACAAGCCAGAGAAGCCGCCGAGCTGGCCAACAAGACCAAGTCGGAGTTCCTCGCCAACATGTCGCACGAGATCCGAACGCCGATGAACGGAATCATCGGCATGACCCAGTTGACTCTAGATACCGACTTGACCCAGTACCAGCGGGAGATGCTCAACATAGTCAATAACCTTGCCAACAGCCTTCTGACCATTATAGACGACATTTTGGATTTGTCGAAGATTGAGGCCAGGAGGATGGTGATTGAGGAGATCCCGTATACGTTGCGGGGAACCGTCTTCAACGCCCTCAAGACCTTGGCGGTCAAGGCAAACGAAAAGTTTCTGGATCTGACGTACAAAGTCGACAGCTCCGTCCCCGATCACGTCATTGGCGATTCGTTCCGCCTCCGGCAGATCATCCTCAATCTCGTGGGCAACGCCATCAAGTTTACTGAGCATGGCGAGGTCAGCCTGACCATCAAGGAGTGGGCCGATCAGGTGGACGTCAAGTTGGGCGAGTATGCCGTCGAGTTTGTCGTCGAGGACACCGGCATTGGCATCGCGCAGGACAAGCTCAATCTCATCTTCGACACCTTCCAACAGGCTGACGGCTCCATGACGCGCAAGTTTGGCGGCACGGGCCTGGGCCTCTCAATCTCGAAGCGGCTCGTCAACCTCATGGGCGGTGACCTGTGGGTGAACAGCGAGGCCGGCAAGGGCAGCCAGTTCCATTTCACCTGCCGCGTCAAGCTTGCCTCGGGCGACACGGAAGCCATCAAGAAGCAAATCCACCCTTACCAAGGCCATCAGGTGCTCTTCGTGGATAAGGCTCAGTCGAGCTCCGGCACGGAGATTCGGGTGATGCTCGAGCAGATTGGCCTTCAGCCCGTCGTGGTCGATTCCGAGAAGAGTTCGGCCCTCACCCCGGTCAGTGCGGGCGGCACGCTGCCGTACGATGCCATTCTGGTTGACTCCATCGACACCGCCCGGAGGTTGAGGGCGGTGGATGACTTCAAGTATCTGCCCATCGTCCTACTGGCACCCGTGGTTCACGTCAGCCTCAAGTCGTGCCTTGACCTGGGTATCACGTCGTACATGACCACGCCGTGCAAGCTTATTGACCTCGGCAATGGCATGATACCTGCCTTGGAAAATAGAGCCACGCCGTCTCTGGCTGATAACACCAAGTCCTTTGAGATTCTTCTCGCCGAGGACAATACTGTCAACCAACGCCTTGCCGTCAAGATCCTGGAAAAGTATCACCACGTCGTGACGGTGGTGAGCAACGGTTGGGAGGCCGTCGAGGCCGTCAAGGAGAAGAAGTTTGACGTGATTCTCATGGACGTCCAAATGCCCATTATGGTAAGCACGACCGCTCGCTGCCCTTCCGGGCCTGACCTGCAGCAATACTGACGCTTTGGCAGGGAGGATTCGAAGCCACCGGCAAGATTCGAGAGTACGAACGGAGTATGGGTACGCACAGGACCCCCATCATCGCCCTGACCGCCCACGCCATGATGGGTGACCGTGAGAAGTGCATACAAGCGCAAATGGATGAGTATCTGTCCAAACCTCTGCAGCAGAATCACCTCATACAGACAATTCTGAAGTGCGCCACCCTGGGCGGCCCGCTCCTCGAGAAGAACCGCGAGCGAGAGCTAGCGATCCAGGCAGATGCCAAGGCATCCAGCCACAACCAAAGCGGCCAGGGGCTCCTGCGACCGGCGCTCGAGGGCCGGTCGTTCACCACCCGAGAACCCTTGACTGGCACAGGCCTGGCCAGCCCTGCCCTCGTGGCGGCAGATCAGGAGGATCCTTGGGCAAGAGCACGTCGCGATCTTTCTGACATGCGGAGCATCTCTAGCTAACTCAGGTCTCGGGCGCTCTCAGTTCCTACTGAGATCGCATAGCAGCTAGTCGAGGCGCGCGCACACTGTCTGTGCTGCGGGCGCCTCATGGCAAGCCTGCTCTACGTCTTGCGAGAAGGAGCGCCGGCCGAGACTCGCTGACGTGTGCGTGCAAGGCTTTGTTCGGAGCTTTTTGACTCCATCCCCACCGCCGTTCGAGCAGCAGGCTACGGTTTTAATGTCTTGACGCGCCCCGTGTGCACCTTTTCGATGACTTGGCTGGCTACGCCTCTATTCTTCCCGCGCTCTCCGCAGCGGGCGCGGGCAAGTTTGCCACGGTCCCCCTTCTATTTTATCCTCGCTCAAACCGCACAGTCGAACTTGGTCATGCGCATGCCGTGGCAACCGCGTCAGCGGACCAGCTTGTTGCTTGCCCCTTTTTACGGCGACATAGAACGCTCTGCATTATACTCTCTTCAAGGCACGAGGGGAGAACGTCGTTAATGTCACATCATGGTGCTATCATGCCTTCGCCTAGTTGTATTTTACATAATGGGTGTTTTGGGAATCGGGTCCGAGCGGTGTGTCTTTATTTTTCTTTTCAACTCTTATGTTTCTTGTTCTTGTTCTTATCGACAACTTCTGCGTTGAGCAAGAATCCTTTTCCTCCGGCTCTTCATCCCTCCGGGCACGGAAGGGTCAGCGATGGGGGGAAGAGCATTGCGACGGGGGGAAGGACATTGCGATGCGCGTTGCATCTTGAAACCGCCAGGATATGAGGGTCCGTCCGCCTTTGGGCCTTAGTCGTTCGATTCTATCTGCTGCAGCTGCTGCGGCTTTTGGTGGCTACCCAGGGGGCACGGGTGAGGCGGCACGGCGAAAGATGGGATTTTTTGCAAGCTGTCTCCGACTGCATCCGGCCCGGTTTGGCTTACTTTTTTGTCACGAGGATCAAGGCAGATTTCCAAGCGGGAGACGAGATGAACGTGGACTGATGCTGCAATGAGGAAACCGTGTATAGCGATTTCAGTAACTTTAAAAAAAAAAGGGAGAGACGCTAGCCCTCCTCTATCCTTTTCATGTCCCCATCCTCGAACCATCCCAGCTTAGATCATGTCATTGTCACACCTCGTGAAGGGCGTCCTGCGGGGTGTTGACGACGGCTACGTGACTTCTGTGAAAACATGTGGGTTCTGCCCGACGTTGAGTTCGGAGAGTTGCCGGCTTGTTTGAAACAGAAGAAACAGGGCCGTCGAAGCACCGGCGCTAGGTGTGCGTGAATTCTTGAGCAGCAAATATGTATGTCTGTGGTAATGTATGGGATGTGACTGTACCATGACCGTTCCGGCGCCGAGCAAATCAGTGACTTTCGAAAGGACTTTTATACATACATCTCCGTCTATGTCTTTTTTGGGGTGTCTTTTCTGTGCCTTTCGTCGTCTCTCAAGGAGACTGAGGTTGTGAGCCTGGTCTAGGTCTGCTTCTCACCATCGCCAGAGCCAGACGCCTTCTGAGCGGCACCGGCAGCCTCGTCGGCGCGGTCGTCGTCGCTGGCAACAGAGCTCTCGGTGGCAGCCGAAGCGACGGCAGTGGTGGGGGAGGCCGCCGAGGAGAGCTTGTCCTTGGGGGCGGCGTCGGCAGCAGGCTGCTTGTCGTCGAGGGCGTCGAGCAGGGCGTCGAGCTTGGAGTGGAGGCGGTCCAGGTCAGCCTCGATGGCGGCGGCGGTTTGATCGCCTCTGCGCGCCGAAGGAGATGCGGCCGCGTTAGCAGGGGGAACTCGGGGGGGGAGGAGTAGAGGGCGAGCTGATACCTAGCCAGATCGCGGTAGGCCTATGGTTGGACGGCGGCGCGGACAAGGTGCGGAAGTGCGCGCCAGCCCCGGTGGTTAGCTTGAACGGGGGTTTTTGCCCATGCGGGTTTACTGAAAAGGGGGGGGGGGGGTGGAGATAGGCTGTGGAGTGGGCTGATGGGCTGCGTGGGAATGAATATCCGCACCGGCGATTGTGGGGTGAGGAGGAAGGGAAAGAAAGGATTGAGGCTGAATGGGACAAGAAACGTGATAACAAGTAGTCGGGGGGGTCGAGGCCGGGCCCAAAGCTTATAGGGGAATGGAGAGATAGGGGAGCAGGGCCGAAAAAGGAAACCAAGGTCGCCGACGAACCTGAGCCATGTCCGTGGCCTCGCCCTCCTGGTCCTTCCAGTTCTTGACGTCGTCCTCGGTGGGCGCCATGCTTGCCGGCGAGGATTTGCTTTGCTCGGGTGGTGGGCGTTGGGGGTGAGGCGAAGGGAGAGTCTTGGGGGGGGGGGATAGGAGATGAGAAAGTGTGCGCGTGGTCGGTTGGTGGTGAAGGGGCAGCCGTGGGCAACGCAGGGCGGTGGCTATCGCAGGTGGAAAAGGGCTTGCTTTGAATTTTCGGGCGACGGTTTGTTTAGAGTTAGAGTTGGAACCGGTGGTGCGCCCTCGAAGTCGTCGTCGTGAAGGAGGTGTGTGGTCTTGGGTCAGCGAGTCAACAGCTCCCGGCTGCGCGGCGGCTGCGCAGGGGCCCTCACGTGACGTGAGCTGCCCTCTGTCGTGGCAGCATCACGACGACGGCGGATATGGAGAGGGAGAGGGCGCGTGGATGGCCGGCACTGCAGTTGTTCGCTGTCGCCCTCGCCGGGTTACAGACCGGCCGCCACACACACCTCCCACATGGCCGGCCCCCCTTGACTCTGTCCTCGCATGACATGGCCTCCGTAACCTTTCTGGCCGTGACGCTTTTCCTCCACCGCCAAACCAGCCCAGAAAGCATGTCCGACATTGCGCCAGCCAGCCGCGCTGCTGTGCCCATCTATATCCAAGGGCACCCGCCCCCGTCCTCATCGGCTCCCGCGATGCCCAGCACGCGCCTGTCCGGGCCAAACAAAGACGCGCAGCCGACGCCGTGACCATGGCCCTCGTCAGCCCCGTGGCCCTCAACCTCGACAACCTCAAGACCGCCTACCGCTTCCTCGTCGACCCCAGCCCGCACCTCGACCACGCCCTGCCACTGGTCCGCGCCCTCGGCCTCCACGCCTTCCGCCTCCAGGACGAGGTCCTCGGCGTCCCCCTCCGCTGGGGCTTCTTCTCCCCCGGCCCCAGCCGCCTGCAGGCCATGGAGGCCTGCCTGTTTGCCAGTCTGCTCGCCACCGCCTTCCTCGTCGTGTCCATCGTCGCCGTGTGCCTCTATCGGGGGGAGAGCTACCAGTTTCTCCTGTGCTGCTCGACCGTGATCCCCGTCGCCTGCGCTTCCACTTACATAAAGGCGAGACGCGTGAGTCCCGACTGCTGGCTGCCCTGGGTTCTGCGGGATGCGCGGACTGATGACGCGCAGTATCGCCAGTGGGTGCCGCCGTCCTGGAAAAGACCCAGTGCGGCCAAGTGAGCATTGCCTGCCAACCTGATTTTTGCCGTCACATTCGATAAGGAAGGCGTTTGGAAACTGGATGGCGACGGACACAGGAGCCGCCGTCGATACTTTACGGGAACTGGGTCGACCTTGGACCGGCCCCGGTAGACAACGGCGTGCGGCCGGCTTCCTGTTCTCGAGTACGGGGATCCATCATCTTGCGAAAGGGGACTATGGGTTTATCGGTTAGCGATGAGGCCTCGAGACACGTTCATGGCTATCAAGGGCAGGTCGCGCATCGAGGTCTTCACCAGCAGCACCGACACCAACATCATTGTCCGACATGATTGCTCGACTCGACATTGGTGTGAAAGTACTCGCGACTGAGAATGAATATGTATGTATGTATGTGTATTTTTCGTCCAGCGGCCGTGAGGCCGCTCAGGTCCCGGTGGGGCACAGGACGTGCTGAGCTAGGGCTGTCTACAGTTTCCTCTCGCAAACGTAAACAAACCACCATCCAGCATTTCATCGGCTCTGAGGCGCTCCGTGTTGAACCTGGTGCCCGTCAGCGGGTCGTACAGGCGCGGCAGTGAGATTGCCATTCAGTTTTGGTCTCCAAGGGACCGTTGTCGGAGACTGCAGAGCGCAGCCTCAGTTGACCCGGCCGGGCAAAGGGTGTTGCAGCACCCTCTGCCTGGCCGAATCCGGGGGGAAGTTGAACAAAGGAAAGAGGTGAGGGAAAGATGATACAGCCGCCTAGTGGCGAGGGCAAGCCCATTCAAAGAAGGAGGTCGCCTTCGCCAGCTTGACGAATCTGTCGAAGTCTCTGCCTATTGCGCGATTGACTGCTGCAGTCGGTGAGGGTGTCAGCCTCATCCGATGCCGCGGCTCGATCTTTCGGCAATAAAAGACATGGTTTGGCTCTTTTCGTCGGCCACATGAGCACGTCAGTCGCGCATCGTCGTGGTTGAACCTCTCGTGGTAGTCGGCAAAGTCCCCGTGACGGGTTCGGGCTGCAAGCAAGTGGTGGAGTAGCGGTCGGGGAGTTTGAGCTCCGGGGCAGCCGGTCGTCGGCTTAAGGTGCAGTGGCTTGTACTGTTCGGGTGCAGAGGCTTCCCACCAGGCTTTAACTGCACTTTAGGCTGCTGCCTGGCAGCCCTGCGCAGATATGCCAGTGTCGGGACAGCGCCTGCGGGCTCGGGTTGAGAGGTTCCTGCTTTCGCTAAGGCATCGGCCTGCTCGTTGCCTGGGATGCTGGTGTGGCCGGGGATCCAGCGGACCTCCGTGGCACCGTGTGCTGTGGCCAGGGCCTGGAACTCGAGGAAGACATCCTGGGAGGAGTCTGCCGGCATGCCTCTGAGGCATGTTGCCGCCGCGATGTTGTCGAGACAAACGACTACCCTCTGCGATCGTGGAGGCTTAGGCAGCGCGCAGGCCCTCGAGCGCGCCTTTCGCTTCTGCATCAAAACCTCAGCGGGCCCAAGTCGGCCGCAGCCACTTAGGACGGTTTGCCCATCCAGATGGATGGCATAGCCATAACCGACCGCTGCATCCGAGGAGAGCGATCCGTCTGAGTAGACGACCAGAGTGTGTGGTGGCACTGACCGGAGCCAAATGCGGAAATCCGCTGCTGACTGGTCTTTCGGGGCGGTTTGCAGAGGCAGCGCCTGATCGTCGCCGAAGCGGCGAGGAGGAGAATTGGCCGCCTGCTGCAAGGCAGCAGCTGGTCACTGCGTCGAAGTCGGGTCCGGAAGCCTTCTCGCGGCACCTGGTACTTCAGTTTGATCGACCTGTGGATGACAGGGGGCTTGGGCCGGACTGTACGTTTCGCAAGCGGATGGGCTTCATCGAGAGACTTGAGGCGGGCCGCGAAGCGCATGCGACGCCCTCGAGCAGTTGTATCACCGGTGGAATGCCGCTCTCGATGGAGGGCATTGATCGGCGTCGTCCTCCAAACAGGCAGGATGGCTCGGATGGATGTGTGAAGCGACTTGTTCATCTTTCGGATGAGTTGCTGTATCCCGGATGGTCCTTCTTTGCTGGCTGGGTCCATCGCGGGCTGGTTAATCCGGGGTACCATGCCTCGGTGCCGTGGAGCAGCACCGGTTCGATACATGCTCTTACGGCTCTGCGAACGGCACCGGAAGAGGACCATGTTTGGTGTTTGCCAGACTTTTCAAGTGATAGGCCACGACCTGTGCCTTGGCTGTCCACTTTTCCACGTGTGTCTTGAACGACAGGGTGCTGTCGAGCCAGATGCCTAGCCATCGCAGTGCTCGGTCAGGGCGCTTCTCTGAGTCGCCGTGAAATATAGGCGGGGCAACTTTAGGTTTGCTTCGACAGAAATGCATGACCTCAGTCTTCATCGGGTCGAAGGCGATGCCGTTGGCGGCGCCCCAGGCCACAAGTTCGTTTACATAGCGCGACGCTCTCTCGGCTGTCTTCTCCAGGGAGTTACCTATGCATAGGATACCCGTGTCGTCTGCGTAGCCGAAGCGCCCCTTCGGCTTCCCTAGGCGGTAAATTGGTTCCGTGTACAACAGAAAAGGATGGGCGAGACTGGTGATCCCTGGGAGGCCGCATTGGAGAGGCGAGCTGGGCGTGGTAGTGTCCTGGTATCTGACGCGCGCCGAGCGGTCATGCATGAAAGAACCAGCCCATCGAGCGAGATGTTCTGGCCACCCCTGCTCACGGAGGCGAAGGATCAGCCTGTTGCGGAGGACAGTGTCGAAGGCTCCCTGGATGTCCATAGTCACCAACGTGGCAACTTGTCCGCGGGCAAACGCCTCTTCAATGTCATGCAGCAGAGCGGCAACAAGGTCAACGGCAGATCTCTTCGGGAGAGCGCCAGCTTGTTGTGAATGGAGGACTCCGTAGTGGACGGAGGCCCATGCCAGGCGGCGTGCGATGAGCCGCTCGAGACCTTTGCCTAGGCAGGACAGTAGGGAGATGGGTCGCCAGGCACGAGGGGTCGAGAGGTTCCTTCGGCCTGGTTTTGTTATCATGACTACTTCGGCCTCTCTGAACGGCTTCGGGTGATGGCCGATGGTGAGGCAGCCTTCGTACAGCCGCTGGACGTGGCTTCCGATAATACGCCATACCGCCTTGAGCATTTGTACCGTGATGCTGTCGGGGCCGGGAGACGTGTTTCCTGTCCGTAGGGTTGCGTCGCGCACTTCCTCAAGTGACACCTGTTGCGTGAAGGGAACGGTTTTCGTTGTGTCGACTGGGATCCACGGATCTGGGATGTCGTCGTCCGCCGTGCGCCGCTCGAGCGTCGCCCGCCGTAGGGCATTGGCTTTGTCAAGCTGCGTCTCGTAAACTACATCGCCTACTTGTAGGGGCGGAGGCTGGAAAGCGCCCGGTGATCTCAGCCATCGGACCGCTTTGAATACGGAGGCGCTGTCAGTGAAGCTGTCGATCAGATTGCGCCAGTAATGTCTTTTGGCTCGCCGCACGACTTTCTGGAAGTCTCTCTTTGCAAGCTGGACTTCCCGATTGAAGCCGAGAGGGTAGACTCTCCTAATCGCGCGGTATTCCGCCGCGGCGAGGGCGCATTCTTCTGTCCACCAGGGCGCGCTGCGTGCCCCTTTGCGGACGGGGCGACCGGCGGCCTTGGCTGCCAGTTGGAGAAGTTCCACGAGCGCCAACGCCAGGGAATCAAGCTCTTGGGGAGACGAGGCCGCGGCCGGGATAGCTGTTGCTCCGGAATCGACCATTTCGGCGAAACGAGCGAGCTCGTCGTCAGAGGTGAGGCGGACCTTTCCTAGCGGCACCGAGGCCGGAGCCAGGTCAGCGAGTGTCACGCTGAGCGTGAAGTGGTCAGAGCTGGTGGCCAGGTGTTCCTCCACGACAGCTTCGGATAGTGGTATGTTGGAGAAGGCGAGGTCTATTGTGTTGCCATGTGGGTTCGTTGGCACATCGGCAGGGTTGAGCAAGCTAAGGCCGTTCTCAGAGGCCCAAAAGGCGATGTCGTCACCTCGGCCATCGAGCCGGCCGGTTTGCCAGCTACTGTGTTTGGCGTTGAAGTCGCCTGCTACTAGGCACCTTCCTGGTGTGGTCCACTGGAGGAGCATCTCCAGTGCTTCATCGTAGTGCGGTTGTCGATAGAAGTTTACTACTGTTATGTTGTTGATGGTGAGCCAGAGAATGTCGCGGGTCGCCACAGGCCTCCTCTGATCTGTCATCAGGCAGGGACTCCGCCGGACATAGGTCATTACTCGAGGTCGGGTGCTGTTGTCGTCCCAGCTGTCGACTGGGGAGAAGGTATCGTAGGCTGGGTGGGTTTTGGTAAGACATCGGCCGTCCTTGGCTTCCGTCCACGGCTCCTGGAGGAGCACTATGTCGTATCGTTCAGAGTCGGCGAGGGCAAGGGCGCAGTCATGTGCTGGCGAGATCTTGCCTACGTTAGCTTGGAAGACTCGCAGGGTCTTCTTGTCGCTTTGGTTCACGCGGGGATGTCTCGTCATGGAGATAGTGCAATGGGGCTGATGCGTCGCTTCTTTGAAGGGGAAGCTGGTCTAGATTCGTTGCCCTCGCTCTGAGGCTGAGGTGTCGTGGTTACCATAATGAATGGCGGAGACATGGTCCTGGTCGAGCTTAGGACTGAGGTTTCGCTCCTGCCCCGTGACCTGTCATCTGGGTGCTCGGCTTCCTGGTCGTCGGGCTGAGCAGTGCTCGGAGCTATGGAATTGAGAATCTCGGAGGAGTCTCGTTCTAGCTGTTCGGGTTGGTCTATGCGCTCGAACTGTTGCTTCCGCTGAGCAAATAGTTGGGTGCCCATCTGTCGGACGAGGGTTTTCTCCTCCTTCGTCAGGCGGCGAATGACGCCGTGTGATCGCTTGGGGCGTGCAGGGCATTTCGAGAAATCTGCGGAATGGGGTCCGAGGCAGTTTGCGCACTGCTCGAGGGCTACGCAGGTTTCACCGTCATGGCCGTTCCTTCCGCAACGCTTGCAGGACGGTTGTCGGTCACAGCTGTGTCGAGCGTGGAAATCCCAGCATTTGTTGCACTGGCTGGGCATGCTGGATCTGACGATGTGTCGGGCAAGTCGGCTGGAGCCAAAAGTCTCCAAGGTCTCTGGGTAGGCTCGAGGAAGGACACAATAAGCGTCTTACTCGGAAGGTCGCTTGAATCGTGCCGGCTGGGACGGATGCTGATGGGTGTGAGCCCGGTCTGGCAGGCGATTTCGTCTTTGACGGCCGCCTCGTAGTTGACTTCATTGCCCTGCAAGTCCGTAAGTCTTCGGGGCAGTTGGGCACGACGTACGTGTACCATTTGTGACTAATCTCCACCGAGGTCGCGTCTAGGTCCTCGGACCATTCCGACTGTCGCTGGACGATGAGGTCCCTGATGGTAGCGTCCGTTGTTCGGATGGCCCATCCGGAGTTTACCTTGAAAGCTGCCGGGACCCGGTGCAAGTCGATGCCGACTTTGGCGGCGATGTGGGTCCGAATTGCGTAGCTGCTGTGGTCTCGCGCCGGCGCTTCGGCATCGAGCCGCACGAAAACACGGAGGTCTTCTTTTGGTGGGGCGGGGATTGGTCGTCCCTGGAGACGGGAGATTGGTTGTTGTGGTCGTTGCTGTTGCGGGGCTGCGGCGGCCGTGGGAGTGTGGCCCCCGAGGGGCTGGCTTGCAGGGCGACCGGCGGCGACGCTGCTGTAGGTCGGGGCGGGTGCGGAATTGAGGTCGGAGAGCGCCTGCTTCCAAAAGTCGAGGAAGCTGTTGGAAAATTGTTCCGCAAAGCTGTGTTCAAGGCCGGACGTGTATTGTTTCGCAGTCTGTTCGAACGATTCACAAAGGCTCGGAACACTGTCATTTTGGCGTTGTAGGCATTTGTTTGTTCAACTGCGAGCTTGTTGGCAGCTTCAACGATCGAGACCGGCTGGAGGTTAACGGACTCGGCCGAGCCAGGCCGGTTCGGGGTGGATTCACGCTGCGCTCCTTCCGTAGCGGCGGCATTGGAGAGTCTGATAAGGGGCGAGGACGGCGTCGCCGCCGGTCGCCGAAACGCGGATGTGAGACCAATGGGACGGCTCGCAATGGGGGAACTGTGTCGAAGCTGAGATGCACGGGCTAATCGCGCGAGGTTGGGCGGTATGGACACCCAGATCAAAGGGATCTGGGCTGGCATGCGAGCTCGTGGCAGATGCCATGGCTGCTGCCGAAGCCAGCGCAAAGCGCGGCTGGAATGATTAACGTGCAGTTGTTAGGCGAGTTGGTGGGAAATTGCGCTACTTTCTTAACAATTGCATGCCAAGAAAGTAAGAAAACAGGGGAAGGTGGACTGAGAATGAATAGAAGTTCACAAACAAGGTGTAGGGTAGCCTCGTTGGCGTCGTAGGCCCCGTCGTCTGATATTGGGCGAGGGGCTGAGTCCTCGCGGGCATTGCTAATGCCACGCCCTGCTCATGCAGAACGTCACGGTCCAGATTCCAGAGGCAAGGATCCCGAGGGGGGCTAACTGGCCACTACGGGGTCTAGAGAGTTGGGAACCGGCGTCTAGACTGTGATGAGGGGGGACATGGGAATTGACAAGACCAGTAGGCAAAACGAGAAATGTGCCATGGGGCCCATTCTCCATGGCACGAGTTCAAGCGGGGTGGACGAGGGGCGCATGGATGTGATTGCGGTAAAGCTGGCTCTCCGCCATGACTGCATTGCGGCAGCACATAGATTCCTTTGCCATGTTTGGTGCACCAAGGCACGGGCGAATCCTCCTCTTTCTTGTTTCCCCTTTCCCTAGCTTCGCCGGTGCCGTGGGAAAGATATCTCCGGCGAACAAACAAGGGCCTTGTCGTGTCTCGTGGTTGGGCGTGTGTCGGTTGTTCTTTCGTCCACACGGGCTGGGCGGCTCGATCTCCGTGTCTGGTGAGCATCTGGATAGCGAGGATGCGCATCGAGATTGTGGCCCTCGGGTTGGGAAAACTCCCATAGCGGGAGCACCACCAGGAGGGGGCCTCGGGGGCCTCTTCCAGGGACGTGCACCCGCCTGTCAGCACGTTGCGCCAGTCCAGAGGCACACACGGACGGAGTATGCGCCTCCTGGCCTGCATCCTCCCGGTACATGCTCCGGCACGGCGTGTGGATATCAGGAGTTGTTTTCCGGGCTGGAAACCTTAAAAACCAAAGAAACCATCCGCCCCTTCAAAGTGGCATGATTATGATTATTATGTATGCAAGTGCAGGGAACTCGAATGCGCCTCAGCCTTGTGTGCAAAAGCTCAGAGGTAGGTACAGTAGGTGCTGGCTGTTCTGTACAGCAAGCACTCGCCTGTGACTCGGATGCATGTTGGATGTTGTATAATATGCACATGCGGCATGCAGACGGAGACGTGCAACGCAGGGCACATATCCGTGGTACATACTGTACATACGGTACAGAGAGCTATTGAGATGCACAGAGCGGCGGGCAGCTATGCGGCCATTCCGTGAAACAGTCGCACACAGCCGGCGGGAGCTGCAAGAAGTCGCAGGGAGGGCTGGTGGAACTCGATCGTGATATGGCACCGATGCAGCCCTGGCCCTTTGCGTCCCCTGCAGCGGACGGGAGGCCCTTCCAACCGGCCAGGAAAGCAAGAGAGCCGCGTGTCAAGCTTGGTGGATGAAGCACCCGAGGTCCAATCCCTAGGCTGCAGGAGAAGAGTCGTAAAGGCCGGGTCGAATGCAGCCTCTTTCCCCTCCATGCGTGCCGGGGAGGATGCTGGCATGGCACGGCATGGCAGCTCCGTCGGCACAACGACATGGACTGTCGTGATGAAGAAAAAAATGGTCGCACAGAAGAGGGGGGTGATACTCAACGGCCATTGGCTCAAACCAGAGAGCGGGCATGCTGTCATTTGCTGAGGCGCGATCCACGGGCCAAAACTCGATTCCCGTCACCCGGTTCAGTTTTTCTCGCCGTCTAGTCCACATTGATGTGGCAACGCCCCCAAGGGGGTGAGAGCGAGGAAGCCATGCCATTGGGCGTAAAGGTTTCCAAAAGGAACGGTCCAGGGGCGCAGATGTTTGATGGCTTTTGGATAGATGGCAGGGATCGGAGGAGAGCGGGAAAAAGGTCGACGCGGAGAAATATAAGACCGGGGCCGAGCCAATCCACAACGACGTCAAGCCAAGCCGCTGGGATGGGATCGAGATCTCGCAACCTCAAAGTTTCTCTGGACGAGCAGCGCAAGTATCAGGCAGACCCCCACAACCTCCGCGTTTCTGGGGCGATTACCTACAGTAAGCTACCTAGGTACCGTACGAGTGCCGCAGCACCAGCGCGCCGGACCGACCGACGGGCCCCCCCAATCGCCTGCACAGCGCACTACCCTCCTCCCTACCTGCCCAAGGCGCTCCAACTCCCCAGACAGCTGATTTACCCTCATGCAGGCTTTGGGAGCAGTCTGGCATCGCCGGGTCGCCGCATCGTGATTGCAGAAAGGGCCATCGAGAAGTCGCCGGGCCATCGTCTTTTCGCCTTTCCCGCCTCGCCTTGCTAGTCCACAAATCATGACTCCGTCGTTTTTCGGGAGGGCCATCGTGCGAGTCCAGACACGTGCGTTTGTCTGCTCTAGGCACACACGAGAGCATCCTTGCTGAGAGTCGCGCTGAAACGTGCAGACACGTCTACTGCCAGCCCCTGGCACAGGGAACAGTACGTGGACCATGCTTGTTGTTCGTTACAGCCCTCTCTGGCCGTAAGTACAGTACATGGGAGTGAAGCATTTGAGCAAGCATGTCGCCAGTGCCATGCAGTATAACTGCACTGCGTGACGCACCTTTTCTATATATTGTACATGCGGAGTCGCCAGATAACTTGCAGTACTTACCTAGGAGCTGGGTATACTAGCCTTGGCCATTGGGGCGCGCCGCCAGGTTCAGGATTGCTGGGCTGCGTTGGAGCGCGTCGTGCATTTGTCTGGCGGCGCCGGTCGTGGCGAGGGAGCGGGCGGCTGTCTTGGGGTTTCCATCTTTGATCGCGATTCGGGCTGCTGCCGGCGTCACACCAGAACCATTACATCATTTTACAACGGTTGCCCGGCATGTGAGGTGTGCGGTCTGCCGTGCTCATCTTGGGCGCAGCGACAGCTTAAAAAAAGGGTATTAGGTAATTAGGTGTAGGTAGGTAGGTATCCACTATCTCTATCTTAGGCACTATAGTAGTAGGTATCTACATAAAGTACTACCTTAGCTAAGTAAGATACCTTAGGTACCTAGGTAGGTAGCCTGGCGCAGGCCAGGACAGGGGGACATGGGGCGACAGTACTCCGTACCTCGGAGGCGAAGTACTGCGAGGTAGCTTGCCAGTTGGTGCTTGCTTTGGCCAACGAGCAGTTATTCGCAGTCTCTTGAGGGCGTTTGCTGCATCTAACAATATCACTTGTTTTTACTCCATGGCACTCCTTATCCGTACATCGAGGCACCGAGGCACGAGCATTCAGAGAGGACACATAGGACAACAATGTGGTATCTGCTTCATGTACCAAGTCTACCAAGTCCTCGTAGGTACTTGCACGTACCTTAAGGTACCTAGGTAAGTGGCTACGGATACGTATACAGTACGCCGACTGGCAGCGGCGACTTTCCGTTGTTTCCTTCCCTTGGAACAAAGCAATAGAAGGAGCCTTTCCCCATCTCAAAAAGTCGAGATTGATTGTCTGCCTTTCTGTCAAGCTCAAAGCAAGATCGCCACCGCCGCCGCCGCCGCCCTAACCACCACCATCACCACCGTCACCATCATCATGGTCAGTCGATGGCCATAGAATCGCGAGCACCGCCAGACGAGGCAAGGCAGCGCTCTCCTCCACATTGGGGAGCCCATTTCGACTCTAATCCAAGCAGGGTTGCTGCGCCTCGACGACCGAACTACACAATATTACATCCGAGCACCCACTCTCCCGTCGGCCGAGAACCCCATTCGTCCGTCGGCACACCATGGCACACGCCTAGCAGGCTGTCTTGGGTGGGCTTGACTCGGTCAGGCTCACGACGAGGCCAGATTGGTGGGTACGCGCATGTACCTGGCCAGCAGCAGGTACGCACTACGCCTGAAGCTTCTGGGCCTTGGGTGTCTGTCGGAAGCCAAGGAACGGTGGAGCACAGACTATCGAATAGCCGCACGCCCCCTCGTCTTCGGCCACAAGTCATCTCGCCATCAATGAATGAGTGCATCGCGGGCCCTTGCCAGCATCTGTTTTCCACGCACACGCACACGCACACGCACACGCACACACACACACACACACACACACACACACCCTCGGGGAGCTTGCAGATGGTCTTGGTCTTTTGTGCGTGTGCTTGTGCCTCTTCTCCCCTCTTATCACCACCCCCTTGCTGCCCATGTACACACTCCGGGACTTGGGACGGGATTTACAGTACTGCTCGCTCAAGGGGGCGTGTCTGGACTGGCTGAATGGTAACTAACTGACTGATCTCCCCTCACCTGCCTGTCTTCCCTTTCTTCTCTCTCGCACGTCCACACCACCACCCCCCAAGGCGGCCTTGACTTCAAACGTCCATGTTTACAATCACATCAGCGTACAGTGCAATACACACGCACTCACACTCGCAGTAGTCCATCCCCTTGCCCAAAATCCCCCGACACGCGGCCTGGCATACAGGAACGACGACTCTCAAGGGAGCAACAGAGAGCTTTCGATCAAAGCCAACGCTGGCAAACCGACGCACTGCCGCCACCCCCCTTTAACCCACCACCTCCTTTCGAGTACCCGGACTGGCCCTCGGTCCCCCCCATCGTCATCATCGGCATCATAGCTCGTCCTCCCTCCCTCTCACTCTCTAGACTCTACCCACCTACCCAACCGTCTGTACCCGCCTTGAGCCTGCCCGTCGCGCTTTCGTCACCCCCAGCAGCATTGGCCAGAAGGGTATCCTACGGCGATTTCATACTTTTCTCGATCGCATTTCGTCGATCCCGCTCTTCCATCCATCCTACTCGTCGGTACTTTGTCCGGCAAGCCTTGGTCGTTGCTTCACGTTGCGCCCCTTCGCTCTTCTCCAGACTGCCATCCTTCTATTCTTTGCCCCTTGAACTTGGCCTCGCCTCTCGAGCCATCCCTGTTCTTGGCAATCGAGAGTTCCGATTCAATCTCGCTCCTCGGCCAACCAGTCACCCGTCTCTAGTCCTCATGCTCTTGTTCCTTCGCGTCTGAGCCGCCTCGACGCCTGACCTGGTCCACCTGGATTCTCGCTGCCGCCGATCGATCTATCGGGGTTTCGATTCTCTTTCAGCATTCGCCCCCCCCTGGCCTCGCATGTATATGCCGTACATATTCGTGCCTTTGCTCCATCGACCAGCGACAGACTGGCCCGCCGTTCCACATACAAGCTCTCCCACTGGCCTGCCTCCTTTTGGTATATACGGGACTTGACTGCCCCATTCCGCTTCTCGGACCTTGATCCGTCTCCGTGCCACTACACGGCTTCATCGACCGGCAACAGGTTTCCTTGCTGCGCACCATACGAGCATCGAGCATCCTCACCCAAAGCCACCCAGACAGACACTTCGCCCTACCGATTCTTTGACCTCGCTCAACCCGTGACCTGCTCAGAGTAGATGTTGGCTCTTCAACTCTGTTTCTTTCACCGGCCAGAGACTTTTCCCGCCACCAAGTCAATCGCAGCCGACCCGGGTTCGGTGTATCATTCGGCTGGATGACTAGAGAACTCGAGGGCATCTTCGCAGAGTTGGGGTTGTCCCAATATCTCGACTCCTTCATCGACCAGGGGTTCGATGCATGGGACACCATTCTGGACATGGACCTGTAAGCTGAAGGCGCCTCGTCTTATCGACTTGGATCGTTGCTGACACTTTTTCAAGGGATGCGTTGGGAGTGAAGCTCGGCCATCGGAGAGTATGTCGATGGCCCTCCTCGCACTTGGAGGAAAATCCATGGCTAACATTTTGATTCTGCTCTCCCAAGAAATTGCAGAGACGCATCGCCAACGCGAGGGGAATTGCTCCCAGCGTGTCGCTGGCATCCACCAGCAAGCCATCCGCCGAGGAAACCAAGCAAGACAGCCTGCGGCGCGACAACAGTCGTCCCGAGGCCGGCAACGAAACCAGTGGTGTTACGAAGCGCAAGTACCGTCGACATCCAAAGGTTCGCTTTCGCCCCCTACCCCGACGTCGGTCGGAATCGATGTGTTGTAGGCGTCCGCTGACTTTAGTCTGTTGTAGCCTGACGAGCATGCTCCCGAACGGCCTCCCTCGGCTTATGTTCTTTTCTCCAACAGTGAGTTTCCGCGCGAGCGAAATCATATCGACGTGATCTGTGCTTAGACTCATCTGCAGAAATGAGAGACGATCTGAAGTCTCACAGTCTCACGTTTACCGAGATTGCGAAGCTGGTGGGGGAAAATTGGCAGAGCTTGCCACCCGCGGAGAAGGAAATGTATGAAAGTCAGGCGAACGCCGCCAAGGAGAAGTATCATTGCAGTCTCGCCGCGTATAAGAAGACGCCCGAGTACCGCAAATATGCGCAGTACCTACAGGAATTCAAGGAGAGGCAGGCCAAACAAAGCAAAGGTTTGTCGAGTGGACTTCGACTCCAATCGCTCACTCACATTTACTGACGTGTTCGCATCGAAAAGTCCACGATGCGTCAAAACGGCCGAGGCTGGAACCTGCCAGACTCCGTCACGGCAGCACAAGCAGCGGGGTGACTCCGGGCGGGGCGACGTCTAGCGGAAGCAGGAGCGGGAGCAGCAGCGAGAGATTGCAAGGTAGCGAACCTCCGCCGACGCGGCATGAAAGGATGAACTCGACAACCTCGGTGGCAGGATCCCAACACTCGTCTACCGCGCCAACACCCATGTCGTACGCCAACTCTGTCGATGAGGGTGGGCTATCACCGAGAATGGCCAACTTCGACACTGGTAGCCCCCGAGATGTGCACCACCGGCACTCGCGTCGCCAGCCCTCTTGGGCGAGGAGGAATCGGGCTGGATCGGCTCACCAACATCATCTCCCTTCGCTATCTGACATGCTGGATAACGGCACGACGGCCGCGGACACATCCATGACGGATGTGAATGCGCTCGCAGCCGGGGTTGGGGGATCCAGTCAATTGCGCCTGGTGGCAGACGGCCCACCCGTCTTAGCACCTGCACGAGTGCCCATTCTACGCCACGAGCCGTCTTCGAACAGCACCGTCGCATCTCGGTGTTCGACGGGGAGTTTCGGCAGGAATCCTGGCGAGGGTCCGCTACCGATTCATGCGCTCCTCGCGGACCGAACCATGTCGGGAGTTGGAGAGATGGAAAAGCAGTCGGCTTCTGCCAACAAAGCCGTCGCAACCCGCAGCAGTCCCCAGAAGTCCCCGCCTAAATTACGCGGGCCAAGGGGCTATGGTACTTTTTCCCCCTGGTCCGAAGTGGTATATTCGGGGCGGTAGCTAATGCGGGACATCAGGCTTCCAATCCGAATCATCGGCTTTCCAGAAGATGAAGTTTGTGCAGTCAAGAGAGGGCGATGTGCTGATGACGTCGGCTGATGCATCACCCCCTGCTCTCGCTCCCGGCAACAGTGGAAAGAGTGGATACGACGGGATGAGTGCCTTGTTGCGAGCTGGTGAGATTGTTGGTAGACACGGCCCAAAGTGACGGCCTTGAGAAAGGAATGTTGGGGGAAAGAGGAGGGCCAAGTCGGACGGCCTTGCCCTCCTGATGCCTCATCAACAGACACGATCCTTGTTGTTTTTGTTTTTCACTACGATTGGGCGAGACTTGTTTGATACCCACGGACGCGGAACGACTGCGATAACCTGGAGCTGGTAGGGACATGATATCTGGACTTGTCTGCAGGAAGGCGGACCACTGTGAGGCGATTGGCGTTTGGACCTCGGCGGACCTTGATGAGTTTAGTCGGCCGAGAGGTGTACTGGGGGGAAGATTGATTCGCCACGGGTGCTGTAGGATTACACGGAGGGGAAGCGACGGCGAAGAGACAGAGGCAAAGGTGATGATGCACATAAAAACTGGCCAGCCGGGTTGCGCTCGCAGACGGCCGTCTGCCGCTTTGCCATGGCCTTGGTGAGAGTCCCTGAGAAGGGATAAGTATGGATGGCAATTTACCAGACCGCCCTTGGTGAGGAAAGATGAGAACAAGAAGAAACAATGGGAGGAGCCCCTCTTTATATATGCATGCGAGACATGAAGTTGGGTGTCTGCGCTCCTCTCAGACGGCGCGAGCCCTGTGTGCCGTTGGCGCCGCTCTCAACGGGTTTCCAGGTGGGGTGGGTTAGGGTTTTTAACCTCGCCTTTCGTCTCCACGTCATTGTGCGTCGCTCGCGTGGACGAATGCGGCTATGGTAGAGTCGGGAGAGAGACTCGGCCATCAAACCACCGTCGTCGCCGCTTCAGCCAGGAACTCGTGGAAGGCATCCGTCGCCTGGTGTATATTCGCAGCTGTACCTTGAGCCATGCCCCCGGCCGCGCCACACTGTCTGCCCCGACGTCTTTCTCCCTGTCTCTTCCATTCCTGGCATGTCATGAGCCGTCACCTCGTCCCATCATGCCCCGTCGCAAAAGCCAACAATCAATCCCCCTCCCAGCTTGACCCCGTCTTCTTAAGGGGTAAAAACAAAAAGACGCCCGAGAGTCCCGCGCATCCATGTTCCCACAAAAACGTCTTGCCTAGATATACGATCCGCCCAACTGAGACAACACCGCCTACTCCCCGCCCTCGACAACCTCGGCCGTCCAGTCCTTGCGAATGTCGAGCTCCGTCAGCTCCGCCGTCTTCTCAATCACCAGACCCTGCTCGTTGGCTAGGTGCAGCAGGCAGATGAAGCAGTACGACGTCGAGATGTCGTCCATGATGGCCTTGGGGTACACCGACTGCAGCCCGCTCATAACCTCGCTGAACTTGAGACTCGTCTTCCCCTGCTGTGCCTGGCCTGGCTCCTCCGATTCCGGCGGAGTCAGGAGGCGGTCCCCCTTTCTTGACGGATCCTGCAGAGCAGAGTCAGTGACGGTCGCGTGACGAGAGGCTACAGAAATCGAAAGAGCCTGGCCGCGATAAACTCACCTCAAGCTTGTCCAAGGCCATGCTCTTCCAAATCTCCTCCTTGAGTCGCCGCACGTCCACCTTCTTTGCTTTCCGGGCATATTGCACATACTCGGGCCGCACCCTCCTCGTCTGCGTTACAAGACTAGTCCCAAAGGCCCCTCCCATTGTCTGCGTAAATGGATATGTCTCGCCGCCCAGCAAGGCCGTCAGCCCGGCCACCCCCGCCATGCCTGCCTCGCCCTCGATCCCCGGCGACATGTGCTCGCGCGCGTCCGCAAACTCCGGGTCGTCGTCGTCCGCGTCGTCTCCGCCAGCAAAGGGCAGGCCGTCGTCTTGGAAGAAGTTGGCGTCGTAGTCGCCCTCCGGCAGCGCAGTCTCCTCGGGGCCCTTGCGGTTCGCCCAGAACGCCTCGTCCATGTCCCCCACGGGTTGGTTGTCTGGCGGCGCATTGCCCACCACCCCCCGAGCCCCGAAGCCGGTCCGACGGCGGGCCATGCGCGCTCTGGGCTTGAGGAAGAGGCTGAGCAGCGACTTGGAGTTGAAGTGTTTGTCGTCGGGGAGGAGATTTCGAGATTTGGACTTCCAGTCCTTCTTGGGCATGCTTATCGCAGAGTTGCTCGCCGCTTGCGTGTGCAGGACATCGGCCATGGATGATTCGAGCGGGCTGGCAAAGTCGATCTCGAACGGCTCCTTTTCCTTGCGCTTCTTCATCTCGCTCGGCGGCTTGTTGACGTCCTTGATCTTCCGGATCCTCCAGTGCTCCGCGCTGCTCCAGTTTTTCTGCAGCGCCTGGTCGAAGAAGCCCAGAATGTCCTCGTGCATCTTGTCGGCGCTCTGGGGGTTTGCCATCGAGACCACGTATTCGGCCTTGTCATCGAGTCCTTCACCGTCGGCACCACCGTCGTCGCCCATGCCTGCATCATAGACTCGCATTTGCGGGCCGAGAGCAGCCTCGCGCGCCCAAGCCTCGCCGCCTTCGCCAAACGCAACGTTTTCACCAACGTCGAAGCTTCCGAGGCCGAGATCGTCATCGTCAAAGCCCACCGGAGCCTCCTCGTCGATGAACATGCCCGACTTGTCGCCCAAAACACCCGCCGACTTGTCCTTGTCTTGGTCCGCCCTCCAGTCATCCGGCGTTTTGAGGAATGGGATGTCCATCGAGCCAGAGGGGTTGCCGAGGTCAAAATTCTTGAGCGACGGGCACACGTCGAGCTCGTCCAGCCGTGCTAGATCGTGGAAGAATCTTTGACCGAGAGAGGCGAGGTCGATCGGAACAGCCGCTTCGTCCTCCTCGTCGCCTGCTTGCTCGTCTTCATTCGCCTCGTCTTCCACCTGCGCCGCTGACGCGTCGCCGTCTTCTTCGGCATCGTCGCTTGTCTCGGCTTTCCTCTTGCCAATAGTAACCACGTCACCCGAGTCATCGCTGCTGTCAAAGACAATGCGTCCCTGGGAGTCAATCATCAGATGGTTCAGGAGCAGACCACGGGCGCCGCCTTCGTCAAAATCGGCCGAAGCCTTCTTGAAGAGGGGGTCCACAGCAAACTCGAGCTCGAACTTCTTGAGTTGCAGTGCGCTGAACGATGGCGCCAAGGTGGCCTCGGACGATCTCTGGGTCTAGTGGTCGTCAGCAAAAGATTCCACGCACATGCACCCATCCCCTCACCTTCTTCTTGGGCTTCTTCTTGACGTTGCCATCCTCGTCCACCTCGTCCTCGCTCTCTTCCCCCTCGGCATCTTCGCCTTCGCGGTCCTTTTTCTTGCTGCTGTTGCTGTCGGCGAGGCCGCTCAGCAACTTTCCCGTCTCCGTCGCGACGCTGTCGACTCTATTTGTGTAGATTTTGACGCAGCCGTCGAGGGTGCAGCTGGCCTTTTGGAAGTTGACGCCGTCACCCTCCTTGAGCAGGGACATGTCATGAAAGTAGTCGATAAGGGCAAAGTTCCACGAGTTTGTGGCATTGATCTTGTTGTCCGTGGCCATCTTCATCCACTCCTCAAAGTTGGCAAGGAGGGGGACGCGCTTCATGGGCGTGACGGAGGTTCCGCCGTCGGCGCCGCTGCGGGCGCCGCGAGGGGTGCCCGAGGCGGAGCCTGGCGACGCATTCTCCAGGTCGTCCAGCCTGGCGCTGGTTTTGCGTGGTGTTGCCGCGGCCTTGATCTCGTTGATTTGCTTCTCTTGCAGGGCCTTTCGCGAGTTCATGCGCCGGCCCTTTTCTTGCGCATCGTCGTTGAGCGGGATCCTAGCCAGTTGGCGCCTGCGTGAGAAGAGGAAGAACGCGGCGTCGACGGGGAAAAGGCAAGCCAAGCAAAACCGGCGGGGAAAAAAGGCACGTAGCAAGCGGGGCTCTGCTCTTACTTGACGGGAGACTTGAAGGGCGAAGCCGACATGGAGGCAGACGTCGACTTGACGCCACCGGCGCGTGGCACTTGGGCGACCCGAGGCATCGTGTGGAGGTGCGGGTGTTGATGTGTGGTGAGAAGGAGAGCGGAAGACGTCCTCCCGCAATGGGCAGGTCGCGTCCACCCAACGCCAAAGTAAACAAGATGGCCCTGTGGCTAGGCAACCCCACCGCCACGGACATCACACTCACGACTCACGAGGTCAGCCACAGTGTCATTGAGGTCAGCCACAGTGTCACGTGGCCGTCAGACTTTATCCTTGCCCTGTGGCACAGTCTCCTGCCGAGCCACATCGCCACCTCCCTGGCCTTTGGCGCGCCACTTCGTCCTGTGCGGCTGCTTGCAGGCCAAGTCGGCACTCGGCAGCCGTGCAGCCTCAGCTGAGCCCAACAACCACGATGGAGACTTGATATGAGGTGTCCCGGCTTTCTTCAGTCATAGGATCTGACAGCTCATCTTCCTCGGGACCACCGGCGGCACGTCCGAGTGAATGCCAGTCGAAGCATTCGTTTGGCCTTGACGTGCAGAATTTGCACGACCAACCAACTCCTTATCTCCACCACAAGACAGCAACAAGCCAAAATGAGTGGTGTCCGAGAAAAGACGGCGAGGAAGTGCCAGATACTGGTCTTGGCCAGCGGCAACGGCTCCAACTTCCAGGCGCTCTGCGATGGCGTGGCTAGCGGCCGCATCCCTAACGCAACCATCTGCCGTCTAATCGTCAACCGGGGCAAGGCTTATGCCACGACGAGGGCAGAGAATCATGGCATCCCGTGGGACTACGTTAATCTCATCTCCCACGGCTTCCAGTCCAAGGGCGAGAGAGACGCGGCCAAGCTACAGGAGGCCAGGGAGAGCTACGACGCAGCCTTGGCCGAAAAGGTCCTCGCCGGTGACCCCCGGCCTGACCTGATTGTGCTGGCCGGCTGGATGTACATCTTTGGGGAGAAGTTCCTCGACCCCGTCGGCGCAGCGGGGATCAAGGTCATCAACCTGCACCCTGCGCTGCCGGGCCAATATGACGGTGCTCATGCCATCGAGCGGGCCTTTGAGGACTTTCAGGCCGGCAGGCTAGAAAACAACAAGACGGGCATCATGGTGCATAACGTCATTAAGCAGGTCGACCAGGGCGAGGCAATCATGACGCGGGAAATCGAGTGTTTGCCGGGCGATGATGTCGGACGGCTGACGGAGCGGATTCACTCCCACGAGCATGAGCTGATTGTCGAGGCTACGGCAAAGGTTGTGGCGGAGATTCTTGCGCGGACGTAATGGGTTACGACTTTCAGGCATCTGCTGCAAGGCCTCACGTTCCGAGCTGGGAGTCTAGGAGACTTGGGTTGCAATGGATAAGGGCAAAGCTATTGCCAAAGGTTGGCTCGACGCTCGAAGATGACGGATTGCCGTGCTCGACAACTGCAGCCGCTCAATGCGATACAGATGGAGCGTCTTTCAAGTCGAGTAGACACATAGCCGGCTTAAGCAAGACAAGGCCAAATACGTGGCTTTCGACGGCCTTACCAGGCTAGCCACCGGCGAGGAAACCACGAGAATACATGAGGCAGGCGGAGGCGTATACCTCTCGCTTTGACGGAAGCAAAAAAAGCCCTGACCGGTTGACGACGCCCTGATGGTGGGGAGTTGTGGCTGAGCCTGTCGTGCCTGGACGGCCATGTAAGACATGCCCATTTTGGTGCGCCCCCTCATCTGCAAGCGCCTGTGCGCCGTAGATAAAGTTGCATCGACAGCGAAGAGTGGCTGTGCACATGTATAGATGTCCCGGGAGGCAGCCAGCCAGTGACCGCTCTCCAAACCCAGTACTTGGAACTCCGTACGAAGTACTGTTGGAACTCCGTACGAAGTACTGTTGGAACTCCGTACGAAGTACTGTTGGAACTCCGTACGAAGTACTGGGCAACTGATTGTTGGTTTCTCGGAGTAAAGGGGGGACACGTTCTGCAGGGCTTGCTTTGTACCGTTGCGCCCGAACCTTGCATACCACCTTAAGTACATATGCACAACTGGGGTCTTACCTAAGGCCGTATCGGCACCGCACCTCGATGCTTGGTCAGAACAGATGCCTTGACGTTTCACGCAGAGGAGCCCGAGTGATCGTTCATTCCTAGGGAGGCCCAAGGAACTGCTTTTCTGCACTGGTACCTAAACCGTCCTTACCTTGTGCTGGCACCCGTTCATCCGCCACGTCCAACCAAGTACGTACCAAGTGCCGAGCACCCTCCCGGTGACGCGCACCGGTACCTTATTAAATACCCCGGGTATCCATCCACCCCAGACGCCGCCTCCGCTTCACTCACTCACCGATTATCCTACTCCGTAGCTTTCGCCCGACATTACCGTGCCCTTTTTAACCTCAGCTACCGACTGCACCACGAGTACGGCTGCCAACACGACCATGACCTAGAACGCAAAAAGGCTTACCTACATCTCTCGCGCTCCTCTTCTCCGCTATATGACTACCTTGTTAGCCTGCTTGCCTCTGCTGGGCTGACTTCCTGCGACATGACGATTCGACAAGAATGCAGCCATCCAGCCTCCGACGGAGCCGCTCGCGGTCCCGCCCCTTCTACGCCACCGTCCTCGTCCTCTCCCTACTGACGGCCTACTCGTTCCTCGCGCACTCGCCTCGCCCTGGCCGCGACGGCGGCGCTGCCTCGCTCTTCAAGCGCGACGAGGCCGAGTGCAACCAGGTTCACTCCGTCGAGGACCAGTGCGCCTTCGTTCGGCGCCACTGCATGGACGCCGATGCCGGCCTGCTCCCGTACCTAGAATTCTACTACTGCACCCTCCAGCATGCGCCGCCCGTCGCATTCATCCTGCTCGTCGCCTGGCTGGGCCTGCTCTTCACCACCATCGGCATCGCCGCCAGCGACTTTTTCAGCGTCAACCTCAGCACCATCGCCGCCATACTTGGCCTGAGCCAGAGCTTGGCTGGCGTCACCTTTCTGGCTTTTGGCAATGGCTCACCCGATGTATTCAGTACCTTTGCCGCCATGAGCTCCAACAGCCCTAGCATGGCTGTTGGCGAGCTCATTGGCGCCGCAAGCTTCATCACCGGTGTTGTCGCTGGTTCCATGGCCTTGGTGCGCGAGTTTAGGGTCGACAGGGCCACGTACACGCGCGACATCTGCTTCTTTGTCGTCGCCGTCGGCTTCACCATGGCTTTTCTGGCGGATGGCCAGCTCCGCTTCTGGGAATGCTGGGCCATGATTGGCTACTACATCGTCTACGTCGTAACTGTCGTCGGCTGCCACTGGTATGGCGTCAGGAAGAGACGACGGCTCCGACGAGAAGGAGAAGCCCGCAGCCATTTCTATGGTGTGGGTGGGCAGTCGGGCGACGAGCTGGCAGGCGAGCCCTATCGGGACGACCCAGACGACGTCGACCGTGCCCCGGGACAACCGCCTCCCTCGAATAACGTTGCCAATGGCGATGCCCTCTCGTCGTTCGAAGGGCTCGCTCGCTCCGACCCGGAGAGCCAGATGCCCCAGGTCACAATTGAAGGCGCTCATGATGATTCGGACGGCGACCATGAGAGAATGATTGCGGCCGAGGTCACGAGGAACATGCGTATCCTGCGGACTGGGGCGAAAAGGCACCACAACATGACCCCGATCCGCCCGAGTCTGGTCGGCGCCCTCGAATTTCGATCTGCTTTGGCACAGCTCCAACGGGAAAGCAATCTCCAACTTTCCTCGATTCCGGGTCGCACCTACTCGGAAAACTACTTCGGTGCAAGAGCCCGAAGAGGAACCGTGGCTGTTGGCCTGGATGCCGGCCACGACGAGAACACCAACGCCATGTCAACTGCCGAGACGCGCTTGACGCGAAGGGACAGGGCGCTGTCGTCCGGCGACATGCCCCTTTCCCCGGCCGTCATTCCGGAGCTCTTGAACGAGGGTCAGACCCGAAACAAGTCTGACTTGCTGGCCCCTGGGGGACCCGAAAGTGTCCGAAGAGCGCCAGCACTGACGCCATCGCGCACGGTGGGAGAATCCCTTGCTCCATCCCCGGCCGACGACCTGACGTCAAGTGGAACTAGCCATGGCTCGGCGGACGATGGCTTGGGGAAAGGGTCGATTCCCAAGCTGCAACTGCAGATTCCAAGTCGACGCAGCAGCCATAGCGGGGCATCGTCTCCCCGCTCGCCCTTCCCCGGCTACACCGACTCGCCAATGCTCATGACGCCAAACGCGTACTCGCAGCATGGGCAGTTTATGCTTCCGTCGACTACCTCGGCCCGACGAGAAGATAGTTTCCCCGACATTCAGGTGCCGGTGCCGGTGTCGAGCCCGGTACGGTGGTGGCCGTACTCGGTGCTCCCGCCGCCTCACGTGCTCCTGGCGACGCTCTTTCCGACCTTGCAAGGCTGGAGAGACAAGTCTCACTGGGACCGGTTTCTCAGCACGATATCGGTGCCAAGCATATTCCTCCTGGTGATCACGTTGCCTGTCGTGGACTCGGAGTCGAGTGAGGATGCCACGTCTACTGACAGCACCGTCACTGATGACGTGAGCCACGGAGGCACCACACCAGCCATTGCCGTAATGACGCCAGGGGCTGAGGGGGAGGACGAGTGGGAACGTCGGCGGAGCTATACTTCAAGAAGCAGCGGCAACCACGCGCCCGCAGCTGACGGCCTGGCCAGCCTGGCGACTCGGGAGCACGGAGCAACGGCCGCGGCATCGACGAATCGTCCAACCATCGAGACAATGCTAATTCCCGCCAAGGCGGCATCGGACCTGCCATCCGGGAGCAATGCGAACAATGAGTCGCCACCGTGGAACCGATGGCTTGTCTGCTTGCAACTGTTCACCGGGCCGCTTTTTGCCACCTTTATCCTATGGGCCAACCTGCGCGAGGATTGGGAGCGGCCCGGCAGGGAGCTGGTCCGGATGGTGCTCTACTCGCTCGTGACGTCGCTCGTGCTGCTGGTGGTACTGCTCTTGACGACTACGGAGCACGTGAGGCCCAGGTTCTACTACCTTCTCTGCTTTCTGGGCTTCGTGATTAGCATTGCGTGGATCTCAACGATTGCGGGCGAAGTGGTTGGTGTGCTCAAGGCATTCGGAGTCATTCTGGGCATTTCCGAGGCGTTATTGGGGTTGACCATTTTCGCAGCGGGCAACAGCGTCGGAGACTTGGTGGCAGACATCACGGTGGCCCGGTTGGGGTATCCCGTCATGGCGCTGTAAGTGGACCCATGGCGGCGCGTGCTCGGGGCAAACTAACTTCTCGGTTCACAGGTCGGCATGCTTTGGCGGGCCTATGCTGAACATTCTGCTGGGGATCGGCATTGGCGGCGTCATGATGATGGCACAGCAGGCCAAGCGCGAGCACGCCAAACATCCTGACGGGCCGATACAGTACGGACCGTACCGCGTGCAGGTTGGAGGCACGCTGATGATATCGAGCATCACGCTCCTCATCATGCTCTTCCTCCTCCTCATTCTCGTGCCGATGAACAAGTGGATCCTGAGCCGCAGGATCGGCTGGGTTGTCATTGGACTGTGGGCGTTGAGCACAGTGGTGAGCGTGGTAATCGAGGTGACGGGGCTCTGGGGCGAGGCAGCCTAGAAGGGGGTTTGATGGCGTGGGCGCATTGACTGGATACCTCGGGCTTCACCAAGAGCAGACGCTTTGTTTTGGGTATGACTGCTTGTTAATGAGGGGAGGGAGGATGAACCGCACACAGGGAAGCTGATGGGATGGCTGGATACCCGGAGGCGGTCTTTTGATGATGGATGTGAAGTCGGTCCGCCATGGGCTTTGGATGCGCTCCCCTTGGCCATCCATATCCAATTGGCGGCTCTTGACCCGGTGCGAGCCGAGCGCCAATCACAGGTGTCACCCACAGGTGTCACCCACAGGCGTCACCGCTCCTCGGAATCATGTCTTCTTCTCCTGCGCTGTACCAGTTGTCGTTGTCGACGGCGCCAAGTCGAGGGCTGGGAGACGATTAGGTAATAATGTCCATCCGCAACCGAGAGGCTCACCGAGAGGTTACGTAATTACCATCAGCCCCTCCCTCCAACAATGATTACCCCTCCAAACCAAATGCCCCTCCAACGGCCGAGGTATCAAGTACGTATCTTGACCGCCTGCCCCATTCCCTGGTGACTGCAGCCGCCGCTGTCCTCAACAACAGTGTCTCGTCCTGTAATCGCATCGTCCTTTGCGTTGCAGAAACACCTCCACCGCCAGCAAGCATGGACGCCGCCGCGCCGCCCACCTTTACGCCCCTCGAGGACCGGCCCCTCAAGGACACGATATGCCTCTTCGACGTTGACGGCACCCTCACGCCTGCTCGCCTGGTAAACCTAGAACCCTCCAATTCGTCTCGTCGCCCCCCTCCTCCCCTCCCTCTTGTTCCCTATTGCTGCTCCTTTTGCTGCCGCACTCGTCGGCCTCGAGGGACACGAGAGGGTCGGGAGGGGGACGGGGAACGGCAATTGATGATGTGCCATCCATGAGAGTCTCGCCGACTAACCACTCCCTCTGTCTCTCCCTTGCGCCGGGCCCCGCCGGACCTGCAGGCTGCCTCCCCCGAGATGCTCTCCATGCTCAACGCCCTCCGCAAAAAGTGCGCCATCGGCTTCGTCGGCGGCTCCGACCTGCTCAAGCAGGAGGAGCAGCTCGGCAAGCCCGCCGGCGTCCCCGTTGTCTCCCTCTTCGACTTCTGCTTCTCGGAAAACGGCCTGACGGCCTACAAGCTCGGCCAGGCCCTGCCCTCCAACAGCTTCATCGGCTGGCTCGGCGAGGACCGCTACAAGGAGCTCGTCAACTTTTGCCTGCGCTACGTGGCCGACCTCGACATTCCCATCAAGCGGGGCACCTTTGTCGAGTTTCGCAACGGCATGGTCAACATCAGCCCCGTTGGCAGGAACGCCAGTGTCCAGGAGCGCATTGACTTTGAGGCCTACGACAAAACGGCAAAGGTGCGCGACAAGTTTGTCGCTGCCCTCAAGGATCGCTTTGGCGACCTCGGTCTCATGTGCGTCATCCACCCGCCTCCCCATTCTCGTTCTTCTCCTCTCTGTTCCTCTGCCTTGAGACAAAAAGGCCCTGCATTTTCCAGCCACAAAGCAGAGTGCGCGCCGTCGCTGACCCGGCTTGTTTGTCATGCGTTTTAGCTTCGCCATCGGTGGCCAAATCTCCTTTGACGTCTTCCCCGAGGGCTGGGACAAGACGTACTGCCTCCGACACCTCGACGCCGAGGCCAAGAAGCCTGGCGGCATCGAGTACAAAACGATCCACTTCTTTGGCGACAAGACTTTCGAGGGCGGTAACGACTGGGAAATTTATAACCACCCGGCCACCACGGGCCACACCGTCAAGGGCCCCGACGACACCATGCGTATCGTCAAGGAGCTCTTTGACCTGTAGATGGTCATTTCGCGCTGGTGGACGTGCGGTAGAGATAGAATTGCCTTTACGACTGAGGGCCGGAGAGCCTGTATCTACACCTGCATCTGTCAAAGGGAAAAATAAAGCACAATTTGGTTTACGGCGACGCTTGGCGATATGACGCCTGCCCCTCTAGAAAATCCAACTTGCAACATGCAAGCCAACGATATCCGAGCATATTCGGAATCAGAGCAGCCGAGCCGGTCGCATCTCCTCAAAACCCCATGAAACATAAATCGTCATTGACGTATAAAGGTATTCCAAACTCCGACGTGGCCCGCCGAATACATGACCGCTTCCAACCCGCTTGGACATGATCCCCCTCCTCCTAATTGAACAACTCTCCCAGCAAGAGACTCTGTACAGAAATCCCATCGACTCCGACCCCTCACCGCCCAAAGTCCAGGTGCGGGACAATGACTGGTCCATACTTTGTCGTCGCCTGGAACGCGCCGTCTCCCTGGACTATGAAATCCACGGCCAGACTGAGCTTGGAAAGGCCCTGCTGCTGCTGCTGGTGGCCGGCGAGGCTCGGGTTCGGGCTAAACGGCGTCTGGTTCGCCGCGTCCTGGTCAAAGGCGACAAAGGCAACGTAGTTGCGCCGACCCATGAGCCTCTTCATCTCGCGCGAAGCTCCGCTGGCGTCGGTGTGGAATATCTCCATCATGTCTTCCTTGGTGTCCGACACCTCGTGCGTCGACTTGTGCCCGTTCTGCGGTACGTATAGCGTCTTCTGGTTGTGCAGGAGCTTCAACACGTAGCCACCCTGGGGGGCCCCGACAATGGGCGACGAGATGATCTGGTACATGGTCTTGTGATCGCCCGGGTGAGTCGGGTCATGCACCAGACCGGCCCCGGAAGCGTTGACGTCTGCAACACGGTCAGTCAGTCCACACAATGCAGTCAAGACTAGCCAGTTCTGCGCACGCACCTCCGGATAAAAAGGTCATTCGAATGCCTTTTCGCTGAGAAATGCCCTGCAAGGTGCGGATGAAGTATGTTCGCTCCAGATCCTTGGTCTCATGCGTCCACATGTCCTTCAAGACTTCCTGAATGTCCAGCTCGCCGAACTGGTTCAGGACATTGCCCATCAAGCCCGTCTTGCCGACGGCCTTTTTCACATGAGAGAAGCCTTGCGCGACGACCTCTTTGCCTCCGACGACGCCCGCCATCGAGCTCGTGACCTTGCCCAGGATGTTGTACGTCGTGTTGACGGCCTTTTTGCCTGCCGCGACGGTGTTGGCCAGGCTCTCGACGCCCTCGAGCCTCGGGTAGACCAAGGGGACCGAGACCATCCAGATGACATGCTGGACGCTGGGGGGGAGCGTCGCGACCTTGGGAAAGATGCCCTGGTATGTCGGCCCAGCCATCACTCGAGCCTGGGTCCTCTCCGAACGGCAGTCGGATCCGACGACTGCCATTGCCGGCCCCAGATGCTTGACGAAATGCCAGCCGACGCCGGTGACGGTGAAGATGTCATGATCGGTGCTGACGTTGCGCATCATCTCTACCGTAGTGTGGTGCTGGAACAAAAGATACATGTCTGTGGCGATGCGCCCGATGTTCTTGAACATGGGCGAAGCCTGCATATACGCTGGATAGGATCCGTACCCATCAAATCTGACCCCAGTCAGTGAATCAACTTGGACACGTCGTACCAAGCCGTGAACTTACATGTCGTGGTCGTTGATTTGCAGGACGTGCGGAATCTGAGCGAATGCCTCCCTCAAAAAAGGCTGGTCAAAGTGACTGGTGTAAAAGTGAAAGTAGGCGTGCGAGACATCCTCCTCATGGCGCGCGGTCCATTGGACGTTCTTCTTGTTGTCTCTGCCGCTCATGGCCAGCCACTGCCTGAGCAGGGGCACTTCTTTCCACAGTCGATCGCCGTAGATCTGGTCGCCAAGGCCAAGTTGCACATGGAAGCCGCCACAGTCAATGTTCTTTTGCAGCACGTCTTTCCACATGAAGCCAACTCCGCCGAGCCTGGCTCTTTCGTTTTGCGACGTACCGGCCGCAAAGTCGTTTCCAGAGTGAGCAATGAACCTCCAACCCGTCTCGTGCCGGCCGGCCACAACGAACTCGTACCGCGTGCATCCTAGGTGGGACGTGACGGCATACGTCCACCTCTCCGTGCCGCCCTCGCCCATTTGCAATTCCACTTCGTACCTGTAGAAGGACCAGCGCTGGTGCGTGGAGACAACACGAGGCTGCAGCTGCCTTGGGTTTGGGGAGAGGTCGACGCTCAGATGCATGTGAATGGTCGGGGGTTGGGGCGCATCTGTGACTATGAGTATGCTTCCGCACCACATGCCCTTCTCGACGTCCATGTTGATATATCTCAAATAAGGACCAAAGTAGACACCATTTGTCGGCTGGATTCTGTACATGTCGACGCCTGAGCTCGGAGGCGGGCCGGAGAAGCCAGCAGCCGAGGGCGTTTGCGAAGCCGCGACACTCATGATGCTCTCGGCATAGCCGGGGGTGTGCGGAGAGAACATTGGCGACGCCATGGACTGCTTTCCGAACATTGGCGACGTCAAGGGATTTCCATAGGTGGAAGCGGTGGGCGAGAGCGGTGTCTGCTCATGCTGGATGGGATTGGGGCCTTTGGGAAATTCCCACTGCGTGGCTTGCGTGGCCAGGTGAATGTAGTAGTACTGGCCTGAGTTCTGATCCAGATGAGCTATCCATCCCTCGGGCAATGGCGGCGGGGATGCGGGTGTTGGCGCTTGGAGAGAAGGAGTCGACGCAACCTGCACGGACTGGCCGTTTGCCTCTGGTCGAGGGTCGTTGGCGAAGGCGGGATGACCCGGGTGCTGAAGCGCGGGTGAGGCAAGAGACGTTGCCGACGCCGACGACGCAGGCTTTCGTGGTGGAGAAGACGAGGGGCCGGCTGGGGCAGTGTCAGGCCGGGCGGGCTGCTGTTGAGGGCGCTGTTTCTCTTTTGAATAGTCTCCGTTGGGATTGACTCTGGAATATGCCGGAGGCGGCGTCTTTGTGCCCACGCGCTGGTAATCTTGCTCCAAGACGCTGACTTGCGGGACCGAATCCCCTTGAGTCTGCACGGGCTGTTCCGGCGGCGGATCAAAGGTTGGCCGCGAGGGCGTGTCGGCGACGGGGTTCGCCCCCTGATATACTGTGGGAGGGCCCGAGGGTGCCTGGCCGGGGGACTCGGTGGGTGTCCAAGGACGCTGAGGTTGAGGAGCCTGGTGGCCGTACTGCGCAAGCCTCTGAGCGGCGGCAGCACTCTGTGCTTGATGAGCCTGCAGGCTGTTGAGAGTGGCCGTCCCCGCAATACCAGATGCAGCATATCGGGCCTCGATGCCGCCGGCTGACGCAGTTCCAGGTTCGACAATGGGTGTCTCCGGGGGCGGAGGCGATCCACGAGTGGCCCTCGTCGTCGAGTTGGAGGCCGTCGAGGCAAAACGATTAACACCTTGGTCGTCGACTTTCAGCTGGTCGTTGAGTTGCTGGTGATGCGGGTCACTGTCGGGCAATGCGGCGCCAGAGGCAGGCGGAGGGTAGTTTGTCTTTTTTGGATAGCTGGGATAGTTTGCGCTCGAGGAGCCGGGCCGTGTCTGCTCCTTCAGAGGCCTCGCGAAAAGGCCAAGGTCGGCCTCGGGGCTCGGAGGAGAGTGGATGACTTTGGGCGAGGCTCCTCTCCTCTCGGCGAGGCCAGGCCGCTTCTCTCCTTGATTGGTATCTATACGAGGACTTATACCGGCGTAGGCTGAGCCAAAGGGCTTTGGAGGAGTCGGTTTGCGCACGTCATCGTCGTCGGGAAATGGCAGCGGGGCGGCAGAGCTCGAGGCACCCGGCGGCAGGGGAAAAGTCGGCTTGGAGGAGGAAGCGGAGGGGCGGCGGACACGGCTGGGGCTCTGGGGCTTGAAGATACGCAGGGGCTGGACAGTCGGACTATCGGCACAGTCGTCGGGGGCAGGCTTGCTGAGGAACATCTCCCCTTCAGGGATGCCGCGGCTGGACTCCATGTCGCTTCACGGAGGCGTATGCTGGATCAAGGAAGGTATAGGGTTTGAAGCAGAGCTCCCTCCCTCTGTGGAGAAGGGCCGCGCAAGCGGCCTGGCAACGATGTGCTCAGCGCGGAGAGGGACGAGAAAGCAGAGCGGCTAGGCGAGCGATGTCAACGTGGACTGGTAGACGCGGTCGACACCCCAAGCGGCTGGGTCGCAGATTGGGCCGCGCCGGGAGGCTATGCCAAGGAATTTGTATATCAAAGGACGTGGCGAGCTTGTCGACGGGGCAAGAGGATATGAGCGGCGGTGAGACGGCGGAAGCGCAGCACGGAAAGGAAATGACGGGGCAACGAGACGAAAGGGACAAAGGGTTGAGGTTTAAGACAAAGACAAGCTCCCCAAGGCGGGTGGATATGGATTATAGAGGGGATGGATGGATCTGATGGAGGGGAAATCCATCCATCCCGAGGTGGAGCGGGACAGGAACAGGGAGGAACAGGGAGGAACAGGGAGGAACAGGGGACTGCTGGGCGGCAACGCAACGGTTAGCGGCCGAGAGGGCTTCTCCAGCGGTGGCCACGGGCTCTTTAGTGGACCGCAGCCAGCTGTCTCTAGCGGGTCGCACAACGCAGCGGCGCCTTGGACGCGGCCGTGATTGGCTGGCCGGCCTTCGGGTCCAGCCTCTAAGCGCCGGGGGCACAGGAAGCAAACCGCGCCGAGGCTTTCTCTCGCTTGGCTTGGTGCTTTTATTTCCAAAAGCTGCGCCTCGCCCCTCTTTTCCTCTCTTCCTCTCTTCCCTTCCCAGGCCGTCTCGTTAATCTGCGGGCCAGGACCCAGCGGCAAAAACGCTCTGGCTGGCCAATCAAAGGTCATGCGTCTTGCTGCCGAGCTTGCGAATGCGCGTTGAGTTCCCTGCGACGCCATCGGATAAGACATCTCTGGACTTACTGTAGAGTTGTGAAGAAGACAAGGTGGAGCCCTCGAGGTACGGTATCTTAGTCAAGGGGCTCCAGTGCCGGGGACCAAAAAAGAGTGGGACACCCCGGCACTCTACGCGTTGCCAGGGTCCCTCCCAACCAAAGACGCGCCGCGCCGTAGCTTCAAAATCGACCGTCCATCACCAACATTCATCGTTTGCACCACCACCCAGCACCGGCCCTCACCATGGCCCCCGTGTCCAGCAAGAAGCAGCAGTCCTTGACGTCCTTCTTCACCCCAAAGACCGTCAACGGACTGGCCGCTTCCTTTGAGAAGCAGAGCCGCGCATCCGCCTCGCCCAGCGACGACGCCTCGTCCCGGAAACGACCGCTCGACGACGTCGCAGACGAGCCAAAGGGCAGACCCGACCGCACGTCCAAGAAGGCCAGGTCCTCGCCTGCAGAAGCCCAAGCACAAGACGGCGACGTCGCTGCACCACCCTCACCCCCCGCCGCGCCACCAGCACGCGCCGACCGCTACATCTACGACGCAGCAAGCTCGGCCACCAACCATGACTCCCATCAGGCTCAGGTAGACGAGGCGACGAGGCGAAATAACGACGAGCTGCACCGGCGGTTTGTCAAAAAGCTGGGCCACCCCGATGCCTTATCCTGGCGAGCCCGCCAACAGCCAGAAGATGTCCCGGCCGGCGAGGACGATGGAGACGCCGAAGCAGATGACGACGAGTCTCCGGCACCCGCCAAGTTAAAGAAAAAGTCGTCCAAATCGGGCAAGCTGACGCCAATGGAGACGCAGTTCCTCGAAATCAAGAGAAAGCATATGGACACTGTCCTCATCGTCGAGGTCGGCTACAAGTTCCGCTTCTTTGGCGAAGACGCCCGAATCGCCGCAAAGGAGCTGAGCATTGTGTGCATCCCAGGCAAGATGCGATATGACGAGCGTGAGTTGACCCTTGGCTGTCTATCCAATCAAAATCTGTGCTGACCGGAAAGCTAGATCCGTCGGAAGCTCACCTGGACCGCTTCGCCTCCGCAAGCATCCCCGTACACAGGCTATCCGTCCACGCCAAGCGGCTCGTTGCGGCCGGGCATAAAGTCGGAGTCGTCCGCCAGATTGAGACAGCCGCCCTCAAAAAGGCGGGCGACAACCGCAATACACCCTTTGTCAGGAAGCTCACCAGCCTCTACACCAAAGGCACCTACATCGACGAGAACGGCGAGCTGGACCAGCAGACCGAGGGCGCACCCTCGGGCGGTTATCTGCTGTCCATTACCGAGACCAAGTCCAAGGGCTCGGGGACGGACGAAAAGGTCGACGTGGGCATCCTCGCCGTCCAGCCGGCCACGGGAGACATCATCTACGACAACTTTGAAGACGGCTTCATGCGGAGCGAGATTGAGACGAGGCTGCTGCACATATCGCCCTGCGAGTTCCTCATCGTGGGCGAGCTCACAAAGGGCACCGAAAAGCTGGTCCAGCACCTGTCTGGGAGCAGCACCAACGTCTTTGGCGACCGCAGTCGCGTCGAGCGCGTGCCCAGGAGCCAGACCATGGCCGCCGAGGCCTCGTCGCACGTTGCGCAGTTCTATGCCGACGGGCTCAAGGACGCCTCCGAGGACCGCCCCACGGCCGCTCTCCTCGAAAAGGTGCTGAAGCTGCCCGAGCCCGTCACGGTGTGCCTCTCCGCCATGATCAACCACCTCAAGGAGTACGGGCTCGAGCACATCTTCAACCTGACCAAGTACTTTCAAAACTTCAGCACGCGCTCCCACATGCTCATCAACGGCACCACGCTCGAGAGCCTCGAGGTGTACCGCAACTCGACCGACCGTTCCGAGAGGGGCAGCCTCTTCTGGGCCCTCGACAAGACGCTCACCCGCTTCGGCCAGCGGCTCCTGCGCAAGTGGGTCGGCCGCCCGCTGCTCGACCAGGACCGCCTCGAGGAGAGGATGGCGGCGGTGCAGGAGCTTCTCGACAAGCAGTCGACGGCGCCCCTCAACGAGCTGGAGAAGCTACTCTCGTCGGTCAAGATTGACCTTGAGCGCAGCCTGATCCGCATCTACTACGGCAAGTGCACGAGGCCCGAGCTCCTCTCGGCCCTCCAGACTCTGCAGAGGATCGCGACCTACTACTCGGCGCAGAGGTCGTCGTCGGCGGCCGCCCCGTTTTCGGCCGCCCTGCTGGCATCGGCCACCGGCACCCTGCCCCAGATCCTCGATGCCGTCGTCTCCTACCTCGAGCGCATAAACCTCCAGGCAGCCCGCAAGGACGACAAGTACGGCTTCTTCCGCGACGACTTCCAGACCGAGGACATCCAGGACCACCAGCTCGGCATCGCTCACGTGGAGCACGAGCTCGACGCCCACCGCGCCGTCGCCGCCGACAAGATCAAAAAGAACAAGGTCGAGTACGTCACCGTCGCCGGCATAGAGTACCTCATAGAGGTGCCCAATTCCGAAATCAAAAACGTGCCCGCCTCGTGGAGCAAGATATCCGGCACCAAGAAGCTCTCGCGCTTCCACACCCCCGAGGTCCTCGGCCTCATCGCCGAGCGCGACCAACATCGAGAGGCCCTCGCTGCCGCCTGCGACAAGGCCTTCAAGGACCTCCTCGCCGAAATCTCCGCCGACTACCAGCCCCTCCGCGACGCCGTCGCGGCCCTGGCCACCCTCGACTGCCTCCTGTCCCTGTCCAAGGTTGCCGCCCAGCCCGGCTACAGCAGGCCGACATTTTTGCCGTCGTCGTCGGAGCCCTCCATCTCCATCTCCCAGGGCCGCCACCCCATCGCCGAGCACACCCTCGAGGCCGGCTACATCCCCTTCACCACGGCGCTCGCCCACCCCTCCCCGCTAGCCTACCTCATCACCGGGCCCAACATGGGTGGCAAGTCGTCCTTTGTCCGCGCCCTGGCCCTCATCGTCCTCCTCGCCCAGATCGGCTCCTTCGTCCCCGCAGACTCCCTCTCCCTCACCCTCTGCGACGCCATCCACACCCGCACCGGCGCCCAGGACAACCTCTTTGCCGGCGAGTCCACCTTCATGGTCGAGGTCTCGGAGACGGCTCGCATCCTGCGCTCCGCCACCCCGCGCAGCCTCGTCATCCTCGACGAGCTCGGCCGCGGCACCAGCACCCACGACGGCGCCGCCATTGCCCATGCCGTCCTGCAGCACATAGTCACCGAGACGCGCTGCCTTACCCTCTTCATCACCCACTACCAGAACCTGGCCCGTGTCGTCGACGGCCTCGACGGCGTCAAGAACGTACACATGAAGTTCCGGGCCGACGACGGCGCCGACGGCGAGGAGATCACTTTTCTCTACGAAGTGGGCGAAGGCGTCGCTCACCGGTCCTATGGCCTCAACGTTGCCCGCTTGGCGCGTATTCCCAAAAAGGTACTCGATGTGGCCGCCGGCAAGTCGGCTGACCTGGAGCTGGAGGTCAGGACGCGCCGACTCAGGGGGGCATGTCGCACATTGAACGACATCATTACGGGCGATGCTTCGGAACAGCTGCCGCAGCTTATGGCCAGCATCGCGCAGCTGTAACTCGTACCCTTGGTTTCCATCACCACATACAATGTGTCAGTACGAAGGTTAGTGCCTATTTCTGCGTGGCTGCCACGTCTAGTCCGCCAGATATAGCGTGTTTGGAAGACGAGATGATCTTTGTGATCTCAACCATGCGTTTAAGGCCCTGGTGCCTCTTGAGTGATATTTCACCAATGATCGTGAGCAAACGATTATACCACCGCCTTCCCGAGCCCAATCCCAGCCGATTCATCCATCGTGATTCCCCAATAAGTGCCAGCACCTGGCCCGATCGTGAGTGCAAAAGAAAACCCATGCATGGATCTCATCTCGAGTGGACCCCTGAGAAACAAACGTCCCATAGAAGCCTCCTGCATAATGTGCATGCTGCAATCAATGCATTGCTTCGCGGCCGTACGCGAAACCTCCAACAAATAACCCGTTTTACGGAGAGGGAAAGAAAAGGAAACAAAAGAGACATGGAAAGGAGAGGACGACTCAAATGAAGCGCTTCTTCCCGTGGCGAGAGGAGCGCCCCTCAAATTGCCACCGCTGTCGGGATCATGGTGTACAGTATCCTTCTTCGATGGCATTCGACGCGTCGTCTCATAATTCGGAGGCGAATGAGTTGAGACTCGAATCGTGATTCCACGATTTGCTTTTGGAAGAAAAAAAGTGAAGAGGGGCGAGGAGAAGCGCCAACGTGCGCGATGGTAAGCTCCGCGTAGAAATATCAGATTCGCAAGGATGACATGGCCCTACTTCTTCACTTGAGCACCAGTCGCGTCGCTCTCGAACCAAGAAATGCGGTTGTTCAACGCAGTCCCTCTTTAGACTCAAGATGGAGAGCGTCAATGAGTCACCGGCTCGTCCAAAATCGATTCAGATCCCTCTGCATCGCAGGGAATGGAAGGGATGTTAGATGTCCAGCTCTTGTTCGCCAAGGTCTTCGTGAGACTCAACGCCGTTATCCGTAGGCTGCGCATCCCATATGCCGTTCAAGGTAAAGGTGGATTGCTTAACGTCGCTCGAGGGGGTATTCTCGATATCGTCGCACATATGAGCCTCAACCTTAATGTTGGGTCCAGTTGCGCGTTGCTCGTGATCGTGAACTGCGCGACTGTGGTCTCGACCGCGGTTAATCGGAGTGAAGCTAAACGAGGACATTGCTTGGCTTGTGTGCGGCTGACTGAATGAAGTGAGGAACATTCGATCATGGGAGAAGAGTGGATTCGACTCGGACATGGTGAGGAACTGATTGTTGCCTGGGTTGGACAGTGAGTCGCCTGCTCCAGACGAATAGTCCCCATGTTTGGCTTGCGGGAGGTTGTTGGGGTTCAGGCGAAAATTGTCTTGAGAAAGGGCGCCGAAGTGGCTGTTGCCAGCAAATGAAAGCCTCGCGGAACCGCCATACATGGTCGCATCAGTGAGCCCGTACGATGTCTCGACATTTGCAAGAGAGCCTTGGCTGGTTAGCATTCCCAGTCTTTGGAGAAAATCGGCCTGGCAAGCGCCTCGTGACTCACTCAAGTTCAAATGGCTACCTTGGCCGAGGTACCCATTAACGGGACCTCTGCCCCGTTGGGACTCTCGCGAACAAAACAAACGAGTTGAAAGATCTCTGGAAGGGGTTGGTGACACCACATTCGAGTGGGATATCGGGTTGAGCGCATGCAGCCCGAGTCGATCACGCGTATCAAACCTGGTACATAATAAGCTTCCATCCCTTCGGACCAACAGCTGGGGATCGCCCTACTTTCGGTCTTGATGAGTCGGCGTTGCAAAGGAGCGGTCTTCGTAAATCCCTGAATCAGTCAGAGCCGGGTCGAGAGCTGGAAAACAAAGCATACCGGGGCCCCCATCATCGTCTTGAAAAATATCGTGGCCGTTTCGGAAGCCGCCGAGAGACGGGCTTTGCTCGGAGCTTGTGTCGCAATCGTATTCCAGCTGGATGTGCGGTACCCTGTTGCTCCTCGCCAAAGTGCTGCGGCCTGGGCGTCGGATGGCGCCGCGAGGAACGTTGGCAGAGATATCTGCCAGCGCTTCGGTTCTTTTCCGTTTGGGCTTGCCTGCCTTCTTGGGTGTCTCCTGAAAGTTAGCAGCGCAGGTTGACAAGAGAACAGATTCGGGAACCCACCTCCTCTTCCTGGCCAGGGATCGGCGATGAGCCATCGTATACGCCTTTGACCCTTTCAACTTCGAAGTCCGAGGTCATGACAACCTGTGTAGGCTCAATACCCTCAGAAACCCTGCGCATCTTCTCAATGACAGAGTTGGGCTTGCGCTGATTGCGAGTTCGCCTCATGTCCTCGTTGGCAAGGTCCATCTTGCCCATACCTGGCCAGACTTGACCCTTGAGTGACAGCGTGTCATTGCTGGGGAAGAGGTCGTCTTGGTGCTCGGCATCGTAGTCAGAAGCAAAGAATCCGGGGAACAGTGGATATTCTTGGGCAAACTCCTCCTGTTCGGATTTGACAGCCGTGCCGCTGCCCAGTCGCTTCGTCCTTCGCTTCGTCTGCTGGCTGTGTCAGCCGCCTTGCCTCTCGTCTTCCTCGTCGTCGAGTGCGGGGTGCACGAACCTTGGGTGCAGGGAAGGGAGTGACTCCTCGGGCGCGTCGGGTCTTTGCAGCCTCTTTCAGCTGCTTCGCCTTCATCCTCTCGACGAGGAGAGCCTCGATGCCATTATCCTTGTACCAGTTCTCGTACTGGTCCATAACGACAGAGGCTTCGAGATCTTGGTGGGATTTGAGCCTGGTCTGAGTCTCATGATGAAGATGGCCTTTGGATGCAATGTGCGTCAGCAAGTGTGACACGTCGGAGAAGCGCGGCGTTTCGGGGCAGACGGTGCAGAGGAGCGGTATCTGCCTGTTTGCCGAGCCGGGAGTGTCGCTTCTCATGGTGGCCAGAGACGCCATGTCCTGCGTAGGTAGCACTGCATCAGTCATCCTTTCACTTTGGGAACACTGATGGGCCCGCAACTGGGAGTCTGGACTGACGGGCTGCAATCGGGGTGGCTCCGACAGCAGAAAGGTTCCGGTCAGCAACTGATACCGGACAAAGAGCAGGAAAGTAGCAACAGGTCTTGGAGCCCAGAGGGTGCAGCACGGAGGGAGGCCAGATAGGGGAAGCAAAGAAGCAATTGGGGAGGGGTGGCTGGTTGAGGTTGCTGGGAAAAGAGCAACTCGCCGGACAGCACAAGAGGAGGAGATGGACCTCGCGCGGAGGAGCGAGTGTTCAAGGCCGAGAGAGATGGGTGAAGAGACGGAAGCGGGCCTTACCGAGGGGAGCCACAACCGACACTGACGACTTGTTGCGGCTGCAGCTGCGACTGCTCCCAAGAGCCGGAAAGACTTTGAGGCAACCGCGGTTGCTGGCTCGTCCTGCTGCCCCAGCCGAGACCGCTTAGGAACGGGAGCCTCGAGAATCAAAGGGGGGGCCCGAGAAGAATCAGCCAGCCGATTGGAACCGAAAAGCCGAACCTGTCGTCCGAAATAGAGAAGGCGTCTCCCAGTGCGGGAGGGGGAGGGCAGAGATGGAATGAGGGGAGGAAGGGGAAGCGGGGATGAAGGAGGAGAAGCTGAGCCGTAGGCAGAGAGGGCACGAGGGAAGGAGGCAATCGGGGGGGAGGGGGGGGTTGCCGCGATTGTCAGGCAGGTACCTCGGACCGCTTCTTTCTTTCCCCGGCCGCCAACCTCGACGCCCGCAAGCCAGACGAAAACAGCATTACTCTTAAGATGAAAGAAGGGGAATTTTGGGTCTTGCCGACGGCATGCAGAACTTCTGAGTCTCCTTGCAAGTTGAATAGGTAGCTGTTACTTGGGGCGAAGGTCAGCAAACTCGCGCGGCCAGAACAGAACGCACAAGATATGCAAGCATCAACAACAACGGTCACTCACCTTGCCACCAAGCAAATAACAGTGTCATCGCCATTTTACGTATGCCCTTCGCAGTTGTCGTCCTGCGCCGCCAACCTCCCGGCCTATGGGCTACCGTCGCACTTCCTCCACCAGGAGCTGTCGCCGGCTATATGCAGAGGCAATCAGTGAAGATGAAAAGGACAAACCTCAAGTGGCCGTTCAGGTTCAGACTTGGGTGGTGACGAACAGCCGCGAGATGGTAACTGAGTTGATTGGGCTACTTGTATAACTACCTGTACACCCAATCCTGCGCCCATATTCACCGTGCCTGCATTCACGCTCGCTGTTGCAGGGGCGCGATGCTGCCACGCTGTCCCACCAAGGTTGGCGCCTCTCCCGGCCCACCAGGCTAAGAAGTCTCGATGAGAGGCACAGCCGGCTTTCCCCTCACGCGAAGCATCGTGTCTGAAGGACTTCACAGGGCGAACTCCATAGAGAATTGGCGATGCCCCTGAAAATACCAACAGTTATCTTCTCCTCTCGCCTTGCGTCCTGGCTACCATGGGACGTAGCTTTAGCAGGTTGTGAAAGGCAAGAGAATTGTAGATGACGTGTGGGTGGTTCGAGTCTTCGTCTGGCAGCGGGAGTCCACCCTGAGAGCTAGTTGGGTGCGCAGTTAACCTTTCTGGCCGACTCCTCATCTATCGGCTAATCAGCCGATCGATGGTCGTCTTGGGCATACAATAGACAGGGTCCACTGCCTCCATGCCCGGATAGCCAAGGAGGCTCAGTCCTGCCAGACCAAAACAAGTGTGCCAGACATCGACCATGTCGCCCGGTCGATCCGAGATGCCGCCATTTTCGGGATCCTGACTCTTGAGGATGAAGCTAATGAGGGCATCGCGATCGATCCAGTGTGTACGATGGATCATGGCCAGACTGCTCAAGACCCACCAACTGTAGCAGACGTCTTCTTTTTTCTCTGGACGGCCGTTGAGACCGCCTCCGGGGGTTTGCCGCTCGCTCAACCACCTGCCGAGTTTCTCATGTTCGACGGTGTCCAGCCGGCCGGCAATGCTCAGCGCAGCAAGACATGTGAAGACCTGGCCAGAATGCGACTCGGCACCGGGCCTCACTCCGTAGCCGCCGTCAAAGTTGGCGCAGGAAGCGACATGGGTGACCGCCTTGTCCACATCGACCATAGACAGTAGTCCAAGAAGGGAGAGTGCGTTTAACGCGCCGTATAAGAAGCGGGTGTCTTCTTCGCCCCATTCATCGCCAAAGAAACTGCCCGTCTTAGGATCTTGCAAATCCGCAATGTCTGCTTCGTGTTAAAGACATGGTGCCAAGTCAAGAGGAGAAGCTGCGAGGGAGTAAGATTACAAAATAACCCACATTTACCCACCTTGGATTTGCTCGTCCCCCGAGTTTCGAGCTCGTCCAAGGCATCGACCATGGCGAGAAGCTGCACAGCACTTACTGTGGAGAGCATGTGGGCATCGTGTCCTGGGGCAGCTCCGAATCCCCCACTAGCGTGCTGGCAGGACAGCACGAAGTCAATGGTTTCTCCGCGAGGAAGACCATCAGGACGTCCGAGGAGGTGAAGGGCAGTCAAGCCCCAGTAAACGCCATTGAGGCGCAAGTGCTCCGTCAGCCAGTAGTCCAGTTCGTCCTTTTTGGTGTCCAAGTTTTGGATGTATTTCACGTGAGCCTCTGTGGCAAGACTCAGCTCGCCAGGGACTTGAGCAGCCTGGGGCATGATGCCGACGATGCGTGGACCAAGGCGGACACCAGGATTTGCGTTGGACACAAAGTTGGCTGGGCTCGAGAGAATTTTTAGTCAAGTCGCCAACATGAAGTGCAGCTCCGAGCACGAAGATGAGGTCCCGTATTACATAAGCAGAGATGACTTAATCCCCGTTATTTCGCCCCGCTATGCCACGGCGCCTCATTTGGGCGGAGGCACTGCTGATGGAAAGCCTCTGGTTGAACGACCGTGCCCACCCGGGTGCCGGAGGCGTCTCTCTTCCATCCGGTGGAAACGAGGAACCTGGAATCGGGTCAAAGGTCAGCTTTACTTGAGAGAACTAGCGGGAACCAAAGGGATAATGAAGAGCTGCATGTACGAAGTCTTCAAAGGTTCATAGTGCACGAAGCGGCAGAGTGCCTGCGTAGTCACGACTTGGGGTCCATGCAGTGTAACGGCCAGCCATCCAGGTCTACGGGCCCCCAAGTGGAGTTAAAAAAAACGGCCGGTCCAGCAGTACCCAGGTACTGTATTAGGTACGTACCTAGGTAAATGGTTGTTTTTTACCCGACTTTGGCCCCCATCCACAGGTGGGCGCAGGGAACCCTGGGAGTCGTAGCTCACGGTACCAAGTACTTGCTCCGTATCACGCCGAGTTGCTGAAGCGCACCTGACTCGTCGTGCCAGAAACGCAAAATAGCTACCTACCGAGTAACGGAGTAACTCTGTCACGGCAGCTCTAGCTACTCCGTACATACAGCTGGCAGAACCGTGGACGCGTTGTTTTGGTGCATCACACGGCTCGGCGCAAAATCTAAAGCCGACTTGCAAGAACAAAGATGCAAGGTACCAGACCTCGCTCGCACTTGTGCGTACCGTACTTGGAAACATGCGGGGTTTCTATGCGGCCTGTGCGTGGAGCTTCGCTCCCCATGGTAACTACGGAGTAGCTGGCAGCTTGTTGCAGAGGCGGGAGAAGGATCCCCGAAATATGCGGAAGACCGTTTCGCAGAGGACCGCAGCATGGAGCCTGGGCCTGGCTCGGCTTCTTCACGACCGAATGCTCTCGAGTGATATCATTTGTACAAGGAAGCGGGGGTGATGATGCCCTTGGCCCTTTTGCAAGGACTCGGCCGCCGCTGAATCGGACAGTCAAGGACGCTTGTTTCGAGAAGAAGCAGGCCCGGGCTATGCCCGTTCCGGAGCTTAGCAAGAAATTGGCGCTCCAGGCACAGTCGTGGGCCTTGGCTTGGGCTTGGGCTGGCGTCCGGTATGGTGGGTTGGCCGGTTGGCCGGGTGGGGTGGAAGAGCCGGGCATCTGCCATGACGCGTCGGATGAGCCTTTGAGCCTTTGTGCATGAGAACTAATGCAGAGAAAAGCTGCCAGATTCGAAATGGGCGGCCGCGTCGTCGTCGTCTTCGGGAGGCGGGCGATGCAGGCGACTGCGACGTGCAGGGCAGGGGAAAGGGAGGGAGTTGGGAGAGCGGAGGGGTGGCGGCCCGCGAGGCTAAGGACTACCCTGGCCAGTAAAACTGGCGCGTTACCCCTGAAAAGGCCCATGCTGCTGGTGGCGCGTTTCAGATGGCCGTAACTGTTGGCCAGCAGCGGAGCCAGGGGGCTTGTAGCGGGTGGGTTGCGGCAGATAAGGCCGGCGGTGAAAGAGTACCTTAACGGGCCTCCAGGACACGAGCGGTCGCCCCTGCCACACACTGTACCTCTAGGCATGCGATGTTTTGCCCATCGCTAACCTGAGATACCTCCACTTACCGGCCACTGTATCCTTTGCCTGCAAAGTGCATCACGTTGCTTTGTCTCTGTGCCTGGCGCTGACCTGTGCTCGTTGGCCTTTTTGATGCTGCCAAAAAGCGAGGAAATAAATACCTACCGAGTACATACCGTATACCGAATGGAGGGTACGAATACGTTGAAAAAGGTACGGTGATTCCCACTATTATCCCAACGTTTCAGGGTCGCCAAGCGCTCTCTGCAAGCTCGCCGCTGTGCCATTCATTCCGGCCGTGATTTATGCCAGAGACAGTTAAAAGAGAGAAAGAGGGCGAGAGACAGAAGCCGGAAAAACGAGCGCCGCTGACCGCGCACGCATTGCAGACCCTAGCTCGCCCTTCGTCTCAGGAGCCGCCTAAGGTCGTTTCTGTCTCAACCCGCTGGGCCTGCTTTGCACTTTCTCGCACACACACACACGCAACGCACGCACTCACGAAACCCCACCTCACTCGACACTCGCGCCATCTCGCCGACCGCCCTTTGCCATGCCCATCGACAGTGAGGCGGTAGCAGCAGTACTCGTCCTCGCAAACATTGCCTAGGAGGTAGTGCTTTGTTGCGCCCTCCCCTTCCCTTCCCCCCCCCCCCCCCCCCAGTCTCCTTGCCCCGGTCCCGCCGGTTAGTCAATCTCGTCGTCGCGCTCCTTGCTGGCCCATCCAACGTTTTCCTCATCCCTCCAGGCTCCCCTGCCACACCCCCTTCCATCATCGTCTCAAGCATCCGACAAGCAAGCTCGAGCGTCGCGGTGTTGCTCCCTCTCGTCGCCAAAGCCAAACAAGTCATTGCCTCTGTGTGTGTGGCGGCTCCGGCCAGGGCCGACGCTTGGCCCGGTTCGAGATGGGACGCAAGCCCACGCCGCAGCCGCTCATGCTGGCGGAGCCCAATAGCACCCTGGACCACGTTGCCGACGACGAGCCGACCTATGCTGAAACGACGGCACAGGGGGCATCGCCTGTGGCCTCCAGATCGCCCGTCTCGCTGCGCTCCTCTCCCTTCAGCAGCAGGTTTGCACACAAGCGCCCACAGCCAGGGAGATCTGCCCTCCAGCCTGCAGACGACGTCAACCACCGATCCCAGTCCCCGCGCGACGACTCTGTTGCGCCGACATACCACACAGTTTCCTCTGCCTTGGACTCGCCCCCCGTTTCGACTTCCCAGCACGCCGGCAGACACCACGGCGCCACTGAATCAAAGAAGCCAGTCAAGTCAGGCTTCTTCCACTTCAACAAATCCTCAAAGGGGTCCAATCAGTTCCTCATCCCTGCCAACCAGCAGCGCCACCAGGACTCGCGGGAACACTTGACTTCGTCGGGAAGCGACGGAGTGACAGTCCCCCGGCGCGGAGGTACGAGCGAATCAAATCCCCCGTTGAACAAAGCCCGACTGCGCACGGCACATGTTGAGGTCCTGGCCGTTTTCGCCTCGGCCATTGTGCTACCCACCATCTTGACGCATTCCATTCCGCAATGCTGACGTCCTTTGACAGATTCACCCTATGCGCATGACCCTCTCCACAAGCCCACAACCTCGTTTCACTCACGCTCCGAACTGTCGCTCTCCTCCGCCGGCGACCACGAACCGACTGCGACATCGTCCCCGGGCAAGAAGAACAAGTCGAATCCCTTTGGCCTCCTCGGTCGCACAAAGTCGACGCACGAGATCAAGGGCCTCGGCAGCCCCAAGGCTGGGCCTGCGGCGCTTCACGCCCCATCCTGCAAGACTGACTTGTACGAGTCTGCGCCTCTCAGAACTGCCCCTGTCGGCCAGGATCGGACATTCCGGGACATGATGTCCTCGACCGTGAGAAATCGATCGGAAGACCGGGTTCCAGGCCGAGACGCCGCTGCCGGAAAGGAGAGTCATCGCGATCGGGACCAGCGGGCCCTCTCCTCGTTGAGGGACAATGGCGGATCCAACTTTCTCAGTGGTCTGCGTAGCTCCTCGACAAAAGCTGCCGACATGATCAGCAAGGGACTGTTTGGGAAGAGCCCGCGGAGTGGCGGCACCTCGGAGAGGGATTTCAACATTGACGACGAGCACTACCTGCCCAAAGTCATCAATCTGCCCTTGGTAGAGCAAACGCGACTCACCCGCATCTCGAAACGGCTCGAAGACTCGAAAGACAAGACGGAGTTTTGGATGCCCGCGTTCCCGTGGAGGGCAATCGACTACCTCAACTACAAGGGCTGTGACGTCGAAGGGCTCTATCGCGTGCCTGGTAGCGGGCCGCAGGTCAAGAAATGGCAAAGAAAGTTTGATGAAGGTACGTGTGCCGTTCATACGATGCCTCCAAGGCTCTCGACTGACCGGACCCTGAAGACTACGACGTGAACCTGTTCCAGCAAGACGGCCTCTATGACATCAACATTATCGGCTCGATGCTGAAAGCATGGCTGCGAGAACTGCCTGACGAGCTATTCCCGAAAGAAGCCCAAGACCGAATTGCCCGAGAATGCGCAGGCTCAACCACCGTTCCACAGATGCTCATCGATGAGCTGTCCGAGTTGTCTCCGTTCAACTACTACCTCCTCTTCGCGATCACGTGCCACCTCAGCCTTCTCCTTGCCCATTCCGACAAGAACAAGATGGATTTCCGAAATCTGTGCATCTGCTTCCAACCATGCATGAAGATTGATGCTTTCTGCTTCAAGTTTTTGGTGTGCGACTGGAGGGACTGCTGGAAAGGATGCAAGAACGAGAATAAGTACATTGAGGAGGAATACGCGCTCTTTGACCAGCCGCCACCCCGAGGGTTGTCTGAGCCTCGGCAACCCGGGAAGAACGAGAAGCACGAGGCACGTCAGGGCTCGTCCCCAGAGAGTGCCCAAAAGTCTTCAAGCGGTAGTGGCCAACGAAAAGGACGATCGAAAAAGCATCGCCACGGCGCTTCAGAGTCCAACGCGAGCATCGGCTCCAATGAGTCGTCGTTTTCGACGAACCCGAGCTCACAGAGCGATCGCATTGTGGCTGATGGCTCCCGGGACCTCCGGCCTTTGTCGCCGATCAAACCGTTGTCACCCCTCGGCTTCTAAGATTTTGATCGAGGGGCGCCGGAGAAGGTCCCCTTGCCGCTGTAATTTCACTCTCGTCTGCAGTCGACTGCCACTTCGGTGCTCATACGTACACGATTCTGGCATCCGCTGGCCAAAAAAATTACGCCGTCCACGACTTTCCGCCCGCCGTTGCGGCATCTTTCCCAAGGGCCCCTTTATGTGTTAATATGGTCAAGAGAGGGCAGCGTGTTCTCACTCATGGTTTCCACTTGTTGAGTGAGCCACACGCTGCATCTGACGTTCGGTATACCCCCTTCATGTCCCGCCAGATGCTCTTGACCTAGCAGTGCGGCCGAACCCCCGTCGTTTTCTACGTTATGCGCAAGTTTTTGTCACTCGGAGGCGCATCCCTTTTTCCAGCCTTCCGCCCGGGCTTCGGGCCTGGATGCTGGACGGCACAAGGGAGAGCCGTCAGTACGTTTGATTAGAGTCTGGCATTGGAGGCACAGCGTTGGCGAAATGGATGACGATGCAGAAGACATCGCCGAGGAAGCGCGTGCATTGCTTTTCATGGCATTTGGCCCAAAATGCTCCAGGAAGGCGCTCATGTACGATTATGGATATTGACCTCGGAGGCATAATTTGGAATCATGCACCGTTGGAGATGCCGGATGGGAGCACGAAGCGGCTCACACATACGGATAGAACGGAGCAAGTTGAATGACGAAAATGTCGTGTCCGTTGCCTCACCACAAAACCAGATTCTTTGGGCCAAACTCCCGACTCCGTGTAACCTTGGACGCCATGACCATGCGGCTCAGCGAATGGGCGAATACCATTTGGCGCCGCGGAGTTCAGCTTCGTTGGCCAGGCTTGGCCTCCGCATGCCGGTCATTCTTCCTCATCTTTCTCTCGTTGCGCTTGATCCTCTCCTTTCTATCCCGCCTGCCGTCTCCCCTCACGCTTGTGCCCTCCTTTCTCTCCATCTCCTTCTTAGGGTCGATTTCGACGAGCCAGTCATCTTCACCCTTTTTGTTCATGCCCTTGTAGCCCCATTTTCTCTTCCACTCGCCGCTCTCCTCGTCAAAAGCGAGGTTCTTGCGCTGCTCCCTCGTCTTGGGCTTGATGCCCTTCTTGGCGGCGAAGCGCTCCCATTTCGTGGGCGGCTTAGCCTCGGGGACGGGCTTCTCGCGCGGGAGGGGCGTGGCGGGGGCCGGCAGCGAGAGGAGGACGCCGTCGTTGGTGGTGGTCAGCGGGCAGGCGGTTAGGAGCTGGTTGATGAGGGCTTGGGCGCCGTCGCGGGCGACCTCGGCGAGGGACTGCTCGAGAGAGGAGTGGTCGAGTGTGATGGAGTTGGGGTCCTGGGCGAGGAGGAGGCCGAGATCAAAGGTGTATGGGGTGGGCTTCTCAACTGCAACCGGCAGCTTCGGCTTGGCGCCGGGAAGTGACATGGCGGCGGCCTTGGTTGGATCTGGGGGTTTCAACACTTGGCTACGTGAGACGGTGCGATTTATCGAAGCGATCGGGAATTCGCAACGGCTTGCAAGTAAGGTACTGTCGGTTTTTTTTTCTTGCGACCGATAACGATAATGCGCGATTGCCGGAGCAACGGAGGGAGATTTTCCGAGATGCGATTTCTTGGTGTCAAAGTGGCATGCCAATTGACGCCTGTAAGCCGTCGCAGCGAGCGTCGCTGATTCGCTCGAGATTTTTTTGCTTCGACGACGACCTCACTCGGAGCGGCCATCACCGGCTCAAAGCAACCAGCCTTGACGCGGCGCCAGGGACAACCCCCCCTTCTCCATCGACATACTTCCCTCGGGGGAGCTGGTCCGACGAGCCTCTCCCAGAGCCCATCATGGCAACCGCAAGCCGCCTGCGGAGCCTGATGAGGCCATCCGCCCCCGTCGCGACGCGAATCCAGCCCGGCATGCTCGCCAAGGCGCCCTTCTCCTCCAGCGCCGCGCTCGCCGCCGTGAACGCCCCGGTCATAAAGAGCCGGCGAGACCTGCCGTCGAAGCAGAAGCTGGTGTCGAAGCGGAAGACGGCCATTGCGCCCGTCAAGAAGCCCAAGCCGGGCGAGCGCAAGGCGTTTCGCAAGCGCATCCAGCTGAGCAACAACGGCGCCCTGCCCGTTGCGGGGCTCGGCGAGCTGGAGCCCCGGACCATGGCGAGTGCCGAGAGCCAGGGCAAGATGTTCGCCATCCCGGACAAGGTGGTGGACCAGCTGAGGGCGTTGGAGGCCTTCAAGACGACACAGATGTGGAGCCTGTTCCGCCGGCCGCACGTCCTCGTGCGCAACGAGACGGCTGAGCTGGTTGGCAGGTTAGAGGCCGCCAAGGAGAAAAAGGAGGCCTTGAAATGCGTGCTGACGGGGAGCCGGCTGTCTGGCAAGAGCCTGGTCCTGCTGCAAGCCATATCCCATGCTCTGCTGAACGAGTGGGTTGTGATAAACATACCCGAGGGTAAGTCTGCCAATGCGACGCCCACTGCTTGCAAGAACAAACTCGCTCACAGCCTGACTCTGCGTCTCCAGGCCAGGACCTCACCAACGGAAACACCGAATACTCCCCCATCGCCAACACCGAGCCCATGCAGTTCGCCCAACCCGTGTACTGCATCAAGCTCATGCAAAACATATACAAGGCGAACAGAGCCGTCCTGGAGAAGCTGCCCTCGCAGCGGGACTGGACTCAGACAATTGGCGGTCTCAGTCAGAGCGCCACGCTCGCCGACCTGGCCCAGGGCGCCAAGGAGAGCGAGTACGCTTGGCCGACGCTGCACGCTCTGTGGACGGAGCTGACGCTTCCCGGCCGCCCGCCTGTGCTGTTTGGCCTCGACGGCCTCGCGCACATTAACAAGCTGAGCGACTACCGCGACCCGTCCTTCAACCCCGTCCACGCCCACGACCTCAGCCTCATCCGCATCTTCGTGGACGCCCTGTCGGGCAAGACGCAGCTCCCCAACGGCGGTGCCATCCTCGCCGCTACCTCGGAAAACAACACGCAGCGCCACCCGTCGCAGGAGCTCGCCCTTGCGCAGCTCGAGGCCGGCCAAGCCGGCGCCGAGGTCCCTCGGCCCGACCCCTTTGAGCGCGGCTACGACGACCGCGTGTACGACGCGCTCAAGAACACGCACGTGCTGCGCGTGGGCGGCGCTTCCAAGGACGAGAGCCGCGCCCTCATGGAGTATTGGGGCGCCAGCGGGCTCTTTAAGGACGTCGTCGACGCCGAGACTGTGTGCCAGAAGTGGGCGCTGGCGGGGCACGGCATCGTCGGCGAGATGGAGAGGGCGTCGCTCATGACGATGCGCATGTAGACAGACATGTGTGGCATGTACAAGTAGAAGGAAGAAAAAAGGCTGTACCAATGCCGTACATTGCATGCGTTCCGGCAACACCAAGTGCCGCCCCGGTCCATGCTTGCCTGTCCACCGTCGCTTCGACGCCGCAAAGGCATGGCAATTGCAGGCCGAGTCCAACGCAAAACACGGACATATGATATTTCCCTTGCCAGTAAAACACGAATTGTAGACAGTCGCCTTCCGGCCCTCGCCTTGCCCCTTGCCTCTAGCCCCTCGAAATACCTAAACGCCAACCAGCTGCGAAGCAAGATTCAACCCCGATAGCACATCTTTCTCGGCGCCGAAACAATCGCCCTTCACTCGTCCATCTCATCCTCCCGATCGTCGTTGCCGGCTGTAACAAATACCAGCCGCGAACCGTTACCGGCCGTTTGCCAAATCTGTAGCCACTGTTAGCTCCTCGGCACCAGGACATGCAGAGCATAAAAAGGAGACGGCAGCCTCGGCGGCAACTTACGTCGAGGGTCGTGTACTCTTCCAAGGCGCTCATCCACTGGTCCTCAGTGAAGCCCTTGGCGATAACGCGCTCCTTGACCTTTCGCATGCTCAGCTCCACGCCCAGGTCGTCGTCATCTTCGGCATCGTCTGCACGGCAGGCACCCGAGTCGGCAACGGCCTTGACCAGATTGTAAATGCGGCTGCTAGCATTGAGACCGCGGCGGGAGGAGCCCATCTCGGCGTTGAGGCTTTCCTTGCTAGCCTCGATGAGCCGCAGCGCCTCGTCGACGTCGTCCTGCGAAACTTGGTTGCTGAAGCGGAGGCGCGCAAGGGCCTGGGCCAGGCGAACGACGCCTAGGAGCGTACGGGGGGTCGTGTGCGTAAACTGCTTTCCCTTTTGCTCGGCACGTTTTTGCTGGTCGCGCAGACGCACGTACGTCTTGATCATGTAGTCGGAGACGGACTCGGGCACCACCGGCCGGTACGTGCGAGCCTGCGCCACGTAGGAGCGCACCTCGTGGGGGCTGAAGACGACGTCGTCGCCGCCGAGATCGGGATGACGGCTGTTCATGTGGACGAATGCGACGTGCTTGGCGAGTTGCGCGTCGGAGTCGCGCGAAGGGGTATCGAGGAGGAGGAAGAGAACATCGAAACGCGACAGGAGAGCAGCAGGCAGGTTAATGTTTTCGACCGGAGAGATCCGCGGGTTATACCGTCCGTACACGGGATTGGCGGCGGCGAGGATCGAGGTGCGCGCGTTGAGAGTCGTGGAGATGCCAGCCTTGGAGATGGAAATGGTCTGCTGCTCCATGACTTCGTGAATGGCAGTGCGGTCATTTTCGTCCATCTTGTCGAATTCGTCAATGCAGCAGATGCCGTTGTCAGCCAGGACGAGAGCACCGCCTTCGAGCACCATCTCGTCGGTGACGGGATCACGCATGACGGCAGCAGTTAGGCCGACACCACTGCTTCCGCGACCGGACGTGTAGACGCCTCGAGGAGCGACTTTTGAGATGTACTTGAGCAGCTGCGACTTGGCAACACCGGGATCACCCATCAAGCAGATGTTGATGTCGCCACGAATCTTCATGCCGTCGCCCATTTCCTTGTTGACACCGCCAATGAGCAGTAGCAGAAGTGCCTTCTTGACGTCGAGGTGGCCGAAGATTTCGGGCGCGATTGACTTGGCTAGGAGCTCGTAGACCTGCCCGGTCTGCCTGTACTTGTCAATCCGCCGAACCAGCCGAGCATCGACAATCATTTCGCTGTAGGCCTTTTTATGTTGGTGGATGTGATGCGCTTCGACATAGGTATCGGTCAGGAGGCCAGCTTTCATGGCCTTGAAGCCGGTGTAGGGCGTGGGCAGGAAGATGCCGGCAATGTCGATGACATCTCCCGGGTTGATCTTGCGAACAAGGCTGCCGTAGCAGAGGACTGTGAGAGAACGGGGAATCTGGCCAATGGGGACCTGCTCCGCCATTTCTTGCACCTTGACCTCTTGGAAGGGCAGAAACTTGGATGCTCGCGTCGACGGGTTCAGCTGGCCCTTGGACTGGTTCTTCTTGCAGTCCTCCGACGGGCACACTGCCAATGGTCCGTACTGCCTGTCGCTGATGGGCTGGAAAATCTCACACCCACAGCGATCGCAGGTATAGGCGCTGACTTGGACAATGGGCTTGACGTCCGACACGCGAGTCGCGATGGCTCGGACGGTGATGAGTTTCCCGATGTGATCACCGCGGACCTGGCGAACGGCGAGGGCCTTGGTCGGGTGGTCCGAGGTGCCGGAGCGAGGCTTGAAGACGAGGGTATATCGCCGCGTGAGCTCGGCAGGGAACTTGTCTTGCTCGGCCGTGGGGTCTCGCTCGGCCGCCTCCTGGAGCTCTCGGTTGCGAGCCTCGCGTCGCGCCATCAGCACGTCGAGAACGTCGTCTTTGAAGCTACGCGCGGGTCAGCTCAGCTCACTGCGGACAAGGGGGCGCAAGGCTCACCTGGTTTCCGTATTTGGCGGGGGCATCGCGCTGTCGACAGCTCTGGAAACGATGTCGACGTAATGCTTGGTATTGGCCTCAATCGAGTCAATGAGCTTGAGGCTGTCGCCCGTTTGCTCTTCCCACTACGAGACTTGGGCGTCAGTCGAGCTCGGAGAGGGACGTTGGCACTGGCACGAACCGAGTGCAGGTCATCCAGATCAATGACGATCTCGTTGACGGTGCGGTCTGCCAGTTCTTGCAGTGCCTCCTTGTATTTATGGTGCGGCACTCTCCGGCGCTCCTTCTCCTGGCGACGACGCTCTACCGACTCTTGGTCCTCGTCCATGAAGTCGTCGTCACTGAGGTCATCGTCGTCGATGGTGACGTTGCCCAGGGCAGTGGCGATTGTGTGCTCGGGCGACGTCTTGAAGCCCGTCAGAAAGTCCTCAAACGCCTCTGCGACCAGTTAGAGCTCGCCGGCAAGGGTAGACACGGAACGGGAAACCGACTTTGCTGCGTCTCATAGTTGACGGGCGCCTTGAACTCGCGGAGCGCCATCTTGCACGAGCGCGGGCAGGAGGACTCGACTGCTGGGTGGCGCCTGTGGGATGCAAGACGGGGGAGCGGGATAAGAGGGTGGCGAATGCGCTTCCACGATGATTGTGGTCGAGGGCAGAAATGGACGAGGTCGAGGAAAAGAGAGGTTGAGGTTTGGCTGGACGCATGGCGGGGCCCGGACCACCACTAGACGCGCCTTTTCGCGTCGCGCGTCCCCAAAGTACCTGCACCGCCCCGCGTCCATTAAAGTGGCGGCCGTGCGCCACATGAGGCGTCGCGGCTTAGGCGCGCTGCTGCATGCAGTCGGAGCTCCGGGGCACGTGGTCGTCTTACCTCGGCCCTTTGACGCTGCGACTTGCGCCAGCCAAGCTCCCCGTCGTTCCCACACTAGGAGCTCAATTGCCATCCTGAGTCCTCCAAGGAAGAGAGTCGTGACTGTGTCGGCGGTCAGCCATGGGCCCCCGGAAGAATGCGCAGTCCACCTCTGCCGAGCTGTCTCTTCTTCACCTCAAGAACTGCCTTGTCAACCTTCCCTCTTCGCTCGTCTCGCTGCTGATAAACGTCAACACGGTCAGTCTTTTTTTCACTCGCTCACATGTTCGACTCTTGCTCATGCCATCGGCAGCCCGTCCAGAATGTCGTCGTCGAGCTTAGCTACCGCGCCCCGTCGACCAATGGACACTCCGCCACAGCCACTCCGCCGCCGCGATCCGTCTTTGTCGGATGGACGGGCATGCCCAGCAGGAGGAAACCGGCTTCTGTCGTCGGTCGCGATGGACTCATGGGCTCCCGGGGCTCCATGCGCGATCATGAGACGCAGCTGGTCGAGATGGACGCCTCTCTAGCCCGCGCCCTGGAGCTCCCCGATGGCCTCAAAGTCACCGCCACCGTTCACGTCGATCCACCCATGGCGCACACGATCAACATCGAGCCCCTGACTCCAGAAGACTGGGAGATGATTGAGTTGCACGCAACATTCCTCGAGTTGAACCTCTTGTCACAAGTTCGAGCCCTTCCAAATCCAGCCTACATGCTCGGCGGCAATACTCCCGTGCCTCCTCACCCCCTGACTCTTCATCTCTCCCCGACCTCGGCCGCAAATATCAAGGTCGTGTCGCTGGAGCCCGCGCTGCCGTCGGATGCCCCGTTTGCGAAGCTGTCCGCAAACGCCGAGGTCATTGTTGCTCCCAAGACGAGAGCCAAGGCCACTCAGAGCAGCGGCGACCACCGCAGTGTCGCGAGCACCTCCAAGTCGAGACGCAGCGGTACGAGCACGGTCCGCAGACGGAGCGCCAGAGAAGAGCCGAGGCCGACAATGTTTCTCCGGGCCATCGACAGGACAGCCTGCGATGATTGGTTCGATGATGGTCCGGTTTGCACCGACCTCTGTGTGTGGGTTGATCGAGACCTTCTATATACAAACTCTTTCAGAGGCGTCAACTACGTCGTGGTAGATGTCATCAAGCCTGCTGGGCTGCGCAAGCCGCAGCCCGAAGATGGATCGACTCCTGCTGTCACCATTGCTTCATCAAAGGTCGTGGCTAGCCTCAAGTCATGGGACGATCCGCCCAACGGGCAGGCTGCGGCCCTATCATCTCCTCTTTGCGTGGCGCTCGGCTGTTCTGGAATCGTCGGCGGCATCGTCAAGATTCAAGCGGCCCCGCAGCCACTGCAACAGGGCCAGGTGCAGCAGATCAAAGTCTTTCCTTTCGCGCTCGGGTCCAAGGCCGGCGAGGGGCTGCGGTTTGGCAGCGAGACAAAGGCCGAACAGGAAGAGTCGGCCAAGAAGTTCAGACACATGTATTCTGGTTCCCAAGGCGCGGGAGGCTTGCTTCAGGGACCCATCACCGACGGCCTTGTCGTCGGGCTCTGCGAAGGCATCGAGGCACCCCATGGGTGGGAAGGCGGCGTGGTCAAGTTTGAGCACAGGGCGGACACGGCGGTCCAGGAGAAGAGCAAAGAGGCGGCCCTGTGGATGACGAGCTTGGACTCCAAGGTTTCCATTGAGTTTCAGCAACCGCAGCCCCGGCCACCTTGGATGGCCAACTCCGATGTATTTGAGTTGCAGCCATCGGACGACTCCTTCTTGGTGGGCATCGACGCTCTACTGGCGAGCCTACAGTCGCATCTCGCTCACATGTCGTCGGTGCTGTTGACGGGCACGATGGGCTCGGGCAAGACGGCCGTGGCAAAGCACCTGGCCAAGAGACTGCGCCAAGAAAGCCTGTCCTATACGCTTTATTTCTCCTGCCGAAAGTTGGTCAACGATGAAACAAGCGTGTCCACAATCAAGGAAACGCTGAATCGTATTTTCCTGTCCGCAAGCTGGGGGGCCAGACTGGGCGGTAGGGCCCTCGTCGTGCTCGATGACCTCGACAGGCTGTGTCCTGTGGAAACGGAGCTGCAGGTGGGAAACGACAACGGGCGGAGCCGACAAGTGAGCGAAACCATACGGTCAGTTGTCCGGCAGTTCTGCACGAGAGATAGTGGCGTTGTCCTCTTGGCCACGGCTGAAGGGAAAGACTCAATCAACAACGTCGTGGTAAGCGGTCACGTTGTTCGGGAGATTGTCGAACTGAAGGCGCCTGACAAGGAAGCGAGGCGGCGAGTCCTGGAAACGATTGCGAAGCAAGGCGCGGTGGCAGCCGACCATGGCCAGGGACCGGCAAGCGACAACAGTCGTCCGCCAACTTCTGACGGCAGCGCGGCAGGGGATGACGGCGATGCTTGGATGCATGGCTCGGGGCCGCATCGACCCAGAGCTGGCGCTGGCGGCTTCGCTCTCGCCTCAGACCTCGACTTGCTGGACATTGCGGGCATGACGGATGGCTACATGCCCGGCGACCTGGTGGTTCTGGTTTGCCGGGCCAGAAACGAGGCCATGATCCGCTCCATCGGCGATTCGCCATTCCAGGATGGCTCTGGCGCCATTTGTCTCGGCCGTGCAGATTTCGACAAGGCATTGAAGGGCTTCACGCCGGCGTCCCTGCGCAATGTGTCGCTGCAGAGCTCGACGACGACGTTTGCGTCCATCGGGGGCTTGCACGAGACGCGCAAGGTGCTCCTCGAGACGCTCGAGTACCCGACAAAGTACGCGCCCATCTTTGCGCAATGCCCGCTCCGCCTGCGGTCGGGACTGCTCCTTTACGGCTATCCCGGCTGCGGCAAGACGCTCCTCGCCAGCGCCGTGGCCGGAGAGTGCGGCCTCAACTTCATCAGCGTCAAGGGGCCCGAGATCCTTAACAAGTACATAGGCGCCTCCGAGAAGAGCGTCAGAGACCTGTTTGACCGAGCGCAAGCGGCGAGGCCGTGTGTCCTATTCTTCGACGAGTTCGACTCCATCGCCCCCAAGCGAGGCCACGACTCCACGGGTGTCACGGACAGGGTGGTCAACCAGCTCTTGACGCAGATGGACGGCGCCGAGGGCTTGTCGGGGGTGTACGTCCTGGCGGCGACATCGCGCCCCGATCTCATCGATCCGGCGCTGCTGCGGCCCGGGCGGTTGGACAAGTCACTGCTCTGCGACATGCCACGCCTAGCCGACCGTCTCGACATACTCAAGTCGTTATTCCAGAAAGTACGGTTGTCGAGCGAGCTAACCGAGTCGGACGATATCTTGACGGACGTTGCGCGCCGTACAGAAGGGTTTTCCGGAGCTGATCTGCAGGCCCTGGTGTCCAACGCACAGCTCGAGGCCATCCACGACGTGCTCAACACGAATGCTCCTCCAATGTCGGCATCCCGGCGCGGAGCTGGACAAAAGGCAACCGCGCAGCACTCCACTCCGAGCTTCGTGCAGTTCCGCTACGGTACCGGTCCGGCGGACAAGGTCGCTGCGCAGAGCACGTCTGACGCTCTCGTCGAAAATGCGGCAATCGTGTCCAAGCTGGAACAGATCAGACTGGCCCGCAAAACGGCCAAGCAAGCGCGCAGAGGCGCGGGCGGCGAGGACCGAGAGGAAAAGGAGACGACGGAGCAGCAAAGAGAGGTGATTATGGAGTGGTCGCACCTCGCCAAGGCCCTCGAGAACACGAGGGCGAGCATCAGCGCAGCCGAGGGGGCGCGGCTACAGAGAATATACAGGGAGTTTGTCGAGGGGAGGAGCGGGCAGATGAAGGACGGCCAGGGAAGCATGGAGATTGGAGAGAGGAGTAGTTTGATGTAGCCGCCGCCGCAGCCGCCGCCACGCGCTCTCCTAGTCAAAATGGCAGCTGGACACTGTCGCGAGGAAGAACGCGCGGCAGTGCGTCCAGGCCCGATGAATGTGTCGGCGCTCTATGCTTCTATAAGTGGCCTTGAGCGGACCCGTCCCCGTCCGGCTCCTCTTCTTTCCTGGTCAGTTCCTGGGCCAGTGACAGGATCTTATCGTGAATATCTGCATGAGCAACGACGAGGCCGCGGTTCCGGCTCAGATAGCGGCCGGCGCCAAAGTCAATGGCCCGGCCGTCGAGGTCCGTGGCCCTGCCGCCGACCTCTGCGTAGATGAGCTGCGCGCCGGCGTGGTCCCAGATGCACGACCTGCCCCTGGACCCTGCCGGGATGCGCACCAGCGCGTGCCCGCCGCCGACGACGAGGGCCGCGTACCGCACGTGCGAGGACCACACGTCGGTGCCGGGAAACGGGGCGCCGAGCCGCGCCGCGAGCTGCTGCATGACGGCGCGGCTCGACGGCGGGTTCAGGTGGCAGTCGACGACGTGGACGTGGCCGAGACCCCGGGGCGGCTCGAGGCGCTGTAGTCGGCGGGGGACCGGCGCCGGCGGGGAGGAGCTGTCGGGCGAGGAGGGCAGGGCGAAGAGGTTGACGCCGTGGCCCCGGGCCGCCGAGAGCATGATGCCGAGGCCGTGCGAGTCGACGCTCGACTCGCTGACGCGGCCGTCGGGATCCAGCTTCAGATTGGGACACGCCAGCACGCCGACGACCTCGTGGCCGTCCTGGACGAGGGCGAGCGAGACGGCGTACTGCTCGCCCCGGAGGAACGCGGCGGTGCCGTCGACGGGATCCATGACCCAGAAGCGGCCGTCGGGCCCACCGGCGCCGCGCCCGCCAAGGTCGATGAGGCCGAGCATCTCGTCCACCGACACCGCCGACGCCGCGGCCGCGGAGAAGAGCTCGTAGACGCGATCCCGCAGGGCGGCGTCACGACGGAGCAGCCCCGAGTCCTCCTCGCCGACAAACGCGTCCCCCGGGAACGCGGCGCGCAGGGCGGCGATGAGGAGCGCCTGCGCCGCAAAGTCGGCCACGGTCACGGGCGACGCGTCCTGTTTGGACACCTCGCTGACGGCGCGCAGCACGCCCTTTGTGAGCCGGGCGGCCGCCACCACCGCCGCCTCGGCCACCTCGCGCTCGCGCTGCCAGCCGCCGCTGCTGGCTGGACCGGCAGACATGGTCCCGCGGGGAATGGCGGACCTTGTTTTTCTGAGGCGTCGCGCAATGGTGGTCCGAGTCCCGTCTCGCTGATTTCTCTCTCGTGTGCTGGCGACGTGGTCTTGATTGACTCTGGACTCTGGAGGATGATGATGAAGCGGGGGTGATGCGCTACAAGACCGGTTTGGGATGTAAGTAGCTGGTGGCATTTTGCGGATGAATTGACCAACCTCTCTACCTTATCACTCTCCATCTACAGAGGAAGTATAGCTCACGTTATCTTGCTTTCCTCTCATTTACAACTCCCGTATTTACCTCGCACATGAAAGTCGAAAAGCGTAAAGAAGCAGGCTGAAACTGAGACGGACCGCCTACCAGAGGCATCCCTACTCATGCACACAGCGACGCCCCTGATCGAGATGAAGAAGTTGAGAGGCTTCAGACATGGCACGTCGCGCCGCGTCCAGGAATATTCACGAAAGACAGTGCACAAGTCTTGGGCCACACAAGTTTTTGTACGGCCTCCTACCGCCAATTCGGCCCTCGTCAACGTGGTCACGTAGCTACTCTAGGACAGCATCCTATAAAGCTGCCGTCCTGGCTTTCTCTGCCAAATCGCCTTCGAATCGGCCATTCTTCCATGCTGCACCGCCTCACCCCTCCCCTTCTTGCGTGATGGGCAAAGACCACACTCTCACCCTCCCAGTGCGGCAGCGACAGGGTCTGGGCGAGGCATGGAAGAGAGGGATACAAAAAGAAGAAAGAAACCAACACAGAAATCGAAAAGGCTCGAGGAAGGGGCAGCTCGGCGTGTCCAGCGATCCTGGCAGGCTGCCAAGACGCTCCGTCAAGCCGGCCGTGACCAAGTCCTCTGCCACCATTGTCTCTCTTCATGCAAATCGGGGTATGTTGCTCTCGAATTTCCACGCCATAAACAGTAATCCTCAACCTTTGTACCAAACTCCGGCCGATGCAGAATAGGTGCCAAACGAAAATCTCTCATTCCAACCACGATCCTCCCCCTGAGTCGCCGGATGCCGGCTCTCGCTTGGTGCTCAGCGGCTTGTCCCGGCGCCGTTGGTCCGCGCAGAACCCGAGTTGGCTTCCTGTTTGCTGTTGCGAGCACGCAGCGTGCGATACATGTTGCCCAGTCGCTGGCCCGTGACGCTCTTGCTGGTATCATCAACCGGCCAGAGCGCCGCCAAGAAGTCCCTAAACACGTCAGGTTAGCATCGTCGTCGGTCAGTCATTGGGCCGGATCAAATACGAACCAGAAATTGTTCTTCAGGTCATCATCTCCTGCAGGGTGTGAAAACTTATCGTCGAGAAAGCGGCCAATCGCAACAAGCTCTTCGCCAAATATGTTCGCCCGTTCCTTGCTCGACTTGACGTTTTCCTTGGTCGTCGATAGGATCCTCTCGAAGTTTGCCCGGACCGGCTTCAGCAGGAACCAGATCATGGCATCGTTGTCCTTGTCCCTCTGGTCCTTGTTGTCGCCGATACGGCGGAGTTCGTCAAGCCGTCGAAGGGCGCTAGCTCTGCGTTCGTCCTGCGGCCGGGCCTCGTGGTGCTCTTGTTCTCGGGGGCCTGAGCGATCATCTCGACGGCGATCGTCGCGACGGTTGTCATCGCGATGGTGATCGTCCCGACGGTAATCGTCGCGGTGGCGCGGAGTGTCTCGGTGACGCTCGTCTTCGTCGCGGTGCCGGCGCTTGTCAAACCGATCACGATCTTCTCCGTGCATACTCGGGCGGCGCCCGTCGTCCGTGCGGCGATGCTTTGGGCTGCGACCGCCATCGTGCGAGGCATGTTTGCGCTTGAATTCGGGCCTGGAAGAGCCACGATCATCGGCATGGCTGCGAGGCCGATGATTGTCGCTATGCGAATGGTCCCTCTCCCGCTCGCGATTCTTCTTGACGCCGTGAGGCGCGGGCGAAGCCGTGCCGCTCCCACGATGGCCGTTGGCCAAGTGATGCTTCTTGTTGCGGTGGTGGCCATCGCCGGCTTTTGGACCAGCGCGGTCGCCGGAATGCTTCGTCTGCAGCACCGAGAGGAGGTATTCGGAGCGACGGACCAGATGCACAGCGCCCGGAGCCTTGAGCTTGTCGTTGGCTTTGGAGCGCTCCTCCTTCTTTCCCACTCGATGTTCCTCCAAGAAGAGCTTGCCCGCCATCTCGAGCTCGGGGTCGTCCCGAATCTGAACCCAGGCACCAAAGCCGTGTCTGTCGATGCCGATGAGAAGCATGGCGTCCTCTTTGGCTCCCCAAGGGCAGCTGTAATTGGTGCCCTTTGTGGCGTCGGCCAAGCGGAACGATCTCCACTCAGCTTGGCTCCGAATGGCCTGCCGAAGCAGCTGGAGTTGCTTGGGTCGTTCGATTGCCGTCTCCGCATTGACTTTCTTCAGCTCTCCGAAATCTATCAGGACGGCCTTTCTATCCTTCTTTGTAAGGGCCTTGCCGGTCCTCTTTTCCTCGTCGGCAACCTTGCTGTTGTTCTCGTCCAAAGCCTGCTGAGCAGCCTTGATGAAGTCATCGAGCACAGACTTGACAAACTCCGGGTCTCTCTCAACAAGCTTGGCCTCTTGAATGATGTCGTCGCTGCGATGGTCCATCGATCCGAAGCGAAAGTAGGCCTTGATGAGGTTTCGCTGTTCCTTGTCGTTCAGTGGGCGCTTCGGATCGGCCAGGAGGGCTCGCTGCTCCTCTTCCTCTTGCTGCTGCTCCCTCTGGCGCTTCTTGAGCCGATCTGCACGGTCATTCTCCTTGTTGCGGCTCTTCATGGTGGCCCTGCGAGGTGCGTTCTCAGCGGCGAGCCTCGCGACATACTCCTCGTGCTGCCGGTCTTTTTCCTCGGCTTTGATCTCCGCCAACTTGTCGGCAGGGATGATCTGATCCCAGTCCAGGTTGATGTCGTCCACCTTGACGTCGGTAATCTGCATAAAGTTTTCCCAGTCGATGCCGCCGCTGCTGAGATTGATCTTATCGTCCACCTTTGTCTTGGTGATCTCGGCATTCTCCAGAATCGAGTCAATGTCGAGCTGCTCGAGCCGCTCCTGGTTTCCGCTTTGTTCAAACATCTTGGAGGACCGCATCTTCAAGACTAGCTGGATATCCTCGGACGACGAAGGGCCTTCGGTTCTGATTCCCTTGTGGTCCATTTTTTCCTTGAAAGCCGCCTTGCCGTCGTCAGTGACGCCCGCCTGGATCGTCAAGTACTCCAGAAGTAGTTTATTCCGGGCCCGTTCCAAGACCTCCTCTTCGACCGTCTCTTTGGAGACCAGTCGATATATGTTGACCGGCCTCTTTTGTCCGATCCGGTGAGCTCTCGCCATGGCCTGCAGGTCAGCCTGGGGGTTCCAGTCCGAATCGAAGATGACAACAGTGTCGGCAGTCATCAGATTGATTCCCAAGCCACCAGCCCGGGTGGAGAGGAGGAAGCAAAAGTCATCGCTGTCGTCCGCGTTGAAGTGATTGATTGCCATCCGGCGCGGGCCTGCTGCGATGGTGCCATCCAAGCGCTGGAACTTGTATCCTCTGAGTGACAGGTAGTCGCCGAGAATGTCGAGCATCTTGACCATCTGGCTGAAGATGAGGACACGATGGCCGTCCTTCTTGAGCTTTGAGAGGAGCTGGTCGAGTAGCATCATCTTGCCGCTGCTTGCGATGAGGCCCTTGATTTGGTCTTCGCGGCGAGTGCTCCCTGCCAGGACGCGTTCCTCTGCGCCGGGAAACATGTATGGATGGTTGCTGATTTTCTTGAGCTCCATCATGACGTTGAGAAGCGAGTTCTTATGGCCGCCGGTGGCGTCACACAGAGCGGCATAGTTTCTGGTGAGGATGTTCTTGTAGTAGTCCAGTTGGACGTCGGAGAGCTCTACACGAATGATCTTTTCCGTCTTGGGCGGCAGATCCGACTCAACAGTCTCTTTCGTCCTCCGCAAGATGTAGGGTGCAATGGCTTTGTGGAGATCCTCCAGCTTCTCCTGAACGTCGTTGGCAGCGAGGGAGTCCAGGTCTTCGTCAATGTTGACCTTTCCAGGGTTCAGGAAGTCAAGTAGCGCCGAGAGCTCCGCCAGGTTGTTCTGAATGGGCGTGCCCGTGATCAAAACCTTGCAGGGAACGCCGAAGCCCACTAGTCGAGAGTAGAGCTGGGAGTCCTTGTTCTTAAGGCGATGAGCCTCATCGACGGCAAGGGTTTGCCACTTGATGGACTGGAGAAACTGCCAGTCTTGCAGGATGAATTCGTACGAAGTCACCAAGACATTGAATTTTGGCTTCTTCGGATTTCCTCCGACGATCAGCTCGTTCTCGCGGATGATATTCCGCGCCTCCTCTGGGCCGAGGTAGACGACGTAGTTGAGGTCTGGAGCCCACGTGTTGAAGGTGTCGCACCAGGCAGGGATGACGCTGAGCGGTGCGACGACCAGAGACGGGCCCTCTTGGCTCCGGTTGTTTCGCAGCCAGCTAAGGAACGACACCGTCTGGACAGTTTTTCCAAGGCCCATTTCGTCGGCAAGAATCACATTGTTTCCCCGGACCCAGTTGAGGCAGAGAAAGTTGAGGCCCTTAAGCTGGAACTGGCGAAGTTCGCCGCCTTGGATGTAATCCGGCTGTTCCTCCAACTTGGTCATCCTTGACCGAGTCTCCGGGTTGGCCTCGCGACGGTCGGATTGCCACGACCTCGAGGCTCGATCCAGGTACTGATCGATCTTGTCTTGGAAATCGGCGCTGATGTCAGAGGCCAGCTCCCACGTGCACTCTTCGTAGGTCAGGCCTTTCCACTTGACGAAGTACTCGGTTTCTTCGTCGCCGTCACGGACGGCAACAACCCGTTCGACTTTGGTGAAGTCCTCAAAGGCCTCCTCAACCCGCTCACGATCAAGGAAAAACTGCTCCTTGCTCTCCGGGGGCACGTCGTATCCGAATCGGACCTCGAGTTCTTGTTCAACAACCTTGCGGAAATAGTTTTCCACCTTTCGAAACCCTCGAACGTTGCGGAGACTCTCTATAGTCTCCCAAGTGTCATGCAGGTGAGACTTGCCTTGCCACTTGACGAAGTAGTCGAAGTCGTTGCGGCTTGAGTCGTACAGCAACTCAGATCCATCCTTGACCCGATGGCGCACTACCTTTTCGATGTAGGGTGAGTCGTCGACGTAGTCGGCAACGTAATATGCCCCGGCTTGCTCCAGGTCTTCATCGTCTTCGAAATCGCTCTCCTCATAGGCCCCCTGCTGTACTTGCTGTGCAGCACGACGGTTGGACCATCTCTTCTCGACAAACGCGAGCGAAGGCTGCGACTCTCGTTGGAGCCTCGCCTTTTTCTGCTGGCTCTTTGCCCGCGCCCCACCGTAAACATCGGAGTCGGAGTCGGATTCGTTGGTGGATGGCTGCAGAGTAGGTGTGCCCATCTTAGAAGCTAGAGCTCCGATGTCAGCCGAGGCTCCAAGCGGCAAGGACGAGCAGAACCGAAGCTTACAGAGCTGTGACTGGTTCACACGCCGGCGCTTGGTCTGCCGACGGGTGGTTGGTTCGATATCCGAGTCGGAATCATCAGACTCAATCTGGCCACGCGTTAGCTTTGGACTGCGCGTCACGTCCATGGCGGAGAAAGCACGAACGAGCTGGCGTGTCTCTCTGGCTCGAGTCTGCAAGTTTGACGTTAGCTTTGGCCGCAGGAGCAATGGGATGTTGGGACAACGCACACTTCGCCGCAGCCCATATAGCTCTGGATTTGCCTTGATAAAGTCCTCCTCGACAACGGGGCTTTTGCGCTTGGGCGGCCTGGGAGAGTCGACAGAGCTTTCGCGGTCGGGGACGACGCCATCGTCTCTTGGGGAGACGACGCTGTCCTGCATCTCAAAGTCGGCGTCATCGGAAGCATCACCGCCACTAGATCCGCCATCGGTCCCCGACATGTCGTGATCCTCGTGTAAGTCATTCGAGGCCCCGCCGTTGGGGTCTTGGACTATGGAAGGCGATGAAGGCTCGGCGTGGGGGCTTTGGGCATCGGGAGCAAGGCTTTCGCTTCGGCCACGTTCAGAGGACGCTGCCGAAATCGAGGCGTCTTCGGGCGACAAGCGTCCGTTGACAAAACCCCCCTCGGTAGGGGGGAACATGGTGGCGGCTTTCGCGGTTTCTGCTGGCTAGAGAGTCGACGGCGTCAGTAAGAGAGATGCAGGTCTGGGATTGCTGCAACAGGTCCATGGCGAAACAGTGATGTTTGCGACGTGGAAAATGGCTCAATATGCCAGAGAAAGGGCAAAACAATGGAGCAATCCGTGTTATCGCATCGGCGTGCGGAAACGCGATGGCGAGGCTGAGAAAGACCGTGGCGAGCGATTGGGGACCATTGCAGGGAAGGGTGACCCCGAGAGTGAACGCAAAGCCATCAGGGAAAGCTCCAGCCATGGGTTTCATCGAACCGAGGAGCCAAAGGTGCCATACGAGAGCTCCTCGAGCCAATATAGCAAGGCAGCAGGGTGTCGAGTCGAGGCTGAAGCGGCCAGCGGCGGCAAAGCAAAGGGCCCATGGCACGGGCAGCAAAGCAAGGGAAGAGGAGCAGCAACTTACTAGTCATTCGCAGATGACGCTCAAGCAACAGAAAGCATCTGAAAGACGGCCGGATGAAATTCCGAGGGCGAGGTGGAAGCGGCGCCGGGAAGGGTTGTCGAGGCTTGGTGGTGGTGAAGGGACAGAGCGGGAATGGTCACAAAAAAGGACTGGTGGAGAGAAGGCAGGAAAATTGGAGGCTGAGGTCGGGCGAGGGCCCCGGGGGCTCGGGCGTGGGCGACAGCTGGTAGAAAAGGGTGCTTGGGCGGTACCAAGACCGAGGTACCTGTAGGTAGCTCGCTTTTGGCCTCTGTGCGCCACGCCACCACAAGCGCCAAGTCGTTTTTGGCCCGCCAGTGACACCTGAGCAGGCCTGGAAAGTCCTACGGCAGGCTGGCAGAGTACCTGGGACAGCTGGCGCGTGGAGGGGAACCAGTGTACCGCCGAGTACCTCTTTGCATCCGTATGTACCTAGCCTTTCTCCACGGCGGCAGGCTCACGTGATGCAGCCATACATACCTACCTACCAACAGTGCATCGGTGCCTATTCTCCCCCATTCACCTCAAATGTGCTGTCGTGCGCAACAATGAGTAACTCTTGGTTTGCTTGCATCGAGTCACAAGCCTGCGGTTAATTAAGCGTCTCACTACACGCTTGAGTTTGATGGCTTCTCTCAATGCACAGTGTCTGACTGGAGATCATTGATGCACAAAGTGTATTTGCTACTGAAGGGTCTCTCGCGCATAAGACTAGCATTGCTCGATTGAGAGTGGCAGGAACAGAAAGGAGAAAGGATGATTTCGCATCAGAACTCGACTCCTACCTCTTGACTCCTACCTTGAGTTTGCTGTAGCGGAGATGCTCTCCTAACAAGGCCAACTGTGGTCAACCTTGTGCCGCGCCTTGACGGCTATACCCAATTTTGCCTCTGTACGGAGTAGCAAACTTCCTGGTGCCTGAAGCAAGCACCGGCCCATGCCCAGACCGCGTCAGAGCGTCGGTGGGAACGGCTCCGGTCCGTGACGAGCGATCCGGAGGGAAATGACACTCATTCCAGGCCTTGTCAGGCTTGGGCGTATGTGACTTGGCGTGTTGCATCCTCGAGGCACCAAACTACCTAGATCTAAGAGAAGTACACGGGAAGCAGGCGTTGTAGCTCCAAGGCACAGCAACCTGTAGACCACCGCTGAATGCTCGGGTTTGTGGAAACGCCCCCCGGCCCTCCCCTCTTCCGTCGAGGCCGTTGTCCCGCGCTGGGATAGCGCGCAGCCCAAGCCAAGGGTACCCGTGCCCGCCCGCCCAGCCGCTCCAGCTACTTGCCCACGGCTCCGTGCCCTAACGCCTGCTTCGCCAGCGCCCGCCGATCCCCCGCCGGAGTGCCCTGCCCCGCCAAACCGACGATTCACAGGGCGAGAAAAATTGATGACCACGCACCGGGCCGCTCGATGCCACCACAACTTGCTTTCTTCTCTCCTCCCCTCTTCTCATCTTGACCCCTCCTCCGCCCCCTCCACCTCGTCGCTGCCGCTTCGCAATCCTCCCGACTCGCCTTGAGCGCACCGCGTGCCTCGTCTCGTCGCACGCACGTGGTGGTGTCCGTCTCACGTCTCCATCGCCTGCTTCACTGCCCCGCCGTCTCGTTGTGCGCCCACAATCACCGTCGCCCATCATGTCTGACAAGCTTACTCGGTACGCTTCAACGACAGCCTTTGGCCCGTACAAGGCTTCGTGTTTGCTAACAGCCGCCTTTCCAGTATCGCCATTGTCAACAATGACAAGGTCGGTTGCTTTCCACCCCGCCACCCCTCACTCTCACCGCCCTCGCCAGGTTTCCACCATACTGACTGACCCCTCCCGCAGTGTCGCCCTCGCAAGTGCCGCCAGGAGTGCAAAAAGTCGTGCCCCGTGGTCCGCAGTGGCAAGCTCTGCATCGAAGTCGCCCCCGAGTCCCGCATCGCCTTCATCTCCGAGTCGCTCTGCATCGGTTGCGGCATCTGCGTCAAAAAGTGCCCTTTTGACGCCATCACCATCATCAACCTGCCCACCAATCTCGAGAACCAGGTGACGCATCGCTATGGCCCCAACAGCTTCAAGCTCCACCGTCTGCCTATGCCTCGGCCGGGCCAGGTCCTCGGTCTGGTTGGAACCAACGGTATCGGCAAAAGTACCGCCCTCAAGGTCCTCAGCGGCAAGCTCAAGCCCAACCTGGGCCGCCACGACAACCCTCCGGACTGGGAGGACGTCATCAAGCACTTCCGCGGCTCCGAACTCCAAAGTCAGTCTCGTCACGTATACTGGTGCGTGGTGCTTCGCAACGCTGACGCTTTTCAGATTACTTCACCAAGCTCCTCGAGGACGACCTCAAGGCCGTGGTCAAGCCGCAGTACGTCGACCAGATTCCCAAGGCTGTGCGCGGTCCCGAGAAGAGCGTGCGTGCCCTCATCAAGAGCCGAGCCTCGCTTGGAAATAGCAAGGAGGTTGCGGATATCCTCGAGCTCAACCACATCATGGACCGAGACATCACCCTTCTATCTGGTGGCGAGCTTCAGCGTTTTGCCATTGGTACCGTCTGTGTCCAGAAGGCCGACGTGTACATGTTCGACGAGCCGTCTTCCTACCTTGACGTCAAGCAGAGGCTGAGCGCCGCTCAAATCATCCGCTCCCTGCTGCGTGACGATGACTACGTCATTGTCGTCGAGCACGACTTGTCGGTACTCGATTATCTCTCCGACTACGTGTGTGTCCTGTACGGCCAGCCCGCCATTTATGGTGTCGTCACCCTTCCCCACTCTGTCCGAGAAGGCATCAATATCTTCTTGGACGGACACATTCCGACCGAGAATTTGCGTTTCCGCGAGGAGTCTCTGACCTTTCGCATCGCCGAGGGCACGGATGATTTTGCCATTGACAAATCGCGTGCCTTCAAGTATCCTTCCATGGACAAGACGCTTGGCAACTTCAAGCTCCACATTGACGATGGCGACTTCACCGACTCCGAGATCATTGTCATGATGGGGGAGAACGGAACTGGCAAGACGACCTTCTGTCGCCTCTTGGCGGGCGCCCTCAAACCCGATAGCAAGGCCAGCGTGCCCGAGATGAGGATCAGCATGAAGCCCCAGACCATCACCCCCAAGTTTGAGGGCAGTGTTCGTCAACTCTTCTTCAAGAAGATCAAGCAATCGTTCTTGAACCCGCAGTTTCAGACCGACGTGGTCAAACCTCTCAAGCTGGATGACTTCATCGACCAGGAAGTCAAGAACCTGTCCGGTGGTGAACTGCAGCGCGTTGCCATTGTCCTAGCCCTGGGCATGCCCGCCGACATCTACCTCATCGATGAGCCGTCGGCCTACCTGGACTCGGAGCAGCGCATCATTGCCTCGCGCGTCATCAAGCGCTTCATCATGCACTCCAAGAAGACGGCCTTTGTCGTCGAGCACGACTTCATCATGGCCACTTACCTCGCCGACAGAGTCATTGTCTTTGACGGCAAGCCTGGCATCGACGCCCACGCCAACAAGCCCGAGTCGCTCCTGACCGGGTGCAACAGCTTCTTGAAGAACCTGGACGTGACGTTCCGTCGCGACCCCACCAACTACCGCCCTCGAATCAACAAGCTGGGCTCTCAGCTCGACCAGGAACAGAAGCTAGGCGGCAACTACGTGAGTACCTGTGCCCGATATTTCCGTGACGCAAGGCTAACACTGCTGCAGTTCTTCTTGGAAGAGTCCACCGACAAGAGCTCTTGAAGAGGGCGGCAACGAGCATGACAACACCCGCGGTCGCCGCAATGCATGTCGTGGCGTTCAAAAGCAAGCCTCGCGAGGGACGCGTGGCTTCGGACGCCGCCTAGACCTGGGGTTGTGTGAGGGCGGCGCCGGCGAGGACGACGATCCGGACGAGTAACCATGGCGACGGCCGTCTATCCCCTGTTGTCTGGTCCTGCGGAGAGTTGGCTTGTGCCTGGAGGGCTGGGCCAGCTGCGTACGTTGGAGGCACGCTCTCGGTCCGGTCGAGGGACCGCGGCTGGGGAGCGAATGCGCTCCATCAGCGCAGGCCTTGACGAGCTCCGCAGATTCAGGGACAATGGATCAAGAAAGGATGACTGCCGTCCGCTTCCTAGCCTCGCGGGAAGCATACAAAAGAAAGTCGGGTTAGAAGCCATGTTACTTTGAATAGAAATACACGGATCGTCGAACAAAAGTTGCTGCATTCGTACGTGAAGAGTGGAGTTGCAGCCTCACGCGCCACGGTGGCTTGTTATTTTCTCGTGCAGGCAGAAGCTCTGGGTTACGACCAGGCTCCGATGCGAGGTGGTTTTTGGGGGTTTTTTTCACTATATCTTCCATTCTACTCCTACAGGAATTCCTCCTCCACCTAAAACTCATCCCCTACTCCGTAGATGAGTCCACTTTGCCAGGCCCGCTTGCGGCAGATCTCGATCCAGCGGTGCCGACAAACAACAACTCAAGCGCTCTCGCCTACCCTGAAGAGCATCTTCTGCCCTCTCGACTCTCGATTGTTCAAATGCACAGAATACCGCCAGATCCATTGCCCTCAAGTGCGGGCGCCCTGCTAGTCCCCTTTCCCCTACCCCTCTAGCACCGCGGGCATCGCACCGCCTTCGACGGGCGAGGCGCCGCAAGATGCCTCTCACTCCTCGATCTCTCCCTCCTCGCTTCCGCTCCTGACACCCCTCACCTCCTTGGTGACTGCGGGAGAAGATTTGACTCGCGAGCGCGCCTCGCGTTTGGGAGTTCGCTCTCGAGACGTGTCTCGCTTGATTCTCTGCATAAATAAGTTAGTCAAGCTGTCATAAAGATAGTAGGGCGTCTTCATAAAAGGGCCATGCCTTCGAGTCCCGAGTGTCTTTCCGCGAAAGCCCCTCCTCGTCATCCGGGCGTCGGCGTCGAGAAACTGTGGAGGTCGGAGGCCGTTCATCTCCGTAGTTGAGTTCGTCGACTGAGCGGGCATCGATTGGGCGGCGAAACGATCGCTCGCGGTCGTCTTCCCTGTCCCTGCGCTCCCGGCCATAGGGCGCATCCTCGCTTCGACGGGGGCGACTGTAGCGATCGTAGTCGCGGTCTCGCTCGCGGTGGTCACGGTCGCGCTCACGGCGGGGCGGCGGGGGTGGGCTCAGGCGAGCACGATCGCCGGCGGACAGGACGTTCTCTGCCATGGCAGACTTGCGGTGGTTTCGCTCTCTCTCAGCACCAGCTCTGCGCCTGTCGGCTTCATACGGGTCTGGCTCTGGGCTACGACTTCGTCGAGAAGGCCGTCTGCCTCGATGGGATCTGTCGCCTCTGGACCGCTCTCTGTTACGGTGAGACAAGTCTCGTTCGCTCGAGACACGGCTGTCGCGTCGATTGCCTCGCTCCGGCTCCTCGTCTGCCTTGTCCTTGAGACGACGCATGTGCCTGTCGAACGCGTGCCGAGCGGAATCCTCTGAGCCCACGGCTTGAAACTCTGCCGATTTCGCGACCCGGGGTCGCACAGACTCCCACGAGTCGTCCATCACTATCGGAGGCTCGAGGCGTTTCATGTGCGATCGCAGGTTGTCAAGTGCGTGGCGCTGATGGCGGTCGGGATGTCGATCGTCCTCGCGCTTCGCAGCTCGCTTCTCGCGGAGCTAAAAGACACGGTCAGAAAAACAGTCCTCAAAGCAAAGCAGCGCGAGCGGGGCATGACTCACTCGTTCAAAGATCAGTTGCAAAAGGGCTTGATCAATGTTGGCCGTTCGGCGATCCTCCCTCATCACCGACATGAACTCCTCTGGAGTCGTGTTGGGCGTGAGATCGAACCGTTTGTCCTGAAAGATAGCAGGGTCAGATGAGGCTTCTTGGAGTAGAAAGAGTAGGCAGGTGTAAATATTCACTTCGAGGACATCCAGCACGTCGTTTCGCGGACCGCGCAGTGCTCGTTCTTCCTCCTCGACCATGTCCCAGAACAACAGGAGCGGGGTAGGACCGTCTTGGCCCAGCATATTCAGATAGCGCTCGTCGTTTTCCATGAGACGGCAAACCTGGCTCCACTTGGAGCCGGCTTTGATGTGGCCGTCTCGTCGGAGCTCGGCCAAGAGGCCCTTGAACACATCTCTGTTCTGGCGCTCGCGCCTGAATTGCATCTTCTTATCATGCTGCTTCTTTTCATTCAGGGCGCGCTCCAGGGACTTGATGTGGTCCTGGAACTTTGTCAAGATGTCGCTCATAACGAGAACCTGATACTTGGGGTCGCTCTGCGTGGCAGCCGAGATGATCTGCGAGCCGTCGTCCCAGCGAGTGTATGCATTGATGTGGAGCTTTGGCAGGAGCTCCTTGAGCCCGTCCAAGGCCGCCTTTCGCTGGGCAATTTGCGTTTCCTTGTTGTTCTTCTTGAGCTCGGCGACGTACTCGCTGAACAGCTGTTGACGCTCGCTTTCGTCGTCGGTGGAGCGGAAATGGGTCTCGCCTTCAATCATGGGCCGAGCCGTCTTCCATCGAGTGATGTGAGTGATCTCGGGATGTCGCTTGAGCATGGTCTCGAAGTCGGCCCGCAGCTTGGCAAGCCTCTCTTTGGCTCGCTCTTGTTCGTGAAGGACCATGTCCTGGCAGTACTTGACAAACGCCTCCCTCCTGGCCTTGGGCTGCTTGATGGCGCGAAACTGAGGGTCCTTGGCTGCGGTTTTCAAAGCCTGCTCCCAGGTCCAGTCGTGCTGGACTCCATGGCGACGGAGCGCCTTTGTGAAGGCAGCAACGGCCTCCTCCTTGGTGGCATATTCAGGGCCGCTTTCGACGGCGGGGACGAAGGATCGTGACAGCTGGCGATTTTCGGGGAGCGAATCTCGCGAATCTCGCATGCCGCGTCCCTGGTCACGGTAGCCGTGACGGCTGCCGCCACCATGGCCTTGGCTGTGTGCTGCGGGCGCGGTAAAGGAGTTGCGACTCTCGGGGGTGCCAAGGGCGTTCTTGAAAACGTCGGGCATCTCCCAGGAACTCTGCTTCGTCTCGGTGTTGTACCAGTATTTTCTTCCACCCTCGGCAGTGTACTCCTTCCAGGGCTGGTTCGCCAAGGCGCGCTGAAGGGGAGCAATTAGCACCCAAGGTCGCAGTGATAAGCACACGAATCAAAACGAGAACTCACCTCGGCCGGGCTCATCATGTCTTCGGGCTTGGTCCACTGCGTCACCTTTGTCGAGGCGTTGTAGTAATAGGCGCGGCCATCGGGCGTGTGGTGCTCTTGCCAGGCCGAGGCTGGCGGCCCCGGGAAGCCGTTCATCGTGTGACGCGTGCGAGGCGTTGAGAGGATGCTCTTGAGACAAGCGGCTTGGGCGGGCGAACACGATGCAGCCGAAGCTTTGCGTGCGTGGAGACAGAAGCAAAGAGCAGCTTCAGCGGCGTGTTTGTTTTTGCGGTGGTGTGAGGGGAGAAAAAAAGTGACAGGCTGCGAGGGTCAACGGGCGGCAGCTGGCAAGTGGCTTTGCTGGTGAATATTTGGGGCGCACGGGCCACCTAGAGCTGCTTCGGTGCCTTGGGACAACCTCAGGTACAAGGTACATCCGGGGGCCCCCCACTGAGGCCTTGAGGCTGAAAGCCTGGGGGCGGCTTGGGGGCCCCTGGAGAATTGAGCGGGGCAGCGCTGCGACCCTCTGTTATCCGCTATCGCCGTGGCATGCGACAGCTCACTGATTACGCATGGCAGGCTGGGCCGATGGCGGCCTGAGACGGCTTTGACCTTTGATTCCAAAAAAATCGTCGTCGACGACGACGACGAAATTGATCTGACCCAATGCGCCCGCGAAACCATCTTCGAGTAAAGAATGCCCGCTCGGCGACGGATGGGCTCCGAACTTGAAACTTTGCCGCCATCAACCATGTCCGACCGCGACGCCGCGACAACCGACGACGTCAGCGGCCACCAGGCCCGAGACGCAGCAACCAGCTTCGTCGAAGCCTCCTACTTAACCTACCTCGTCCCAGCCGAGACCGATCTGGACCTCGACAAGGCCTTCAAGGACGTCGATGCTGCCAAGTCCATACTCGACTCGATACCCCAGCGTGATACCCTCTTCTTCGGTGCGTCCCTCTCCCCCTGTCTTGCTCTCCTCCTCCTGGCTCTAACGCCCCGGCGACCAGACGAAACCGTCAATGTCCTGCTCGTCCTCAAGGTCCCCTGGCTGGGGGAAAATACCCTGCAGGCCCAGCTGCGCCGTCTCGTCATCTCGCTCGAGGCGCAGGTAGTCAACAGCACCGTGCCCGGCCGCGACTCATCCCCCGCCCCCGAGACCATCTTCGTCGGACAAGTGCGCGACGTGAACGATCCCTTCATCGTCGTCGACGAGGAGGAGGAAGATGGCGAGGGGAGCGGCTCCGACGACGCCCCGTCCCAGCACGTCTACGCTGTCTGGAAGCTGCCCGTCCCGCTCGCCCGCCCCCGCGTCCGCCCCCACGACTCGTCCATCATCTTCACCGCCTCGGCGAGTGTCAAGCCCGAGCTCGCGACGGAGCTCAACACCCGTGGCACCGGCTACCTCCAGAGCGGCCTTCCCACGAGCGTGAACTTGCTCGAGTCCTTCTCCGGCGACCCCGCCCTCGGCGGCGTCCGGCCGCGCCTGTCTGCGCTGCGCGTGTCCAGAGTCGCCCCCCTGATGAGGAAGCAGGATCTCGCCGCGCACATCCGCTCTCTAGCGCACCTCAGGCTCCCCGTCTTCCCCGTCGCCCACTCGAGGATACGCTTCTCGCGGCCCAACACGGCTCCGCCCAGCCCGGCCATCATTGCCCTTCTCGAAATCGACTTCACCCCGTTCTTTGACAGCGAGATCCTACTCGACGAAATCAAGCTCCTCACCCCCGACGCCGCCGTCGACAGCCTCAACGACGAGGCCGCTATGAAGCTACCCCAGATCTGCGTCGCCCACGACCACGTCACCTTTCTCTATCTCATCAGGCCCCACGACCCTGAGGCCGGTCAGAGACCCGTGTCCGGCACCCTCGACATCTCCATCTCCGCCTGCGTCCAGGTCACCCCCGGCGTCTGTTTGCCGCGCCTCTCCATGGCCTGGAGCGCCGCCCTCGACTTCACCACCCCCGTCAACCCCAGCTTTGCCACGGCGTCCGTCGACACGGGCATCCAGCGCGCCCACCGCCCCTCGCAACTCTCCATCAGCAGCCCTCCACCCATGACCCCCGTCGCCGCCCAGCCCCCCGCCCTCCATCCCGACGCCCTGCCAGCCCTCGACGCCTCCGCCGCGCGCACCACCGAGGCCGCCCTCACCGACCTCGGCATCACCATGTCCTTCACCGGCCCCGCTCGGCCTGTTTACCCGGGCGACATCTTCTCGTGGACCGTCTACGTCGTCAACCGCTCCAGCGAGAAGAGCGCCCGCCCCCCGCGCAAGCTCGCCCTCGTCGCCGTCCCCAAGCGCCGCCGCAACGAGGTCAGGCCGGTGCGCCCGCCCTCGACTGCCTCGCGGCGCCTGGGCGAGAAGGAAGTCGCCGACGCCGTGCTCGACGACAACGCCCTGCACGTGATGCAGAAGAACTCCATGATCGACGTCTCTGACGTCCTCTGCCTTAGCGCCGACACGCGCGTCGGGCCCTTGGGCCCTGGTGCCTGTCACGTCGTCGAGCTGCAGTTTCTCGCGCTGCGTGAGGGCATTGTGGAGGTCGAGGCGATCCGGGTCATGGACCTGAGCTCTCAAGAACACGTCGACATAAGAGATCTGCCGACCGTCGTAGTAGAACCGCCGGCTGCGTGAGACCTGAATGTTACTCGGCTTCACCCGCGTCTGATGCGACGCCTTAAGAGGTATCATGCTCTTCTAATCAACTCAATACTCAAGCCATGCTCCCTTACAACGATGCAACGCCACTGATGCCATGCTACTTTGTCCAACCGGTACCCAATCGCTCAAGCAGATGCCCAGAAACTCCATCGCAGCCGTCAGTCATATGCGCTTGAGTAACCAGCTCATCCAAGTTCATCGAAGTCGTCATCCCACCCAAGTTGCTTGTAAATAGACGTCTTCTTCGGTGACACCTCTTTCCACGCACCAGGGCTTCCGTTGAGCCCTGGTCTTGGCGCGCCTCGCTTTACGGGCGTCGCAGCGATTGCCTCGCGCAGCATCGAGGGGCCAGATTGCCCTTGCGCCTCACGCGCTTTATCGTTGACAAAAGGATTTTTGCCTGACTCCCTCGTCATAATCGGGGATGAAGGCGGCATCGCAGGCGTTTCGTTGGCCGGCCGTCGTATAAAGCTCGCCTGCGTCGACGGCCTCATGGGCGTGCCTTCGACAAGCTCCACCGCCGGGGACGCGCTGCTTGTGAACGCATCTCTGTGGCTCGCTCGAGGTCCCGTGGACGGAACTAGACACCCGATGCTCGACGGGGGAAACAAGTCATATGTGCTGTCCAGGGGTTCATTCTCTTGGAACTCCGGCTTGCTTCCCAAGACGTCTCTGAAACGATTGTTGACCGGCGTTGCCTTGACTTGGACAGACGGAGCGAGCGGCATTCGAGACATCCTCTTCTCTGCGTGGGACATTAGCACGTTTCGGTCCAAGGAGGCGTGTAGGCACGTACTCTTCGCTGACAGGCTCGTCAAGACCCGGCGTTGATCAGCCTCGGCCATCGCCCTGCCGACCACATCACGATTAGGCTTCCTCAAGGCCGAGATTGCGTTTTTAAGCTCTGCCTCGACCATGGCCTTCTTGTCTGTTTTGGCATCCTCCAGATTAGACATGCTCAAGCCGCGGGATAAAGCGGGTGGCTTTTGAGATGGCCTCGGCTCTCCTTTGGGAAGCGTCTTCAGCGAGGCCGGCTCACTGCCTTCTCGCTTGACGCTTGAGACCGAAGTTGAGGTTGCAGATCGCAGGAGCGCGATGGCGTTGCTGGGACCCCTCGAGACACTTCTGCCAAACTGTTGTTCTGTAGACAGCGCACGCTGTAGAGTCCTTCGGGAATCGGCCGGGCCATGGCGCTTGGCTGCAGCGCCGGGCTTCTGCCCGCGTTGACTAGATGGGCGTTTGGACGACTTGGATTTCAGGGGAGTTAGAATGACGGGCCCTCCGAGTTTGCGGTTGATGGCATCGCAGAGCCCCGGCAGGCGTGCGGAAAAACTGATGTTCATCAGCGGAGGATTCTTGAGGCGTGTGATATAACGTACAAGGGAAGAATAACGTCGACGCAAAAGTCCCGCAGGGGCTCAGAAGAGGCCTTCTGTTGGGCCTGGCCATCGACCACACTGCGCGTCACCTGCGAATCCTCCAAGAGCAGCTGCTCGTCCGAGGCAGTGGACTGCCAGATTGTCAGGCGATCGGCATGGACGTCTACCAAGACCGGAAGATTGTGCTTGTTGCGCTTCTTCTGCGGCGGAGACGGAACCAGAGTCTGGTCCTGCTGAGGCAGGGGCTCAAGTCCTGGTAGCTGAGGCAAGCTGTTCTCGCCGGCGGCTTTCAACGGTTCCAGAGCCAGTATCTCGAGGATGATGATCATTTGGAGCTGTGTCTCTCTCGTGCGGAGCAGCGACATGTGGGACTTGATCTGGGCTGCCGAGTGGCTGGTCTGGCCGTCGCCCAGCTCTGGCTTGTTCGCAGCCCACCATTTGCGGACGCTCTCATCCTCGAGGGGATAGAGGCCATTCTTGCCTATTTTCGTCTTCTTTGATCTTTGTCTTCTTTTGCTCCCTTCGTCGGAGCTCTCGGCGTCGTTCTTCGCCTTGGAGACGACGTCCGGGATCGTCTCCCGATACTTCTTGTCGATCTGCACCGTCGTGAGTATCAGGCTCTTGAGAAACTCTATCAATTCGACCATGTCCAGGTTAGACTCGAGGTCTAGGTGGAACGCAGAGCGGGCCCGCGCCAGAGGCCCCTTCGCAAAGTACGCCAGCGATCCCTGGATGCTGTTAGTCATGGCTGAGCGGATTCAAGAAACGATGCATACCAGAGATTTGTACAAGGCGTCGAAATAATGTGTACGGATGTTGTTAAAAAGGGTGTCCGCCGTATCTTGAGGCGCAGGGGCAGCTGTCACATCCTCATTGTGAGCGACACCTGCAGTCGGGGTGATGGCTGCGAGTTTGGCCTCTGTCTGTTGCTCCAGCTTCGTCGCTGGGAGCGGAAGCTGGCCCTGAGTCGCATCCATATGGGCAACGCCGTCACGATTGGCAGCGTCCTCGATCGCCGGCACGGACACAGATCTCACCCGCTTTCTCACCAAGGACTGGATGGCCTCAATCGCCGCCCGCTTCTTCTTCTGCTCCTTATGGATCTGAGGCGTCGTCAAGGCACGCACCGTATCCTGCCCTCTTCGCTCGGGGTTCGCCCGCCGGAGGCGTTGGTGAGAGACCGCCGTTGCCTTGACAGCCAGAGATGTGAGGTCGACCCAGGGCCCCAACTGGCACATGACGTAGAGTCCATTACCCTGTCTCTCGAGGGCATACACGGTACCCGCGGGTTCGTTTCGCGCAATCAGGACACTCGGTGCGGAGCCGAGGCGGCTCTCCAGGTCGAGAATCTTGACGTGGGACTCGTAGAAGCGCGAGCGAGGTTGGCCGTGGTCGATTGCGGTGAAGTCTATGCACGCCAAGGGGAGATGTTCTCGCGGCAGAAGCATCAAAGGCAGCAAGAGGCGTGGCTGGACGTGCAGCTTCGGCGGATATGGCTGTGCACGGGCAAGCAATTTAGACACGACTCTTCTCAGTCAGGCCGAAGGCCAATATGCACCAACCTTGACGGCAATTGACGGCTTCATCAAGTCGTCCATGGCAGCTGTATCCGCCATCTTCGTCCCGTGGCCCCCCGGTGAGGCGCCGCGTGCTCCATGGTCGCGGTTCAAGCTGCCCTCTGAGGTTGGCGTCAAGATGCCAGACCGCGGACGCGACGCGTCTGCGCCGAGGGCCGGCGGCGAGGACATGGAGAAGCTGCGGGGCGAGAAAGGAGAAGAAAGGAAAGGAAAGGAAAAAACGCTATTCGTCCCGTAACATTGTCTGTATATGATGGTTCAGTACTGCGTTGCCGTGCCCGACAGCACCAAGGTTTGGTGGCAGCAAAGAAAGAGGCTTGACGCCGAGCGGCCGGCCGCTTTTGGCGTCGCTACAATCGGGTGGAGACGCGTGTGGAGGGGCAGCGGCAGCGGCAGCGGCAGCGGCAACAGCGCGTGCTGATGTCATCTGCGCGTGTACTGTAACTTAGTCAACCGTCTCACTTCGTCGCATCTCAACTTCGATCGATTTGACGACTCAGCTTGCCCTGGTCGGGGTCATTAATCTCAGATGAGTCCCATCTTAGACAATCCACAACAAGGCTCCTCCCGTTCGATCATCCCGCCAGCCCTTTGCCCCCTTCATCCAATAACTGTGTCCACTGTCCAGCCGTTGGCTACTCTACGCTTCAACCAAGGCAGCCTCAGACCCGGTCCCTGCTGACGAGTACGCCGTAATAGCGGTCTGTTAAGAAGCGGGCAGGCCCTGGACGGCCTCAACGCGCAAACGCCACGAAAGTGAGACATCAGCCCAGAGCCGCAATGGTCACCTCGAAAGGCGGGGGGCGTCGCTAGAGGGCGTTCAAAGGGACGACAGCGCCTTTGCTAAGCCCGCGAACCATCATCGTCGATGAGTGTGCATCCGTGGCGCCTTTGAAACACCAGTGGGGGCATGTCGTGTAAGTGCCAAAAAAACTGACAAGACCAAGGTGGGCGCCGCCAGAGACGGCGATCGCCCAGCAGCCCTCTGTAGAAGTGCTGGCTGGCTACACGCCCAAGAAGCCGTCTTCGAAAAGGCATCGTTCCCTTGGTTCCAATACGAGCTACGTGTCCCGCACATGACGCTTTGACGCTCGTGACTGGGGTGTCGCTGACTGCCTTACTGCCGATTTCAACCGCCCATTCAATGTCTGAATATTACAGGTTGTCCTGGTTGCATAGTCCCATTCGCAAGTAACCTTCATTTTGGGCTTTTGATCAACAGTGGACAATAGGACTCTGTATCGAGCAGACCAGTGTCTTTTGTGCCTCCTAATGGCTAATATGAATGTACAAAATCCATCTACCTTGGGATCTGAAAATCCCTAGCATCCTCCAACCCCTTCTGCGTTTCAACGCTGAAATGATTCGCTCCGAGCTCTCATAGCCGGGTAGATTTGCCGCCTGCAACCGGGCCCTGTGGGTATTCCCCTCCCCTAACATTCGATGCTCCAAAAGCGCCGGGCAACAACAAACAAACACCAAAAGTAATAAACAAAGAATAGAAAACATCTCTCCCATAACACCACGCCCGTAACAGCGGGACGTTTCTGTCTTCTTTTTGTAGCTCCAGGGAGCAATCCCGTCTTTCCTCTCCGCAGGTCGAGGTCCTTGGTCTGTATCGAAAGGGGACAGGCGGACACGGTTGCCCCGAATGTGCTCGTCACTGTGAGCTCGAGGATATTGTACAACAGCCTCCCATCCTGGAAGAATGAGACAGACCCGGAAAGCACGCCCGGTTGAGCGCGCATATGTAGTCCAACACCTTTGGTTTTTTTGAATTTTCTGAGCCATGTGCATCTGCGGGGCCCATGTTCTCCTCTTCACCAGCATTATTGCTTCCCAACAGTCATTATTTTGCGACGCGATCAAGATTCGAATAATCATGTTCAATAATCGGGCTGCCGATGTTGAAGCCCAGGAGAAGAAATCGTAGGGGTGGAAACGTCGGACCAGTCATAGCCGGCCAAGGCACCGCCTAGAAAGTTTCCGCCAAAATAGGTGTGGCCCATCTGTGACGGGAGAAGCGACGGGGCGTGCTCGTTGGAGCGGTTGCTTTCGCTGCCGACAAAGTCTGACATGTCCCCCGTCACAGTGGACATGTCGAAGCCTCCCGGCAGCCTGGCAATCCCGGGGGAAATGAGTGCCTCCTCCGAGATGGACATGTCGTAGCCAGATCCCATGCTGAACAGGCTCTCCATGAATCCTGGGGTTGTCGGTGGCGTCCTCAAAGTAGGGTCTTGAAGGGCCATGTCTGCCGACATGTACTTGCGGTCCAGAGAATACGACATTGCACCGTCAATCAATCCCTGCTGGTGAAGGGCAACTGGCGTATCCGGAGTGGGTGGAGCGCGCGAGCCTGTTGGGCACGCGATACCCGGCGAGCGCCTGGTCTGCAAGGTGATGTCGGCCGTTCCGTCGTAGAAGGGGCTTCGCGGAGTGGCGACGGCCTTTCTGACCCTCGACGAGCCTGTAGAGGAGGCAACGCGGCGCAGAGGACTGGCTCGATCCCCCCTCCTATCATGGTCCATAGACGTCCTGGGGGTGTAGTATGAGTGGCTGCGGCAATCCCCAATCGCCAGGGGCGCTGGGCGGCGGTGCCGGCGAGATACAACATCCGAGGTCTGAGGCGAGGTTGGCAGGGAGTCGTCGGAGACGGGAGACTGCTGTGGGAGAGCAGCCGCGCTGAAGCCCTGCTCAAGACCATCGGCGTCGTGCCGTTCCGCCTCGGAGCCCAGGAAGCCTTGGTATTCACCAAAGAGCTGGCTAGATGTCTTTGTGTCCACGGACAGCAAGAGATCGGCGCCCTCCATCGCCAGGCCGTTGCGCGTTTCGTTGACACACATATCAGACACGTTGAAGAAGCCATCGGCTTGGTCCGACAGCTCACCGCTCATCACCTTGTTGCTGTGCGCGGGCTTGACCAGCCCTGAGAAGTTGACGATCGAGGGGGTGACTGGTCTCGAATGGGGAGTCGACAGAGGTGGCGAGCCCGAGTCACACCTCTGGCTCGGCTCGGTGGTCTCGCTGCACGCGTCTGGGAGGGACATGGGCGACGGCGACCGCTGAGCATCCGCACGGGGTCTCGAGTTGACCCGAGGCTGGGGGAAGGGGGCGCTCGAGGCGACGAGGTCGCATTGCCTGCTGCTGTCGGGCTGGGGTCCAGACTCGGCCTCGGCCCTTTCCTTCTCTTGCCTTTGCCTCGCCTCGTATTCGCGAATGTTGTTCTCCTTCTTCTCACGAGCACGCCGGTTCTGGAACCAGTTCTGCCATCCAAGTTAGCTCCGGAACGGGCGGCGGGTGAGGCACAAGGATCAAGTACATTGATGCGGGCATTGTCGACTCGCATGGACTCGGCAAGAGCCTTTTTCGTGCTGCTGCTGGGCTTGTGGTTTTTCTGGAACTCGGCCTCAAGCACCTCAACCTCCTCTTTGGACAGACGAGGCTTGGACTCGGTTGCGCGGGACATGTGGTGGTGGTGGACGAGGTGGCGGTTGTGGTGGTTCTGGTACGTCTCCATGGAGTCTGCGAGGTAGGTGGGATAGTTGGGGAGCTGGCTGTATGGCGAAAAGGTCTCTTCAAGCCCCGGGTAGGCCCACGACGGCCATTGGGGTTGGGAAAAGGACCCCATGGTGCGAGTGGCGAGCGGCTCCAGGCGTCTGACGAGCGGCGGTCGCCGGGGTTCGGGGATGGCGGCGCGGAACGATGTGTAAGAGCGAAAGTGAGGGGGGCCAAGACTCGTGTTGGCTTGGCTGAAAGAGCGGATAAGCAAGACGCAGCGGCCTGCTCGAAATGCAAACAAGAAGAAAGAAGGAAAGGAATGAGCGGACGGCTCAGTACGATGCAGCTGAGGATGGCGGAAGGAGGCGTGAGGCCCGTCTCTTTTAAGAATTGTCCAAGGCGAGGGCAGGTGTAAGCGGAGTCGACGAGATGCAGAGTGGAGGAGCGAAGAAGGGTACGCAATCGTGAGACAGAGCTCACTCAAGGTTTCTGCCCTCTCGGGACGATTTTCGTCAAGGGAGCACAGTTGTTTGAGCGAGGACGAAGGTTCACGAGGGATCGGAAAGTTGAGCGAGGGGCGCGGAGGGTAGAAGAAGGGCAGACGTGTAGTCCGACAGTGGCCAGGGCCAGGAGTAATCGTCGGCTGTGAGATGGCGCGTGGTCCGGACGACCTGAATGTACTCGCACCATGCAGCCGGGGTGACGAGTGTGTGTCCATACATCAAAGACCCCTGCCCGGGGGGGGGTGGAGGCGGCGGTGGTGGTCATGGGCGGACGACGACGGGCGAGGGCAAAGCTGCTGATGCGGCAACACCGGCTCCCTGGCAAAGCACACACGGGGGTCAGCCACAGAGTACCGGCTCCAGAAGGAAGACGGCACCACCGTATATCGGGCACATGGCGCTGTGATCTTGCCTGGCTTTCGCGCGACTGGATGCGCCCAGGGCCCCCCGGCACAGCCTGCACGTCCTCCACCAGACCAGTCCCGACCGTCGCCAGCAGCACCGTACCAGCAGCAGGAACAGCGGCAGCAGGCCTTGTCCCCCTCCCCTGCCCCCTCCCCTCCCCCCTCCCCTCCCCCCTCCAGGGCTACCCGACAGACGCCACGAGCCGGGGGGGGGGCGAGGACAGAGAGCGCGTGCCCGAGAGAGAGAGAGAGACACACACACACACAGAGAGAGAGAAAAAGAGAGAGAGAAGTGGGTGGGGTGGAAAGGGCAGAGGTTCGAGGGGAGGAGGGGGTGTGTGTGGCACACTCGGCGACGCACCACAGCACGGCTGCCGCGTTGACGGCGAAGCGGCGCCAGCTCCGTCCATTCATGGCACTCCCTGGGCAACGCATCCTCCCTCATCAGGAGGACTGGAGCACCGCGGTTCCACCCCGGGGGCCGGGGAGAGGAGGCCAGGAGGGGGGGGGGTCGCGCCAGGGCCAGCGAAAGAGGCGTGACTGGCTGGGGCCACCTGGCCCGCCGGCGGTACGGAGTACATGTCTGTACAGTACGGAACTGTGCAGCACAACACTGCTCCCGCCTTGGGCCGTTAGCGCCCCTGTAGGGATCGCACCGCGGCGCGCGCGGACGCGATGAGACGTCGATGGAGCTGCTGGGGGCTCGCCGAGCACACGTCCCGTGTCATCGTCGCCGGTTCGTGTCGCTGTCGCGATGGGCGAAAGAGGGAGAGAGAGGGGCTCTCTCCGCCCAACAACAGGCAGTGGATGAGGGCGAGCGGGGGGCGGGCAGTGCAATAGCAGCTTCGAGGAGGAAGACGAGGGCGATCTTTGATCTCCAGAGGGGGTTTGGATTCCACGGCCAAGGCGAATGATGATGCATCGGCGCCGTCGACACTCGTATGCCGCCGCCACAGCCTCTTCTCTTTCCACCCGTTGGCGTTGCGCGGCATTGCGTGCTCCAAGCCAGCCGACTAGGCTTGCTTCGGAACCCTCATCGTCTCTCTCTCCCCCTCTCCCTCTCTTTGCCTCCGCTCGCCGTGCCCTCGGCGTTTCCCCGCGCCGTCGCATGGGGTCTTGGGCCCTGTAACATGGCATCCCTAAAGGAGAAAAAGGCCTCGAAGCGACGACGACGACGACGACGACGACGGACCAAACAAAAAAGCCAGCAAGAGACAAAAAGAGCCGGGGGCTCGGATTGCCCCCCGGCTGCTGAGCTGTTTGCTCGTCTCGCCGGGCGTGCACGGTGCTGTGAGCCGAGCCTCGGTGGGCGAGATGCGACTCTGATGAGGCGCTGGTGGATGGTCCTTCCCTGCAGCTCGCGTGCTACAGACTCCGCAGGCCGCCATGCGTACAGTACATGCTGCATATAGTAGGCCCATGCTGCATGTGCCGTTGCCCGGTTGCTTTGCAGGCACGGTACCTCGAGTACACCCTCGAATACTCCGTCCGCACGCACGCACCTCGCTGTCTCTCTCTACAAGACGCACTTCGGTGGGCTCCTTTCAGCGGGCTCCCAAGCCTCGAGCATCGCCTGTCATTGGCTGCCTGCCCGCGCAAGCCAGCGGGTGGGTGGTGGGTGTGCCGCTGCTCTCTGCTGCACGAAAACTCGCTCCGAGGCGGATGGGCTGGCTTGGATGGATGGATGGCCTCGCGTCGCCTCACCTCGCGCGCCTCCTGTACATACCTACATACCTACCGCACATCCATACTGTACATCCTACAGCGCCCCGTGTCGTCATCTCCTCGTGGGAACCCGTTGACGATTGCTCGAGGTCGCTAATGACAACCTTACCAGCCCACCGGACCCAGCTCACCCCAGCCACCGCTGCCCTTTGCCGCCTGCAGCAACGCCAAGCACCCGGATTTTTGCCCTCTCATCCGTCATCCGAGGCCTGTTGAAGTCGGCGCGTCCCCCTCTTCCGCTCGCCCGTCCGTCCAACTGTCCGTCACTCGAGTGCAACCTCCGGTATGCGATGCTTGCTTTTTTTTGCTTTTGCTCCCGATGCCGTGCTTGAGATGTACGTGAATTGGCTCCCTGGTACTCCGTACGGAGTACTTCGTATATGCCCTTTGCTCCATGTATAAGTCTATACCGTGTATAATGCTTCCCCCATGCTGTATCACTCGCTTCTCCATGGCTGTCCGTACTGTGCCTCGTACAGTAGCCCCAATAGACGTGCAGTTGAGCGCTGCTCGTCACAGCGCTCCTCTCGCCTCGCGCCCGTTGCTCGCCAACTCAAGTCCGCTGTGCCGTGTCCAAGGGGGCGAGAGAGAGGGGGGGGCGTTGGGGAGAGAGGGGGTGGAGGGGCTCCCACAAGGAGGGCAAGGAGGGCAAGGAGGGCAAGGAGGGGCATGGCGACGCCATCGTTCTTCGTCCTAACCCCTTTCTTCATCGCCTTCTTCTCTCCCGTCAATCTCACCCTCTGCCGCAAATTTCTTTCTTTTCCCAAGCGCCCGCCCACGAGCCTCTCTCTTCCCCGCTCCCCCCTTTACCTCTCGCTCTGCGCAGTCGCCAACCCTTCATGACTTGAGTGCCATGTGCCATCCAAGCGTCAGCTGCGAGGCCATGACGAGTCGAGTAAGAGAAAGTGGCCACCAGGATCTGCGCCATGGGCATGGCAGATTCCGAGCTCCTTCACACACTCACCGCCGGCATCCTGGCTGCCCTTCCCCCATCTTATCCCCAGCCTCGGCCCAAGCTGGAAAAGCGCAAACTGCCTTGCATCGCACCCGCCGCCTGCCATTCGTATAGGAGGAGCCAGGAGCACTGTACTGTACTGTACTGTACTGGCGCACCATGCGTACTGTACATACTTACATGCAGACACCCGTTCCTAGTCGCTGGCTGCCATTGACGTCCACTATACTCCCTAGCCCGTGGCCCAGGTTTCTTCAGCTACGGGGCAAGGGGGGGGGCCACCGGGCACAGCAGGGGCCTAGCCAGGTATCCCTGGCTGGCAGGGTACCTGGGACGTCACGCTGACCCTCGGCAGACGCAGGTTGCCGTGGCTGAAAGAGTACCTACAATGCCGCGCCTGGCCCCGTGGCACTATCTCAGCGTACAGACCTGTAGTACAGGCGGGCAAGCGGAGTCATGGACCTCCGAGCAATGGATTTCTCCGTCCGTTGCCGTCATATTCCAGCACGTCGTTCCATATTCCCCCCTCTGGTCTTTTCGTCGGATGCATCCCCGCCGTCTTCTCAAATACGACTATCGAGGGCTCTTTGTCCGCTCTGCCAGCCACGGCTTGCTGCAACGGCGACGGACGACAGACGACCAGCTGCTGGAGACATCCGCGACCGACCCCACATCCCCGCCTCTGGGCTAGGGTACGTCGCCTCGGGCTCGGGTACCCAATTCCTCTTTCGGGCCCGTCTCCGGGGCCGGGGACCGCTCACCAGGAGGACAAAGCCCAGCCCCAAGGCGCGCCGAGGGGTTTTTCCTTTGCGCTCAGGAGCCCTTTCTCGCTTAGTCGTGCCTCTGATTCGCATGCAGCTTGCAGGTTGGCGGCCACCTTGGCCCGTGCCTCTCGCTGGGCCACTCCCCCCCTCCATATCTACAATGTCGTTCGATCTTGGCCCATCATCAGCTCGTCTCAGTCGCTGCCCACGGTGAACCCAGCCAGCCGGGCCTAGGCGAGATGACGGGAAAGAGAAGAAAATACGGTAGTGATGACAGGGTCCAACTCGTTCCAGACACTGTCGATGCCGCCGCCCCGGGAAGGAGACTGTTCGGAGACAGGACGGCTGGCCACCTTGCAGCTCGCGCCTGGCCATTTCTTCCCGTCCATCTCCCGGTGATTTTGTAGGCCGGCTTTCCCGGCACATAAGCCGCCCGTCCGAGGGTCGTCGCCTCCTTCCCCTCACCCCATGATGTTGGGGTTCGTCACATTGGACGCTCCTTGAGATGCAACGCTGGCCCGTGGACTGATCCGTAGTCAGACCTGCACCCCCCCTCCCCCCTCTCCCCCCTCTCCCCCTCTCCCGAGACAGCGCGGCCCGTTGGCTCCGGCGGGCGCATCAAGCAACGCTTGGCCTCTTGGGCAAGTCGAGGGTGTCATGGCGCGCCGCCGCCGCAGCCCGAGGTAGACAAAGGCAGCAAGCGTTGCTTCTTTGTTCCCGAAGCTATGATTGCTCGAGCCCCAGCCTTGTTGTCATGGAGCCCCGTGTGCGCGGTAGCC